CGTCGTATCCCTTTGGGTGTTCGAAGGTGCCGATTTTGTACCGAACAAGGATATTTACTAATTAAAAATCTTAATATAAGAAACACAGTAATGTACTAAGAAATACAGTAATATACTAAGAAATATACTAATATACTAAGAAATATACTAATATACTAAGAGATATACTAATATACTAAGAGATATACTAATATACTAAGAGATATACTAATTATTAGGATATTAACCCGGCGGGCGCTTGATAAAACCAGCTGGCGGGAGCGCGAATAAGCGCGCGGCCCTGAAGAATGATTTGTTAGCAAAGGGCCTTTTGTGTGCTCCTCTCTCTATTTACCCCCGATCAGTGGACGTGATTTTTGTTTTTTCACTGCTTGCACATATGCATGGGCAGCGCGGTAAGCTCACCAGACTGCACTCCCATCAGCTCAAAGTGCCCTAGTCGACACAACATAAGTTTTACTCCCCGTGCCACTTTCTTTCTCCCTTCGTTGTTCCCACACCTGCCTTGACGCAACACCGCAACACCGCTTTGATCAGCACAATCATTTCAAAACCCGTCCATTACTCTGTTCATTACATTATCCTTACTTTATCATGGCGAATAATTTACCTGACTTCAACATACTTGGTGAGAACTTAGAGTCCATGGCAGTACAACTCAGATATGTCCCGAATATTGCGCCTATGATTCAAGCCGAGCGGATTGGTTCTGCTAAGAGACGAATCACTGCTGTGGAGAACGACCTCACTGATGTGCAAGGCCAACTTGTTGATGTTCGGAGAGAACACACTCAGTTTCGGACAGAACTCGCTGATCTTCGGCGCGAGTCGAATAGACTTGCGCAACAACTCGTGGATCAAAATAACAATCTTCACCACCAGATGAATGCACTTGCGCAACAAATTCTGAATCAAAATGCCTATCTTCATCAGCAGACAAATGATCGTATTTCACAACTCAGTACTCAAGTAGGCACACTTGTATTGGAGCCGTCAGATCACCTCCCAATGAATGGGGGGCTGACTGCATAAAACGCCAAAGACCACAGACGACAAAGAAGAGTTAAGCTCTATTATAATGCGAGTACTTAAAGCCTTGTTTCATCGTCGGATAGGAGAGGGCCCTCCTCTAGATTGCGGTACTCGTCGACTGCGTACCATCAACCGGGGAGCAGAGAAAAAGGCAGAGACACTACAAAGAACCACACGGCAAAACCACACTACTCAACTTACAAAACAACACAATCAAACTATGAAAATACGAAACCAAAATAATCTTGTGGTCAATCCAAACCACGAATTATTTCCGCTTCAAAATATACTTACGAGAGTTAATTGCCCAAGAAGCAAGGAAAGTATTCAACGCCTATCTCACCCAGAGGTTAATCGTTTCCTCATTGCATTGGACCTACCTCAACAAGGTACTCTTAACCAGAAAAGATTGACTCTAACAGAAGCATTGTCACACGGAAAAGGCTGGTTACACGAGGGCTACGGTCACGGGATTATGGCAGAAGGTCCTCACCGACTTCTTGTATAAATAGACATCTTCGGTCCCTCAAGGCCTTGAGGAAAACCAAGGACCTTTGATACCAAAGACTGTTATTAGATGAATTGAGTAAATTGCTCCAAGCCCTCTATTGAGCCCTTGTCACAAGCATTCTGTTAGTGGAGTGCCTTGAGAGCGATTCTGGTCTGAGCTTCAATGTTAGTTCTTGGCATGTTCCAGCGGTAGTGGAGGAGTGTGGTGTCGAAAACTCACAAGACTAGTTACAGCAAGAAGTAAGCTGATAATTTTACCTGTACTGTTATAGTTTATTTTATAGTTACTGACATTAATGATAGAATTCGGAATCCAAGGATACAGCGCGGGATACAGCAAGGAATTACAAAGCAAATGAAGGGAGCTTCAGATTCAGTCCTGCCGAGGTGCCAGCTGCATGTGCGCATCCGCAATTATGGGCCCCGAGGGGCTGAGCGAGCTTCAGGTCGGTGTTGAATTGCTGGGCTGACGTTGATGGACATGGAGTTTTGCATCAATGCTTGGCGGTCCTGAAAAAAGGAGCCTAGAGTTGGTTGGGGCATAACTCGCTTCGAGAGCTGCAGAGAGCTGCAGAGAATGAATTGAAAATAGGAGGTTGGCGAGTTTTCGATGGTTGTGTCACTTGTGCGGAGTGACGTGTGTACGTACACTGCAGTGGATCGCGGTTATGCTGAAGACGATCGAGGTTATTGTTGCAAGTTGCTATATTATCTCTTTGGGTGTTTGAAGGTGCCGATTTTGTACCGAACAAGCATGTCAACCAATTAGAAATCTTAATATAAGAGATACATTAATATACTAGAAGATTATATTGAGATGTAAGTACCGTTTATCTTTATATATACAAAAAGATACATATTATATACGCAGTAAAAAGGTACTAACCAGGTATCTATTAGGTACTTAAGTATCTTAGACATAGCGGGCCTGGTACGCAATCGGCACCTTCGAACACCCAAAGAGATAGATTTCCTATGTACCTAGTTTCTAGAGTATTTTAATAAATACACATGCACCTAGTTTTGTCTATAGAAGACGGGGGACTATATCACGTAGTGTACGTAGTGTACTGCAGAGACGTACGCAATACCATTCCGAGACGACACTGCTGTAGAACAATTCATATATATACGTACAGTGGTGTACCTCGTCGAGACGTGCCCTGCGTATTTCACCACGGCACATGCCCAGGTACCTACTAAGTACTTAAAGTACATAGATAACTAGCGTCTCTACACTATAAATCAAGTACTTAAGTATGAATCATTCATATTCTTCACCCCCTAGAGGGCAAGGATATCCGTCAATTTCAAGTAGGCACCTTTCCCCTTCCCCTTCTCATTCCATTCAAATTTGCGGGGGAAAACCCCAGCGCGGCATTTTACGTCTTTCTTGTCCTGGTGTCAACACGGGGTTCCGGAACAAAGCCGCCAAAATGGGCGCGAGTCTGCCGACGCCGGCACCACCGAGAGGCTCCCTGGTCCCGCGTGGCTGTTGACTTTTGTGGTCTGGGCGTCCCGCGGTCCGGGTAGTATTTTGCTGGAGTGTGTGTGTGGTGATGCTCCGCGGCGGTGTGGCATCGGCGTGCGGCACCTTGGGCGCGAGCACCTTTCTGCTGTTCACGTTGTTTGCCTGGCTTGGCTGCTTGGTTCCGCTGGGCTGGTGACGGGAGTGTGCGCGCATGCATGTGGTCAAGTGTTGCGCAGTCCGGCTTTGGCCAGTTTGCTCGCGGTCGTGCGGGGGGAGGATGGGCTGGTGCGCGTAGTCTGCTGGGCACGAGGTGCAGATGGAGGTTGTTCTTGGTGGAGAGGACTAGTTCTCCTGTTGCATCACGGTTTCCATGCCGGGTCAATGATGTATGTATTTGCGAACAGCGGCACGTTGGCCACGCCCTGCCAACATTGATGCTCAAGTGTACCGGACATCTGCGACACCAATCCAGCGGGCGGTTGATATTCCTACCACGATAAGAGGCGCATACATCACAACACCCTTAAAAAAAGTTTTCAGGGGCGGCGCCCAAATAAAAAAATCTCTAAAAAATTCCACATCTTCAAGACAGAGTACATGTGAACCCCTATAACGCCCCTATTGGATGGAATTCACCGCTGCATGTCTCTCTGCTGGCTGGATACCGCTCCTCGGCGCCGCCGCACCAGCCACATCCCGAAAAAAGAGTGTGTGGCTTTGAAGGAATTTTCCGCAAACGACGGCAAGCAGCCCGGGAAGAAATGGAGGCTTGAGGAAGACGAGGAGGAGGGGGAGGGGCGTGCGGGTTCAACATTGAATGTTCTCGAGCGTGTCCTGGAGCTGGGTTTCAGGGCCATCGGTCGCTGCCCAATCGGCGCCCCTGGTCGGAGGCGCACCTGCCAAAATCTGGGGCAGCCCCAGCGGGTTGGCTAATTTAGTCGTGGTGGCTTTTTGGGGAGGTCCTGCGAATGGAATCCCTGCGTTCTGTATCGAGGAGGATGGGGAAGGGGGCAAAAGAGTCGAGTCTGGTGAGGGCAACGAGGCGCAAGAGGGTACGGAGGAGTAGTACTCGGTAGTATTTGGGATTTTAGAGGGCCAAGTTTGACCAGCGTTTGGTCTTGGGATCAAGTTGGGAGAGGGGCGCTGGTGGAGGAAGGAGGTGGACAGCGTTCAATCTTCTCGGCATTATTATGCGATGGGGATAGGGAACGTTGCTTGATGGCAATATCCCGTTGCGGTGGCCCGGCCGGCGCTGGCGACGAGGCTGCCGCAACGTTGATGGACGGAGATCAATACCTTGGGCGTTGCTGTCGATCCAAATCGCCGCAATGGCTACGGCATGCTGACCGTCTTTCTTCATCGTGGAGGGCTGTTGTTGGGGTGGGTGATCTGTCTGCCCTGGTCACAATACAACGTCCCGGCTTCTCCCTTGACAGGTTGGTGATGCTCGTGGAGAAACGTTTTTTGTTAAAAAAAAGTCATCACTGTCGACATGAGTGAGCGATGCACGCGTGCAAGATGGCAATATCGTGGCGCCAAGTTTATGACCTGGCATCACTCGTCCATGCAGCCCCAACACAAGGGTCATATTTCTCTTCAACTGCGATGCGCAACAAAAAGGCCTCTCAGAATCATGCACTTACAAAGATCCCCCCCAAAAGAGGGCATCATATGCCAGTCTCGTTATCCCGGTGTCAAGTTTCATCGTGCCCATCATGTAATGCAACGCTCCAACAAGATGCGCCTCGTTTCCGCAAAGGGCTAGTAGGTTGGAATAAGACTTGCTGGCAGTCGGCAGCCCATGACCAAGACCAAGATGCCATCAAATGCCATGTGAATGAATGACCAGTGCATGTCACCCCTTCCCACATGCCATCTGGCAAGGTTGGTTCCCTTTTGATTTTATTCAATTTTTTTATACGGAGTATTACCAGCATTGAATCGGGGTCGTGGCCATCTTGAAAGTGGGTGTGGGCGAGCCCTGACATCACAGGGCAGGCTTTAAATTGCGCGCTTTGATTTTCGGCACGCCTGTGTTGGCGCGGGCCTTGCGAATGCCGTTTGTGGGATGGCGCTTGATCCAGCGCATCACGGGCGCTCCTTCTGCGTGAGACGGGTGAGACCGCTGGTCGATGATGGAGAAACTCGGGATCCTCTTCAGGATGGCGATGTGGTCTGGTGAGTTCAATGTTGGTGAGATGTTGATGCTGGTGGTGCTTTGGGTGAAGTGATTGGTGAGATGCTGATGCTGGTGGTCCTTTTGGTGAGGTGATTGGTGAGACCAGTTGACAGTTCAGCGGGGCTTACAGTGGGTGAGGTACGTACCGGACATGTGAGAAGCATTTTACCATCAGTTCAATCTTGATATCATCTAGTACCTATTTAAGTAGCCATCGAGCTGTATAGTACTCCGTATAATCTCAATTGATATTATGGCATGGTACTGTGCACTTGTTGCATGTGATGCGCCAAATCTGTGTCCTGCCACTGGACGATGCATATCAACTGATGGCTGATGCATGGTTCATGATGGACCCCTTTGATCCCCGCTGCTCGTAGATCATTCATGCGCGCACTTGTTCGTGCGTGTTATTTGAGCGCAATGTACAAAGTTCAAAAGCAAAGCACGAGTAAACTATCACGGTGGCATTTGTAGTTTTTGCCATGCTCCGGCCGAGATGTACATACACCCTCCATGTATGCACGGAGAACATACGTACCTCGCACGCACCTCCACACATCCGACCCTTTGACACGCCATAGCCCTCCGTGATATCGCCAGTGGGAGTCGAGGAGTGCGCGCATGTCGCTGCGGCTGAGGACGAGGCGGAAAATAGGGCTGGCTATCCATTCCGAAACGAGAGACACTATTGTTTAGCCCTCCCCCCGCAGCGAGGGGCCCAAAATCATGGCGACAACGTCAATCCAGATCCGGCCCAACTCCTAGTTAGTACGTTTCTACAACTCAGATCGCCGAAACGGAGCTCCTCCGACTATGGGATACGCATCCCCCGAAACGAGTTGGCCCCCTCTGGCAAAGAACAAAACACCTGCAAAGCACGATCAGTGAAACGAGTTGTGCCGCAAATAAAAACGCATTGGGGGGGCTCTACGGAGGAAATAAAGCGTTCATCAGCCGTTTCCTCCCCCAACAAAAGGAGAGAACATGACTGGCTGGTGGTTATTTTATCCGCGAATCGTTCTTCCCCCCTGCATCGAGATGACAGCCATTTGCCACGCAGGATCCTTGTGGCTCACACATGCCGCGTTTAAGTGGCGGATCTGCGAAGTTAGTAAATCTAAACAGACTGACGGTGGCAAAAGGCCCGAGCAACCAGCCGCCTCAGGGGTTCATTTCTCGTTGGCGCCCGTTTTGACGGCGCAACTGGATCTTTGACTTTTCTTTTAATACATCGGTAGGTGACGTGACGATGGTGATGGTGATGGTGATGGTGATGGTGACATATGATTTTCGCTCCATGGTGGAATTTGCAGTCTACCTGAGGTCCTGGGCCCATTGTCAAAACGTGCATCGTCAACTGTTTGCCCGCAACGCCAGGCCACCAACTTGGCCAGAAGCAGCAAACTTGGCATGTCTGTGTTTATTTGTTGATTTGACGGCGCGGATTTGCTGCAGAGGACCTCGTAAAATCAACATCACCATGTCCATATGTACACAGCCTCACCCGGGACGAGACCCAATCCCCCCTTTGGCTGATACGCGTACTTTATGTAGCCAGACTGGAACATGGAGCAGGTTTGCCAAGGCCATCGGGACACGGGCAGAAAGGAGAGCCAAACTGCCAGCTGTCAGACGCCTCCTGGCTCGATTGTTGACACCTGAAGAGCATGGGCTCCGTTTGTACACTCGATTTGATACGTTTGGACAAGTTGATGGCGTGGCCAGGGCTATTTGCAGCGTAGCATGGTTGGGCTCTGGTGCTTTTCGGAAATTCCATGTCTTCTTTGGCTGGCTGTCGTCTCCGTGGCAAGCAGAGCCGGCGGAGGACGTGACAATGTCGAATGTACTTGCTGTGCCATACTGCGTTCTCACGGTACCGTGTGTACATGTACAATGCGCCGTGTAATTTAAATGTTGAGATGGCAGGTCTTGTTTCAAGATGCGTCCCGACGTCGGTCATGGGCCAATGGTTCGGCGGCGCGCCGTGTTTCGTCGCCACGGCCAAGAGCAACGGCAGCCAGTGGGCGCATCAAATACGAGTAAGCTTCGATTGTTACCGCCTGGAATTTGAGGGTCCTGGGCCGTAGTGCGGACTGGACGTCCACGTCTGGAGCACCGAGTGTTTAGTTTAGTTTAGTAGGGGGATATCAAATACACAGTGCTCCGTTGCCGCAGCCCGTTACTCAACTACCAGCACTGGCCACCTGTGCAGTCCCCATCTCCGCAGCTCGCTGGGCCTGCGTTGGATTAGGACGGAGCAGTTATTCCATATATATGTACGTGCATACATGTACCGCACATTGCATATTGGGCATGGAAGGCTGCCTGCGCTGCAGCAAGACGAGTGCAAAGTACAGGGCAAGAGCCGAACAGCGCACGCCTGGAAACGCTCGTGGGAGCTCTTGAAGCCAGTCTTGTCACGTCCTTTGATTAAATGTGTCCAACGTATCCTCAGGCCGTGGCGGTAGAACGGCCTTGGTTGGCTGACGGAGTGTTAATAATCATGACCAGGCCGCGCCAAAGCTGGCCGCGGCGACGAGCTGTTACATGTTTAGTGTTCCATGTTCCATTGTATGCTCTGAAGCTGACCGGTAGCTCCATGCCCTGAGTCCTGACATGGCTCCCGAGTCCTGACACAGGCGCGCGGGCTGAATCGATTCGCAGCCGACATCTCGTCTCTTGCTGGCGTCAATGGGAACATTGAAAACAATGCCGGCCAAGCAAGGGACCATGATGGCGAGCGCATGCATGTGTATTGGCGCCGGGCCCGTCTATTCTTGTCCCTTGTGCGACCGGCCGCCAGGCTCCCCAGCGAGTAGGAGACGGGCCGCCATTCACTCTGCAGCCGTCCATCAACCGCCGGCTGCTAATTGACGGGCCCCCATGTCCCATCAATGGTGACGGAAATGTCCCCTCTCATTGACCCTTGATTTGTTGTTGACGCCTCCGTACATGTATGTACTTGGGAGACTGAATTGTTGATGACCACGGAGTACGCCTGCAATTACAATACTTATTCACTCGCCCTCCCGTGTTTGCTGTCCCGCCTGTTCCTTCTCCATTTATATGCCAGCCTATTTTGATATTCCATCTCCTCCATCGACGGTGCTCCCTACAATTCAGAGCCAACATCCCTTTGACTGAGGAATTCTACCGGCGGGGTTGTATTGAAGGGAGGCTCGACCCTGTTTCTTTTTCGGCCTTGACTTTGCCTCTCTTTGCTGCAGGTTCGGCTCGCTGCATTTGATCATTATTTTTCATTGTTCCTCGCCTTTCCTTTTTGTCACTCCCCCTGCTCACTGGCTGCGTTGCTGAACACCTTGCCCACTTGACGACTGGACGAACGGGTCGATCCACATTGAAGCCGCCACGCACCAGACATCGGCACAAAGAAGACTGGAGTGTCTTTCTGGTGATTGTCATCAGATTTGCATACCTCTGTGAGGACCAGACAAACGCCTTTTGACCATCCAGCCTCGATTGCAGCCCAACGACAAACGAGATTGTACGTCGACGCTTGTTGCATAATTTTGTTTCTCTTTCTGTTTCTCTTTCTTTCTTTCTTTTTTTTTGTGTCCTCGATAGTGCCGCGTTGACGCAGCACAACGGGCAACGCACCATCCGGCAAAGCAACCAGACATTCAACACACTTGACCCCGCGTTCACTGCTACAGTCGACGGCAAGCTAGGGATTTGATACGGGAGCGGTTAATTTTATTTTATTCATTATTTCGCCCTCTGTACGTTTAGACCATATTCTTCTTGCCGCTGCCCTTTAGTGGCTCTCACATAGCAGCTGGTGGTGCGTGCAATTTGCCCGGCCTCCCTTTGTATAGGTTGATGACGGTTGGCGGATTCCAGCGCAGCATCGGCACCCACTTTGCAGACGGGAGTTTTTTGAAATCGAGCTGACCAGGCCAGTCAGGACGCAGGACTCGGGACCCGTCAATCGAGACCAGGGCAGGCGTCAACGACCGCAGACCCCGGAGACCCTGCAGAACATTTAGACTTGACTGGACCAGCATTGACCGTTGAGACCAGAACATTGAACCCTGTGCTCGTCAACTGGTCAACCGGTCCCTAGCTGCCTAGCGCTTCCAAGTGCTTGCTGCCAGGCCCCAGTGCCCAGTGCCCACCGCCAGCACTCCCCAACCCCGGCCACTTGCAGTCACGCACTTGTCAGGTCAAGGTGCCTTCTGCACCAGGAACATTGAACCAGCCTCTCAAGTGCCCTCCAGAAGCGCTCTCTCCCTTGCGTTGGCCCGTCTCAACTATTGAGACTCGGCGCAGATTTGCCTCTGCACAAGACAGCTCTGCAAAGCTCTGCATAAAGTACCAGACAGAGCACCAGGCCCTGGCGCTTGGACAATTGACCGTTGTTCGACTCGTATATATAACTCTGCCTCTGAACCTCGTCCTCTTTGCATTCGCTGGCCGCATCGCCATTGGTGTCAAGAAAGAACTGCATCTTCAACCAAAACACCTTCAGTCGCTTCAAAAGCTCCTCCGCTCTTTGTGCCACCGCCTTGGATTTCACACCATTGTCCGCTCTTTGCCCTTGTCTGGTTTGTGTGCAACACTGAACACATCATACCACTCACGAATACAAAAATTGCCTGCATTTCCCTCTTTTTCTTCTTTTCCTCGGAGCAACTCTTGCAACTATTCGCTCTTCTTCTTCGTCTCGGCCACGTCGAACCATCGCATCGCCCAGCGCTGACCACTCTGACCTCCGGGTGCCTCTCCTTCACCCACCGCTTCCAAGCCGCACCGGATCTTGTATAAACGCATCTACCAAAAATACTTGACCAGCCACTCCCTCTAATCACTTTCCGTCATAAAACTCTGCGCGTGCGCTCGAGTAGCATCGAAAAAGCTAAATCACGGCTACGGAAACTCGCTTCAATTCCCATTGTTTGGAACAATAGCCACATTGGGGACGCACTGCTCTCTCGCCGACCAGATCATCAGCGTGCAACAAAGAAATACCAAGTCACGGAACTAGCCTTTCCTTGCCCCAGATACAAACCCAGTCTCTTTCTTTTTCTTTTTTTTTTTTTGGTTTAATAACGCCTTCCGCTGGATCGGAAGCCCCGCTCATTCGCACACGGAATATTGGCCATCTGGCACTTGCCGGCGTGCATCACGACGTTGACGTTGGCGCAATCTCCGGATTTCACGGATCGTTGAACTCAAAAAACGGCACCGACAACGCCCCCCTACCAACGGCAAACGGCGTCACCCTTTGGGCCTCGTCATCGGATTTCTCAACTTCCTCAGCCTCACAGCCTCACATCCTCACAGCCTCAGCCGGCACAATACCGAGCGTGCCATTTCGCTGCGACGAAGACCGGAATATATCGAAAATCACCGGCCGCCACAGACACAGCACATTGCTGCTTCAACAGAGAAATTACAGTCCGAATTCGGGACAAATCGAGCCTTGAGCCCTTGACCTTGCTTGGCCTTGGCACAATCTCCAGCCACAACTACGAATCGTGGCCCGCTTTCCGCTTGCCGCTTGGCCTTGCGCAGCTCAAGATAGAAGCTGGGTCTCAACAGCCAATTAATCTCGTATCTATTACCCCGTAGACTCGTTCAGCACTCGCGGCCTATTTGCCACGACTGCCCAACCTGCGCGTCGAATCCTGTCGCGGTTCCGAGCCTTTCGCGAAGCTATCCGCCGTCAGCCCGCTGCATCCGCTTTGCTCCCGCCGACGAACGAGTTCCAAAATCCGGCCTGCTTGCCCGGTCGCCGTCTCGCCGTCTTCGCCATCTCGCTCGCATAAGCGGCAAAGCGAAGGCCCCTGGTGACCGATCTCCCTCCCACAGCAACTCTAATTCGACCTGACCCCGGTCGCTCGTCCAAAGCCGTCCAAGCACAACGGCAGCGCCTCGTGTGCCCTGCTGGATCTGATCCCTGTCGGCCTGGCCACTAGCGATACTAGCGATCCATTCGATCACTGATCTCAGGTGCGCCCGTCTCCCGCCAGGTTGGTACCTGTTGCCTATTATGCCCCCCGTTGAGCTAGCCCCTCCCGTACTCCGTATTCACTTGGTCTCCGTGCTCGATCGAGGGTACTGCACACTGCACACTGCCACCCTGCCGAGTACTGGAGCAGCTTGGCTCTTACCTTACTCTCCGTCATCATGATGCTCTTGCTAACTCTCGCTCATGCTAGGAACCCAGGGCTTGCTCTTTTTTTGCTCGCCTGCCCCCTGCAGAAAGCCACAGCGCCGCCCGTGTGGTTTGACGTGATCCAAAGCTGGGTTGTGCTCCCACAAGCCGAACCACCAGTCAGTCGTCCATCACTTGGCAGCAGCCAACTGGCACGCACCTGCTGGTCCAGCCCTTTAATACGCACCCCACCCCCACCGATCTCCACCTGCACCCCCTTTCGGTCGCACCCCACCCCCTGCGGAGCCCTTAGTGCCCCGACCAGGCCCCCCCCTGCTACGCTCAGCCCCGTGTTCCCAACGTCACCTACTGACGAACGTCCACGGGCCACAGCCAGCTGGTCATTTGTGGTCAAGGGTCAAGGTGTCAAGGCCACATGCGCATGAGCCTCTCGCGCCCTCCATTGTCTGACGTTGAGAAGCCGAATCGCCTTTTGCTAGTCTCTGATATAGTCTCTGGCCTCCCTTGCTTTGCAATTCCCCCCTGCCCTTCACCTGGCAGTACATACGGAGTGCCTGTCCTCGATATACTACATAATATATCGTCCGGTCTTTCCCACCTTGCCGGCAGGCTGCGATCGATCTTCCCTTTCCACCACCCATCCAAACCTCCAACCTTCAACCCCACTTACACGGGAGGTTGCAACAACAACAACAACAACACCGGCCTTCGCCCTTCGCCGTTGCTACTCGGCATCACGCTCACACATCTCACAGCTTCACCATGGCGCTGCGGCAGTTGACCTTGGACGAGCTCAACCGAGCCGCCCTCGACCAATTTGTATACCAGCCCGTGAGCCGTGAAATGATCTCGTTCCTCGCCGACGCCGCTCACAATGTCATCACATGCGATTCCACCATGATGCCGTCGGCCTCTTCCAAGCATCCTCAACAGCAACAACATCTTCCTCCCTCTCCCCCGAGGAGTCCCGAATCGCAACCTGCTCAACCCGCGGACAACACCTTGCCCACCCTCGAAGAGTTCATCACCCAGCTTGTCGTCTCATCCAATGTTCAGGTCCCGACTCTCATGTCAACCTTGGTTTACCTGACCCGCCTAAAGTCAAAGCTTCAACCCATGGCCCGTGGCCTGCGATGCACGACGCACCGCATCTTCCTCGCCTCGCTCATCCTAGCTGCCAAGTATCTCAACGACAGCTCGCCAAAGAACAAGCACTGGGCCAACTACACACACATCAACACTGACATGTACAGCTTTGGTTTCAACCGCACCGAGGTCAACTTGATGGAAAAGCAACTGCTCTTCCTCCTGGAGTGGGAGCTGAGAATTTCGGAGCAAGACTTGTACCGGGAGCTGGATTCTTTCCTCGAGCCTCTTCGTGCCCGCATTGCCGAGAGACACATCAGGAAGATGCGCCACCGCGAGGAGAAGAGACGACAGCAGGAGGCCAATGCTCGCTATCCCACTCCTCCTGCCTCTCGAGGCCAGTCACGATGCCGACATGCCAGCCCCGAGACTGTCCGCTCTGCCAGCGGCGGTTCCATTACCCCCCCAGGCCTCACTTACAGCAGCTCGGCCAGCTCATATGCCTCATCCATTACCTCGAGCAGGCAGCAATCCCGGTCTGCGACTCCACTCGAGTCGAACCCTTCTCCCTACATGTATGAGGTTTCGCAGCCGCAGGGCAGCCTCTATGACTCTCCCATCCACGTCGTGTTGGAGGCGGACCCTGCCAAGTCGGTACCTGATCTGGCTGCTTCTGGAAACCGCATGCTTCCGTACGAAATCTCTGTTGAGCAATACCAGCAACTCCAGGATGGCTCTGCCAAGAAGCGACACAAGCGAGGAATGTGGGGACGACTACTCGGCGGTGCTGTTGCCGTACGATAATTCTTCTCTCCAGGACTCGCATCACGTACATACGTTACACGCGTCTTTTGAAACTCCCCTCTTTTCCCTCGACGGCGTCGTGTGGCCCTGGGAGTTTTATTTTATTTCATTTTTTTTCTGGCATTACTATGAAGCATGTAATTTTGAGAAAAGCATGGCGTTGAGGACACATTTTCCGTTTTAGAGCGGTTTCGCTCCACTCGAATCACGGCGATCATATATCACATTTCGCTACAAAACCACCTTCAGATTAAACAAGACATTTCTCATGCTCCCCTTGGCATTATTACTACCGCACTTAATGCGTCCCACACAGACGTTTGCAGCGTTATCATGTGTACACAAGACCATATCGATATTACACTTTTCGTGTTGGAAGGCTACCGGCGTTGTATGGACTTTCCTATCTTGTCTTTTCTCTTTCTTTTTCTTACAATTCTCATCGTCTCTCGGCCTGGATCAGAGTTACATTGTTGGCATCATTGGGTTGATGTGCAAGGGATTCTAGGAGTTGGGGTGGGTTTCAGGCATGGAAAGGCGGCTGGTCTGGCACTGCCACGCCTTTGGCCTGAGATATCTCTGGTGTTTGGTTTTATCTTTCTGGCTTACGTGTCCGTGGCATACGGTGGATTAGATTGCCTTCTCGAAGAGAAGTGAATACAATGATTATACCCATTCATGTGTGCCGACGTGCTGTGACTGGGGCCCTCAACATGACTCGTAGATGGAGATTACTTCACTGGGACCGGCAGACGGTGGCAATGGAGTAATCAATGCGCACGACTCTCTGATCCTGTCTCACCACCCTCTACGAGTAATGCGTACATGTCTGCAGAGTACACGGCCAAGGTCGAAAGTGAAGCGCAATTATGCCCCAGCACCCGCACGACGCGGTCCGCGTCCAATATCACGACCGCAGCCCGGCCGCATATTGCCCTATCGTACGGGCCGCTTCCGAAACCAACAAGGGGCGTGTCGATAAGCAAAAGAACCAAGTCAGGTCTGTTATGGCATTGTTGTTGTTGTTGACCTGCATGCATCGTCGAGTATAGGTTTGAAACAAGCCAAAAGTTTGTGCATGTGTACTATTGCAGTGCCTCTTTTCTCCCCCCCCCCCAATTACCCACTTCTCCCTTGGTGGTTACGATTCAAGGGATCTTTGGTGATTTGCAAGGCTGATGGACGGTTTTTTTTTTTTGCTTTCGGTATCATGGCCCCTGCTGGGTGAGGATCCCTGCCGCATTGTATACAAAGTAGGCGATTACGAGGCTGGGCTGTTTGACCGCGTGGGGCGAGGATTATGGCATGGATTACGACGGGTTTCATTTTCGCTGGCTGGCTGGCTGACTGACTGACTGACTGGCCTTTACCTTTTTTTTTGCTTTGAGGGTTATGCGGGCGGGTGTTGAGGTGATTATCTGCTGGCCTGTCATGACTCTGGTTGTCTGGCTATGCGGTCTCGGCTGTTGCGGGCTGGGGGCGAGATTGCTTACCTACCTACTTACTCCAGTTGGGGTGTCTATGATTTTTTTAAACTTGTCACCAGTTGACGGGCGGATTCGGGCGGGTTTGCTTTGTACATACGGGTGCGTTGCTAACCCCGGACGGGAACATGCCTAAGATGCCGCTGCTTACTTGCTTTTGCAACTGATTCTTTCTTCCGAGATTTGCGCTTGGTACGGAGTACTCCGTATAGTATTATGAATCATACTTGGCTAACAATGATTAATTACCCGATCCACCCGGCCAATCATGTCTCCCCATTGTCGTGATCGATTCCAACACAAAACTACCTAGCTAGGCATTACTATTATACATACACGGGCCGTGATACATACAGTATTCCAGCATGTTTGCAGCTCTGCTCGGCTCCTCTTAACTTCTTTATTCCACCACAACGGGGCTGTGTCGAAAGCCCAGCCCCGGCACGCGGGCCCTCAGGCTGAGGCTGCTGAGCACAACGCTGATGCTTGATAGGGCCATGGCGAGTGCCGCCCAGACAGGATCGAGCCTTACGTGATTGCCAGAGCTGGTCTTGATGGCGTACAGGCAGCCCGCGGCGATGGGCACCGCCAACAGATTGTACACGACGGCCCAGCCAAAATTAATCTTGATGCGGCGAAAGACTGTGCGGCTGAGGTCCAGGAGCGTCAGCACCGCGCCCAGGCTCGACGACGCCAGGACAAAGTCTGCGCTGGAAATAGCCACGTCGCTGCCTGAGCCGATGGCGATGCCCACGTCTGCTGTCGTGAGGGCAGGAGAGTCGTTGATTCCGTCGCCAACCATGGCCACCATGGCCCTGCGTGTGCTATACCCGTGGCGTCGGCGGACTGTCCTGTGTGAGTGAAGCGTGGCTTGAAGGTACTGCACTTTTTCCGCCTTTTCTGACGGGAGAACTTCTGCGAGGACGTTGGTGTCTGCGATGCCTACCCGTTGGGCGACGGCCTTGGCCGTGGTGACGTTGTCGCCGGAGAGCATCCAGACTTGCGTTCCTCGGGCGCGGAGTGCCTTGACCACGGCCACTGCCTCCCGCCGGACAGGGTCCGAGATGGATAGAATAGCTGCTAGTATCCATGGACTCTGTTGCTCATGCGGCTTGACTGCCACCACTGCCACCGACTTGGCTTCGCTCTTCCAGCTTTGCAATCGGCTGACGACGGATTGGGACAGTGTGACCGAGAGATCGCGCATGAGGTGCTCGTTGCCAACGGCGATGTCGAATTGCTTATCCTTGTAAGACGCCTTCATTCCTCGGCCGGGCAACTCTTCGATCTTGCCCAGCTCCGCAGATGCTACCTCATCTCCACAGAAGTTGACAATGGCCTTGGCAATGGGGTGACTGCTCTGTTCCTCCACAGCCTTTAACCCGGCGAGCAGTGCCCGTTTGTCCAGATCCTTGACCTCCTGGTGGGGGAAGAGCTCCGAATCCGTGATCTTCGGCTCTCCGCCCTCGGTGAGGGTGCCAGTCTTGTCAAATACCACACAGTCGATTTTGCTGGCCTTTTCAAACGCTTCACCACCGCCCTTGGCAAGAACTCCGTGCTTTGCCGCAATACCGCCGCCAACAAAGATGGCCGTGGGAGCGGCTAGGGCCAACCCGCAAGGGCAGGCAACGACGAAGACGGCAATGGAGAACTGAAATGCAAAGGCCGCGGGGCCGCCTGCCGAGTCTAGCTCCTCCTTTGAGATGTGACCAGTGAGTGCCAGTGAAAACCACACGATCCATGTGATGACGGCAATGAGGGTGATGACTGGAACAAAGTATGAAGTCATTAGATCTGCAATCTGCTCCACCGGAGCTCGCTTGGTCTGTCCTTCACGAACAACATCGACAATCTGATCCAGCATGGACTTGCCTGAGGTACCGGTAACACTGATTGTCACGGCGTCTCCCTTATTCACAGTGCCTGCAAAGACTTCGTCGCCCGGTGCTTTCTTGATTGGGCGGGATTCTCCTGTAAGACTGGATTCGTCAAAATTGGTCTCGCCAGTGATGATAATGCCGTCAGTAGCTGGCGATGCGCCATGCGGAACTCGGATTACATCCCCATATTCTAGCTGGTCTATTGACGTTGTCGTTGTAATTTGACCCCTTATTGGATCCTTCTCCACCAGCACCGCGGTGCTAGGGCGAAGTTTGGCCAAGGCACCGACGGCGTCGCCTGTTTTAGACTTGCTGTACGCTTCTATCAACCGTCCCGCCAAAAGGAACAGTGTCAGAAAGACGACCGAGTCGAAATAGAATCGGTTCTCAGGTACGTAGTCGTCCTTCTTCGCAGCTGCAGCAATCATTTCCGCAACCGATGAAACGTATGCAATGGTAGTTCCTAGAGACATGAGCATGTTCATGCTGCCAAATTTGTAGAACCTTTCGATAATTGGCGTACGGCTACCGGGTCGCCACATGGTTCGAATTTCTTTGATGGCTCGAACGTGAAAAATATCGGCTGCGAAGAAGTATACCGGGGTCGAGAGTACACAAAGGATAATCGCGTTACGGCTCAAACCTGATTTCCAGGGCTCCATAAGGTATTGCTTTGTGGGATTAGAGTCAGGCACCAAACTCATGTAGACGATACCAAGCACAAAGGTCGGAATGGCCAAAATAAGGGTCAACATCATCCTCCAGAACAACTCTCGCTGATGCTTGGCTCGGATAGCCTTTGACCGCTCTTCCAAAGTCGGGGGGTGGTATATTGAGGCCCGCAACGAGGGATCTGTTGCCTCGATGGCCCTGAGAATTTGTCGAATGGTGAAGTCTGGTGCCCGGGGTGTATATCGTATTTTAAGAAATGGCTTATCCAGCGTCGGAGCTTGGAGAATTTCGATGCGCGAGAAACTCAGGTTGTTTAGCGTCTTGCAGATGCGTTGGGGGCATTTGGGGCAGAATATGCCGTCGATTTGAATCTCCACGTCCCGAGCATCTGCAGAGACGCGCTTCTGCTCCTTTAGGTTAATCACCTGGTCAAGAGCAGCGTCATACCCAAGATCCTCGATGGCGTTGACGACATCTTGGATCCGATCCTGCTCCTTGATGTCCACAGTAGCACTATTCGCTACAAGATTGACCACAATCTTGGCGACCCAGGGGAATTTCTGAATCTCATCAGTGATGGTATTGGAGCATGAGGCACAAGTCATGCCGCCAATGGATAAAGTTGCTCGCCATAAGTCCGGGACAGCATCGGTGTCGTCGATGACAACCTCGTCTAGAGGGGTGGTAGTCGCCTTGGAGGTAGCCTTGATCAGATTCTGGGGACTGAACGGGGCTACCACGTGGCGAGTAAGTTGTTCCTCCAAAACACGACCGTTTTCATGAGCCGCGGCCGCTGCCGTGGTTTTGCAACTATCGCAGTTGTCCAAATGCGCTGCTGCTTTGCCTTGATGTGGTGTCGCAGGAGGTGTCCTAGCTCCCCATAACCTCCACCACAGATCGAGGGCACCACTGCCTCTGCGGCGACTGTCTTGGCTTGTTCTTGCTTGTTCAGCATCCGACTCTCTGTTTAGCTCGTCAGGCATGGTGCCTGTCGTATCGACGGCACAGATTTCGAAGCCGACATCCTCAAGCGTCTTACCCATGTCGCGAATAAAATCGGCACTTGCATCTTCGTGCTCGACTGTAACGACAGAGGTGACAACGTTAGGGGACACCCAAAAGACTCTGCCGGCATATTCGTCCTCCAAGGTCTTCTTGATCACCGCAACGCATGATGGACAGTGCAAGTTGCCAACAAGAAAGGATGTTGTGATTATCTTTGGCGGCGCCATGTCGTTTCACAAGCGCAGTGTTTGCCCTCACGGAGATGCCAAACACTGGTCGAGTTGTACCACAACGGCGAAAACGCTGGAGATAGGTCTGGTTATATAGCAATGTTTGAGGTCAAGCTGTCAGTAAAGTTTGTTGTGGAGAGGCGATGGTGAAGAATGTAGGTACACCGTGTGCAATATGTGAGATCGAACTGTGCCTTGGTGTGGCTTTGTCACTCTTTATCAATCACTGAACCTGTCGTAAGGAGAGAAGAATCTGCACAGGCTGTGAGACATATGTGCTGAGTGAATTAGTAAAACCAAAGGGCATGAATAGCGCTCTGAAGAGCAGTGCGAGAATGATTCGGGAAGATTCTTGTTAACATGACTGATGATGTACGACGGCTACATGTTAGGGGGTGACGAACTTTGGCGCTAAAATCCGCACAAATCTCGCAGTCACGACACATGACCCCAGCCAACCTCAAGTTGGATGGAACGCATCAATGGCATTGATTGATGTCGACAGTAGAAAGCGGCTCGGTGCAGCTCGGTGCGCCTCGGTCCGCAAGCGAGGTGACATGGATGGCAAAATGAGGTCCTTTTGCGACAGGCAGAACGCAAATTAAACGCATTGGCTTTGCCAGCTACGGCGCTTCTAGGAGGTTCTAGATACGTCGACGTTTGGCCCTGACGCAGCCCAGGGGTCCGTCGTATGCTCTAGTTTTCCCTTTGCATTGTCGATGACAGAGCACAGCTGACGAACACGTATGACGCTATTCACTCGTCATGTCGAGCAAAAAGGCCTGAAGCCTCCGCAGTCCGCAGTCTGCACCACCAGATCCAGGAACAGCAAAGCTCGAGCCACATGCAGGTGCAGATTGATGGAGAAGAGATCGTGTGCTATGGCAGTGGAGCTCCATATCTTAGCGTCCAGACCGTTGCCGTTGTCACGGTGGCGCAAGGTGGCACAAGCTAAGTCTTGCGCCACCACACAGTCTCCCTTGTCACACAACGCAAAACAAGCGCAAACTTGCTATTACACACCATTCGCCGGCAAAATGAGACGATTTCGCTTCTGTTTGACGGCACGGGAACATGCAGATATTCCTATGGTGATTACGGGGATCACTTGAACGGCATACGGTGGACAAGTGGCTCCATGGGCACTTGACGCACTTGGCCTTCTTTTCATTACCAACCAAGACGATGCTTCGACCTGAGCATACCATGACTGGACCGGAGACGGCATAGAATGATAACATCATTACCTGTCCAAACCCGTCTCTCACTTACAAGTTACGAGCACCAAGCAATTAACCGGAAGCCAGCCTCAATGTCGTGCTACATATTGACAGCCAGGCCCATGCAGACAAGAATAGAGCTACTTCTACCGAGACAAGCCCCCCTTAACAAACCTTCGCGTTCATCGCTGTTTGCAAAATTGACTGCAAGAAGTGAAGGCCACAGGCCATCTCACCATCTTGGCACTACCTCTGCCAACACCGACACTCCCAACACCCCCGGTTCCCAGGTCGCGTGCATCTTGACTCTGGCGCCGGCAAGAGCGGATCAATAATGAAGCAAGTGGGCATTGTGATATGCCGATGTTATGCATCATCAAATTCGTTCTGTGAAACAAAATGTCATGGGCTCTCGTTGATGCTGCTCGTAAGACGGCTTTGCGCACTGACGCTGTAAAATTGATATCACAAGAATCTCTCAAGGAGGTGCGCGAACTTTTAATTCGACCTTGACATATTTTGTTGTTGTCTTCTCTTGGCTAGTCTTGGCCAACTTGACCATCAGATACAGCTGGAGGCAAAATGTATTTGGCCAGATGAGGTACCTGGCTGTCGCGCCCTATACGATAATATAATGGAGCCTGCTAGTGTATACATGTTGACGGGCAAATATACCTGCGAGACTGTAGTTCCTTCCCCGGTCAAGACGTACACCCCAAAGGCAGGAGGGACACGCTCTCTCGGGTGCGAGTTGTCTGGAACAAGGTAAACAAGGCACCCCAGTCGAACACGGAGAGGACAAAAACTTCTGAGAGATTTGATCAAAATACTTCTTCTCATTCCCCCCCGCATGTGATAACTGCATGCACAATTGGTGCGTCTTAGGCTAACTTCTTCACTTTTACAATAAATAGCTGTACCATCTCGGCTCGCTCTTGGTGGTGAAGCTCTCCTCTCTCAAAGTTGCCTTGATCAAACAACCCAGAAAACGGCACGCAAGTCATCAAAACTTTTGAGACCACAGCTACTCTGCCATACCAGATCAAACAAAAAAAAATGATGGAGGCCCACAATACAAGCGATGCTCTCTCGGAAACAGTCGTCGGCACCAAATCCGTTGAAAAAAAATGGTGGCATCCGATGAAAGAGTGCGGTTCGACAGTCCAAATCGTGATAGCCACTATACTGGGTGTTGCCACTGGCTTCATCATATCTACACTGGTTCCAGACAGGCCCAAGCTTCAGCCTGCAGGAAATTGTCTCGTTCCACATCCGGACCCAGTATGGCTGGTAGCTCTTAGAAGCGTCGGTATGATACAAAGCCCTCAAAGAAGCCACAGGTACATGGTTCACCAATATTAACTTTGGTAGTCACACTGTTGGTTTTCTTATCGATGAATCTCACACTCCAACGAGTGGTACGAATTGTCACGGATGGGTCGTTTCCAATGTGGTTTGTCGGGTACTTCATCACGGTGGTTGTTTCTTTCGTCGTTTGGTGCTGTATTCTGGCATCCTCTATATGGTATCAAATCTTCACAATAGCCGTTGAACGAGAGCAAGTTGTGGAGAAAGGTAACAGCATTGGCGACAAAGGTGACGTCCCCATAAGGATGCTGTAGCCGACACAGGTGGTTTATACAACGACGATGATCTCTGGTGGATTTTGTTGTTCATGATCGATTGGCACTTCTTTTGGCACTAGGTGAAGAATACTGAACAACAAAATCACTTCTGAACTCTAAGAATAGGCCCCAGTCAGCATCTTCCTGATTCTCGACAATATTGCTAAATTAGACATGGTGGATGTTTCCAAGAAAGTGGGTGTCTTCACTGGCATCACATTAGCTATAGGGTCTAATACTTCACCTTTTTGTAACTACACCCACTACATTTCACACTATAAACAGAATAAAATACTCGTTGAAGAATTCTCCCGCCTATAGCTTGTCTTAGCAACATGGACGGGTAGTTCTCTCGCCTTTGTTCACAGCCAGTTACACTTGACATGCTCACACGGGCCCAGCACTGCCTTCCATTTCTCTTTGCTGCAGTCTACTCAGCTAGAACAGATAGCGCTCATCACTGCCATGTACTCGGTCATTGTGACGTTTGACTAGTTATTTACCCGTTTCCGAACAGCATTAAGCGTATCGGAGGATTCCTTTGCATCAATGATTCTGTACAAGACTACCAACAATGGCAATTCTAATGAACCACAGGACGAAGTTGCGGGCATTGAGACTCGTGGGGCGCACAACCAAGTGTAATGCAATAGATTCGAGTCTTTGGGGTTGACCCAGTTTCTAGAGCAAGATATTTGCCGAGGACAGATGTTGCTAGGCTGAAGGGGGATTTACATCATGCCAATCCATATAGAGGTATGTCGTAAACGTGTACAGAATCCGGGGTGGCAGCCGACAATTGGGTTGCTATGCAAAAAAGTATATACACATTTGCACCTAGACAGAAAAACATGACACCATAAAGTTATATATACAAGTCGAAATTCCAAAAAGAAAGTGAAGTTTCTTAAAACTAAAAACAACAAAAAAATCACACCAAACACATTGTAACATATGAGCACAGCAACGGTGGTTGGCCTTGTCGGCCCAACGCGAGGGACGGCCACCCCGCCAATGAGGTCCAAGAATAATTACAAATCCGGTAAAGTGCCAAGTCCTCGACCCAACAAAAAAGGGCAGGATCAGGCAGAACAAAACATGTCACATTACATCTCCGTATCTCTCTGCCAGGAGCATTTCCATCATTGTTAAGTTAAACACAAATACGAAGCATGCATGAATGAAGTCAAATACGAAACCAGCCGAGCGGGACTCGGCGGAACCTCGCTGTTCATTCTACCACCCTTCGGTCCCTCGATGGCGGAAGTCGGAAACAGTGGGTCAATCCGGGGACCGCGTGAGGATCTGGCTCTTGCATCATAGGCGCTAAACCTAATCTGGTAAAAACGAATTGCGTGATTCTATCAAAGTATCAACAATTTGGGGCCAGAACCGGGAGAATGCCAATGGCGATAGTAATCGCAGGACACGAATCGCCATGGAAGGGGAGTTTTATGGGCACCGAGGTACGGGCTAGTATGGGTTTGAGCGTGGGGTCGAGACTCGAAAATGGTTTTCAATGCGCTCCTGGACTCGACACTTTTCTTGATCTTTTCCTGTTTCCTGTACACCTGTCTTCGCTCTTGAGCATCTGTACGTTTCTGAATTGACGTTGTTGGAGGTATTTGTATACTGAGGGAACTGGATATTCGCCAGAGACAAAGGGAAACTCCTCCGTCATCTGAGCCAGCCTCTCTCCTCCATACGTGACATCAACGTCCTCGTCGACAGTCTTCATCAGACGTATTCAAGATGCGTTCTCAACCGCAGGAGTCGACTGGCGGGGCCGTCCCTCCGCAAAAGACCAACTCCTCCGACTTTGAGATCCTCTCATCAGCGTTGCCCTTTGGCCAGCCTGTCCCCTTGGACGCCATCTCCGGCCCTACCTACGTGACTGCTCAGCTCCTCGTGCAGCAGATTGCCTACAAGCTCTCCGACAAGATATTCTCCTACTCTCCGGAGACTTTCGACCTCGACGTCGCCGCCAAGAACTGGGCTGCCAAACAGAACACCAACATTCATGGATACGCCCCTCAGGTTCTCCCTCTGCAGACTAGAACCGGAGCTGGTGCCTTGGCGTTGGGATACATCTTTTCTCCCGACTTTGATGTCTCGAGGAGACACATTCCCCAGACCTTACTCGCCCCCTCGGGCAGTCTTCAACAGTTACGGGGCACTCTGGACCAACTCTCCCTCTTGTATAGCGTTTCCAGCCCGTTTGTTGCCCACGTCGCTGCGGCCGATTACACCGATGCCGACGGCCTTGTTTCCAATTACGACACGGCATTGAGATTGGCGGAGGATCTTGGCCTAGGTCTGGTTAGCAGCTCTTCTACATATGAGGCTCAGCACATGTCCCTGTTCTCGACTCTGCTCGCTACTGTCTTACCTACGCTCCATGTCTACGATGGTATCCGCGTTGCTAGAGAAACTCTGCGAGTTGTCGATGCTTTGAGCGAGTCTGGTGTCGCCGACGTATACAACAAGCTTGTGTCTGAGGCGGGCAAGCTCAACTCTCATCTGGACACTGCCGGCAAAGTCGTTGAGCTGCTGAAGCTGTTCAACGATGAGCTTGGAACGGTTTACCAGCCGTTTGAATACCATGGCCACGAAACCCCGGATGTGGTTCTGGTTGCCTTTGGCAGCGTCGAAACCCAAGTTGCCAAACAGACTCTGAACAAGATCGCTGCTGATGGTGCCAAGGTCGGCGTCATCAATGTCCGCGTTTACCGGCCATTCATCGAGGAGGAGTTCCTCAAATCCATCCCTGCCTCAGCTCGCACCATTGCTGTCCTCGGCCAGGTTCGTGACCACGTTGCCGTAGCGGACGATGCCACCCAGTCCGCCCTCTACGGCGATGTCTTGGCCGCCGTTACGTTCTCTGCAAAGTTTAGCGAGGAGCCCCGAGTCCTTGACATCAAGTACACTCCCGCCCAGTCCCTGACTCCCCAGGGCCTGGTAAACACATTGAACAAGGTGTTTGGCAACGAGGATGAAGCCAAGGCCTTGCCTTCTCTGGTTAATGCTGAACAATACACTTTCTGGGACGTTGACAACTCAGCAGCTGTCAACTCTCCCGCCGTTATTGGCCACATCCTTTCCAAGCAGTCCACAACCAATGTTTACGTTCACGCCACGTATGATAACCTCACGCAGGGCGGTGTTGTCCGCACGGATGTGCGAGCTTCCAGGAAAGCCCTGGAGGCTCCTTACGACGTGTATGAGGCGGATGTCGCTGTTATTGGTGATGATTGTGTGCTCAAGGATGTAAATGTTGTGGAGAGCGTCGCCCACGGCGGCAAGATCATTCTCAAGCTGCCCAATTTCAAGGTCGAGGAGGTTGAGAAGCGTCTCTCTGCTGCATTCCGCAAGGCTGTTCAGGAGAAGGACGCCCAGCTCTTTGTTCTGGACACTTCCTTCTCCCCTGCCTTTGAGAAGGATGCTCAATCCAAGTTGCTTCTTGAATTGGCTTTTCTGAAAGTTGCCCAGCCCGAGCTTTCTCCTGAGATTATCAGCAAGCTGGTCCTTGTTGAAGGCCACCCGCCCACTTTGGAAGAGTGTGCTGAAGCTGTCAATCAGTGCCTCAGTAAGCTTGAAGTGCCAGCTACCTGGGCTGAAGTCGCGGACAACTTTGAGGCTCCCCGGCTCCCCATATCCCTCCAGTCCAACAGTTTCCTTCCGTTCCGGAAGGAAGATGTCGAGGAGGCTCTGGAGCTCCGCGACTGGCAGACTGCCGCCAAGGGTCTCGTCTTCAAGGAAGCTTACGAGACACGCACGGGGCTCCGACCAGATTTGCCAGTCAAGACGGCTACTATCCGTGTCAAGGAGAACCGTCGCCTTACCCCCTCCGATTACGATCGCAACATTTTCCACATTGAGTTCGACCTTGGCGACTCTGGTCTCACGTACAAGATTGGTGAAGCCCTTGGAATCCATGCCGAGAATGACGAGGAGCAGGTCTCTGCGTTCATTCAGGCCTATGGCCTCAACCCGGCCGAGCTGGCCCGGGTACCTGCTCGCGAGGATCCTGAGGCGTTGGAGATTCGTACCGTTCATCAGGCTTTGATCCAGAACGTCGACATTCTCGGCAAGCCACCGAAGCGATTCTACGAAGCCCTGGCAGAGTTTGCTACCGACGAGACTGAAAGGAAGAAGCTCGAGGCCCTTGGCAGCTCTGCCGGGGCCGAGGACTTCAAGCGACGCTCCGAAGTAGACATGCTGACGTACGTCGATGTCCTCGACGAATTCAAGTCTGCCCGCCCCAGCTTCAACGACCTGGCCAGGATGGTCAGCCCCCTCAAGCGTCGCGAGTACTCCATCGCCTCGGCACAGGCCGTGACGCCCAACTCGGTGGCTCTGATGATCGTCGTGGTCGACTGGGTCGACACCAAGGGCCGCACTCGCTATGGCCATGCCACTCGCTACCTCAGCCGCCTGCAGCCAGGCGCTGTTGTGACGGCCTCTGTCAAGCCTTCGGTCATGAAGCTCCCTACCAGGGACACGGCACCACTCATCATGGCAGGCCTGGGCACGGGGCTCGCTCCCTTCCGCGCATTCGTCCAGTATCGTGCCATGCAGAAGGCGCAGGGCAAGGAAATCGGCGCCATCCTCTTATACCTCGGTTCCCGGCACCAGCGCGAGGAGTATCTCTACGGTGAAGAGTGGGAGGCGTACCTCGCCGCGGGCGTGGTTACTCTGGTTGGTGCTGCCTTCTCTCGGGATCAGCCTCAGAAGATCTACATCCAGGACAGGATGCGGCAAACTCTGGGGGATATTGCCAAGGCGTACGTCCAGGACCAAGGTAGCTTCTACTTGTGCGGTCCTACCTGGCCTGTCCCCGACGTGACCAAGGTCCTGGAGGAGGCCATTGCAGCTGATGCCAAGGCCAGCGGGAAAAAGGTCGATCCCAAGAAGGAGATTGAAAAGCTGAAGGAGGAGGGACGTTATGTTCTCGAGGTATATTAGACATTAGCTTCGGATGTTGTAGGGAGGAAGGGGGACCAGCTTTCTTTGCCCACAGGGCCTGATATGTCCACGCCTATAGATTCTGGTAATGAATTATCACATTTTCCATCACCTTTATCGTACGATTTGAGACGTACTTGCCGTAGCCATTGCCCGCATCTTACACCGCACCGCCTGAAAAAAATACGTGAAACCAATAGCGTCTCCTCGATCGAGCCCGCCATTATCCCATCATTATCATCGCCATCATCATCATCGGCTGCGATGGGTACACTGCATATTATAGATATATCCCAAAGGCATCGAGCCTCAAAACTAAGCCCGTATGCAGCGCATATAGAAAACCCCGGTTGGCCATCTCAAACCGGGCATTAGCAACAAGAAACATACATACATCGTGCCAAGGCGGCCTTGTTGTCAACCGCGGCTAAAATATTTGCTTTTTGAGAAATTTGCCCCGTCAACAAGCGATGAAAATGATAAGAGAAGAAAACAAAGAAAAGCAAAAAAGGACACAAAACAGCTGAGGCCCCGGTCTCAATGCCCACGGCACATGCGTCATTTGTGTTTGTGCATATTACGGACGCCGCAAGATGCCCATGCTCCGTATTGAACGCCCTTTTACCAGAATGACGGGTCAACTCCCCCGTTCTCAGACACGGTCATATCAGGCCATCTCTGTCTCGCGTACTGTCCCCGTTAGAGGTTCCGACACCTATCCCTTGTACTCTGTACGGGGTATCATGCCACCGAATGCCTGATCGCACCATAATACTCAGACATGCCGGATCTTTCCGCTTCTGCAGCATCCGTGATGAATCTGGATTCTTCTGGGGATTCAGAGTCCTTGGTTTGAGCAGCGTTTTTTTTTTTTTGCCTCCCTCCCCCTTTCTTCATTCCCCCCCTTTTCGGTGGATCGAGGCGTTGGGAAAGATAATAATGGCGTCAAAGAATCTTCGTTGCGCATACGGCGTACGTATTTGCCTTGACCATGACTCTTCTTTGTCTGGCATCCAATCACGGTAGAAGTTCCGTCACGGTTGAAAATGCTGGTAGGTGGTTGCCGTTCAACGCTACGGAGCGGCGAGTGAAACGCACGTTGATGGCGTCCGAGCTGCAGACAGTGGCGTTCTTGTTGGGAATGATGATTTATCCTTCCATCTCCGGTAGAGGTCTGCTGCGTCAAGCTTTCGGCGACGCATCCGTTGTGGTACACGTGCTTTGTTTCGCAGGGCGCTTGGTGGCCATGTGCCTTTGACAGAATGGGCAAGAATGTTTCCGACATGAACCCTCAACATGTTAGCTAGTTCGCCTATTTTCTCAAATTGTTACCTTATTGTGAAATGTAGACTGTAATTGGCTACTGTATATGCTGATGAGATCGGCAATATCTCCGTTCGTGACTGCTTCTTCATTTTCTGGGCGGCGAGTCTCGAGGTGACGTTTAGTCATCGTGACAGCTGACGGCCTGGCTTTGCAAAGGATGCTTTTGATGGCCCAATTCCACGCAGACAGATGACGGACCGCAAGAGTTCATCTCATGTTTCAAACACCGTATTCCTGGATCTTCATCCAATAGGATGCCGCTTCCATATGTACATGTAGCCCTTCCCCCTGGGCCGGATCTCGGACGCCATGTGCCAAACCAAACGCGTGCCAACAACTCAGCCAGCCACAATTATGAAAGCTTCTCAGAATTCCAGGAATCTTCCCACGGGGTTAATATTCCCCCTTTTGCTTGCTTCCAGCCATCAGCGTGTCAAATGTGCAAAGACCAGTTGATCGGCAGCTATTGACGCACAACCCCTCTTCACCATCTACTCATTCAAATTTGGAGTAGAAGTGACTTTTGCCTTTCCAAGTGGCCTCTGTTTACAATGACAGAAAATGCTGGGCGTGGACAGTTTCTAAACGCTCATTGCTTTCTGATCGTATGAGAACCGTGATCCCCAATGCCAGTCAAGCATGTGGTTGGGCAACTCCATGGTCCATTGTCAGTTTCTTTCATTCTTCATCGAAATGGCCTCATGCACAAAACCCAAGTAGACGGCAGCACACGCGCAGAGGGCTAGGGCTGCAAGGGGAACGGAGCAGTTGTAGTTGTTGTATTGAAAATTCTCACTCGAGATCATTCGTTCATGCACACGCCAGACAAAGCGAAACCGTCGGGTCCACCACCTATCATTCAGTCTATTTCCCACAGCAGTTCAGGTCTAGCCCTACCACACCGACCCCGGCCCCTCTTGAAGCCATGGTTCGATATTGTCCAAATAAAAAAAAGACTCGTCGCAACTCCGCCTCTCTATGGGGGAAAGCCTGTGCAAGAAGGAAGGGGGCGGCGTATTCATCACATATCCAGTGACAAAGCTTTTGTATAAGCCTCAAATTCGACAGCATTTTTAAGATGAAACGGAATAGTGAAATTGAAATTACCATAGTGTCCAAGTTTAAAAAAAGGAGGAAAGAAAAAAAAGTTAAGAAACTCCGTAGTATGTATCACCAAAAAAAGCCGTGAACAAGTAAAGAAAACCAAGCACATTCCGACGCGAGAACTCCAGTATGCTGTTTGCACAGTGCCCCACATTCAGCCTCTCTGAGGTGTAAAGGCATAAACTCTTTGTCTTGTTGCTTTTTTTCTCTTTCGTAATTTTTAGTCAGGTAATTCGCAATGTAGCGCCAGTGTTGTCGCGTTTGTTGACTCTTTCCTCGACGCTCTTACCGCCTCGGAGACAAGATCGAGTAGTTACTGCAACGAACCTCAACAGTGGCCGGTCACGCGAGCCAGTCCTGCAGGTCTCCCACGATCTGATATGTCGGATTGGCTGAATGGCCATCACCGCCTTTTTTGTCCCAAGCCCAACGATCAGCGAATTCGGTCTCAAGGCTGCCTTGCATCATGTCGGCAATGTAGTCTCCAATTACTGGCAAGAACTTCCAGCCATGAAACGAGCCGCCAGTTGCCACGTAGAGACCATGGCTATGCGGATGTGGCGTGATTAGGAAGTCGTGTGTTGGAGTAGATGCGTCCCTGTAGAGAAGGACGTTTTGTCAGCATGCAGTTATTGGTTTACAACGCGGGCCTTCACTAATAACAGGTGGAGAAGTTGGAACAACATTTGGCACATAACTTACCAGCACATGCGGTAGGCGTCAATAGCGACATCCTCCACCTCCTTGCCGTAGAGGCCATCAAGGGTCTTTCTGGCACGCTCTTGGAAGAACTTGATGAACTTGGGCCCGGTCCAGACGTTGAACGCGCTGTCTTCGGGGGCCATGGACAGGCGCTGACCGGTCAAGGGGCACTCGACGTAGTTGGTGAAGCACATATCGCAGTTGAATTTGATGGTGCCATCTGCAAGAATGGACATTCCTTCGCCTATAGTTTCAAGTCAGCTTGGCAAGCCATTGCAAGCAGGGATCGTGATGGCGAGGCCGTTGCCCTGGGACGCGACAAACCTTTGACCTGAGGCAGGCAATTCTTCAACACGGGAATAGACGACAGCTTCTCCTGCTGGGCGCCCTGGACCTTGGCGTAGAAGCTCACGGCACCGGTTGCCAGCAGCCTGTCGCCGACCTGAAGCTGTTGATTCTCAGGCGCACTCTGTGCCAGCAGGGCTGCGGTGCGTGCCCCCGTGGCAAGCAAGATTTTGTCTGCATGCAGAGTCTCCCCAGACTGCAGTGTGACTCCCGTGCACTCACCAGTGGCACCAATGTTGATCTTTGTCACGACGCCGACGACGTACTCAACCCCCTGGTCCACGGCTTCTTGAACGACAGCCCCGAGGGCTTTGTCCGCCTCGGCAAAGCCCACTGCCGGGTTGAAGAGAATCTTGTCCAAGCCGTCAAAGTTGGCAGTGGCGAAGGAGCCGTTCCACCGTTGGCGAACCTCCTTTACAGTAAGAAAGTGTGCCTTGCTCTCAATGCCCATCTCCTTGTACGAGGCAATGCTCTGCTCGCCAAAGTTGGAGGGGTCGGCCCTTAGCATGCCAACCTCATGATACCATGGCTTGTATAGGCCGTGATTTCGCCACATGGGCATGGCCTTCTTCAGCATTTGCATGTACAGTTTGTCAGGATAGTCGTCGCGGACAATCTTGTTGATGTCGTGCGAAGCCGCACGAGGGTTTGGGAAATTTGTGGTATCAACGAGAGTGACGTGGGTGGTTCCTTCCCGTTTGGCCAAGGTCAACGCGGTGGCGGCACCAAAGTTGCCGGCACCGATGATGAGATAGGACGTCATGTCGCGTGCTCCCTTGCAACGACAATGCGAGACGACTTGCAAGTGTGTAGGCAGTGATATAGTGGCGGTGATGGCGAGTAACCGCAACGTCGTATTGACTTTGCACCAGACGTTGTCGCGGAGGTGGTGTAAGTGAGGCAGACGGTGGAGGGTGGCCGCAAGACCGAAGTGATAAATGAATATAAAAGAGCTGTTGCGTGCCACACACTTGATGCTACGACGGCAGAAGACAAGACTTGATGCTTCAACGTCACGAGAGAGCCTAGGGCGCAGCTGGGGTTTTATACTTGGACCCGGGCTTGCTCACCGGTCGAGCTTAATTTGGGGGGTGTGAGGAGATAATGCCACAGAGTGACGATATAAAACATGTGAAGCGGTGACACCAGGATTCATCTTTTTCGACCCAAGGGCGCCCCGACGTGTCCCACCGGAAGTTCGGGGAAACAGGGAAAGAAGAAATTCGAGCAAGAGTGAAAATGAAAACAAAACGGCCATGCAAAATGGCCAGGAACGGCGGCGCCAGCATCCAGAGCCATCGTGGGCCAAAGGTCATGTTGAGGGACCATGCCTGACAGTGAGAACGTGTCAAGCAAGGAGACGTCCCTTCCAAATCCCTGCAACCAATAGGGTCCGCGTCTTTGGTTGTTTTTGGGGGGAGGGAAGAGAACAACAGCGACAGAAACACTGGCGGGAACTGCTTTGATTTCATCCGGGGGAGGGGGGTGGGAGAATCAAGCCGCCATCGGGTGAATTCGCACACATGCCATTGTCCCCGTTGCGTCAGTTTGCTCAAATACACAATGACGACGCAAACATTCCAATTTCCGTTCTGTTTGGCCTTGAGAGACTCGTCAGTTGGCACCATAGCACCAACACAAGCACTAGGGGGAAATGGCTGTTCAAGAAGACGCATTGACCCGGCACGATCAAGGTAAAGCGGCGAATTGATGAGGGAACAAGACGAGACAACAAGAAGGTTTGTGGCACTGGCTTAGACGAAGGGGGGGGAGCCCATGGTCAAAGTTAGAATGGCCAGACCACGTAGCATTATTACGATACAGAGTACTCCATGGTAGTAGTACCTTGAGGCAAGTACAGAGTCGATAATGATGATAAATTTTTGAGTCTCGTGTATGGACAGATCTTTCATGTTTGGGCACAGAGGATGGGGTGAATGCAGAATGCCGAATACAACAACGGCTTTTCGCAGCTGTTTCGCCTAGATCCTTGTTCAGGTTGCCAGTCGCGGCAGCGAACGAGAGGCAGACAAAAGTGCGGGCAATTTTATCTTATTATTAGAAAAAGACAGATTTTTTTTAAAAAAGAAAGAAATAAAAAAACCTGGCGTCGGGCAAGCATGTGCTCGCTCGCCATAAGTCGAGACCATCACAAAAAGAGCAACGTTGGTTCGCATCAACCAACGACCCAGAGTTGGGTCAGAAATCGCCCAAAGAGTTTCATGTAATAAGTTGCAGAGTGCTCCATACGGGTGTAATACGTTCAGCAACAAAGGCAAGGCAGAAACATGCAATGAATGACTTAGTTGTAGACGCCCGACATCTGGACTGCGTCGGCATCTGATTGGAGATGATGAGACTGAATGTGGTCTGGTGTCATTCACTCCATACATTAGGTACCTGGGTACTTACCCAGGTACTTGCACCAGGTCCCTGTAGGCAGCATCACATCTATCCAGATATACATAAAGTACATGGGCACTTGGGTAAACACCTTGCAGAGTCTCGATTCTGCTCCCCTCGGGACTGCCATATCGAGTTCCACGTACGGAGCATCGTTTTAATGTCGGCTTGTCCCGGACGCGGTACGCTGTAGGTAGTACTCTCTTTTGGCTACTAAGGACCGGACTAGTAAGTACTACCTCTAAAGTCCTTGAGTACCCAGGTACTTGAGGTAATGGTACATGTATCTGCTGCCCGCGTACATGTGCCACTAGGTTCCAATTACTTGGTACTCCATGTTGGCATCGCGTTGCTTCAAGCTTCTTCTTCTTCTTCTTCTCGTCTTTTTCTCCTTCAGTTTGATGCCAACAGGCAAGCTGGACGTCGCTCTCGAGGACCCAGGTACTACTCGACCAGTTCTCCCTTCTCGCCTGGTACCTTGACTCCTTGTCCCTGCCCTGGCTCCTAGACTCCGCATCTGTCGTTCGCAGACATGCCCGACATCTGATCCCCATCCCCATCCCCACCCCCAATCGTCTCTTCTCTCCGCAAACATCCCATCTCTCTCAATCTATTCCGAGCTGCCGGACGGAGAGCCAAGGGATGGAGCCGGCAGCCCCCACAACCGAGTCCAACAGGATGATCTGAACTGTCTCTGCCAGACTCCCATCATCTGCATGTACCCAGGCTGCTGCCCCCTTGGCTCGTAATTATGGCCCGCATGAGATGCCTCGTTAGCCTGCCACATTTTGTTTGGTGGCCTGGTTTGGTGGCCAGGCGTCCACGTACATGCATCATGTCTGCTCCCCTGGTCGTCTGGCTGCAGCAATAACACTTGATTGCACCGGGGCTCCAAGGCCTCGAGGCCTCGAGGCCCTACAATATGCCTTTATGCCTCCAATGGGCTCGGAGACGAGAGACGAGGCATCATGAGGCCGCAGAACGGCGAGAACAGACAACCAGCAGCATGGCCCTTCAGCCGACCCGAATAGCAGCGGGGCCCTTCACTGAGCATACAACATACATACAGAAAGACGTGTTCGACAAAGTATTGACTACATACAAAGTTTGCGACTGCACCTGCATGTGCCAGCCAACGACGCTCCATGACCAGTCCCTGACATGGCCCTTGCGACTTGCGACTTTCTCGCAGGCGCCACGCATTACTAGTGCCGTTTGCGCTCTCAGGCTTTCCATTACAACTTATGCACCCAAGAGAGATCCGCCTCCCGCCTCCCGCCTCCCGAACATCTTTGCTTCCAACTGGTTCTGCCCGCCACGTTATCGTTGCCCAAAGCCCCTTCAACCGTTCACCGACTGCCACAGCAACCTCCGATACTACTGGCTGCCGTCCGCCACCTGCCGCTCGCCCGCGTACGCTGATGAGCTGCATCCCAGCCAAGGACGAAACAAAGCGCCCTCTGAGTCAGATAGGCCTGCGTATCTTGGTCGTATCTCGGCAGTCCCATCCTCGAGGAGCCACATGCGCATGTTCCTGCTAGAAGCTTTCCGCGAATATCCAAAAGCGGTGGGGGAGCTCTTGTCTTATTACACAGGCCGCAGCCTGAAGACGAGAGGCCATTAGCTCCTGGTCCATATATGCATACATACATATATATATATGTGTGTGTAGCTTTGCGTCGTAATGTGTTCATGGTACCATGCGACTGGGCACTACCCATATTGCTCTTTGTAATGGAAATTGTTCAACTTTGCAGGCTGAATTGTCACTCGCTCGAGCATCTGGGTCTGTTTCTGGTCACGTTTCGGGGCCGTGCTTTAGGCCCGCACCGCCCCTAGACCACGTGAGTTCTCCAGGGAGGAGTTTCTTGCTGAATCAATCTCTTCCATCCTTGCCTTCAGACCTCCCTCGTCTAGCGGCGCGTCGTCCGGGACTCCGGGCCACCCAGGAAGATCTACCCGAGTGTTCCATATTTCTTCCATCACTTATTCGTCCTGCTCCGTACCCCAGAACCCTGTCAGTTGAATCACTCACGGGCCACGACTTTGAAGCCGTTTGAAGCGGTGTACACGTCAAATATACGCCCACGTCCGTGTTCCAACTTGTGGTCGGGGGGTTATGGCCATACGACCGGCCACTTTATCTCTGTATGCCCTCGAAAGCTTGGGCTCAGACACTGTTACAATATGTCCTGGGATGGCCAAGCCTGTGCGTCCTTCCGTTCTCAGTGTCGTCTACTTGTCGGGCGTTGCAAAAAGTTGCATTCCAACTTACCGCAGTGGCGAGTCGATGGCAGTTGTTCCTTGAGACTAGACGAACCGGAATTCGACCACAAGGCACAATGACACGCCTTTCAAACAATGGGGTGGCAATTGGCATATACCCTTGCTCCCTCGCATACCTACCTAGAGAGGTAGCTAGCGAGCTCTCGAAACGGCTTCTTGCTCATAGACATCCCGTCCTGATTCCCATGATGCCTGCTTGAATTATTCGCTCGACTGGGACCCGATGTCATTGCAATCGCAGCCAGCCGTTGATACAGTGGATGACCGTGAGAGGCCACTCTCGCCACAAACCCGGCCCCTTGAGTTGGCTGCTGGCACTTGGACTTCACCGCCGAGTTTGATATCCAGCGTTTGGCTTTCTCCAGAAATCAGGCGCAATGCGCTGGTAGCATGAGACCATGTGGTCATTCACATCATGCAAAAGCCTCGCCTTGTCGGCGGTTTGTTTGGGCGCTACGCATCATCTTGCATTTCATCGTACCAAACCCAGTCGACACACAAAAATACAGGCGCCTCGTTAGTCACTGCCCAGATGCTAAGGTGCATGAGGAGGCAATCATGCTCTTCCTCAGCAGTCTGCTGGCAAGACCCTTGTCGTCCACAATGCTGTCTGTAAGACATGGAGTGCAGGGTGAGGCTGGCGGTCCGGTCGTACCTACAGTTAGCCTCAAGGCCGGCACACCTCTACCTCCAAATAATTATACATACATACGTATACTTGTATGTACTACTCTACAATAAACGGCCCTGGCTGGTTCCACGTACTCGGTTCTGCACTAGTGGCGTAGCCGTTGCGCCCACAGCTTGATGGCTTGATAGCTTGATGGTGTCTGGTGTGTTTTAAAACCCCCGTCCCTGAAACAATGCGACAGGGATCCCTCGAACTTCGGTTCAAATTGGAAGCACCTGGTCTTTTCCAGCAACCACAGAGTTGTATTCACGGGAAATGGTATTGCATTACTCCGTACTGGCACATACATACGTTGCAAGGCATCACTGCAGGTTGGGTAATGTTGAAGCATGAACACGCCCAGTTCAACGTGGCGCGCATTTTGTCCTCCTAGTCAATTTTTTTTTACCGAAATCCTGCCAAATTGGCCTTGCTTGAACCTTGGTTCTGGGCCTCTGGCCCAACACTGGCAACTGGAAAACATCTGCCGATGATGGCGGCATGACGACATGGTTTGTACACGGTCCTTACTGTGCAGCATTTACGGACTGCCGAAACAGGCACACCGACTATTCTCGAAATCAGGATAGTCAGCCGTGGGCTAATACGATACCCGACAGTCCGGAAAATTTTCCAGGAAAATGACAGATACCGTGGTTCTGAGCAGCGACCAGCATTGAATTTCCCATCCAGGCAATGAGGAGCCCAGCCCGACGCGGGGGAGGGGCGTCCATGTGGGATGATGTCCTGCCGTGGGCAGTTCGATGCAAAAAAAAAAAACCTGACCGGTCAACATTGAAGGGCCGGTGCCAGTTTCAAGCATCATGCTGACACATGACAACTGGCAGGCTTTTGTAGCCCCATGACCGAAGTCTTTTTCTGTGTTAGGGTAGCTGCTTACTGATTTGCGAAGACTCTTGGATGCTTCACCTGTTGTCTGTCGAAGTCTGTCGCGGCGATGGCACGAAATGATTTTTCCTCATGCAAGGCAACCAACTTGTCCTTGCCATCTCACGCACGTGCGTCTACAATGGCCATCCGAGCTCGTGCCCATAGCAACTCGGGGGCGTAAGGTCTCGAGTCGCGTTGCTAACATGGTATGTCAGATGGAAGGAGCAATCGTTGCAACCGATGGCATCGATTGGGCTCACGATGAAGCCCAAACATCAGTCAAGAAGGACCGACATAAGCTTTGGCCTTTTCTGTATTGCCCCTACCAGTACTCATCCTAAAGCCCTTGATACTGCATCTGGAACTTGTCCAGTCCGAATGTTGCAAGTGCATACATAAGGCTTTCCCCAAACCGCTCAGTTCTGTGGCGCTAATAAACTATGCTAGAAATAGTGAGTGAATTTTGGCCCCCAACTACATAGTAGGTAACTTTCAACTACCTGGTGTTTGGGCAGTTCATATGCTAAGCTTCACAATCATTAATCTCAGGCCTCCGCTTCAAGCCACCATGCCATACTCGGTACTCCGGACTTTAGAGGCATGCGGGCCCAAATGTTGCAGTCGCTGCAAGGAAGATGTCAGGCGCTTATACAGGCCCCGCTGCCCCGAGTTCCCGGGTATGGGCTGTGAGGCTCCCTTCACCGACTCCGTCCAGATGAACTCGTCTGGCCATACAACCCAACCAGGCCAGGTTAAAAATGTAATTTTTGGCATGGTTGACATGCGCCCCTGCCCCCCTCCATCGGTTCCCCATGTGCTGCTAATACTAATAAGCCCTCCTTCCATGTGGAACACACATACAACTGCCGGGGATATGCTTGTCCACATGGTTCACTATGGTATATGTACTCCGTATATAATCAAGGCCATTGGAGCCCGCCTCCTACTCTAGTTTTCAGCACACCCTCTTTTTCCTCTTCAATTAGGTAACCAGATAATGCTTCACAGTCGTCTTATGTCTTTCTAATCCGTCCCGGCGAGCAAATCTCCGCTTTTTTGGGGGATTGGGGCACCCAGGTACATCACATCGCCAAGGCTTGCGATGCTTATTGCAGTGTTGTCTGTATCCCGCTTGGTTAGAATATTGTCAACCTGTCGTCAAAGTTTTCAGGGGATTGGAGACGCTTCTCGAGTTGAGCAGCGGACCAGGAGAGAGACGTACGCGAACGATGAATTTCTGTCAAAGACGACAAGATTGCCGTCCTTATCAACTCCACCCTTGTCACACTTCATGCCTTTCGGACAGAAATATACCCCTTTGCCTCTTTGTCTGAGGGCCTCCATGTCTATAGATTGGAATTGCTCATCGTCATCAGATGAGTCTTCTGATCCGGATCCATCGTCGCCAATACCGGCGTGGCTCAACTGGCTTTTGTCTGGCAAGAGCTTGCGAGATGTAAAATGTGCCGAATCAGGCTCATGAGCCAAGGATACGGACTCTGAAATCGAAGATATCTTATTGTCACAGAATGGTGAGATAGACGTCTGCAAAACTTCCTGGCCCCCCCCGTTCATCATGGAGACGTGTGGCCACCAGACTTCTTGGACCTCACGAGAAAATCGGTCACTCAGATCTCCGATTTGCCTATCGGCACGTGAACCGAGAATCGTTAGCTGAAAGGTGAATCGAGGCCTGTACATGCTCATGTCGCGGGTGGCAGTTGAAGGCGTTTGGCAAGCACATACCTCAGCTTTGATAACCCCATGTCAATTTTGGCGAGCTCAGCAAGGTCGGACATTCGACTTTCTGCCCTGGAGCGCTCGTGAGCCCTGAAGGACGCCTGGATGATATGAGGGCCTTTGATAAGCCGCTGTGTGAGTTGAGCCCATATTGTTGCAGTGCGGGTAAAGTATTCGCCAAGATCGGAAACAAGATCCTCCGAATCAGAGGATAAAGGAGGTGGCGTATTCATTTCCATATCTCGAGAAGCTATCTCGAGCTGCTGTTTTACTAAGGAATCCAAGAATCCTGATTGCGACGGAGAGTTCCTCAGTCCAGCCTCGAATAATTGAGAGGTAGATGGGATCGACATGATGTGCATATAAGAATGACCAGATTACATGCAAGCAACCTAATATACCGGCGGTATTCCTAACCGCAGAGCCAATAGCTGGATAACACTTCCAACGTTTCCAACGAAACCTTCAAACTTTTGTTCACTCGAATGTACCAATTTCACGCAAAGGCCACTAGCCGCCACCTGCCACCTTCAATCCCCAAAGAATAGACCGAGAAAGACACGGCACCATTCAGTTATTCGCCCGTGCACACGATGAAGATCAGACCTACCACAGGCTGACCGCTCTGTCTGCCATGTGGATATGACTTGTTGACTACCAGACAAGTAGTAGTATCAAATATTGGGGCACTCCAAGAGGAACCCAATGTAACAGGGCTTGAACAAGGTTTGACGGTGCAGATGCGGATGCGTATTACGTGCTCAGTGACCAGGCTCTGGCCTTGTAAACGTTGACGCTCTTTACCGGTGAGTGCGTCGTGCCCTGTTGTGTTCCGTTACGTCCCTTTCCGCGACACCTTCGTAGGGTCGTGCTCATACAATAGGTATTGGTATAGGAAAAAGGTAGCCAGGCAATGCTGGCACTACTCAAAGAATGGAGTGACACAGCACGACGTTCTCGAAGCGTAACCAAGCAGCCAAACCAGTGCAAGTTACTGATAAATTCCTGTTCAACCCTAGGGACGATGGCACAAGCTTGGTTGCGCCGGAGGGGTACCGGAGCCAATGACGGCTTGCCTTTTTAGGCGCACAAGCAATGAACGAATAATGGCCCGTTACGTCCCCTGTGTAACAGTAAAGGGCGAACGATAATGTCTTGATGATGATTTGGTTTCAATCGAGGCAGCAGGGACTGGGGTGTGACAAGTAGCCGTCGACAGTCGTTGGCACTTTTGCTTGTGGATGATGAAGACGTGAGGATGATCCAAAACAATTGGCTAACAAAAAATAAAGTTGAGGGAAACAGAAAAAGAAACCGCGCCCAAGAACAGGCAGAGATGGCTGGGAGAAGAACACGAAAAACAAAAAGAGACCAGCCTAGGCCAAGCAGACCAGAAAGCAAACCCAGGACGACAATGCTGAAAGTCTTTTGTGGCCTTTTTCAGAACCGAATATGAAGGAGCCAGAATTGCCGAAAAGCACTTTTCCTTTCGCTCACACGCGATTGTCCGGAAGATGGAATAGTTTTAACGTGCCGAGTACGGAGTAGTTGAAGGTGAGAGAGACAGCAGAGCGAGACTCGGTGGCTCGCTGGAAACTGAAGAACAACTCAGATTACACAACTCAACGTTCTGCCGCATGGGAAAGAGGGCTATCTACGGAGTAGCTCCTGTTTTATTTCCTGATGTCGCTCGGTTTCCCCCCCTTCACTGTTTCTTTTCTTTCTCTGCGTAATGTGGGCTCGACCCATTCAGAAGCCCAACTGCCTCAAGCGGAGGAGAGACACGGACGAGCGAACAACAGAACAGGGCATTCGCAACGGGCTGGGGGTTACCACAGGCACCTGGCCTCTCAATGCGTAAGCACTTGGGAAGAGGGGGGCGCCAATATTGATACACTGGCACAAATGTCAAGGCATTGGGGCGGCAAAAAGTGACGGACCACGCCAATGGAGCCATCGACAAGTGGTTGAGCCCTGGAATTGGTGGGATGACACTACGGAGTACAGACACGCAGTGCGCGCTCCGATCGAAAATACACAGGGAAAGATGAGATGAGCAAAGAGACAACATCGACGATGGAGTGACTCCGTTGCAGCGACAGAGTGAGGAGAGAAGAGAAAAGAGAGAAGAGGAAGGGAGGAAAGAGAAAACAAGGCTAACCGTTTTCGGTACAAAACCCGATTGTCAACGCTCGTTGATCGGCCCCACGGCCCGTCAAATGCTGTCCAAAACCTTGCGCCTCCCTTACCTGCCTGTCACCGTCACACAGTCCGGTGGATCGTGAGGACCGCAGGTTTGTGGGATTCTAGCCCTGCCCTGGCTCTTGACTGGCTGACTGGTATGTAGTTCAACAAGCCCGGTTCGAAGAAGGGACTAGCCGTCCAGCCACCTTCCCGGCGGGGCCTATCCGCGCACCAGGGGCATCGGGGAACATCATTGGGAAGCCGGATAAGCTTTTTGATTGGTTGTCCCTATTTCGTGGCTGGGCAGGGGAGGGCCTCCTTTATTTTTTGGACGATGAACTCATCCAAGAGACCGGACAGATCAGGCCTCCTCGTCACTCAAAAATCCAAAGGGCCTTGGACTTTTGATCAATCAAACGAGAAACGCTTCTATTTGTGCTGCCGTACGCCGTACTCCACACTCTGCCAACATTCCATTTTTTCCCTGATGCCGGTTTGCTGTTTTTAGAGGCCTCAATTCAGACTGTCGCATCTTCAACATAACTTTGTTGAGTACGGAGTAGAGTAGAGTCTACGCTTGCTGCTCACTCGGCTGTGATCAGAATTTCATGTCTCTTGCTTTTCTTCGCCGCGGCGCCGGGATGACCTTCCGGACTTGGCAGGCGATATCAGCTTGGCTTACGGAGTAGTGAGTGCATGAAGTACGGAGCACAGAGGTACATACATTGACCCTTTCGATTTTAACAGGCTGTCAACAACGTGGCCTATGACGAACAATGATCACCCGTCAGGCGTAATAGACATCCTCTTACTTCAAGGCTTAGCGTCAAGGGCCATATGCGATACCACGCTATCTCATTTAGCATCTAACATCGAGGCAAACCTTAATATGCGGCCCGAAGTATATGCCGCGCTCTTAATATTGAACGTCACAGGAGGGGATCGCGCCCGCGGGGATGCCGTTTTGTCCATATTTGCCGCTCTGCGGCTGCCACGAGGAAGCGCCACTACAGGGATGATGTATTTCTGAGCAAACAATGACGGCAAGCAAGCACGAAAAAAAAAGGAAGACGAAGCAAAGAAGAGGCATGGTCTGTGTGGACAAGCCAAAAGATGGGGAGGTTCAAGGTTCTGTACGGAATACCACTGCGGTCCCAACGACGCCAACTTGCATAATCAATGGCGCTTTCTGTCTATGAAGGTGTGAAGACCGCGAGAATTAAGTACTTGAGTCAACCCAGCATCAACTGCACGGGTCCAAGGGACCATTCAAGCAAACCCTAAGCCAGTGGTAATACGTGTTGTAGGAGACGAAGCTGTCTCGGCTGAAAGCTATTCGGCTAGACCCCAAACATCCGTAATGGCTATGAGGACAAGAAGCAAAAAGAAACGAAAAGAAGTTGCGCAGCTGTCAACGTTACAGCTGCCCTGGGCAGCCACCATGTCTTGCCCTTGCGGCTGGCGCACTAGCAGACAGAAACAAGCTACAACAGCTAATTGATATCAGGAATGGAAAATGTGGCTTCTAGCCAATTGGACCAGATTTGACACAGCGAGAGCATTTGGATGCTCAGACGGCCATTTCCCGGGGTGTTTACTTGCCTACGTAGGTAGCTAGGTAAGGAACTTGATGTATGTACTACTCCGTATGGCCATGGAGATAGACACTGATGTGTTGTGTAGTACAAGACTCTGTTGCTACTATTGTGATACATACGCGGAAAATACGGAGCACTCCGTACTACGTAGCTCGGTACATACATGGGTGTACGAGGCTCTTTAACAACAATGGCAGTGCCCAAAATGGGTCGCACAACATCGTCTGGAGAAACATCAGACATGCCACTGATCCCAGTCGGTTTCTCCCCTTCAAATCACGCTAAGCAGGGGTCAGGGGCTGGGGAAGCTGGGGGTCACCGAGTAATTGGGTCGTCAATGGGCACTGGCTGGCCCAAGTGCTGTTACTGACGATGCAGAATGTGTATGGGCGCAGGCATGGGCATGGACAGACAAGTCGGCAAATGTTGAACTCGACGAGGGTATGGAGTACTATAGGAAAGTACATATGTAGGCTCTTTGGAAGAAAACGAGCGACAGCTTTTGGGGAGAGACGTGCTTGGGGTACTGATGTTTACGGCTGGTTTCTTGGCCAGCCCTGCTCCGTGGTTGTACATAGTCCCGTCGGTGAGTGCTTGTTGAGACCGTTTCTATTTCACCTCCCCCCCCTGGACGGCATTCGATCTCTTTAATGAGAGCTGCCCTCGATTTTTCGGCCCATCTGTCTTTTCTGGCCAAAGATTGACTTGCCGAATTTTAAATTAATTTTGGTTTATTTATTCACTCATTTCCGTCACAAACGAGGAGAGTGAGTCGAGAGCCGCGCGCAGCATACAGGAATCAGTGGGCATCCAGAATATCACATCCCGTAAAGCCGACAAGAAAAGAGGAGAGAGACAACAGTCAGCACGGCTCGGCGGAGAAGGCCAAGAGAACGAACGACAGCAACCTTATGAGATATCATTTTCCTTGTGCTGGGGAGACGACGCGCGACGGCCGGCTTTTGTCTTTGGCCGTATCTGTGATTCCCATTCCATCGCCCATTCCATCGCATCACTCGTTGCGCAACTGCACCCGATATCGCCTCTGATACTCAATACTGCCTCCACGGGGGCGCGCAGTCTTGCTTGCGAGCAAGAGACTTTTGCTGTGGGTTTGTCCATGTATTCTCATTCTCACCGCCGCCTGTCACCTGTCTGTGCACACACATACACATACTTACATACATGACCCTTCTCCGTCTCTCTCTCTCTCTCTCTCTCTCTTCGCATACGTGGTCAACCCACTCCCGGTTGGCCCCCAAGCTGGGCTTCGAGTTTCACAAACAGGTCGAGTGTTGTTCGTCGCCCAAGTGAGCGAGTGGGCTCTGGAGCGTATAATGTTGTATTTGCACTTCAAATGCAAACCGGACGTTTCTGGGGACTGGTCACCTCTAGCGTTATTCTTGTGGGCAGGTTCTAATGCCGCATTCACGGCTGGCGATATACATACTTAACGTATGGGTACTAGTTATATGTGTCCATGTCCGATTCCTTGCCAATATCCCCCAGATCTGACAGAACCCTTGTTCGTTCCTTCCCCATCTGACCGATCTCCTCATCCCTCACATTTCACGTCTGATCTCCTTTCTTCAACCAAATCGGTTTCTCCCTGCGTGGGCTGTCGAAGTCCGGTCCCCTGGTCTCAAAGCCCGTACCTGCGCTGGGTGCAAGTTATGCGCAAATCATTTGAAGTCAAAGTTCCCAGCAACCTGGATCCTCATCTACTACGGAGTACCAGTAGTCTATTTTTCCTACTTGTCACCGCAGCAGCATGGAATGTTTGCATACGGGGGTTACCGAGTGCACCGTACCGACATTGAAGACTTCTAAAGTTGTTCGTCTCTGCTTGCCTGGTGAGACCGCGAGCCCAAGTTGCCGGGTCACTCAGGTCTGCAGTCGATACGGAGACGTCCATAGTCAGTCAGTCCATGGTACTCCGTACTTTCAAGGTTATTATGTCACCAAGATCCGTACTCGGCATGGAGTATCGAGTCCCCCAGCCCCGTGTCCCGTGTCCCATGTCCCACGCTCTCTCTGACACTGACGTCCCTTCTCAACGCATCCCCTGCCCTCCCTTGCAGTTTGTTGTCTGCACACACGCGCAAACCGCTCGACTTACGCTAGCCCTGCCTCCGCCTCTCTGACCCAGACTATCTTTGGCTGAAGACTGATCTTTTCATCTATGTAGTTGATCCGGGGAGACGGCGGCATCGGCGGTTGTTTGGGGTGCGAGTGCTCGATGCTTGGATTTTCAACCACCCTTGACTCCTTGAGCATCCAAAGCCACCCACCTCGCGGGATCAGCCGATGAGCTCCTCTCACGTCTCCATCCCCCAGCCGCCATTGCGAACTGGAGTACTACTCTGTACGGAACAACTACATCTGCAGTAATAATTACACGGCGCAAAGAACGGGGCCGGGTGTTGCCCATCAGCTCGACAGGGAAGGCCATTAACACAGCTGTGTTCGATTGGGCACAGGCGATTGACCAGCATCGCGATTCATTTGCCGAAACACTGGACATCCAGAGGACCAGGACTCGACAAGCCCTGGATTCATTTGGAAGCCCGATAAAATAGTCGTTATCCCAACCTATCTTCGCGGGGCATTGTGTCGCACCATTCGGGGGCGTGACCCTTTCCGCAGCCTGCAGCTGCAGCTGTTCAGCCCCTTGTCAAGACTCAAGACTGGACAGGCCCAAAGGTCGATTTCCACCAGTTCTCTCTCCCGCCCACACCAAGTAACCCCAGACCGCCCTTCAGGGAAGACAAGCATCCAACCACGGCCGGCCGCGGGCTGCCAACCAAGGCCAGACTCCTTCTGTTTTTACACCAGTCTGCTTAATTTGAAGCTTGTTGCACATCATCCTCCCATGGGTGACTCGTTGGGCTTTGACGACGGCCGCCTTGCGAAGCGCGTCAGGCTCCTCTCGTCGCCAGAGCTTCACCACAATCGTGAGACCAAGGCGTCTTCTCAACAACATGCGCAGCATCCGCCGCCACCCTTGCAACTGCAGCAACGAGAACACCAGCCTTGCTCTTCCTCTTATGAGAAGCAACAGGGCCAGCCATCGTCATTGCACGCAGACCCCCAGCCCCAGCATATTCCCCCTCCTCCGACAGAGTATGTTGCTGCTTCTGCACCCTCCACAGGCATTGCCATGGTAGGTTTACACGCCGCAGACGACTGGAGTAGGAATAATCCTTGGTCGAAAGAGCCTATATTCGACCCAGCATGGGAGTGGCCCGCGTCCGCCACCGTCTTGGCTCCCCCTTCATCTCATCTCCAGCTCGGTGCTTGCAGAAACAGCCTCGAAACCGGGCATATGCCCCCAACGCCGTCGCCGTCGACTACCTATGGAACCTCCCCAGCAGCGGCCACGGCCTTGTACGCACCCTCAGGTAAGGAGTATTGTCTCTCTCTCGTCTTGTAGTTTCGTATTGGCTGGACATCAAGCTCGACGCCTGGACTCTATGCTTCGAAACATTTGCCACCTTTCATGCATCGCGCATGACGCAGTGTTCAGAAGGGAAGCTTAGGCTTTCACAATGTCATCACCCCGTCCGTCACCTTGGCGGATAGGGCAGCCTTTGCGTGCATTTATTGGTCACCACACTGGCGATACACCCACCCAGTCACCCCCGTTTCACTCTGGATGCATCGTCCTGTGCAGCGAAACCCCACACCGGTCAGCGAGCATCCATCCGCAGATGATGCATCAACCCTCAGGAGAATCTCATGTTGCCATGTCTTGCCTCATGGACGAAGCTTGTTCTAGTAGTATGGCATAATGCTCCATTCTTCAACAAACATTCATCAATGTTCCCGATTTTGCGCGTTTGGTCTCTTGTCTCGTTCCCGGTAAGCGCCGGGAGCTCTTTGCCTGTCAGAGTTGGGTGTCTGTCACGGAGCAGGGACGGGCAGCGAACTATCAATGTCTGTGGCCGTTGAGAATATACTGTCATATTCCTCCACATCACAAAGTGGCTCGTTAGAACCTGCATCATATTGACATATTTATTATGCCCAACTCCTGGATGCCTTCACTTCCACAGATACAACTGCTTCTACTAATAACGAAATGCTTCACTGCCTATGCCACGATCTGACACACTATCCAGTCATACCTACGACGTCACAACTCGACTCTCCTCCTGCGGTCTCTTCAGAATCTCTCTACTCTTCTCGTCCTACGCAATTCGAGGCTGCATTTACACCACCAATTCCTCGACCTTCACTTCCTAGTGACGACTTCCCAGTGCCCTCGTCAGGGATCGTAGGCGATGACCATCCCCCTCCTCAATGTAGCCACGCTTCCGGCCAAGCTGCTTTTCATAGTCCCTTCAGAGACTGCATTGGCACCTTTGGACTATACAAGTCTCAGTTCTTCAGCCGCCCTATAGACGGCAAGGTGAATGGGTATATCAAATTCTCCTGGCCGAAAGAGAAGCATGGAAAGCAGCGCTCAATTGGGCGCAAGTCTTCAATTCCCGACGCCACCAGAGTCATTGAAATTGATGGTTCTACAGAGGCAAACGACGAGTTGACATCTCAGTCTTCGACCTCCTTCATTGGCCCCTCCCCAGTGTCTTCAAAAGGTGGGGATGACTTGCTGGAACTGACGGTCGATTTATCAAGTTTTGCCAATCAACCGTCAATCCAAAATTTTACCTTTCACACTCCAGTCTGGCTCACTTCGTCTCCTGTCTCCAATTCTTCTCACGAAGTTGCTTGTATGGGGGCGCCGAAGATGCTACCATCTCAATATGGGTATGAGGCTAAAATGGACGAGACTGATAGACGGTTTTGGATGTTCTGTAAGTATACTGCAATAAGCGAGAACTTCATGTACGAACCTCAACATACTGATCAACAACCATGAGATATTCGAAACTGGTGTCCGGGTCGCAGTGTATTGGAAGATACAAACCTGTGGCTGAGGGATTTCGCCCAAATGCACAAAAGCGTTGGTGTCCGATCGGCCATCCAGAGTCTAGCCGGCATTTATATCTACGATTATTTGCCCCTGGAGTCTATTCGCAATAGAGTCAACCAACGTTTCTTCGACGCTGAGGAGAGATTTTCCCAACTTCTCAACGACCCAATGACTGCCAGAGATGAATCGCAGGCAAATGAGCTAATCACAATTGCTGTCATTCTCTCCATGCAAGATGTACGTCCAAGTCATTGTCCCGCGGTTTCCCAATCCGTAAATCATGTGCTTAGTTTGTGGTGCCATTATCTTGAAGCTAGTCTCTAATTTGGTGGTAGATCGTCTTAACAGAACGTCGCCTGAAAAAGCCATTTTCTCCCCGTTGGCTGCAAGGATTCCGTCAGGGAGAACAATTTCTTCAAGCAACCGATCATGGGTCGCGATTTTGGAAATCATCAAATGTACAGTCATCATCTTTACGAAACTCGCAATCCATTATTGTTGGCCGCGCAGTTATTTTAGCCCAGCCCATGTCCTCATTACCCCCTCCACGCAAATTCGACGCCCAGAAAGAAGCGTCCCGATTTGGCTGGCTTCTCTATGGCACAGAAAAAGACATGTACCAGATCCATGGTGGCTGTGGATTTTCAAAGAAGTTGCTGCATGTGCTTAACCAAGTAACATATTGTGCTGCACGGTTACAGCAAGAACCAGAAAGTCCCATTGTTCCAATGACAGCGGATTATTTGCAGAGGGAGCTTCTCCAGATGAGACAATGGAGCCCTGAATCAAAGAGCTTGGAGGCTGCACAATCTGGGCCATCCGTCATTGATTGGGTTCGTTCTTTATCAGAGAACTACCAGATTGACACAAACGCATTCATGACAGATGTCACCGCGGAAGCTTGGCGTTTTGCTGCCATCATTTACCTGCAATGTCGTGTGATGCGGTAAGTAGCGTCATTTAGATCCATCAACGGGTGGCAGCAGAGATATTAGTAGCTGACTTATTATAATAGGTTGTCTCGCAACCACCCAGACGTGGTATCGAATTTGGATGACCTCGCAAAATGCATTGCGATCATGCCTACATCGGGAAGCCAATTTACAGCCCAGGCACCGCTATTCCCAGTATTTTTGTTGGGCATGCTGGCAACTACGCCAGAGCATAAAGCCGTTTCAGGGAATTGGTTCGACGAGGTTCTGCAGACCCCCGTAAGGAGTGTAAGTGTTCATCTTTACGCACACCAACTTGGTATTAGTGAAAGTTTCCAATGCTAACGGATTTGGGGGACGATCAAGAGCGTTCCACCCTTGCATACAGCACTTAAGCACATTTGGGTCTGGATTGATAAAGAAATCCCTGTTGCATTACTACCTCATCTCGAGACAAATCAACCCATCCACCTTCGACACCCTTGGTGGGAACGACTTGTGACCCTTGTCCAGCAACAAGAGCAAGAAGTCCTCTGCCTGACATAATTAAAGACTCTTGGTCCAAACAAAACAAATCAATCTATCCCCTGCATGACCCAAATGACAAAAAATTTGTTATCCTTCCTCGGAGCCACCAAAAAAGCACGTCTTCTGACGGATCCGTTAACGCTAAGGCTACTTCCTGAAACTCGGCGTCGCCATTGCCCAAGGCAGGAATGCATACGCAATCAGCTTCGACGCAATCAGCGAAGCTGTTTATGCCACACCGGATACACCGCTGTCGCTATCCATTAGAACCGGGATACTAATCGATTGGATCAAATACTGGTCTGCAATTCAACATGTTAGTTCAAGGGCATGCTATGGGTCGGACGGTCTTCGATACATACAGAAGTGGGAGTCTTTTGCTTGCCAAACTTTCATCACCTCCAGTCCCACCTGGGAACACATTCCTTTGACCTTCTCTGGGCCATATCTATGCGCATCGAACCAATCAAATTCTTGGCCAGCCTCTATCATGCTGTTTGTCGCCTCGCACCAGATATCTTTCTTCGCAGTTATCCAGTTGCGGTGCCTGGTAGTCGGTTCATCTTCAAGCTCCGCATGATACTCAAAGTTCTTGTCATTGAAGATTTGTTCGCCAATGGATCGGTTCATACCATCATAACCGTTGTCGAAGAATGGCTTCAACAGGTCTTCCCGTTTGTGATATGAATCCCACAGCTTCTTTTTCTGGTCCTCGTCCTTGGCTGTATGGCCGTCCATTCCGATTAGCATCAAGTCGTCTGGACGCATGACGTCCTTCCAAGCTTTCAGATGGTCGACGGCATTGTCCCACTCATCGTTGCATAAAACAGAGCCAAGGGAGAGATAGATCATTCGGCCGTCGAAGTTTTTCTCTCGGGCGAACTTTTGCCCGTGTTGAAACGTCCCCCAAAGACCTAGGATGTTAACCATGGATCCCGGCCCTGAATGCTGTCTGGCCAGTTTTTCCACATTGGTTTCCAGGGAGGCTTTGGATATGTCTAGCGCACAATACGTGATTGGCACTTGAGCATGTTTTTCGAGCTCAACGAGGAGATGGTGGACTTTGCCCGTGTCTCTGGAATTTTCATACAAGTGTCAGCTTGACGGTTCATTCAATCATCCCTACACTAGACATTGGCAAGGATAATGAGGAAGACGGTGTACATACCCTGCACCGATGTCAAGCAAGAATAATTTCTTGCTGTCACGCGCGAACTGTTTTGCGATGTCCTTCCCGTTGGCTTGGAACATGGCAACCTCATCACGGGTTTGGTAAAATTCGTGCTGGGAAATGAAGCGCCTCCATAATTCCAATCCCAAATCGTTATACAAGTATTCATCTGGGAGTACCGGCTTCTTACCCCCCTCGTCCTTCGACTTGAGAACATCTCTCAGACGCGCACCAATATCAGTTGTCAGAGAGCTGCCCCCAATATCAAGGACAGTGCCGTTTTCCATGGTGGATAGGGAACCCATGTTTGATATGGAGGGTCCCGGCTAAAGTTTCGGTGTTGATGTGTAAGCTGGACGTGTGTGCCAGCGAAGAAAGGCAGACTTTGTCGTGGAAAGGTGTCCAAAGGTCTGCGATATGAGTGTGGTTGAATCTGGATTCGAAATCTTTGGGACGTATGGTTGGGCCTGGGGTTTATATACCTCGCCGGTGGTCATGAACAACTACAAAACAAGAAAGAATACAAATAAGCAACCACCCAAGTGCAGACCTGTGAATGGTTTGACAGGGGGCAGTGAACGGACAACGAGAACGTCGAGAGATTTTGATACTGCGCGCCTCCCCGACCTGATATTCAGTGGATGCACAGCACCGTCTCTACCCGGACCAAAGGAGTGAACAAAATTGTGTTATCGTTAGCTCAAATGCCGGAGCAATGCTTGGGATCGTGCGTCGGGCCCCGGCTTTGACGCTCGGTGTCTCAGCACAGCCAAAAACGCTGGATATCGACGACAAAACGGCCACTATCTGTTGCCAGCCGTCTGCGCGTGTGTATGTGCTCGCCACGCTGCATATGCGAGGTGTGAAAAAAGAGGCCCCTTGTCGGAGCAGAACGAGATCGCTCCGAGAAGAAACAAATAAGGCTAGAAATGTCTTGCAAGCAACAGCCTGGTAGGACTGATGGGCGATGAAAACATGCCACTTGAAGGTGTCGGTGTAAGTGATGGACTCTGGGCATCAAGAACAAGACGTGCGCGCACGGAGCAGGCGTGTACGGGATGTGTATTCTCCAAATGTCCTACCCCAAGACCAAGAATAAAGCCAAATCGACTTCAGAGACCAGCCATTCTTCTTGGCGCCGTGCAAACAAAGAGTGCTGTAGAATGCAAACAACGTCCTTGTTCTCCTTTTGTTTCTGGCCAGGAGACAAGCGGAACGAGACCCGGGACGGACAGCCTTGACTGACAGACTGACAGGACCCGGGCCGGAAGAGTCAAGTGCACAGCGTACATTACATTTACATTAGTACATGAAGTAATGCATGGAGGGTGGCATTGGTTGCCTTCAGCCATGGCCATCCATGACACTCTCCACCCATCACCCATGTGCCATGGGTCTTTTCAGCCACTGCAGCGTTCACAAAGGAATGAATTCGATGTAGGCCGTGATGATAATAATATTTTTTCGTCAGTGCTGGTGGCGATTACTTGTGAAGCACGGGGCAGGCATGCTGTAAGTGTACGCATTGTGTACCGAGCGGCAGAGTTGCCATGTTTTGCTACAGGCACGCATGCCGAGAGCATGCAACAAGGTCTAGACGTTGAAAGCTACGGCTATTTGAATGTATGTAGGGAGTACGTACATAGAATAGAGTATGCTGCGACGAGCTTATGTATTCCTCGTGTGTTTGAACAAGATGTGTCGAGTGGGACTGAGGTTGGTCTCGGTCTGCAGACTCCATCAGGCAGTGAAACATCCTCCAAGATGATGCACATCCAACGGGTTTCTTCTCGAATCGACGCCACTTGAGCAGGCAGGCAGGCCGTGGCCCGAGGCAGATATGGGCCGTCCCGGGCGGGTAGTCTCCATATCTCCATGTACCATGGTACACCCGTCCGTCCTCCCGTCCGTCCGTCCGCACATTGTATGGAGTCTGGACTTGATCTCGGCGCTGCTTCTAGAAGGCGTGGTGGTGACAGGCACGTATTCCGGCCTTCACTAATCTTGTGTCACCCCGGGCAGCCAGAGGTTGCCCAACAAAAAAACCTTAAATCCGTATATCGATTCGGCTACAGAGTCACACGGACCGTTGAATGCAGAAGCATCCGCCGGGCTGGGTCAGGTTTGGTACACGGCCCACGGCCTGTGGAACAGTATTACAGCATGCTGTCATCAGCTGAAATCCAAGACTGACCGCCGCCAGCTAGGCAGCACTCAGTATTACTCCGTATGACACGCGATGAACTCCCCCCGAGGTGCCAAAATGGCACGGGCAACCCCGAAAGCCGGCGCACAGGGTTCTACCCGCATTGAAGCCACCAGGCTGGCATCAACAAAGACTGGATTTGTGTTGCGTGTGCCTCGATACCTGTCGTGAGATGTGACTCGTCGATTTTATCCCCGACAGCCTGGGGATTGTGAGCACCTTGGTGGTGGTGTGCCTCCCGTGGTAATATCTAGTTGCACACGCCCCTTCACGCCGCCCAGCTGGTTCTACTGTGATTTCTGTCTTGGAGGGTCTGAATATTAGTTATTGGCTTTTTGTTCGGCGCCAGATCCTTAACGGCTTGATGCCAATCCAAGGCGCAAAGGGGTGCAGCTACATCGAGGCTCATTCTTGCAATGATGAGCCTCAGTGCTGTGCATGACCGCTCCATACCCCGGAACCCTAGTGCTGAGGGATTGGGTGAGGTTGACGAGTGCTTGCCATGTTGGCACCGCCCTGCTCACATTTTGGACCCGAGGATGGCCCTCTTCAAGACCACCAAGTTCGTGACGCCAGCCTTTGCATGTTGTTGACGTCTTCAACAAAGAAGTGGTAGTAGCAACAGGATTGTTGGACCCGGTACCCACCGTAATAACAGACAGCCCTTGGCAATTAGTACATGTTTGTTTTAAAGGTGTGGGCAAATCATCCCCACGGGGGTGGGCTTCCGGTTATCGACAGGGCTGGGCTTGTCATGATAAAGGACGACGAATTTGCACCGGACGCGGTAGCCTGTAGATGGTGGGTGTGGTGACCAATAATTGCACGGCTTACTCTCTTCAGACCCTACCCCAAAAGATTTGCTTATTCACCTTGTACGGTAAATACTAACATCAACCGGTCAGATGTAACATGTCCCAGTGGTGCCAATACTGGGTTATTGTCCGTCCGTCACACCTCCCCCTCTCCCCTGGGGCGTTACGCCATGTTCAGCGATGTCGGGCTGTATTTATGATTTCTCCAATTCACAGGAATACTTTGCAAGCGATTGTAACATGCCCAGGCAATAATACCCACATAGGTACTCGAGGTCCCAGGGCTCTGGGTATCGGTTTGTGTGGGTATATTTGTGGCCTAGCGTCGAGGTGCAGTAATGTGAATGTACATTACATACAACAATAAAGGCCAACCCTTGTTCAGAGCCACCCCATATACCAGTGCGTGGCGATCAGCAAGCCTGCATTGGACAGTCTCGTTGGTTTTGTCACAGTCGGATAGTAACCATGTGTTATCAAAATGTGTTCAAGGCGAGGCTTTTGCTGAGGCACAGGGTCTGATCTTCACGGGATGGCAAGACGTGCAACTTTACAGCGAAGTTGGTGTCGCTGAGAACATGTCGGTCCACCCCATCGGGTTGGTAAACTTGGATAGAGCTGAAGAACACTCAATAGTACGAGACTGGTTCAAAGCCACCTTCGATAACGGCCGGAATGGCTCTAAAATTGGTCAGAGGCGCCAAGCCTAGATGAGATGGCTTCTTGCTGGCCAGAGGTGCCTTGGTGCTGTGTTACGTGTGACTGAATGAGTTCCTACGCCGTGAGCCATACTTCGTATGCTGCAGACAGAACATGTGCGGCTTTTGCTGCATGTCTGTGTGCAGCGTGATGGCGCGCTTTGTGCCCCACTGAAGCTGTTTTTGCGAGGGTGCGGTAACCACTGTGATTTGTAGTATATCGCAAATTTTGCAACAGTAAGAGGACGAGATGTATGATGCGACATACGCAGCAACGGGGAGCAAGGCTTGCTGATCTGAGGGTGCTTTGTTTTGATCCACGAATGGCTTCTTTGTGTCCTTCATCCGAGTGTGAAATAACGCCCCGGGAATTGTCGATGAATATTATTCAAGCGAGACATGAAGGCAGCTAACGCCATTTTGTTTTCCAATGTAGTATGTATTGTTGCGGAACAGGGGAACGCGGGAATGGTCGGCGATTATGTGCGCCACGAGCTACTGAAGATGTCTTGTCAGTTAGCCCTGCGCATTGAGATCGACAGAGGAGACGAGTCAGCTACTGCGTACGGAATACTTTCTCTCTATTCGGCCAAGATGGAGCGAGCGTGATGAGAGAATTGGACTTGGGTTGATGTGAGGTCTGGTGCGTTTTCATCGAGGTTGTTGTCTCCTTCCTGCCTCGAGCAATCTCATTTCTCCGCGGTGTTGGAAGGAGCATTGTAGATTGAAAATGTTGGCTGGGCGCCGTCTCCTTCCCAGAAAGTTGAGCTTGGTGGATTATTCAATTTCATTCAACTGGTCCGGAGCACGCTCGATCTCTGCGCTGCATGCAACTTACCAGACCATCCGATATGTCGTCGTCCAAGCCACCAGATGCGACGCTCATGTATTCCTCCCAGCCGTACGCAGTACATATTGATTGCATTGCATTGCATCTCCTGGTCTCCCAGCCAAGCCACCGATGCGGGGCGCATCATCACATCGCATCGACAGGAGATTTGTGGCCTGATGTCTCTACGCCTCCGCTGAGTCGAGCTCAATCGCTACCAGTTGCCAGTTGACACACGACAGGACATCAACGCCCGCCTATTGGGCGTCTTCCCATGCAGAACACCGGCTGCACGCTTTCACAGGCACTGCGCGGAATCTCAGGTTTCACAGGGTCAGTCACACTTGACAGGTCAAGTTTTGCCCTGGCTTCTTCTGAGCCGGGGCCCGCGACATTACAACCCCATGGCGGGCGGCAAACTTGCTTTCATTCTCTTGATCTATCGACTACTACGTACGTACCGGGCTATGGCGATCTAAGATGGTACTATCTACAAAGGCTGGCTGCAAGGTTGTTGGCCCCGATATGACGGAGTACACAGCTGGGATCAAGCACGCCCCATAATTTTCTCCGTTCTCGTCCAGCGTCCATCGTGGCATGTCAGGGGTCTTGCACCCCAAGAATAGCCAAGACTCTCATTACTCCGATGTCAGACGTTGGTTGTCCACTCGCAGGGCAGTAGGTACCTTGTCCTGGAGGTTGCGTTGGACGAGAAAAGCGCCACCCCGTAGGTCACCAGCTGGGGCAGGCGTTCGTAAGCCACCGGGTTCCAATTCTGACACGCATGCACGTCTTGTGCAGGCACAGCTAGGAGGCCCCGAGCATGCGTGTTGACTGGCTTCTCCAGATGCTACGCCCTCTCTCTGCCTGAAACAAGGGTTTATTTGGCTTCATACCCTTTTTTGGTGTGCCGCCCCTATTTAGAAGATGAATAAGTACGGTTTCCTTTCTGAGACTGGATGTTGAATTTGGAATACCTAGGTAGGTATTTGCGCCACCTCTTCTACCCTTCCAGCCAAATTGGTTTGTAGTACAAGTGATGGCAGGGGCACTAATGGATGAAAGGCGACTCCTACAGAGCACATTTGGAGATATCTACTCCGCACCTCTTGCTACTTAGACGACTCAAGCTTATCACTCGCCGTCAGTCGACAATTCAGAAAAGTCAACCTCGAGCGTCGTTCATTCTCCTTTGCGGATAAGTTCGTCACCACATTGCCAAGAAGCTACTGCTTACATGTCGCACATAGTCCTGCATGAGAGAAGTATTTATGTATCGTATTGTACAACTCCGACCTATCGCTAGTGCGGAAAGTAGGCTTGTCGACATCGTCAGCACTGAGCAACATTTGAACCTACCTGGTCCGACGGACAGCTCAACTAGTGTGATAACCCCTGCCTAGTAAGTTGGGGAACCAGAGAAGATACTGCCACAGACGAATAGCGAATAAGATGCACTAAGGGCTTAAGAATCTACCAACTGTTGTACGTATGTACTCTCCTCGCACAATGTCTGGAGGGTGTCTGGTCGCAGCTTAACAGCAACCTAGCAATTTACTACTGTGTTGATAGTTTGAATGCGTGAGAGGACTTCTCAGTTTGCATGTATTACCTTTCGGCGATGCGAAAAAGGAAGACCATATGCAAAGTGGTTCACTAAATGATCGTTCAATTCATTTTGCCTGTCTCAGCCCCGTCCATGGCTTTCTCTCCTCGATCTCCGTGGGTCCTTTGTCATATACTTGCCCCAAATTCAGGGGCTTCTGTCTTGGTAATGGCTATGTTGACGGGGAACGATGTGACAACGAGCGTTGAATACATAGTCGACGCAAGATACCGATGTCGGAACCTTTGCATTTGCTGCGCCACAGATAGTCGAGGAAGGATGTACGTGCTTCACATGGTCATCTATTAGATCAAAGCTCAGGGATGGTAGTTATACGTACTTGACATAGGACTGCGCGGGCCATAGACATAGTACACATCGACCGCGCCCCGTTTGAACTTAGCGGTATCAGCGGAATACCAGCTCCGCATTTTGTCCGAAATGTCAGATTTCAACTTTTGGTCCCCTGCAGCGCAAGATTTAACGCTGGTTCCATGACTTGGTTACGCCAGCGGCATTTCCCTTCTCGGGAGGTACGTCTGATTGCTAACCCGGCTGGGCAGAGTGTACGGGCCGCAGCTGATAACTGACCTGGATAGCCTAGTCTTATCCAATTCCAAAGAAGCCGGTTTGCCTGAAGGGAAGCTCGGTTGAATGGTCTCGGTGGCACGCGAGCCTCGCTTGGAATTGAGCGAGATTCGTTTCCTTTTTGAGGGCAGTTTCCGATGACGGAATCAGATTGTCCTGCAGACTCCGACTATTGCTGTACTCATGCATTGGACTTACATATGCAAAGACCCGTATCTTGTCACGGCGTTAAAGACGGGGGCAGGCTTCCGTGCCCAATGGCTGGCGTGGCAGTTATGGGAATCACTATTTTCGACTTGGGGACCAGTCAACGCAGGACAATATTTATTGCGAGATGAGCTCATGTCTCTCAACCGCACGTTCCGCAACTATTCTGGCGTCATTCGCGCATTGGCGGCGGGCGGGGCATCGTGCGCCCGCAACTAAAATGACCAAATATATATATAATATGACAAGTCATGGCCACCAAGGCGTTCGATAGCTGCAGAAGCAAGGACGGTACGATGCTGTCATGTGCTTTTTCGATTCTTGTGCATTAGGACTTGTGCCTACGGAGTAGGGCGGGCAAAACGGTCAAGCCAAGAGGCACCAGTGACCAAAACGGCTCAGTCGGTCCAGGTGCCTGCGAAGTTGACATACCTTCTGAGGACAAGTTCCGTGGTGTGTGACGGGATATCGCTGCGGCCGGATCACTCGAACCTGTTCGGGTGTACACAGAGCTTCCCCTGCCGCCAAGGACCAAGGTGATGGACGACTCTGGATATCGCATCTGCAGGGGGGGTGTCGAATCTCTCAATCGCATCGGGCGGCGACTTTGAAAGCCCATATGTCACTGGCGGCGACGAGGCTGACGTTGGAGGCTATCGTAGCTCGTGAGGAGCAGGCGAGCTGATCTGCAAGTTGGCCAGTAATGGCATTCACCGCTGCCATCCCATAAGAGCACGGGAAGACAGCCAAGGATGTTGATGACGTACCAGAAACCAAAGCTAAAAAAAACCCAGTGGATTCAGTTGTGCGGTGAACCGGGAAAAGACGAATGGCTTCATCTCATTGTCCATGGCCGCTCTACATGTTGGGCAGTATCGCATTGCTGTGTGTCAGGCTATGGACACTGGTAAACGACAACGTCTTTGTCCGTGCTTCCAGGGCAAGATAATAAATCAAAAAAGTAATTAGAAACGATGCGCCGTGTTCGTTCAGAGGAACGAGTTAATGGCTCCGTTTTCTGACAAGTAGGCTGCGGCGTTTGGCTCATAAGGCGGCAGGCAACGAGGCGTATTCAGCCAGAGAAGGCACCAACATCACATGCAGTGTGCTGTAATATAGTATACGTCTTCATGATGAGTCAGATATGCCCTGCCCAGGACTGGACTCTGCGGCAATAATCCGGCAGTCCTGCCAAGGAACATGATATCAGCGTGGGGGGCAGCTCGTTGTCAACGGTATTCGAACAGCCGGCTCGATCCTGCTCTCCATGAATGTCACGCCATTATAGCCTCGTATTGCCCCAGGTTGCGACGATTTTCGGTAATACTGTATCGTTTGTAATACCGGCATGCGCTGTCACGTTTCCAGCTTGGCTGTGGAATAGGCTTGCATGTGAACCGTTCAGTCGGGATCACGACATGTTGAGACAACTGCCAGAGGTTGTACACCAGGGGCATGCAAGCTGGGGTTGCATTACAGCGAGGGTACGGGTGGCTGTCAAGTAAGATTCAGTCGTGTGGCCAGTCGGGGAAGATGGGCCTGCGATTGCGACGGCAGCTATGTGATGTGATGTCGTTGATCGACCTTGCCGGAGAGTTGGTGGTGGCTGCCTCCACGTGCTTCTCTACAGATCTCCTTGGAGCAAGCTTCTCGTGTAGCAAGGCGTGAGTTCTAGATGGAGAGCCCGGTGGTGACTGATGATGCGTCACCCAGCCTCGCCATATGGCGAGTACGAGAGACAGCTGGAAAAAGAAACGTTTGGGTATTGTAGGCCTGCAACTCAGCACTGACCACGAGGAATTGGTCTACAAGGGAATTGGTGTGTTACTTCTACCTAGGTAGTTTGCATATCATCAAAGCCCTTACAGAGACAAGTGTACGAGGACATTGGTGTGTTACACATATGTTGTATGTAGGCATAGACAAGTTTGTGAGTAAGCTTACGGGTCGAGACACATGTCCGTGTTTGGATGCCTTTAATTTAGTGAGATTCTATGTAATTCTATCTCTTCCATCGGTTGAAGAATAAATCCAGATCTTATATTCATGAATACTCCTTGTCCAGCTTCTCGCTCTGCAATTCCCAGTATTGTCCAAGTTGTCTAATACGCTGGTGCCGCTCAAATGATAACAAAAACTACCGCATATAGGTGTTGCCTATGTGAGGCATTTTTGATACCGCCGCGTTTTCGTCGTCAAATCTTTGTGGTGTTCTTTGCTAACGCATTCTTCACCTATGACTCCCAAACGCCGGGGAAAAGATACTCGATTTTCTTTGCAGCATCGGGGTCTCTACCTTCGGGCTTGGTCATGAACTTGAGACCTCCCTGAGAGTAACCTTCCCATTTCTTGGCCATGACCAAATCACTGTGCTCAATGTTGCTGAGCTGGTCCAAAACGGCGCCAACTAAGCGCTTGGCGTTTTTGCCGTTTTGGTGCATGTATTTCATGACCATGTCGACATTGACGTCTTCGAACGAGTGCCAACAGTCGTAGTCGGTGGCCATGGCGATGACTTGGTAGGAGAGTTCGGCTTCTCTGGCCAGCTTGGCCTCGGGAAGCGTGGACATGTTGATGACGGATCCGCCCCATGATCGATACATGTGAGATTCAGCTCGGGTAGAGAACTGAGGTCCCTCTGTGGCAACAATTGGTCAGTACAACAGAAAATATTAGAAGAGATGTCTTTGTAGCGCTGCTCACTTTTGCGCATGACAGCTACACTTACCCATGACAATGACGGTACCCTTCTCGTGCAAAACGACGCCATCGCCCTCCATGCTCTCTGCGCAACGCTTAACGATAGCAGCCAATCCCGCATCAAAGGGGTCTGCAAAGCCTACATGACCAACTACACCGCCCTCGAAGAAGGTGAAGGGCCGAATGCCCTTGGTGCGATCGATGACCTGATCGGGGACAACGAAGTCCATTGGCTTGATTTCCTCCTGCAACGAGCCCACGGCCGAGAAGGCGATCACACACCGCACACCCAAATGCCTCAGGGCAGCAATGTTGGCTCTGTTGGGGACTTCGTGCGGCGCATACTGGTGGTGCAGACCGTGTCGGGCAAGAAAGGCAATGTAGGTGCCATTGTGGGAGAGGATCTTGATAGGCGAGGCGGGAGGGCCCCAAGGAGTGATGGGGTTGACGGCAGCAATGGGTTCATAGCCCTCGAGATGTCCGAGTCCCGTGCCGCCAATGACGGCGATGTGGACGGGTTCTGGGGAGAAGTCAGTTGTGTTGAACACAGGCAGTAACAAGTTGGCGACGACACGGGACGAGGGAGTGTAGAATCGTACTGTCGAACGTGGTGGGAAGCTGGGTCATTGTGGCGGCTTCAAGCTATGTGTTGCTTTGTGCCCAAACGGTGTGCCTGGCATTAACCGTCCTCAGAAATCGGAAGAGGGATAGAAAAAAAACGAAAAGTTCAAGGTTGTGATGATGTGATTTTGATTTCGATTTCGATTTCGATGGCGGACGGACAACCCCGCCATGGAGGGGCATCAGGGGCACATGTTTTGTTGATAGGCTGGATGGTAACGAACCGGACCGGACATTTGACCATTTGAACATTGAAGCGGCCAGGCGCTAGGGGTCCCTGATAACGCGTGCCCGGGCTTGGGGGAGCGGGAGCGGGAGCGGGATTAGAGAAACAAGTTGATATGTTATTTTGGGCTGTTTTCTTCGCTCTTTGAATGTTTGTTTCCCTTGTATAATCTGACATCTGTGCCATGTTGTACTTAGTACTTGAAGTACGGTACTCCGTACCTGGTGCCTACTACGTGCTCTAGGTACTTCGGTACTCTCAAGATGCTGACCAACCACGACAGCACCATAATATTTTTTTGCCTGGCTCCACCAAAACTTTTGGATGCACGTCGACCTTCACCCATCGCCGGAAACACCAAGGTTGCAAGTGCCTGCTGGTTTTGGTCTTGTCCATCGTCAACTGGCGCCTGTTCCTGCCGCAAATATACTTAGCTTGGCATATCCCACGGCCACCATGACCCAGCTGTCGGATTATGCCGGGCCGACTCCCGGCAAAGGGGAGGACAACGGGGAGTCTATTGAGGAACGATGCTTCTCCGCCGCTCTCATCTGTCTCGAGGGCCACTTCACACAGTCCCCTCCCATGGGACCTCAGACAGCTGCTCGCGTGAACTCTATGATATCGAAGACTCTCGAGAAGACCCATACGCTTAGGACAGCCCGGTAAGCATACCTTGCCCTTCGTCCACTCTCGTCATGACTCAAACTCCCCTGGCTGACTGGTTTTGCAAAAGTGAGGCGCTCTCGCGGAATGTCGCCATATGGATATGGCTCACAAGAATATTTGCCGCTGCCATTCCTAGCCTAACCACCAGATCAGTAGGACCTCTGTCCAGCTTGAACGACCCGGACAGGGGCGTGAGTCCTCAAGAAAGCACTGCCTTGATTGTTATGAATCATGCGTCTATCAAGGAGGATCTTGGAACCTTGATCAAGTTGATGCACATTGCAAGGAACTTGCTGGTCAATGCAGAGCCAGAGGTCCCTCAGGATATCTGCGCCGCTGTACATTTTGATCAGATGGTCTATCAGACAATTATTCTGTGCGTAAATGTCACCAGTAAGGGATACGATGGGGAGATTTTGGATGAGACGCAGAGGTTAAAATTGGCTGATATTACAGAACTATGTGAGTCGTCCCCTCTCTTTCTGTCCTCATTGGGCATGGCCAGTGTGTTCTGGAACTGTCACTGAACTCTAGCTGTCAGATAAAAAGTTATTGGTTACGTCTCTTCAGCAAGCACATAATTGGACTGCCAAGCACGACCGCAACAAAATGTCATTCTGGTTCGACGTACTGTTCGATGAAGATGAAGGCGCTTTTGGCGGTAATGAAGATGGCTTAGGTGACGGATCTGGCTTCCGGCCGGATGTGGCTAAGCAACAAGTCCAGCATTGGCTCGACCGCAACTCAAGAATGTGCGATGCTGCGAGAAAACTTCTCAAGGACTACGCCCAGAACCACGCAGATAAGCCGCCAGGTAACTTGGCACCTATTCGACCACTGGCTTGGAACTGGCTCCCCGAAGACTCAGTCAACATGCCTGGCGACCTGGAGGACAGCAATGAAAAGATGAATCCCGTCTGGAAACCCGATGAGACGGACAACTTTGAACAGGATAGGGTGTACGGGCGTGTATCTAGGGAAATAGATACTTGGTGGTTACGTGCTCGTGATCCCAACTACGAGCAATGGGTGGTCAGCATGCCGTCTGTGGAGCTTGCTCAATCAAGAACCGAACACTGCAAGACGAATTTGATCCATCGGTATGCTCATTCATACAGGGGAGATCACTCACCACCTCCGGAGGCGGCGGACGATGAGCTTTCAGACCATGAGCACTGCCATCATTGCCCAGAATGCCACGAGTGTCACCACCATCATGACGATGAAGAAGATGAGGAGCACGAACATGAGCATGACGACGAACATGGATGTGAACACAGCGACCATGATCATGACCATGACCACGGACATGAACATGACCATGATCCTGAGTGTGAGCATCACCATCACCACCACCATCACCATCACCACCATCATCATGATCATGATCACGAGCATGAACATGACCATGACCATGATTACGTGCACGACTACGCCGACGACATGATTGACGATGAGGATGCCGATGACGACGAGTCGTATGGCGATGGCCCACTCACCGGTCTCCTCACCGAAGTACCCAATATTCTGGACCCAAAGCAGATTGAAGCCCTTCACATGATCGTCAAGTCGTGTATCCTGGACAACGCCGGGTCTGGTCTTACCCGGGCTGGCGAAAACTTGCAAAAGACAAGATGCAGGATGTTTTTGGCACTCGACTGCGGCAAGTGTCTTTTGCGAGAGCTCCTCGTCTTCATCGCTGTCTGGAACAAGGATGAGCAGTCGCTGATATTCCAAGTCACGACTCAGATCGTCGAGGCTCTTCACCACAGCGCCTTGATCCCGTACGCTTGGAACTGGCTTCGTATTCCCAAGGATATCATATCTCCAGCACAAACTGTGCTGCTACGGCTGGTAAACCACATGTTCCGAGCCAGAGTGAACAACAACACCACCGCCAACAACAGTAACAACAACCCGGCTGCTGCTAACACTAGCGCTTCCACTACCACTGCCAGAGATGTCCCCTCGCACGATAAAGATAATTCTCGGGATATCAAGCTCGTCCACTTTTTCTTCAGCTACTTTCGCAGCCGCATTGTTCCCGAATGTGCTGCCCTGATGCACCTGCAGGCCCAAATTCGTGAAGACAAGTGTGATGCAGCCGAATTTCCCGTCGATACCTGGGACATGGAACGTGCTAAGGACGGCCTTGGGCAATACCTCGACTTCCTCACTACTGTGGCTGAAATGATGGACACGCGTGCCAAACTGATTGAATGGGAAGCCATCTACGATCTCATCACTATCCTGAGTGGCCTCGAAGCCGGTGTAGCTAAAAAGCCGTTGATCGAACTCCCCAAACGCTCGCCATCCAAACCGGGATCTTCGTCGCCATCCACAGTATCCTATCCCACACCAAATACGACTACAAACCCCATGGTTGAGCGCCCGTATGCAACAGAAGCAGGATCTCTGCCGCCATCTCCGCCGCCACCTGACATGGAAGAGCAAGCTCACAAGTACCCCTGGCCTTGCGTCAAAGGCCAAATCTTCACCATATTGGCCACGCTCCTGCAGCCACCCCCAGGGCAGTCCAGCCCAGGAAATAGCCAGGTTCAGTCCCAGATGGTCAAATACAACGGCATCGTACCATTACTTAATAGCTGTGCGTATGATGACCATAACCCGTTTGCAAAGGAACGTGTAACAATCTGTCTCAAATGGCTGCTAGATGGATGTGAGGCAGCCAACAATTTCTTCAGAGAGCTAGTCAGCATGGCGCCGCAGCCGAACTTGAAGCCTCCGCCGGCAGGGACAGCCGTCTCGACACTTAGAGTGGATGGTATTCAGGGTGATATTAAAGTGCAGGTACGGTCGAGGACGGCCCCGCCCGTAGGGAGGGCAGGCGTCGTTGAGGAGGTGGAGCCCTACGAGAAGGATTTACTGCAGAGAGTGGCGGGGATGAGTTTGAATTCAGCGCCTGCTACATCGAGGGGGAGTATCGAGGATGATTTCATGGCGTAGGCATGTTGGTTGGCGTGGAAGTTGACGGGGCCACAGTGACTTGACAAGCCTAGCATTTGCGAGGGTATGATGATTAAGAGAGCATCACATCAAGGCTCGTGATGCCATCAATTCCCTGCACACAGAACAATAAAATAATAATTGGATAGTATGCCTGAAGTCTATGCATTGTATATACAAGACCAACCAGTCGCTCCCGCAAACCACCTACTTACCCAAAAGGTAGCCAAAATCAAAGGACGAAATATGCATACCCGTAGCAAAAATACACCCATACCGTACATCAACAGGAGTAGGTACCTAGGTAGATACAGTTATTCAAATGCCAAACCAACAGGTGGTGTGTTGTCCGCATCATACGACGAGCTTGCTTCGCTTGTCCACGCCACGACGGCTGCTTGCATGCTCCCTCCAACCCTCTCCCTCGGTTTTCTCGTCGTATTTCTTGCCTTCTTTCCTGTTTTATTCGTGTTTTTGGTCTGCCACTTTCTCTCTGGGGGCAGGATTGTTTCTGGAAAGGCTTCGTCTTTTTCGTATTATTTATTCTCGTTTTGTAACATGGGCAAAGGGGGGTTTTCTTTTTTCGTTCTCTTGTCTCATGCGCCATTCAGCTTGGGCTTGAGCTTGCCCTCAGTCTTCTCAACATGCTCAACAAGATCGGCAATGGTGCAGACCTTCAACCCCCACTTTCTCGCAAAGGCAATGTTGGCCTCGCCCCTCATCATGCCGGCGCGGGTGATGATGGGCTGGCCGGGGGTAGGCTCGCCGTCCTCGACGAGCTCGGCGATGGCGGCGGCCGGGTTCTTGCCGGCCAGGCGGCAGAACTCGACGGCGGCCTCGGTGTGGCCGACGCGCTGGCGGACGCCGCCGGGGGCAGCGCGCAGGGGCAAGATGTGGCCGGGGCGGATGAAGCTCGTCGCGGTGGACTTGGGGTCGGCCAGGAAGCGGCAGCAGAGGGCGCGGTCGTGGGCGCTGATGCCCGTGGTGACGGAGTCGTGGGCGGCGTCGACGGAGATGGTGTAGGCGGTGCCGCGGGCGTCCTGGCTGGCTGAGACCATGACGGGCAGCTGCAGGGCGTCGGCGCGCGAGGGCATGATGGGGGCGCAGATGAGGCCGGAGGAGTAGCGCACCATCCAGGCCATTTGCTCGGTGGTGACGTCCTCGGCGGCGATGATTAGGTCGGCCTCATTCTCGCGGCCGGGGTCGTCGAGCACCAGGATGAATTCGCCTCGGCCTGTTTGAGAGCGTGCTCAGTTAGCAAAGATTGGAGTGGACGGAGGAGGGCATGGTTAGGATCAAAAAGGATGGTTGCGTACGGAAGGCCTCGATTGTGTCGGGGATGGAGTCGAATTGGCTGGCGGGTATCGTGGAGGCAGGCATGTTTGCGGCGGGGTTTATGATTTCTTTTTCTTGAGATGTGAGGGTATCGTGGGGTGATGTTGGTCGAGGTGGACTGCGTGTGGTCCGGCTTGTGACGGAGGATTCAGCGCAGATTTTCAAGGCTACCAAAGTCGGAATCGTCAATGCTGGAGGGACGCTGAGTAATGGCAATTGAGGAGGAGGAGCAACGGCGAGGTTTTTGTCAGGTTTTTTTTTGTTCTGCTCGCGTCGCTGGACACTGACGGTGATGCGGCTGGCGCGGAGGAATTGGGGGGAAGACTCGGCATCAAGATACATATGTATTCAGTGAAATGCTACCCGGTCCACTGGAACAAGGTTTTGCGGGCCAACTCGGCGTCCGATGTCAATGGCTTGGTGGCCGTGACCGGCCCATGTCGTTGAACTGCTAACATGTTCCATGACTTTCGGCCATGGCGCTGGTGCCATTACTCTGGTTTAGACTGGCGGGGGGGACTGCATGTACTTGGTACTCTCGACATTGCTGACTCGAACATGTGAATGGAATTTATCCACGGAACGGCACACGGCTTCAGCCCTTGCTGTCCCCTACGACGGCTTTGCAATGGCATTGGAGGTGGGAGTCAACCTCCAGTCCCGGCTGCAGATGTCTTCTTGACGAGCACAAAAGCCATGCACTGTCCGCTGTGCTCCAGACACTTTCTGCGTAGCGACGCTGGCCCTATGGTACACGATACAAAAGCTGACGTGCGGCTTACCAAACCGTTTGAGGTTGCGCGCGCGGCATGAGTCGCAACTTCTGCCCATAAGGATGGAGGGGCTCTTGCTCTGTAAGCACCGGCGGGCCATGACTGTGCAGCGTCCAGTCTCTGCTCGGCTCGTCCATGTCTGCTGCTCCAGTCTGCCTCGGTGTGCCCGCCGAACATGCCGCGGCGGGGATGTCACGTTGTCGTCCGGGGCCGTCGACCGAGGATCTGTCTCATCGAGGCCACCTCCGATTAGGATCCGCGAATAACCAGGCCATGGCGAGGCAATCTTTGTCGCCGTCCATCTCGCACTCACGTCACACTCTCTGTACCAGAATTCGACCGCAGTCACTGCCCGCACTGCAGAATACCGAGCACCGAGTATTCTGCACCATCAATCGTGCGTGATGCGTCGCCGATTAAGTACGTAGGCTTCTCTAGAAGGCGCCTTCCAGCGGAAAGTGGGTCTCGGTTCAATCCCTGAGGATTCTCCGAAGGAAATGTTGCGCCATTCAATTGAAGCTCACCACCTCCTCTCAGCCTGCCCTGTTTGTCGGCAACACCGGCCCAACTGTCAATGTCAACAACCTTGAGGGCGGCCCGTGGCGTCCTCGGACTGTCAAGGCCAAGAGCTGCTGCAGCACCTCTACACACGCACAACCAACGGCGGGCCAAACCATCAAGCAAACCCTTCCGACCCGATTCGCGACAATGGCACTCGACCTTCTCGTCCGTCAACCCTGAGGAAGTCTCCCATTTCAACTCCCTCGCCTCCGAATGGTGGGATCCCCATGGGTCATCCCGTCTGCTTCACCTGATGAATCCCGTCCGACAAGACTTCATCCGAGCCTGCCTGCAGTCCCAACCCGACACAAAGGCCTCGAGGCTACGAGACGCATCCCTCAGCTACCTCGACATCGGATGCGGAGGCGGCATCTTTGCTGAAAGCGCCGCGCGACTAGCTACGACGAAGCGAGTCACCGCCATTGACCCTACGCCGTCCGTCCTGGCCGTTGCAAAGGCGCACGCGAAGAAGGACCCGTCGCTGAGCGGCAAGCTCTTCTACCAGCAGAGCTCCATTGAAGACCTTCAGGTGCCTCGGGAGCCCTGCGATGCCTACGACATTGTCAGTTTGTTCGAAGTTATTGAGCATGTCGACGAGCCAGGGCCCTTCTTGGAACGAGTCCGGCCGTTTGTGAAGCCCGGCGGCTGGCTGGTCATGAGCACCATTGCGAGGACGTGGGTGAGCTGGTTCACGACGAACCTGGTTGCGGAGCACCTTTTGCGCATTGTGCCGCCGGGCACGCATGACTGGAACAAGTACATCAACGAGGACGAGCTACAACGATTCTTCCTGGACAAGGGATGGGATAGCCCTAGGGTCATGGGCGTTGTGTATGTTCCGGGCCTCGGGTGGAAAGAGGTCCGCGGCGGTGAGAAGGTCGGCAATTACTTTTTTGCTGTGAGAAGGAACGGCTAGCCATCTGGCCAGGTGTGTTTTTCTGATGTGTCTTGTTGGAGCTCAGTCGGGCTGCAAAGGCATACAATAGTGAAACGATATACCAGAGGAATGCGGACGCTCTGACATTCTAGCTCTGCTGGATGTGTCTGGATGTGGCCGCGTGTACCATCACGTCTGTGTACTTTGTGTACTCTCAAGTGTACTATACGAAAAGCAAATTAATCCTCAAACATGCTGCATGGTTGGCTGTAATTTTGATGGTGCGATTGGTGCAAGTCATCGAGCCGTGAATGCGCAGCTTGCCGATGTCGCGAGCGTATCAAGTCGGGAGAGGCCTGGCGTATATTTGGTCAATAACCAAAAGTTTACATATCCTGGGCTCATGTCGGAGCCACAAGTCCTGGCCAAGAGCGTAGCGTCTAGCAACGAGATTTGGAATATCATCATGTGCAATGTGCAATTTGAAATTGCACATATAGAGTGTACAATGTCATGCATATGATGACATGGAGCACCCAGTTGAAGGGCACTCAGGTACGGGGAAATTGATCAATTGATACTGAAGTACGGAGTATGTACGGAGTACAGTGGTGTACATGTGTCCACCGTTCACTGAAGCAAGACGCTATTGTGAAACATCAGCGCCGGGGCCGTCCATGTCCAGTGTTGGCTGCATGTGCCAGGCGGTTTCTGGGACACCAGACTAATTAAGTACATGTCAACTGGTACATCCACCCACTGTATACCGCCTAGTGGCGGCCGTTTCAATCGTTAGGCACCCCTGCCTGACCTTCTAAAAATTCAGCTTGGCTTCGGGTGTCATTACATGCGGGCGGATCGTCTGTCGCCGGGCGAATCAGCGTGGCGGGTGCTCTGCCTTCTAACCTGCCAACTGAATCCGGTCTTGCAGTTCAAGCACCAGCACTTGAGACCTCAGCAGCATCTCAGCATGGAGTTGGAGTTACCTCTCTCCAACTGAGTTTGACGGCTGACCTTCTCCATCTCCTTGTCTTTTGTTTTTTGTCGCTTCTTGTTCCTTGGCCATCCCCTGCTCCCTTTTTCCTTTCCTTTTTTTTCCCTTTTGGAGTCATCTGTCGTCCATCCATAGTCTCTCGCTTTCTTGCTCCTGCGACGCCATTTTCGAATTGGCCGCGCGTCGGAGATAGACGCCAGTACCACGTGTGACATGATTTGAGTCAGCGGAAACGGAGCTTCCCCTCTCTCAAAGCTCTGGAACGATGATTGTACGGCTCGCGGCCTTATTGGCAGCCTTGGCCTCGCAGTCTGTGGCCCAATTCCCCGTCTCAGACCTCGATTCACTCAATTTGACCGTAGCAAGGTCGCCTGCCGACAGTAGCATCACCATCTCATACAAGGAGCCACGGGGCGCATGCAACACTGCTTTCGGCCAGCAGAAACAGTATACAGGTTGGGTGCATGTGCCCGGGGAGCAGTCGACAAATCTCTTCTTTTGGTTTGTCCAAGGCCGTCAACACACCGACAGCTTAACCATATGGCTCAACGGGGGACCTGGTTCGAGTTCCATGTTTGGTTTTTTTGCTGGAAACGGGCCATGTGAAGTTATTGAGAAGGGCATCGACAAATATGACACGATTGCTCGGGAATGGGGCTGGGATCGAGCTTCCAATATGCTCTTCATTGATCAGGTTCGTTTCTACCAACATCTTTTCCGCAATGCCTGAGTAGCAAATAACATTCTGACGTTCTTAAAAAAAATCACCAGCCCAACCAAGTTGGCTTTTCATACGATACACCAACCAATGGAACTCTGGTCCTTCCTAATGAAAGCATGCATCAGCCACCTATCCAGGGAAAAAATAATTCCCTCCCATCATGGACCTACATGAACGGCACCTTCAGCACAATGAACAAAAGCACTACAGCCAATACGACGCAGACTGCAGCCATCGGTGTATGGCACTTGATCCAAGGCTTCCTCACCACATTTCCCCAGTACCAGCCTCAGCCCAATAGTTCAATAGCTGTCAATCTCTTTGCCGAGAGCTACGGCGGAAGATACGGGCCAATATTTGCAGAGCAATGGGAGATGCAAAATCAGAAGCGAACTAACGGGCAGTTGGATGCCAATTCGACGCTAGAGGTCCGTCTTAGTTCTCTGGGTATTGTGAATGGCTGCATTGATCAGGAGGTTCAAGTCCCCTTCTATCCCATCTTTGCCAACGACAACACATACAAATACAAGGCTTTGTCAGACGAGGCAGCAGCGTATTACGGTCGCAGATTCAGTGCTCCAGGTGGCTGTAAAGACAAGGTTCAACAATGCGCGGCCGTGGCCATGGCCCAGGATCCAGCTGGGCAGGGAAACCAGCCCGAAGCGAATCGATTATGCGATGCCGCAAATACAGCATGCTTTGCTCTCCAGGAACCATATAGCAACAGTGGCCGCAGCGTGTACGATCTTGCTGCCCCTTCTCGGGATCCTTATCCGCCTTTGCGATTTCTCGACTACGTCAACCAGGGCCATATACTCCAAGCCATTGGCTCTCCCATCAACTACACCATGACAAGCAATGCAGTGTTCCAGGCATTCCAGGACACCGGCGACTTGGCAAGAGGCGGTAACATTAAACGGTTGGCGGATCTCTTAAACCAAGGTGTCCGTATTGGCCTCATGTACGGCGACCGAGACTACATTTGCAACTGGCTCGGCGGACAAGCTGTGTCTCTCGCTGTTGCAAACCAAACCGGACCTAATTATGCCACGGGGTTTCCTGCGGCTGGTTACGCTCCTATTATTGTCAACGACTCGTACATCGGCGGCCTTGTTCGTCAGTACGGCAACTTATCATTTAGTCGCATTTATCAAGCCGGACACTCCGTAGCATGGTATCAACCCGAGACAGCATTCCAAGTATTTGCACGCATCATGATGGGTACATCAGTATCTACCGGGGAGACCATCTCCCTCTCCTCTTTCAACACCACGGGACCCAACGTAGCTTCTCATGATGAAAAGCTGCCGGCAATGCCTTCGACAACATGTTACATCCGTGCATTTGCAAGTACATGCGACTACGATGCCCAAGATCTTGCTTTCGGAGGCAACGGTACAGTCATCAACGGCATTCTGTACAGCAAATCAGCCGACTGGCCATTGGCCACCACTCAACCTCCATCGTCTACATCCGGGCAACCGACCAGTACAACCATGCCTTTGACAGGTGTGTTTACGGCTACGAAAGTGCCCGATAGTGGAAGCGCAGCTCGTTTATTGGCCTCTGGCATGCTTTGGATTATGATTTCAAGCTTCTGGGTTATACAAGGCGTACAATTTTTCTTTTGAACACTCCACAGACGTTGGATTATAATACATTTGTTTCCATAGTAAACTAGAGTAATGGACAGGGATTGGCTTGTTTTATTTAACCTGCGATGCAGATGACATGGCATATTGGGTAATTTCAGCGCGCAGGGTCTTCTGAAAAACAAATAAGGTACATTGGAAGAGTATCATGGGATTGTCTAGACGTGTAGAAAAGTATCCTTACTCGCGTAATATAACGTCATATAAGACACAGATACTACTCATGTGAGCCAAGGCGACCGCCCAACTTTTCACTGTTATCCCGTAGGATTGCAATTCGTTATCTGGCATTCACACAAAGAGCCAAATCATCTCAACTGGGTATCATTCCTCGTCATCATCTATTTTATGTAGGCAAGCGGTTTTATGTCCTCTCCTTCTTGGGTATTCTCCCAGGCACCCTTCTTTCCTCTTCAAACACCAGGGAGGCATCCCCGCCAGCAGCATCCTCGTCGTCGTCGACGTCCATATCATCGCGCGTGCGCTGAGTCTGCTTGACACGCTGGATACGCCGCAGAATAGCTTCGTCGAGATAGAATTCCTGCTGGAATCTGGACTTGGAAAATTTCTGAGCCAAGAGTTAGTGGTATACTCTTATTTTTTTTCTTTTTGGAAACAGGAACAAGGACCGGGAGGAGCGCAAAAGGAGAGAAAATGAAAGGACGGGTTTGGTCATGCTTACCTGAGAACATCCTGTCTGCGGACACTGAACTTCCCCTCGTGCAGGCAAGTAGCCCAAAATACCCGACTTCTCAAATGTATGCTTGCACTTGACGTTGCTGTACGGCTCCTCCATTTGTCGCAGGGTGAGCGGACAGTTCAGACTGAGCACCTCCCTCGCAACGGCGATATCGTCGTCATCGCCAGCTGGACCGATTGTGCTACGGCGAGTGGTTGCTCCTGGACGAGTCATGACGGGCCTTCCATCGGAGCGGAACCACCGCGAAGCATCGGGCAGAGGGGGTCCGTCTTCGCCGGATGCAGCATCGTGCCAGATCTTTTTGAAGCCGGCGTAGTCGTTGTTGACGCCGTATCGTTGATAGGGTGTGAGCTGTTCGTATTCGGCTTGTTTGGTGGCTCGGCCTTTGCGGAAGGCTTCGAGGGTGCTGGCGACGGGTTCTTCGCCTTGTTGCTGTTCGGGGTCTTGCTCTTCGTCGCGTGCTGGCTCTTGTTTTACGCCCCTGCGCGCGCGGGTCTCTGCAGTGTTGGGAGCTATGGCCGTCGCGGCAGTGGTATACAAATCTCCCAAGAGAGCGGATTGGTCCTCTATCCCGGCTCGGCGGTCGATTACATCCCGTATTGATTGCTCGGATTCGTGGGTAAGTTCGTCGACCTCCCTTTCCAGCTCGACAAGGTGTGCCTCTAGGCGTTCTTCCTCGGGCGTCTTGTTCGTGCCCTTTTGTTCCCGTCGCTCCTGCAGCAGCTGCAGCCGGTCGTGTTGCGCCCGTAGCCGTTCATGGAGGTCGCCAACGCTGAGGCCAAGGTGGCGCGCCGAGTCTTTCAAGTGAGATTCGTAATGTTGAGTGCCGCGATTGTCCGATAGCTCACCCAGTGCACGTCGGGCACGGTCGTTGAGCGGGCATGAGGGCGGTTGGTACCGGGGTAGCGATGTAGACGAACTGGTTCTGGCAGGGGAGGAGTCTACGCCAGACGGGCGGCTGCGGTTAAGCAGTCGCGGCATGGCAGATGTGATATCGAAGATCAACTGTTCCAGAGGCTTTCTTGTGTCGCGGGGGCGAAGGTATTTCTGATTTACCGTGATTTCGATAGTAAGCGAATGCCACCATGCCACCATGAACGTTGGCGTGCATTGAAGGAAGAACGCGACAGAACGCGTGGGCCAGAGCTCAGATGGTGGGCACCCGAATGCCACCCCGCCACCCGAGGCAGGCACACTTGACAGAAGGTAAGAATGCGCTAGAGGCTCCTTCCGCTCTCCGCTCCCCCCATTTGGCCATTTGGCCGTGATACAACATTGAACGAATTTGACACGTTCGTTTCCTCAACAAAGTATGGAGTTCTCCGCACCACACGCTGAGAATCATCAAGAAGCTCATGGCAAAGTCCATTTGCCATGCTTGGCATCGGGTCCAATCATCGTCATGTCTCATCCGTCTGCATACCGATTGAAACATCAGCAGACAAACACGGCTTTCCAGTGCATACGTCATGCACAATGGCCCTTACCGTGGCTGCTGCTCTAAAATATCCCCTCAAGCTGTTCTTACAATGTACTGGGATTGCATTCACCGTCAGCCAGGACGGAGCACTGTTCGCAAAACCATGACCACCGTCATGAGGGAGCATTCTGCGGCTTGCCCTCTGGTCTACAACCGTAGGATCGGTCTCAAACTCCGCGTGGCCCATCTATTGTTTATCCATACTCTTGTCTGACGACAGAGTGGAGACGTGCGTGATGCAATATCGAAATCTCGGAAAACCGCATCATCCGCCCTTCGATGGCGCCGCATCAAAGAAATTAGCACAGATCGTGAGACCAGGTCACAGCACACTAAAAGCTGCACATGCGAATGGAGACCTGCGGCCCGTCGTCACGTCTTTTTGTACGGACAACCCAATGATGCAGGTGCGAAAGCTCGACCCATACCCGTACAACGGGTTCGGCTTCGGATGGTACGACAGACCAACATGATCGAGCAGAAGGGTGGAATCAGGCCGAGAGACATTGCTGGCATCGGCCACGTATCGAGCCAACGCCCTGCGCAATCGGCGAACTGCAGTTACTGCCATGTTCCCTCCTCCGATCCACACTCACCAGACATTCTGATTGCTCGCCACCATGATGTGTGATTCGGTAATGGCTTAACTGCGTTCGCTTGCGACTTGGTTAGATCGCCCTGCGATTTATTTTTCGGCCCAAGTCTCAGATGTGGGCCAGCAATTGGTGCCAGCTACTACCAATTTAGCAATGCCCACTCCGCTTCTCGATCGTCACGTTTCTCCGTAGCCCACGAAGATCTGGCATCGTGTATTACCCATCACAATTCCATGTTGTCGAAAAGAGCGCCCAAGCCTAACCCAACGCCACCTGAGATAGGCGAATTAGCAATGTCTCTCCCCAACATGTCCCCGTTTCTGGCACTGTTGTGGTTGCGTAACGCATTGACTTTACTCCGTGGTTCAATTCCTGTGTCAGCTGCCGCGATACACACCGGGCCTGCCGTCACTCTGGATCGGACACCAAGGAGCTTTCCGCACATGAATCTAGTATTCTTCTCCATCCGTCGACCGCCTTGCCAAGCCTGAGGTCATTCCACTTGACTTGACAAGCTTGGGTTTCACCTACGGACCAAGCCCTCCGCGAGTTCGTGGTGGATCCTCGCTCAACGTTGTGAGATGTAACACAGCCCCGACCTCTGTCATTACTTGGACAAGTCGGCACATGGCTCTAAGACGGTCTCAAGAGGCTATATTTGCGTTCCAGTGAGTATTAGCCTTAGTATTAAACTAGTACCTCTGTCACCCCGGGCTCCCAGTTCGAGTTGTTCGATGTTGCTTCTCTTTCACAACCCTTTCGCAACTTTACATCATTACAAAATGGCCTCACATGTCGAGCTCGTCATGAATCCCTGGGAAGCCAAAGCTTTGGATGTAAATAACAAACCCTTATCTTCCCCGTGGTTGGCAGCATTGATGCTCTATGGTGCTTGTTTCCGAGTGCATAATTTGTTTGCTAACTTAATGATTTCGTCATAGTACCATTATCCAGCCGAAACATTGCCTCCTGCCACAGGGAGACCATCCAGTGTTTCTAGAGGCCCGTGGCAGGCCATGTCAAATCCCGTTTTCTATCCCGGCCTGTATTCAGCGACGGGCTTCGATATCATGGGCATATTGGTAGGATCCTATTCGAAGATTTCGTAACCAAGTCGTTACTGACCCAGCGTTAGACGAGCCTAAGAGACCGACCAAACCCACAATTTGAATTTAAGATCGACTGCTCCGCGGCTCTCGTGCTCTGTAACCTTGAGGAGCCTGACGACCCTATCGTGTACGCATCGGATGCATTCTGTGACCTCACTGGCTATTCACAAGCAGAGATTATCGGCAAAAATTGCCGATTCCTCCAACGGCCACACCCTAGCTCATGGGACACGTCTAAGAGCAAGCCCAAGCGCGACAAGCACGCAGCCTCAAAAATGCGGCACGCACTTCAAGCCGAACAGGAGATCAAGCTACGCGTTATAAACTATCGAAAAGATGGTCGCCGATTCATCAATCGCGTCAGTATTGTACCGGTGACATTAAATGGTTCTGGCTACCGCTATGCCGTTGGGTTACTGGAAGATGATTCATCACCCAAAGATGGATCACAGAAAGATCGCTGACTGGTCGACGTGGGCTCTGTAGAGCGGCCACGTCACAAAATCATCACAGCATCTTGCAAATAGACGCTAACCCATTAGCCAACACCAAGCATTGATGGTGTTTCATTTGCTAGAGTGGAACAAAGCAAAACTTCCTGTTTATCTGCTTTATCGCATTTGGCGGCCGATATGAAACGGGGCGGGACAGGGCGCCAACGCCTTGGATGGGCATTATCAACCCGACTGTTGCACAATCCCTTATTTCAATTTCCGTAACACGATACTTGGAGAGAGGCTCTCAGCTTTCGTTTATTATGTGTGTAGCTGGGATTATGATCATCGATTGGAGAATAGCAACGGAACATAGCGAAATGATGATGATAGATTAGCTCTTATAAGCGACTTGATAAGCCTTTTTTCTTTAACATGCTCCTTGTGTTATATTGACATATAAATCTAGCTTCCAAAGGCGGGCTAGCTTCGTAGTCGTAATAATTTAACTACAGGATAAGGATAACAAACTGCCAGGCTTTTCTCATGCATCCCACAATGAGATATCGTATCTGCGTTCAGGGCATACCTCGACGAAACGGTCAACCTAGCAGAGCAAGAAGTTAGAGATACAGCGAGCAGCCCAGATTCTTGTCGTAGTAAGCGAAAGGTGTGCAAATATTGTCAAAGAGAAGTAATCCCATGCTCCTAGCGTATTATGAGGCATGATATACCATGAATAGCAATGCATTTAATTCAATTCCGTAGTCGAGTGGAACGCCTTCTCCCTGAAGGGAAACCAGGCTCTGACTTAACCACATCCTCTTCCTTCTTTACAACTCTAGTCTTCTGTTTCTTCGTGAACGGCTCGCCACCCTCAACTCCATCCTGTTCAAGCTTCTTTTTGCGAGGGTTCTTTGCAGGCAACATCTCCTCGTCTGATTCATCTTTGATTGGTTGAGCTTTTGCTCCAGGTACAACTTGACCAGTCTTCTTCTGTACTTCTGGCGCATAGCAGCTCGTCCGGCCACCAACCGTAATAAACGCCAATTTCTCGCCATTGGGTAGTTTACTCGACGATCCCTTGCCTCCTTTCCCCCAGCGGTGATTGAACAGCCAATGTTCTGGGAACTGGTCCGAGTCTCCGAGCTTGTCTACCGCCGTCTGGCAAACATATCGAATGCATTCGTATAGCTTCTTGATTTCAGAGTCGCTAAAACTATCGCTGTACTGTTCCGGGTGAAGTTTAGCTTGATAAAGAGTCTCGTCGGCCACCCAGTTGCCGATGCCACTGATCATGGCTTGGTCTAACAGGAGAGCTTTAACTGGGACATGACGGGCCTGCATCTTGCCACGCAAGTACTCTTCAGTGAATCTATCAGTATCAATGACCGGGTCCGGTCCGTTCTCTTTAAGAGGAGTGTGCTTTCGGATATCCGCACCGGGGCAATCAACCAGGCGAACTCGACCAAATCGACGGGCGTCGGTGAAAGCTACCTCCACTTCTGGTTTGCCTTCTGTTTTGAGGTGGAACTTCCAGAATTTCGGTGGCCAAGTTGTGAGCTCGCTATCCTTCATCTTTTTGTAGTAATTTGTGTATGCTGTCTTTTCTCCTCTGATATGAACCCACCCTGTTCCAATTAGTCACAGAAGGTAAACGATGCCGGACATTACGCCTTACCCGTCATGCCAAAATGCATCACCAAGTGAGGCGGTTTATCCAATGTTATCCTACGCATCGTGAGTGTTCCATATCTCACATCGCTAGCCATGCTGGATTCGCTTACCAGAAGTATTTGCCCTGGTTACCAGCTGAGACGACCTACATGGGCCATTAGTGGCGAGCTACTGGATTATTGAAATCATTGATATCTACCTGTTTTCCTTTTAATGCAGCTTCCACTTCAGCTCCAGTAGTTCCAACTTTGCCAAAAACATTGCTGTCATCAATCGCTGACGCGCTTGCAATCTTCCTGCCAACCAGATGGAGGCGAAGGAAGTGCACAATACGAGCAACTAAGGTCGTTGTCAATAATACTTCCTGCATAAGACGACACAGTTTACTAACCTTCTGCAATCTCAGGCATGATGAAAGATCAACAGCAGCAACATCTGTAGCAACAATGAGGAGTGTGAAAAGAATGGCTCTCGGAGCCAAAAAGTTGCCTCTTGAATTTACGCTCTGTAGAGAACCCCTGTTCTGTCACGGTCCTGACACGAAACCCCGTGATCTGCTTACGTTAGCCAAAGCTACCCACTCCACCGCCATCTCCACAATAAAGTCATTTTTGTTCGCGCAGCTTTTTTTTCTTCCCAACCTTTCTTTTATCTCTTCAACACATTCTGCACCCAGAGCAAATGGTAAGTTTGGCAAACCAGCTTGCACAGCCCCTCGTGTTTACTTCCTGATGACAAACATAAACCGCAAACTAGAGTCTTTGACCATTTGGAATGAAAACTCAATTTTTTACACGTCAGTCTGACAGAAGCTATCTTACAGCTGTCAAGATTTCAACAAGCGCACAACTGACGGAGCGAGCATTGTTGCTAACATTCATCTCTAGGTTCATCCGTCTCCAAGTGGATGTCGGGACCACGGGTAGACGGACTGTCGTCGCTTCTAATAATTGGTACGTTACATTGTGGTTGTGATATTTCGGTTCCTGATGATCAATTCGTTATAAATATACGCTGGAAATTACCGGCTGAGATCTCTCATTGAAGATATAAAATGGCTATTTCTGATTGTTCCATACAATGCTCTGTTTATGTTGCACAGATGGATGAGGCAATTGCTAACTGGCTTTAAGAACTTTAGACAAGGTATGCACAATTATACGCACAACACACTGCATCAGCCTTCTATGATGAAGCGGCACTGGGCTCCGAAAAAAACTCATGAGCTAGAAAAGCCACTTTGCGGCAGGCCTAGAAAACCTCGCCCACTGACCCGGCACCTTCACACCTGCTTTTGTCTTGTCGGTCGAGTCAGACGGACTAATTCCTTCATAGTGTCTACTAGGTTACGTGTCGTTGTTAGATGCTTCTGTTGAATTGAGCTTGAAGGTAAGCTACCAACACCGCACCTACACATAACCTCCTTTTATGATGAAACAGATGACGAGTCTTATTCGAGTTTTCGATGCAGACACCATATTCTTTTTACCATTCATGCTTTCCTGATATACCTCGTATATTATTTACACGTTGCATTATAGTGGATGCCCATACTAACATATGAAAGTATCTTTAGTGGTCAGTATTGCCTCCAATCGCGCGTGCGGTGCCTCTTCATCCTCAGCCTGATGAACGCGAATGAACATGACAAGCATATGTCTGAGCTTCGGCTGCGACGACAAATCATCCGCATCTTTTTCTGACTGCTTTGATCTCTTCATCTTATAATACAATCTTGGGCGTAGAATGTTTCGCTGACATGCAAAAGATGAGTGAGACTGAAGCTTTGACCACAAAGTAAGTTGTTATTGTTTGACTTCCATCCCTCTATTTATATGATGCTACAATATCACGACGGTCAACTTAGCCATATGCATTGATGACAACGCCTGTGACAAGGCACCTTCCACTGAAATCCTTCCAACTTGGCACTCATTTTGGTTCAAACACAGCCATGTAAACATGGGCTAACCGTTACTAGGAGTAATGAAGTAAACAGGGAACTTGCCTAAGTAGGCAGGCAACTGGAAGGCAGCGGAACCGCGCGAATAACGAATGATATGCAAGAAGGAATCTATCTAGTTTATGATAACGAATGCTTTATGACTCTACATCTCTGGCCCTCTCCCTTTGAGTGAATGTTTGTATGTCACATCCTTCAGACACGGTACCCCCCCAAATGCACCAAACAAGTTGAACAAGTGTTGATGGTAGAGTGCTATTGGTTTCAAAATGCTTGTCAACTTATCCCGTCTTCTACCCCAGCATACCCCCGCCCGCCCCTCTGCTCGTGGGCTGCCACTTTCACGGACGACTAAGTATTCCTTCAGTCTCGGGACCTGTTGGACCTGGAACTGCGGTGGTGGCTTCTGCTCCAACGATGAGACCGAAGAATGCTCTCGGGTCGTGGTGACTGATTGTCAGGCCAGAGGCCAACCTGCTGATAAGCGGCAGCAGTGGAAGGTGGCTCGTAGCCTGCAGACTGAACCTCGGACTCTGCCTGAGGAAGCGAGGCAAAGGTCCCCCCAGCCTGGTCAGTGGTGGTCGAGGGATAGTGCTCCTCTGCAATCTGAGACAGAAGCAGTTGAGATACATCAAACTGTGCGGTGTCAGACATATTCATTGCATAACCATACTGTCCCTGTCCGCCTTGATAAAGTTCACTATCAAGGGCATAAGAGGCCACTTCCATATATGGGTAAAGGTTGCCCGGTTCAGTGTACACAGAAGGAGATGCTGCTGCCACGTCAACCGATGCAGTCATCATGTCAGAGTCGCTCTCCCTATGCGAGTTGGTCGAGACACATTCTCCGTTCGGCATGATGGCGAGCTGACGGCTGCGACTGTTCATCCGTTTGCCCACACCCCATTCTTCGAACTTTTTTTGATATGTTCGAGCACTATACACAGCCAAAATTCGACGGGTTAGCTTCTGATATATGCGCGATTGTCCAACATGTTCCTTCCCTCATACACAAGTACCCCCGTGATTTGAAACATGCCATCTCCATCTCAGCCCGGATGGTGTAGTGGTTCAAACGTACTTGGCCTTGAAGTGGTAGTTGTCATCCATCATGATGACCACTTCATCAAGTGTATGCCGCGCATACAGACTAATGATGATGTCCTTGTACTGGTTCCATGGAAGCGGAATCATCGTAAACAGAAGCGCTGACAACTGGTGGCAACGACGGCAAGGATAATCTGGCAAAAGTGTCCAACGACGAGAGCAAAGTGGGAAAAGGAGAGCAAAAGAGCTGTCTGTTGTTGGTCAAGTCTCCAAATCCAACGAGAAAGAGGAGGCCAAAGCAGAATTTATATCAAATCAAACCACCTGGCATCTGTGCCCAAGGCTGCCATCCTCCTCCCTCACTCACCTCATTTCACACACCAAAAAGAACATGAGCCCCCTCGTTGCCATGTTTTCCCTTCTCGCCATCTATCATCCATCGCCATCATCTCCGGTCTGCCACGGTAGGGCGGGAAAGCGAGGCATAAGCCTGGCCGGCCGCCATAATGGGCCCCCTACTTCTGCACAGAGACACCATCGTGCTCATTCCGCGCCCAGACCGACGTCCACCGAGTGATGCAGAGCGTCACATCAACGTCAATTTTCTCCAGACTCCAGCTTCCCATAGGCCATCCAAACACAGCCTCTTTCATACCGGTAGTTTCACAGTATTTTTTTCCTCAACTTCATCCCCCCCTTCTCAATTCGTCTCCAAATATCGGTGAAGAAGCAAAAGACACTCTGAGCGCGGTGATATGCGACAAAATGGCTTTTTTTTCGCACAACGCGCTTACCCCAATCACCTCCCCATCAGAAACCTCTGCACCCAACCAAGCACGAGGACAACTCGCGCAACACAAGTAGCAAAAAAGGCCAAGTAGCCATCAAGTGTTTCACGGGGAGTTTAAAAAAAAAACGAGGTACCGGTATCCATGTACCGTAAGCAAACGGAACCCCAGGTCAGCAAGAGAAAACCCTCGCACTGTCAGGCAAAACCAAACGTCACAGACAAAAACGGTTCTATTAGCAAGCGCCCTTGAGGCGTTACGCAGTCCTGGATCGCCTCGTGGCAGTGACAGTGACGCCCTCAGCAAAGAACCGTCGTCAAACTACCGCCGGCCCAATCGACATCAAAGGGCCACGGGACCGAGTTGAATCAGCAAAGGCCGGCAAACCAACGCGCCCATTTTCTCCTCCTTCCAAACAGTGGCAGTGACACACGGCTCACTGTCTTGTCGCCCGTGGTACCACCATACCTCGTGGCGCGACATTGTTGGCTGCTCCATACACCACACCTCTTACTGTTGCAGTCGCAGTTGCATGGCTCGGGTCGTTTTCGTCCGGTCTTGCTCTGCGCCAAAGGCAAAGGTACTCTGGTACATGGGGCTGAAAAAGAGCGAGAGAAACAGTGACAGAGACATCAAGCAGTTGCCCAAGTTCGACCTTGAGCCTGACAGGACCCCTTCGGCGCATACCTCACTTGTACGGAATGACATCCTTGACATGTTGCCGATATTGCTCCGACACAAGCATGTTTGAAAACAGTTTGCATTATGTAAATTAAGTAGCGGTGTCGATGACGTGAAAACAGCCCAACTTCATAAGCGTGATAAGCGTACCATGGCGTACAATTGTTTCTCATTCGTCCAGTCTCCCTCCAAGTGCAACTACACGTACCCAAGCATCAAGTGCTGCGCCTTTACCCCTTGGCCCTCCACCACACACACCAAGTACGTAAATGAGACAACATCCGCAATCCCACAAACGGTTTCTTCTTTCCTTCTCAGCCTCACTATGCAACTGTTGGCTTCTTCTCGTCAGAAGGACTCGATACGGCCTCACCGCCAGTCACGCCAGCCTCTTGGGCCTTGTGGCCACCTTCTACAGTCGTAGTCGCAGCCAAAGCATCCGGCTTGCTCTCCTGAGGCGAAGCCACGGCCGGGCTCGTTTCGACCTTGTCGTTGGCCTTCTCACCGGCTTTTCCCACGGATGGGGGGATGGTCGCCGGCGAGGCTGTGGCGGGTGATGAGGGAGTAGGTGACGTTGGCTCAGCCGGGCCTGTGGCTCCGCATACTTGCTGGATGACATGGAACCATTTCTGCGCGTCGGCGGCTGAATGGGCCTTGAAGGCGAGTTCTGTGCTGCCGGTGAGTTTGGAGCTCATGGTGCCGCTTCTGTCTTTACCCTTTACGTTGAACTTGTCACCGCTCGGGGTACCGATTACTGCGTCTGGTAGAAAGAGAGACAGCTCCGGCTTGGGATCTATGCGAGAGTCGTCCGAATCCTTGAACTCGTGAAGCCACTTGGCCGGTGTGACGACGTAGTAGCCCGTCGAGTAGCCCCAGGACAGCTTGTTGCGAGACTTGCGCTCCAGGGAGCCCTCGATCAGGGGCTTGGTCGCCGCGTGGTCCATGTTAGGGAACTGGATGGCATCCACGGCACGAGGCGGATCATTCGGGTTGGCCAATCTATCGGAACAACGCTGCGTAAAGTTCTGCCACTCAAAGTTGACGGGGACACACTGAATAGTGCCTAACATGTCGTTATACAGGGCGCGGGTCTTCTCGCCTTGACCTCCAGCAAGTTGGACAAACGCCTCGACGGCCTGCTGGAAGACTTCGATGACGTGTGCCTCAAACGTCTGGAAGTTGTTTTGGACGGCAATCAGGTCATTGTGGTGGTTGTTCTCGGCAACAACCTGGTTGCTCAACCGGTGCATCACACCTCGGTGGATGACATAAGGATCATCGCCGGCATGGAGCTTGCCACCAGCAGAGTCGTAGGAGGCAGTCTGCTGGCCGAGGAGCTCGATTTGCTTCTGTGTGACATTGCGCAGCTTCTCGACTTCTTTGGCACTGCTCTGAGCACCGCCATGGAGCTCCTTGGCCTTGTGCTTGATTTCCTTGTGAAGACGCTCGAGGATGGGTAAGACAGAGCCCTTGAGACTCTTCTCAGTCTCAATGTTGGTATTGATTTGGGCCTGTGTGTTGGAGCGTATGTTTTCGAAGAATCCTGCAATACCCCCTAGGCTCTGGTCAAAATGATGGCCCTCGCGAAGGGGGTTGGAGATGGTCTGCCAATGCGAGTCAGCCGGTACGTTCTCTAAGCATCAGCGCTCACTGGGGGGCATGTCGAACCTTCAATGCCTTCTCGTACTCCTTGGCCTGGCGGCCGTGAATCTTCTCGATAGCAGTCACATATTCCTCAAGGTAGCCGCAAGCATGCTTCCATGCCTGCAAACGCTCGGCAAGCAGTCCTGCAGTCTACTATCCGGTTAGTCGGTCGCCCATTTCTGCATCAAACGCCAATAACCGGTAGAACGGCTTCGCACTCAACAGAGCCCACCTACGGTATTGGGATCAAAGTCGGGGACAGCCTCCTCAGTATGCCCGCTCAAGCCCGTAGTAGCGCGCGACGGCAACGTCGTGGAAGCCGGAGAAATGGGAGACGCCATGGCTTCGCAGGTTAGGAGACAACGGTGACAGTTCGAAACGGGCGAGGGAGAACGGAAATCCGATTCAGAGAGCTTCGAGAGGGGGTGGAGTTAAATTAAGCTAGGATACCCAGAAGCGGGACAAGGGTTAGCGGTGAGCAGCGACTCGACCGAGTTTGAGAAGTAAAATGAGGCGCGATGCAAGGTTGCTTGGTTGGCGCCTAAGTGGTGACGGGGGAGAAATGAAATGGCTAGTGGTAGGTCCTGCAAGCGCCGTACTCGAGTATGACGATGCAATTGCCGAACTCGCGGGGAGAATGGCGTCTTCATATATGTTGGAAAGGGGGGTAGAAGGGGGAGGCTAGGGAGCACCAGAATCGAGCCAAGAAACGGACAATGGTCCAGACCTAGGTCACCAGAAACCGGCCGAGGGCTGCCGCGGGCCAAGTGATCAAAAATCAAGAAATAGCTCCAATCCCAACATTGAAGGGAGCGGGGGAGCAAATGAGATGCCGCCAGACACGCCATGAGTCCATGACAGAGGGGCAGAAGAGTCTCCCGTGCAACAGAAAGCTCACTCACCAATTCGCCGTGGCACCAAGTTGTACAACGAAAAAAAAAAAAAAGTATAAAAATGGAAGAGAAATCCCAAAGAACCAAAGCAGATTCCAACAAGTGTCGCGATGTGCCAAATGGTGTTGAAGAGCCGGGTCCTCAAACCGTATTTATCAACATCTTGGCTCAAGCAACGGTCAGCAACGGGCCCCTCCCCCTTGAGCCTTGACTAGTAGTAGTACTACTACTAGCACGGAGTCCAGTTGTTGTAAATTGTGACGTCAACGGCAGATATCTGGACCGTCTCGGCATCCCAGCGTCCACGGCCCCGCCAGTTTCGTCCCTTGATCCGTAGCACACCTGATAAGGCCCGCACACAAACCCCGCCGGCGAGTAACAAGACTGCTAACACCCCAGGTGCCAGCCCTGACGGCCGCCCCTGTCAACCCTTCGCTTCCCCCATCATGGCTGTGCAACTTGGCACCCGCATCCAGGGACCAGCTACCCTCTTCTTTTCTTCTTTGGCGTCGCAGCTCAGACCCTGCCAACCTGCACAGCTCAGCTGGATTAGGATCCCAAGCGACCAGGCAGGTCGTCTCACCCGCTGACGAATGATTAATCGATGGAGCAAGCAGTAGTGCTCTGCACGGAAAACTCCGCCCTTTGACAGAAGCAACACACTTGATGCAGTTGGTCTTGCGTCGTCCGTGTTTCGACCTCATGCGACTGCGTTCCATGCAGCACCAGACAGACCATCAATGGCGTCGTCTGGTCGGCAAGCTCCACCGTCCAAACGTCGCAGATCGGGCCATGGTTATAACAAAGGTACTTACTTACTTGCCTCTCGGCACTTTATAGTTGGGCTGGTGTTTCTTGGCAAGTAACCTTAATTGCACTTTAAACTGCTTTGGTGTACTCTACCATTGACTCCATCCATTCCGGCCGATATGGGTCGAGCATATACAACCCGTCGTCACCACTTCTACATCAACCAAAACACACCCCAAGTCTAAAAAGACAACATATAGAAATTTGTAGCAGCCCTCACAAGGGGAGTCTAGCATTCAATCTACTGTAACCAATTCCTGCCCATCATCTCTCGTCATAACACAACTTGACATAAAATGCGCTTCGTAGGGTAGCCCAGGTATCACATTACAAAAACTCTCCTGATAATCCATGGTATTCTCTCTTCTTTGTTCTTCTCTTCTCCCCGCTTCACAAGTATATCCAAGAATCATCTATACCGTATCCAATAAACCCAATTAACAACGCCAAAGGGGGGAAATGCTGTCGCTTCCCAAGCAACAAAATGCTATGACAGCAAAGATAAAACTGTCACATGCCTCCAACACCATGTATCTTGATAAACCGCTATTGACAATACTTCGAATGCCTCTGCCAGGGGGGCAAGGACTTAGGCCCAATAGAAACAAAGCAAAGATAAATCATAATGATAATAATAATAACAACAACAAAAGACGGCTAAAATTTGCAGCCAGCACGCCATGTGACTTGACATGATGGGTCACGAGCTGCCCGAGTTCGCTACAACGCTGGAAAGATTGGATGGTGCACTGGTCAGACCACGGTTTTCACCCGACCGATCCTCGGATATGGTACTCAACGGCTCAGGAGTAATATCTGTGGCCGGAGGAGTGCGAGGTGCGTGTAACGCAGTTTGGTAATCCGGAACAAGTCCGGCTGCGGGCGGCGTCCGAGACCACGCCGGTGTCCGGACAGCCGTTGCATAGCTGGGTACACGGTTGAGCTCCGCAAACTCGGCAGGATCCAAGTCAACGTGCTCCGTCGAGTTTCTGCCCGATCGATCCTCCTCGCTATTGCTCCTAGTGAGGTTTTGCGAAGGCGGCTCGGACCGGGGGGCGGACCCATGGTGGCCCGATGTCGGCGACACCCTACCAGAAGGGGAATGTGAATGGACCGACGTATACGATCGATTCCTTTGGGAGGGATTGAGTGAAACGTCGGCCAACCTGGACGATAAGGCCGCCGGCGCTATCGGCGATGGATGGTGCGCCAATGAAGCGAGGTTCTCTGCCGAGCCACTCCTCGACTGTGAATAGAAGGGGCTGCTGACGCCCGACTGGACTGCTGGGGTTTGGAAGCCAGAGACATCTACATCCTCGTAGAGTTGGTCCAATACATGCTCGCCATACCCCGGCGGTGCTACCAACGCGTTTTCCGTTGAGGGGGCGGAGCTGCCTTGGCTCTGGCTCAGCAGGTTCCCCTGTTCGTCAAAAGGAATGTTGGGTGAGATGAAAATTGATACAGGAAGGGTGGCCCGAAGCTGCAAAGGTTTTACGTTAGCGATCCATCTCACACCACCGCCGACTGACAAAACCCAAGAGGTTCCCGTCCGCACTTGTTCCAAGTCTTAATTTTCATACCTCTGAAATGTGGCCGTCGGGGTTCTTCAGTGCCACAGTCAGCTTGATTTTATGCCTGACCTTGATGCCATGATGGTTCAGATCTTGAATACACTGACGAAGTCGCTTGGGAAGAGGCAATGACTTGGCCAAAGCCCAACCCTCCTGACCAGTATCTTGTATCATGTCTTGCCAATGTTCCTCCCTGTTCACTTCGAATCGCCAAGTCGCCACCTCTCGCTCGGTGCGGTGTTCGCGCATGCTGAGACCCGTTGCGCCTTGGATCCAGCAGTCGCGAATCTCAATCATTTTTGCCGTAACGTCTCCAAGCTCCAATCCCTTGAGTAGAGGGGTAAATCGCATTTCCATATTAATGGTGCCGCCGAATACGACCGCCTTTTGTGGGATAACGATGGAGTAATCCACCTTGTTGGGCCAGATGTTCTCTACGCTCATGGCATGCAAAAACTCCAAAGCGCCGGGTTCCAGAGTCCTGATGATGCGTAGGTGCTTGTACGCATGCAAGTCGTATGCGAGCTTGCCACGGCCGACAGTCGCCTTTAATCTGTAGGTGATGGAGGCTTCGCGGATGCCCTCTACGCTTTCTGCAGTATCTCCCGGCAGCATAAACTCGAAGGGATATTCGTAGTTGCCAGCGGGAAGAGTCATGCTCTTGCCGTGGGTGCCGACAAAGGGCTGCCATCGATGGTCGAGAATAATGGTGGCCTTGTCAACTTTTTGCCCCGAAACGCCAGGAGCGGTCGATCTATGGTCAGTCCATCTGTGCAGGGAATCCAATGTTAGACTTTTGAAATGCGGCAGGGAAGGTAACAATTTTGCTAGCATCAAGAAAGAAGCATACGATAAGCGCAAGGTGCCCACGAGGCGCAAGTGAATGTCCTCGATGCGCAAGGGGGACGAGAGGCAGAGAACTACGACCCCCTTGAGGAGCTGACCCGAAGATTCATGGTCATTTCCTCGAAAGACAATGAAGTCTTGGTCCAGCCTGTGATTGAAATCGTGTTAGCATGCTAGAGATAGATGATCTATTGTCCGGGATGGCTTGAAACAAAAAAAAACAAAAAAGGCTGATTGCCAGCCAGGGTTTGTTTGGAGGGGTGACTAAAGTGCCACATGGACGAGTTGTGTAACAAGAGTACTAGCACGAGCACGCACAAGATGCAGACTCTCTCATGGCCTCGGTATCACAAGAAGCAGACTCACCGGATATCAAACAGGCTGTAACTGTTTCGCCCCGTCACGGATGCAAACGGCTTGAACGACGGCATGGTCTGGGTGCCGATGCACTATGCAAGCAGGCGAGTGGCGGCGCAACTGGCGCTTGCAATAGACGAGGGATGGATGCCTTTTGCCAGGCGAAGTAGAAACAAGACGGGAGACGCAGCCGACCAAGTCGCAGGGAGGAGCAGTACCGCAGTAGTATTTCTTTGGAAAAGACAGAAATGAGGCGGCAGACGAGGAATTGAAATGCAGAGAGAGAGAGAGAGAGAGGAGAGCGAAGAGCAAAGCCCGCAAGAGCAGAAGGCAAGGCGACGAGGTCGGCGGGCGGCCGATTTGGTGGAGCCGGTTGTATTATTTCAGGAAGTCGACTTTTTGAGGCCAACCACATGCGAACTGAGCTGGGACCGTCGTATCGTCTGGTCTAGTCGAGTCGGTCGGCTGTCCGTGTCTGGCAGCAACAACAGTGGTAGTAGCACTGGCAGTGGTACCGCTGGCACCGCGCTGCTCGCTTCGCTTCCGGGTCAACCAGAGCTGGCGTCTCTGGGATTCCCCCTGTGGTTATGATCTGTCGATGCCGCGCCGAATGGGCAATCTGGTCTGGTCGTCTGCTCGCTCCCACTCTCTGCTGTTGCTGCTGCTGCTGCTGCTGCTGCTGCCACAGTCGACTCACGAACCCTGCTGAATCGGGTCAACGGGCCTCTCCACTCTGGACCCAGATTTGCCAGTGTCACACTCTGCCTGCTGTCGCCAGGCCCTGCGTACTCCGTGCTCCGTTGTACATACGCCAAACACGCCCGGTATACCCAGGTTCCTAGGCACCATGTGCCTGTGAGCACATGTACCCACGCGGTATCGCAGGTGGCCGATACAGGTGGGGCCGTCCTCTGATCCACTCCAAGATGGGCAGATGGGCAGATGCTTCAAAGAGTCCTGGTTTAGCCTTGGCCACTAGCAGGGCCGCCTTTCCAGAACGTTGACGTGCTGTCAATTCTCCTGCCGGGCCCAACCTTGAAACCGTCCCTATCAAGGAGGAGCGCTCCGACGGTCCAAGGCAGGGCGATGAGATGGGCCGGTTGACGCCCGAAGAGAGAGGATCCGGTTGCGCAATGCGCCAGTGTCCACCTGCGTGCGACTTAACGCTTGCTAGATTCCAACGCGAACGACTCGCGCTCTCGAGGCAATGATGCGGCGGCGGCGGCGGCGGCGGCGGCCCAGTTAATGTTGTTGTGGCGCTCGGCGTCCACGTTGGCCGCTCAGGGTCCAGATGTCTGGTAGATACAAGAAGTCGTCGATGGTGCTGGGTGACGCTATCGCAAAGCACCCAAAGCCAACCAAGAGTATCCGGCTGGCCGATGGGTGGAAATGAGAAAACTGTGTTCTAGGCTAGCAAAATTGTTCGATGGCTGTTGGGCAAGTCTTTGCGGCCATGAACCAGCTGGCATATAAGTACTCGGTCGAGTGACGATGTTTCTTTGTTGGCGCGGGTTCGCTATGGGTGAGTCGTGACAAAGGAGCGAACAACGCCTCAGGGGGAAGCACGCGCCTTTGGTATATTAATACGGCTGGGGAAACTTAGACCAAGTCCCAAAAAGGAGGCAACACAATCTCCAAGACGATTCGGGGTCCTCAGGGACGGTGACAATTTAATAGTAAATCCAAGCAAACATGGCATAACGAAAGTACTCCCGAGGTACTCCGGGCCGCATGCAACCGATAGGCGGCCACGAGGTACCTCTCTCGTCCTGCGTACGGCAAAATGCACAACCTCCGAGTGCCGATTGTCACGAGTCCAATCGTTCCAAGAGCTCCCGACGGGCAACCACGCGGGCCCTTGCCAAGCTGTCAAACTAGGTGCAGACAGACACTGATGAGGAGAACAAAGACTCGTAGACGCATTTGTCGCGCCATGGCGCCGTCCCTCGACGTGGAACCTCGCCTGAACCTGAATATTAAATGCCTAGGTACCTACTAAGTCGTAGGACGGGCTTTTATGCACAGGTAAGTGAGGTACGGAACAGTTACTCAAATGGCATTAATTGATGTTTGCCTCCTGTCACTACCCATAATGATTGTGCACCTCTAAGGACAAATAACATTTCGGCAGTTCAAATGTTCAAAATGCATCAACTCAAGATGAATCCGAATGTGCGCACATGTCGCTGCCAGATCCAAGGAAGGTGCAGCTGAGTAATAACTACGGAGTACACGGTGTACATACATACGTGCCGTCACTCTCAAGGTGAGACAGGGACCGCTATTAGACGCCATTCAGCCCTGCGTCACAGTCGGCGCAGTAATTGAAGCCAACGGCCAACCGCTTCAACTTCAATCCCGCTCGCCCCGGCGTCCGGCACCGGGCAAAGCATCTTGCGCACCGCGATTACCACAAACAAGACGAAACGAATCATACGCCAAGTGGAAGCACGCATTTCACCGGGCAGGCGTGGAGGGCACACCGTCCAAGCTTTGGATGGATGCTCACATCATGGCAAATAGGTCCATCCGAATACCGAGGCAAGTGAGTCACCGCGGTGAGTCGAGCAATACGCCTCGCAACACGACTGTTCCTCGACGCATTCGTAAGCACTTGTCATTCATCGGGGCATGCTTGAGTATTTAGCTTGTCTGGAATCTTGGCTGGGGAAAACGTGCGCGCGCGTTCTGGTTGAGCAGCGGCATTTGTCCCGTCGCGCGTGCTTTTTGCCTCGCAATATCTGGTGCCTCTTATGCTGGCCACCATGACGCCATCAACCTGGGAGTGCACGATGCGACGACCGTGGTATGTCGTCCTAAATACCAAAAAAAAGGGGGGGGGGGAACATCGAAATAAAAATAGAGAGCTGAGGAGCTGAGGCACCCGCTCCATCAGACCAACACCTGATAGAAGCCGCGCATTGCGCCATCTACGAAATCTCGCCATGGCGGTCAACACGTACTACGTACATAGATAAATGGCCATGGATTCACGAATTTGCAACAAGCCTTGGATCCACAGGGCGGACCTGTGCCGGGTTCCATCTTTGATTAACAGGGTTGCAGGGATCGTGATACGATCTACGGTGATAAAAAAAAGTTGTCAAACCGTCCACTTTTTTTCGCCATTTATCTAGATAAAAACTGCTCCAAGGCCGTCAGATAAGAGCATGGACTGTGACTTGCTGACCCGGGTGGACTTTTCTTCATCCATCGCATGATGATAATGGCGCAGTATCAACAACGACATGTCATCGGGTTCGATTCGCGGCAGTTTTTGCTGAGCACTCGCTCACGGTGGAAACGTGAGAATTCGAGACGAACCAAGTCACCACGGACGCACCAGACGGCTCTCTTCTGCATGCAGCACAGACCGCCTGGCTCGTCTCGTCTCGTCGAGCGTTGAACATTGAACTGAACGCAGGCCCTGTCTGGTCTTCCAGAAGCATTCGTCGCCAAGCCACACCACACCCCTGTCACTCAGGCCAGCACCGGCACCAGCACCAAGGCAGGGCCAACAAACAAACAAACTCGACTTGACACGACGCTCCTTTCTCGGATGCTTAAACTGCGCCACTTCCCAGACGGACATGCAGATTGCGTCTTTTCTCCCATACTACATACTAGTACATATGTCGTCTCCAACCAAATTGCGCAACATGATCAGATAGTGCATACATCGGCTCTTTGCTGCAGAACTGCAAAACATGCCACCAATGCACAAGTACGGGTCTGCCGTTGGAATGGGCCCGGCCGTGCTCGTCGCATAAAGAATAATAACCACAATGTGCCTGGAACAAAGAACCCTTTCCCAGCGTTTCGCTAGTTGCCCGCTACATTCGACTCTTGTATCGCCGCCGGTAACATGTGAAGACCGGTTCTCGGAAACTTCCCATCTTCCCGCGCCGATCGTATGTACATACAGGCCGGCAACTGGGCCCAAGGGTCCTCCTGGCTTACAACACACCATTTCACATGTATATACATACATACATACGACCTACTCAAGTAAATACATGTATAGCTGTATGTATGTGCCTGAATATCTCTCCCCCGTTAGACCATCTTCCAGGATCTGGTATCCACTTCCCTGGTCATTGTGGGCAGATGGAAGTCATGGTTGTGGACTGCACACACAGATGACTCGGGCAGATTCGGACTGCTTGGCCGATCTGATGGCAATGAGGAGCCAACGTGCTGGTTCTGTTTCCGCATTCGCTGGCCTAGGAATTGTTGAGATTGGGGCCTTCAGTACTCCCTACAGCCTTGTCATGGACACCTGCCCTCTTCACAACTGCACCAGGCATAATGAGAAAGACTGGCATTAACTCTCACCACATGCTATTCGGGACCATGCGACTCAACAAGCGGCGTGCAGACACCATTTTCGTCCTCGGTAGTTGCCGGTCGCATTGAGCCACGTCAGAGTCGATGCCCCTGAACAAATACTATCACATATTGGCGAGTCCCAAAGTGTTTGTGACGCCACTACTTCATTGACCATGCATGAATAGCAACGTACAAGGGGTATCAGAACACCACCCATGATACACTTCAATGTCAATCAAGTATTGGCTGCGTTGGCCGGGCTCTACACTATCCAACACCACCACCACCAGGGCTGTTGTGTCCCCAGTTCTATCCCGCATAGATTCTACTTTACGGAGTACCCTCCCCCCGTTTACACTGACGCCCCAGGTCTGGTCCATGTTCTGACGTGTCCTGTTTGCGCCTGTTAGCCGCCGGCTGACATTTGGCATCTGATTCTACGTTTCATGAAATTGATGTCGTCGACTCACCATTTTTGCAGCTTGTGATAATTGCCTCCTCGGTAAAATCCAACCAGCACGCGGGGTGAGTGTCGATTACCGTCGTCTGGATAGTTTGTCAGCATCAATTACTGATACCATTCATGTTTCTGCATCAAGAACGGCTCACCAAAACTGGCGGCAAGATGGGGATTCGAGATCTTGGCTCAACAGGATGCGAAACTCCATCCCCATACTCGTCTGCCTCATACAAAGAGTTGGATCTCAGTAGAGTGCCCAGAGGACTAGCTGCCTCACTCCGTGGCGAAATGCCAGCAGGTCCGGAAACGGAGCCACGTTGTCTTGCGGAAGTCTTCAACACATGTCAGCTTCCCGAGCAATGCATCCCACTGGTTTCAGTCGTGACTCACCTTTGGCCGATGGAGCATGCCGACATTGAAGTCCCAAAGACATAAGCGGCCGTCGTCACCAACGCTCCCAAAGCGGTAGTTACGTTCGTCGCATTTCCATAGGTCAAAAGCCAGCGATGATACCCAAGACTGATGACCCTGACACCTCGCCACCAACGCAGAGTCTGCAGCCGACCAAATCGATATCAAGTCGTCCTGGCCGCCGGTTAGGACGTACTTGCCGTCCGGTGTCCAGCAGACACATGTCAGACCTCCGTAGTAGGAGAAGAACAAGCTCAGTAGTCTGAGCATCTGTCAGCACCAAACCGGGGCCCAAAGCGTGCGAGGGGACAGCTTACTCCTCTTTCAGGTAGTCTATCAATCTCAAAGTTCCATCCTCGGATACCACCGCCAAATGCCGGTTGTCAGGTGAAAAGGCAAAAGAGTTGATGCGCTGATTTGACAACTTCCAAGCCGCAATGGGGTTTGTCTTTTGGTTCTGCGAATGCACGGATTTAGCAATATGCATCTTGGTCCCAGGTTTCACTCCATTCTGGCCATGACCAGACTCGCTACCATGCACACTAGTCTCGTCGTCCTCGGGGGTAAACTGTGAGTCGTCCTTTTCCTTGTCGTAGACAACCAGAGAGCCATCCATGTGTGCCGCCAAAAACAAGTTCTCCGAGCCTGGAATCCACTTGATGTGTGTCACGGGGGTGTTGTTGATGACGCCCTGGGGACCGCACATTAGCCTCATCACAGCTCATTGACCAGACGTGCCACTTACATTCTTGTTCATGCGCGTATATCTCTGTGAAATGGGTTCCCACCAAATAATTTCCCCGGTTGAGAAGCCCATAATCACGTCAATGTGCGACGCTCCCTTGGTCACCATATTTACGTCATGGCTCAGACAGTGCGCCTTGGTGAACAGAATCTTGGTGAAATAGTCTTGCTGTTTGCCAGAGTCAGATGCAGTTTAGATATACGGGACACACGGCAAATTACCTTGTTTGGAGACGACAAATCTAGCCATTGGAAAGCGCGGTTGATGTTGGCAAAGGCAAAGATGCCGTCGCCGGGTCTATCTGTCATTCTTCTTGACAGGCTCTCATTGACAATAACTCGCGAAATAAAGGACGAATTACTCTTGGTCACATTGTTCTTTGGCTTCTTTCGCTTATTTACGTCTTTGGTTTGTGACGGCACAAGCAACGAGTTTCCCTCGCCGAATGCCGGGGTGAATCCAAGAGTCGCCGAGTTTGGCGCATCGCTCGTAGATGTTCCCCGACCATCTTCACTGCTCATTCCGCCCTCGGTAGAATACCTAGCATCCCCAGACTGGTCCTGCGAACTAGCTCCGCCCAGTGACAGTGTCGTGGCAGATGGTCCTCTGTAGAAGAATGGCGGCGGCCGGGACTGAATACGGACGAGTGTCATTTTCGTACCCACGGATGCAGGTTGCGGGTTGGTGGCTAGCGGATTCGGATTGACGATGGGAGCTTCGGATGGATGTGGAGGAGGTGTTGCGAGGTGCAAGTCTTCCTTGAGGACGTAGGTGCCTTGAAATATGTTTCATTAGCATGGCCATGGGGAAATAGCAAATGACGACAGTTGGTCCGGTGAAACCCACCTTCTCCCACTAGAAACTGCCACTCGGGTCCGGTAGGGTTCGAAATGATATTGTTCGTCTCAATCATGGGCACGATGCCCGTGATACCAGTTGCGCCGTACGGGCCGCCGATGGGATATCGGGGCGGAGGTGGTAGAACACTACAATGGTCAGTTGCGAGACGCTGGGCAAAGCGCAAAGAGGAGCAGAAGGATCTCGTGTCATGGTTATCGCACATACAACATGGTGACGGTACCAATCCGGCGCTGCGTATGATGATACAATGAAAGTGCCGTTCCTCGCTATCTGGTTGGCTCCCGAAGATGGTTGTCTTGGTCACCCCAGTCACCGTCTCCGTCAAATGATGCCGTCAAGCAACGGTGCTATGCAGCGGGGAGTTTGTGACGTCGTTTGCGCAGGGCAGGTCGGAAGTCGGGTTGGATAACGGAATGAGCCGCGATCCCGAGATGGACTGAGCAAGTCTGAGGAAAGGTCAACAGTCGACAGCCAGGCGAGGGGAAGACGACAGTTGGCTCAGCCCTGGCTGCCCTTTATCCGGAACTGACTGAGCTGAACAACCTGGGGGTTTGCCGGCTCTGGTATTAGCATTGGTGTTGGGTCGACTGGTGACTGGTGGCTCAGAGTCTCGGAGTGCTGGAGAAAGAGTGTGGGGTACGTTGGAGCACTTGAGCGCTCGACTCAACTCCAGACTGGAAGCAGCACGGCGCGACCATTGTTCAGGTTGGGGGCCGTAACGACGGATTCGTGGCTTGGTGGCTTGGCGAGAAGCCAATTGGATGCCCTTTTTGGTCCTGTGTTGCAAAACATGGACCAACAGCGGTCAACACCAAGGACCGGAACTATCGCGACTGTCATGGCGACCGGAGGAGTGCAAGGAATCATGGAGGGCACAAGGGCGCAGCGCTGCCTACCAGGTAGGGAGGTAGGTAGACGGTTCAAACGTTGGTGCGAGCATGGACACATACATCGGGGTATTTCTCCCCATCGGCCTTTATTGCCAGCCCATCTTGCAGAGTAGCGATGTAGCACGCCACGTGAGAGGCGAGAGGGAATGACAAGGTGCCATGCAGCAACCAGGGCAAGCTACTTAGTACGCGCCAGGATCTGGTATTGATCGACATGCGATGCCGCTGGGCAGCCGCTGTATTAGTATACTTGACTTCTTATGACGCCGCCGCCAACGATTGACAGAGACATGGAACGCCTTCGACGTTGACGTACGGTGGCACCAGACCTTCTCGATAAGCTCGGTTCGGTTCGTCGCTGGACGCCGCGAACGGATTGGCGTATCAGCTCAGGGCTGCTGCCTGGCGGCATCAACACATGGATTGACGTCTTTCGCTCAAATCTCATGTCAACATTGAATGCACGCAAAGGACCAGACCTGCCTAGTAACTTAGTAGGTCCTCCATCGTGCCAGTGGCCCCCCATCCCCCCAACATCGAAGGCACTAAATCCATTGATTGACGAACCGCAGCCCACACCGCCGGCTGGCTGGTTGGCTGATAATACTGCGGCACAGCTGGCAGTGGTTCCACGACTGCCCAATCTCGCCCAATCCCATTCCAAGGCTCCGCGTGCAATTTAACATGGAGCCAGCTCCTCCCGAACCATTGGCACCGCTGCCACTGCTGACACCACCCAGCAGTGTAATAATAACGCGACAGGCGTCCCAATCTCGCCAACCCATCTTCGCAATCAGCTTCGCTTTCTTCTCTCGAGCGCCGTCAGACACACCGTGTCTTGCTGGCAGAGATCGATCCGTCAATACGTTCGGCTTAAGCTTGTTAAATAGGGAAAAGTGGTTTCCTTTAGCCGTCGAGGACATGGCCTAGCCGTAACTTTGCATCCAGCCGAGGTTGCCGTTACTTTTACCACGCACTGCTTTGCCTTCCAAGTTCTACTGAGCACAGTTCGTTCACCGACCAAATATGACGACAGGTACGCATCACTGCCGAGAAATTTTCCCATCGGCCCCATTGCCATCTCGAGCATCGTCATCATCTCATATACTAACTTCAACCTCCACGCAGTTCGAATTTGCGTGTGCGGTGACGAGAGCACGGGAAAGTCCAGCCTCATTGCTTCGCTCGTCAAGGACCAGTTCATGAGCAACAAGATCCAGCCAGTCCTCCCCCAGATCACTATTCCGCCCAGCATCGGAACCCCAGAAAATGTCACGACAACCATCGTCGATACCTCTGCCCGTCCTCAAGACCGAACCACCCTGCGCAAGGAGATCAGAAAATGCAATGTCATTCTCCTCGTCTACGCCGACCACTACAGTTACGAGAGAGTAGCTCTCTTTTGGATGCCATATTTCCGGTCTCTCGGTGTCAATGTTCCTGTTGTCCTATGTGCCAATAAATCAGATCTCGCCGGTCAGGGCAACACCCCTCAGATCATAGAGGAAGAGATGTTGCCCGTCATGGCTGAATTTCGCGAGATCGATTCCTGCATCAGAACCAGTGCTCGAGAACATAAAAACGTCAACGAGGTCTTCTTCCTGTGCCAAAAGGCCGTCACCCATCCCATTGCCCCCCTCTTCGACTACAAGGAAGGTCGCCTCAAGCCGGCTTGCGTAGCCGCTCTCAAGCGAGTCTTCTTCCTTTGCGACAAGGATCAGGATGGCTTCTTGAATGACCAAGAGATGCGGGACTTTCAGGCACGCTGTTTTGATAAGCCTCTTACCAGCGACGACTTGGATAACATTAAGCTGTCCATCTCCAAGACTATGCCCGATGCGAATCTGGAACGGGGCATCGATCAATCTGGCTTTCTACAACTCAACAAGATTTACGCCGAGAAGGGTCGGCACGAAACTATTTGGATCATTCTTCGCAAATATCACTACACCGACAGCTTGAGTCTTGAGGACAAATTCCTACATCCCAGGTTTGACGTTCCTGAGTATTGCTCAGCTGAACTAAGCCCTATTGGATATAGGTTCTTTGTGGACTTGTTTCTGCTCTTTGACAAGGATAATGATGGAGGGCTGAACGACCAAGAGCTCGAGGCTTTATTCTCGCCCACTCCTGGCCTCCCGGCTTCTTGGGTCGACTCATCCTTCCCTTCCTCCACAGTGCGCAACGAAGGCGGTCACATCACACTGCAAGGTTGGCTAGCACAGTGGAGTATGACAACGTTCCTGGAGCCAAAAACTACTATCGAGTATCTCGCCTACCTCGGTTTCGAATCCCCCAACGTCAAGGACGACATAACCGCCGCCCTCAAGATCACCAAGTCCCGAAAACGAAGAAGACGGCCGGGCAGGGTCGAAAGAAATGTGGTTCTCTGTTACCTCATCGGAGCCCCAGGAGCCGGCAAGTCCTCTCTTCTCGACTCATTCCTAAACCGACCATTCGAAGGGCTATATCACCCCACCATCAAACCCCGTCGGGCAGTTAATAGCGTGGAACTCCCTGGTGGTAAGCAGGTGTATCTCATTTTCGAGGAATTGGGCGAGCTCGAACCAGCCATTTTGGAAAACCGGTTCAAATTGGATGCCTGCGATTTGATTTGTTACGCTTACGACTCCTCCGATCCCGATTCCTTCTCCCATATCGTCGATGTGAGGTCCAAGTACCCACATCTCGACGAGCTGCCTTCTGTTTACACCGCTCTAAAAGCCGACAAAGATAAAACCACGCAGCGAAGCGAGCTCCAACCCGACCAGTACACATCTTCGCTCAGCATGAACACGCCACTTCACGTGAGTGTGACTTGGAACAGCATCGCCGAGCTCTTTGTGGCACTCGCCGAAACCGCAACCAACCCGAGCATGGGATTCCCTAAGACAGAAGAGGAAGCTCCCGATCGTACAAGCTTGTACTTGGCTCTCGGAGCCACTGCCTGTGCAGCCGTTGCTGCTGTCATGATTTGGCGTCGTTCAACAAACGCCGCATAAACCACCAGTCAATACCAACCCTATACTATTTATCTTCACTCTAGCCACTTGAGCGTTTGGCTACAGCGTTTGAGCTTATCTTAATCTTTCTTGCTAAAAACGAAAAAAAAAAATCAACGGAGCGACACACCACTCTTTATTAATACCCGGTGTAATTTTGGGGGTGCAGCTGTATAACAAAAGCTTTTTGGACTTTTATCGAAATGCCGGGGATTATTTTTTTAATTGGAGATTCTGGGGAGTTGTCTGCATGGCCAGGAGTTGTCACAAGTTGCTGCAGTTGGGACAATCGGATTATGATACCCCCCTACTCCTACGTCGCTAACCACAGGAAGAGTTTAACAGTATATTCATGATTATAACGACAAATAAACAATCAGCATTTTGGGTATCTTTGCATCTGTCTCGTCACCATGTCTGCCTCTGATCGTAGTCACCCCCAACGACTGACACTTTGACTTGGGAAACGTCGACATGAATTGTTTTCATGTAAATTATTCTGCGCTTGCACGGCGGAGCTAAACTTGAAATTACACCTTGTAAAAGCAAAAACCAATATAGAAGCTAGCAGCTTCCATCTCCTCGTCTGACACCAAAAGCGGTCCTCCACCTCGCTCCCTCACACCCATCCTCTCACTCAGGGGTCCCAGTTCTGGATCATCCTTCTCCGCTTCCCAGATCTCACTAAACGTTCGGTGGAACTGCAATTCGAGATTAAAGTCGTCCGCCAACGCACGGAATGCCTCCCAGGGGACAACATATTCCGGAACTTCTTCTACGGCTTCGTCTAGGAAGAAGTTGTATTTCCAGCCGAATGCTGGCCTGAAAATGCCATCCTGAGGTGTCTTGCCGGGGAACCGGACGCGATAAATGGAGTTGCCCCATTCGGCGGTAGGTTCCTCCTCGCCCTCTTCCAGCTCACCGTCCTCGGGTTCAGCCGGGGGTGGCGTGGTGGTGGTGGTGGTGGCACCGTCGCCGCCCTTGTCCCTTTCCTCCTTTTCTGCCTTCTTGGCAGCGGCCTTTTCGTTGAAGGCGCGGACCTTCTCGCCCAGCACGTCCGAGTTGGGGATGCAGCCGATGAAACGGCCGCCTTTCTTGAGGGCTCCTGCGACGTTGCGCAGCATTGTGCGGGCGTTCTCTTCGCACTCGAAGGCGTAGTGCATGGAGAACATCATGGTGACGACGTCGAAGCCGCGCTTGTTCATGGGGGACGGGTCGAAGCCTACTTGCTGGACGATTTCGATGTCTTCAATGCTCTCGCGGTAGCAGTCTTTGACATGGAAGCGGGCGTCGAATAGGCGGGGCGGTGGTCTGCGGTGAGAGCCGCCGCGGCCGCCACGGCCTCGTGAACAGAGGATTCTATAGCGGTCGCGGGCTTGCTCGATACTCACGTCGGCAGGGTCGAGGCCGACGTAGAGCTGGATTGGTTGCGGCGCCTGTTGCCACTTGTTGAGGTCACCGCCTTTTCCGCAGCCTATGTCAAGAACGAGGAGGTCTTTGCCGCTGGAGCGGCCCATTTCGCGGGAGCCCGGGGTGTGGTCTTCGTCGGGGGAGTAGCGCTGGATGATGCAGCTCTTGATCCAGTTGTTAAAGACACGGAGGCCCTTGATCTTACTGTCTGTCGTTCTCCACTGCCTGCCTCTCTCGGGCACGCTGTTGTAGTGTTGGCGGACGACGTCGTGTACTCCTCTCATGTGGTTCTGCTCTGCGGCTGCGGCTTGTTGGGCGGCCTGCTCGCGCTCTCGCTCGATTTGGCGCTGCCGAATAGCCTCGCGTTCGGCTTCGGAGATGCGGGCTCTTGCTCCTGGGCGCTTTTGCTTGCGCGGCTGTTCGGACGGCGAGACGGCGCGTCTCTTGGCAGCTTGGAGGGAATTCGCGTTGTAGGGTTGAGGGAGGTCATCTTGCACCTCGTCTCGGGCTCGCTTCTTGTTTCTGTGATGGGATGATTCCCCATTTCGAGTCCTGTCATCTCCATCGTAGTCGGGCATTGTGAGCTGCGTCCTCCGTCAGTGGAGGTTTCTTCGTTGCTTGGGCTTTGGTCTGCTTTCAAAGATGTCTGGTGTTGCGGAAAGTCAATGTCGGGGGCTGACCTTGTGCGAGGTTGGACGTCACAAGGCGGTTGTGGGGCCCAACAGCTGCAGGAAATCCGAGCACATCGGCAAGATCACGTAATTGCGCACACCGAATCCCTACTGGTATAGCAGCAACCCCAGTAGCAAGACGTGCATCGACCGAGCATTGTCTGGGTCGTGCCCTGTGTATTCGGTCAACTATGCTAGTCGTTCTAGTTCCTCGTCGTCGAAAGGCGTTGACCGCTCGGCGTAACTTTTCTACTACGTACGGCCAGCAACAGACCATCAAATTCACACAGAAATAGCGCAAACTAGGTTGCTTTTGACAATATCACTCCATGAAAAAGAATAGAGCCATTTTCGCACTGATTAAACCCCACCCGCAGTTTACACCCTAAATAATATTGGGAATGTATCAACCCATGTGGCATGGCAAGTTTTCAGTTTTCCGAAAATTGCCAGGTCTAGGGTAAGGCACTTGGAAGACATGGGAGCTGTGCGTGTTCCGCTGAAGCCTTGTCGTCCAGAAGAGGGCCCACCTAGTTCCAGCCTTCCCTGTGGCTGCGATTCCGACAACAAGACAAGCTCCCTCAAGCTCTCATCACCATCTCAATTGTCAAACCCGGAGTCTGTTTCACGGTCACTCGACTCGACGCCGGATCCTCCTCTCCGCACGTACGGATATACACATAGCAGATTTTACAGTAGCCTTCCTCTTCGTCGTCGGACTTGCCCGCCGCCGCCATGGGTTCAGATCCTCAGTACGCCAAATGGCCGTTGCTGCCGTTGTCACAGCACGTTTTTACCCTGACAAATGCATATGCTTCGAAACCGGCACAAGAGGCGGCTGTCAAGGCACTGCAAGATGCAATCGCCGAGGATAAGATGGCTCCTTTCTATCGGTACTTGGCACACCCTATTGACGGTATTCTGAACGCTGTTGGCGAAGGTGGCGCCCTAGGACCCGGAAAGCCGTTAAGCAGGAAGTCTAGCTTGGTCGGCATGGTTGCCACCAAGGCATCGACAACAAGTGTTCATCTGCCGTGGGACGAGGCTTTGTATTCGAAGCTGAAGGAGGATAATGATAAGGAGTTGGCCGAGTTCCAGAAGGAGGAGGATGAGGCCGTTGAACAAGCTGGCGAAACAGAGGTCATGGCTGCCAAGGGCAAAAGGGCTGACTTTTGGGCCAGAGTGGGTGATAAGGTATGTGGAGTGCTGCTCATTTCTCCTCCTGTATTTTTCCTTGGGCAGGTGGATGGCGCTGACAACTGAAAACAGGACAAGGCAATTGCTGCGTTCGAAGACGTTTTCGAAAAGACTGGTATCCTGGGCACCAAGATTGACCTGGTTCTGGCCATAATACGTATGGGTCTCTTCTACGGAGACAAAGCGCTGGTCCAGAAACATATTGAGCGAGCCACGACTCTCGTTGAATCCGGCGGTGACTGGGATCGCCGAAATCGCCTCAAGGCCTACGAAGGCCTTCACCTCCTCACCGTTCGATCCTACAACCTTGCCGCACCTCTTCTTCTCGACTCCCTCTCTACCTTTACCAGCTACGAACTCTGCACCTACTCCAACCTTGTTGTCTACTCTGTTCTTGCTGGCTCTGTGTCTCTAAAGCGTGTTGACTTCAAGTCAAAGGTTGTAGACGCACCCGAGATCAAAGCTATAATGGGTGACGGAGAGGACAAGCTGATGGCGCTGAGCGGTGCTCTGAGTGCCGGCCCTGGCGCAGATGATACCACTGGCGACAAGGCACCGCAGGCTGCCTCTACAACAGCCGTCAACCTGACAACCCTGGGATCAAGTACTGAGCAGTCCGACGCCGAAATGGCCATTGACTTTAGCCCTCTGGCGCTCTTGGTCAGCAGCCTGTACAATGGAAACTACAAGACCTTCTTCCAGTCTCTCGCCTCGGTCGAGGAGCAGTTCCTCAACCAGGACCGTTATTTGCACGAGCACAAGAGCTGGTTCATTCGCGAGATGAGGCTGCGGGCATACCAACAGCTCCTCCAAAGCTATAGAGTTGTCGGCTTGGAAAGCATGGCCAATGATTTTGGAGTCACAGTTGACTTTCTCGACCGGTACGTCGTAGCTTTGTGAACATAAACTGAACCACAGGAAACAAGCTGACCCTCGATAACAGTGATCTTGCTCGATTCATTGCCGCCGGCCGCATTCCTTGCACTATTGACCGCGTCACCGGCAAGGGCGTGATTGAAACCAATCGACCAGATGACAAGAACAAACAGTACCAGGACGTCGTTCGCCAAGGCGATCAGCTCATTACAAAGCTGCAGAAGTACGGTCAAGCTGTCAGATTGAGGGGCAGCGAGAGGGCATAGATGGGGCGATGAACTTGATTGGAAGAGGATTTTTATTGGCGTATACTATGTCACATAGGTCGGGGTTTCTGAGTCTGGCTGGACTGATACAGAAAGGGAAGAATAGGGCAAACATGCCACTAGCTGCTGTATGAATATAAATCAATATTTCTTCGGTAAGCTGCATGGAATATTTGGGCACGATACCTCAAAAGACTTCGGATCTAGGATCCAGCAGCGTCGAAAGCACACTCTTATTACGCAGCCACAACCACTCTGCTTCTTCCCGTTCAACATGCCCCTCAAACGAAATCAGTACACCTAGCCCTCCAGTCTAACCGACGCACCGTCTGCGCAGCAGCATTGAATCTACGACGATTTCATCCGCGCCTGCCGAAGTTAGACTCGGACACGTTCACTAGTGCCCTGGGAAAATGTGCCCCCCCCGCGAGTCAACTTGGTCATGGACGGACCAGTATCCCCTGTCAGTGACGGCACGAGCCCCGGTACAGTGCTGGTGTAATTGAATTTGCAAGAGTTCTATTGTATGCAATTGTCTAGTTGCCCCAGTTTGGTCACTGGAAAGCACCCCTCGACGGTCGAATCGGGTTGAGATATTTGGCTAATGCGGTCCTCTGCCTCGGGATCCGTTTATTCAGATGGTAGTTTATATATAAACAAAAAAACACGGCCCAAAGTCTTGTCACCTCTAGCTAAATGCAGTGCGAGAATGTCCAAGTGCAACTTGTAAATCAAGCCCAAATCAGTGTGCCCTAACCCTCGAATGCTATCCTGAGCCCCTTATATTCCTTGTGCCGAACATGGCTCTCCATCTTAGATTGTTTTTTTTTTTTGGTTCGCTCACAGGCGTTTACCTGTACTTGTCCATAAACTCCTTGTGGAACTTGACAATGCCAGCAACCCACTCCGTACCAGGCGCAAGGAAAGTAGTTCGGAAGTGGAGCGTGCCCTCCTTCTGACCAAAGCCCGACCCAGGAACAACACAGACACCTGTGGCCTCGAGCAATCTCAGGCAGTAGAATTCGTCGGCGGTGCGCTTTTCGGCGGCGGCGGCTTCGTGAGCCTTTGCAGGTAACTGGATGGTGGGGAAGAGGTACATGGCACCTTGGGGCTCAGCACATTCGACACCTTCCATCTGGCTGAAGGCCTTGTGGAGAGCGGAAGCGCGCTCGCGGAGCCCCTCATGGATGCCAGAGTACTCCTGGCTGTAGAGCTCGTATGATGGCTCACCAGGCTTGGGTGGGTTCACCATGAGCTCGACGAGGCACTGGCCGATGACGGGAGCGCAGAGCATAATGGAGACAAACTTGTAGATTTGGGCCTCAACCTCGGGATCAAAGCCAACAAGCTCAAAGTAACCGCCCCGGTGGCCGCACTCGCCAACCATGCCCTTCGAAATGCTGTGTAGTGAAGCAAGTTCGACACCATCGTATTTGCCGGGGTTCTCCTTTTGCAACTTGCGCAGAACGCTCTTGAAGCTATGGAATTGGCCAATGAAGACGTTGGTCTGGTACACCTCGTCGGCCATGATGACGAGGTTCTCCTGCCGAGCAAAGTCGATTACGGACCTGACGTCCTCCTCGGAGAGGGAAGCACCGGTAGGGTTGCCAGGGTTGATAATGACAATGCAGCGGACATCGAGACCGTCAGCCTTGCCCTTTTCGTAGGCGGCTTTGATGGTTTCAAAGCTGGTCCCCCAAGCCTTGGACTCATCGAGATAGTATGGAACGGCCTGGGCGTCCAGAAGGGACAGAGTGGCGCTGTAAAGAGGGTACTGAGGAATGGGAATCATGATACCCGACTTCTTGTCCGCGCAGATGACGTGGAGAAGAGTGTTGACACCAGACGAGGCACCAGTCGAGAGGTAGATCTTGGAAGGGTCAGCAGGAAAGCCATCGCGACCTGCCGAGTGTTAGTATTTCCCACTCTTAGACAAATGGTGCTGGAGGAATCCCGGCAAGCGGCGATTGGAACCGGAAACCAGAACGATTTGGCAGAAAGAGGACAACACGTTAGAAACTCAGGAAGGGAAAAAAAAACTTACGCTCCAGGAAAGCAGCAATGCTCTCCTTGATAGCAGGGGCACCAGCACTGGCACTGTATGCACCAACAGAGCCGACCTGCGTTAGCAACCATTTGGCACGCTCAATAACATCAGTCTTGTAGCCAAGACCATTGATTAAAACGTCCTCCTTCTTGAGAAGTTCAGGGTTCTCCAGCAAGCTGAGAACTTGGCGGAAAAAGGTAATTGGTTTCTGGTCGAGCTGCTGAGGGTTTCCGATGTTGGCCGAGATGACCTGATTAAAGGGCAGGGTGGTGTCACCGTCCTTGAGACGAGCACGGTACTCCTCGGACTTGACGGCGAGCTCGCCACGAACGGCGTACTGGGCACGCACGACGTGCTCGTTGATGTTATCGCGGGTCAATCTCATTGTCGACAAATGGCGGCGGTGTTGTTGCTGATGCAAATGCAAACGGCGGTGGAGGGGTGATGATGACTTGAGGATGTTTGGCGGGGCACTAGCGGGCAGAAAAAGTTGACGAGGGGCAGTTTCTGCATGCAAGTGTGTCAGACCTTGGTTTGGTATCAAGTTTGGAAGGAGAAGGAAGAAAGAAACAAAGCAAGCTGATTGCGTGAAAAAAAAAACAATATTAATCAAGTGTCAAAGGCGCAATGACCAGAACGCTGGGGAGCCGGATGAGCATCTCGAACATGCTGGCGCCGGCAGGGACTGACATGGCATGGCTCGACTTGGGGGAGAAAACCAAGCTATTACACGACGGAAATAGTCATTCGTCCCTTTTTCGCCCGATCATGGCGCCACAACATGTTGGTACGGACTACGGAGTATATCGCGCGTCTCCCAGGGCTGTGGGGCGGTTTCTGGCGCCGGACATCAACCCACGGCCATCAACGCATTCAGCGGCGCAGTCCTCCGGCGCGGGAGCGGCGTCTGCTGGTGTCTGGTCTGCCATCAATTGATCTCAAGTGCTGTGTCATCATCGTCCAGCGGTGGTGTCCGAGACCGGGGACGCCCGCGACCGGCCAAGTGACGAGGGCGCTGAGATGCATTTTCGAGCACACAAGGTCGCTCGCCCGTCTCTGTCCAACACGGCAACCAAAAGAGAATCCAAGCTTGTGGAGGAAAGAAGAAGGGGAGTCCAATCTTTTCGTCTTACCCGAACTGTGGTATCCGGCACGCAGCACAGCATGGCTGGTCCCCCGTACCACTGATAAATGCCTCTGCCTCGTCGCAAAGCTCATCCTGCTGCCGATTCTGGTCCAAGTTGAACCGTAATCCGGTCCTCCGACGTCCAGACTCTAGTGTTGGGCGATGGCTGTGTACGGTGCAGAAAGCCCGAAGGAAAGATTTCGTCTGTCTTTGTGTCGCGGAATGGTTAGTTGTCGAGACCAAAGTCCATGTCAGACGCAGACAGGCTGCCCGGGGCTTTTACTCGGTCTAATTTCAAGCATTTTACCCATTGCTACCGAACACTCACTCGCTGACTGGGATTTTAAAGAGGATTGGGAAGTCTGCCCCTGAGTATTGCTGCCAGTTACTGTACAGCCCCAGCAATACCTGTAGTTGCCTACAAGTAAGTACTTAAGTACTTAGTAGTAGTCATTAACCTGACATCAAAGGATACACGCATTTTGTATTGCTAGTACTCTGTACACGTTGGTTTACTCTAGTACCTTGACACCCCCCCACCCTTCCTTCCTCACCACATGGCGCTCCTCCTCGGACAGCAAGAACCCTTACCCACCCAGCCTTCACCAGCCGGCTCGGGGCCACCTTTCGCCGGCGAGCTTGGCCCAGGGTCCCGATCTTTTGCCTCAACAGCTTCCCAACTGCACGACAAATCACGAGCCAGATTCCCTATCTATCCGCCGCTCACACATCAATCACCCCCCCCTCATCTGCAACAATGGCCAAGAAAGGTATGATACTCCCTTTGATCCGGCTCCTCTATCCCTCTGCATCGACTGGGTACAGCTTGCTCGCCGAATCAAGAGTATTTTACTAACGTCTACATTCTTCACATCATAGCCAAGGCGCGATTGATCAATGCCCGTCTCATCTCCATGGCCATGACAGGTTTCTTTTACACCTTCAAGAGACCACGAACGGCGCCTCTCATGGGCATGATAAAATACGATCCAATCGGTACGAGTACCACCCTCTCGCATTTCGACTACCTACCATGTGACCGGCCTAGAGCAATTCGCTAACGTATTCTCGCAACCTTGCAGTGCGCAAAAAAGTTCTCTTCCTCGAAACGAAAAAGAGGTCAAAGTAAACAGGCCAATGCGTCCAAAAATTACAGTTTGACTATTTCCATTCATTACCTGCCGCAACCGGGGTTGGATTATAGTGTTTGCTGAAACGTCCGGGGCAGACCGATTGCGCCGGCGCTGTATATCACACATGATGGGCATTTTTGGAGTTTGGGGATATGCTTGCAGCCTGCTGCGGTAATGAACTCATTTCCGCACTGTACGATTATAAACTATTTTCCATGATCTAGATACATACATCTATACCACGAAATCTCACATGATACGAACTTCCAAACTGTGAAGCAAAGCAAAAGTCGAGGCCCTGTGCTACATGGCCCCGTTTTATACGTCGAGTGAAGGCATTTGAAGTTGAATAGGTAGAATCATTGGCTGGCCTGGCGAAGCTTGATCCTGTCGCCATGAATAATTTCTGGGTCGCTGTACAACTTCCGGTCCTGTGTTTGCCCTAGTTGTTTAGTGACGGGTTTTGGTGCCTTCCAGGTCTTTGTCCTTCGACAAACCCATCGCTGGGTCCTCGATACTTATTTCATTCTTCAAATCACTTATCAATTTGACGCGCTTGAGTTTTGGACATTCGCCGCCATCTAGCTTGAACTTGCGTTTCTGCGATATGACTTGACTGGGTACAACCTTGAGATGGGGTTGAAAGTCTGTAACTCTTGGTAGATTAAAGAAAGTCTCTTCTGACTTGTCTGTAACGAAACCAGAAGAGATATCAGCTATTATTTTCTGACTGGCCGCACTTGCACTGCTGATAGTCGTGGTTGTCTTTCTACTCTCTAGTATTGGGCCTAATTCGGTTTCGGTTTCGTTGCTCTGGTGCTGCGCAGTAATCGATTCTTGCGATGAGAATAAGCTATTTGCCTTCAAAATGGGACGCACTGCCATCGCAATTCTTCGTCGCTTCTGCTCCTGTTCAATGGAAGGTGGTGACGAGGGAGAGTGAGCTTCAGTAGGGCTTTGAACTTGAACTCTCTTTGGCCCGAACTCTGAATTGCTATTCTGGGTTGTAAGAATCTCATCATTCTCAGTACTCATTACTCTGTCGTTTTTTGAGTTTTCGCTCTGGTTGTAGTTTGGATCCATTAGTTGACCGGGTTGAAGCTGATCTATAGTCCGTGGCGGAGTGACCACATTGCTATTAGCCTGAGGGAGATTGATTCCCAACTGTTGTTTAACCCAAGTTTCCTGTATTCCAAGATCAGTCGATGCAGAATCAAGCATGCTGCTGACTCGTGAAAATTTTGCCAGTTGCTCGCTACATCCATCAATCTGCGATGGCAACTGTTGAAGGGTTCTCAACTTTGATCTAATTGAGTCGACTATTTGAATATCAGAATGCCATCTTTTCTGAAGATCGGTAGTTTTCGAGACTTCTTTCTCCAGCTGCAAAATCTTGTCTTGCAGAGATGCTGCTGCGTCATTTTGTTCATCGTGCTGGCTAGGTTTCCCCTGGTTCGCCACTCTTGCCTCAGACCGTACCAAGTGTTCACTTATTGAGACAACAAGGCCTTCTAGGCTAGCAAGTAGTCTCTGGGTTTCTTCAGGGCTGTACCCGGCATTCAATCTCTCCAAATGCAGGTTCTGGTCCAGCGAGCTCTGAACGCGGTCTATGATTTGCTGCCATGCAGCTTTAGTCTCATCGTCTCTGGTTGCCATTGTAGTGTTGAGGGAATCAAGTTTTGAAAGGCACGTGTGTCCAGACGCAATTACGATTTTCTCCAAGTCCTCAGTCCTGTCATTACCTTCATTTAGCAGACGAACAACATCTTTTTTCCATGAATCTCGCTCCGCGTTGATGACGTCCCGCTCTTTAGTAAACCAGGTGGTCATTTCTTCACCAATATGCTGGCAAAGCTCCCGGTTTGAAGTGACATCACCATGCACAGTGTCAAGTTTCCTGATAGAGTCGTAGATTTCAGCTGCAAATTGGCCTTGCATATTTGTCTGCTGCTTAGTTAAGTCGCTCAATGCAGTACGCATAAATGCGAGTTCCGCCTGGCAGTCATTTCTGGTACCCACGAGCGTCTCATATGTGCAGCTTTGTGCGCCACCAATATCGGCAAGTGCAGAGAATACACTACAAATTAGTATTTGAAAGAAAGGGTTAAGAAGAGTGCTCACTCTGTTGAGATTAGCTCATGGAGACCTTCCACCAAGGAGCTAATGCCAATCTCCTTGGACGCATTGCTTGCAAGGCCCTTCACTAGCACTTCGAGATTTTGTAGTCTGTCCGAAGTCAATAACAAATATTATGAACTGAGCTCTATTAGCTAACCTGCGACAAACGCTCTCAGATAGCTCAAGCTGCTGAGCCTGATCAACAGTATTTGCAGAGATCGATTCGTGCAATGACTTGACAGTGTTTACTAAATCTCGTGCCTCATCGCTTTGAAGTGGTTTTACCGACATGATTTGGTTCCGTAGGTCGCTTGAAATTTGCCTCTCGGTACAAAGAGCTTGCTCCTGAGCCGATATTCTTTCCTGGAGACGCGCAATCTCTTCACCTCCTGCCGTGATGTTAGCAAACAAAGAACATATCATGAGAGGTGAAATATGGGTTCAGCTCATACTGGCTTCTACTTCTTTCTCTAGGCCAGATCGCAATTCGTCGAAGCAGTGTCTCATTTGCTCTCTCTTCTCGCGACTATTGGTGAGAGCTGTATCGATTGCCTTTGACTCAGCTACTCGTGTTTCATTTTCCTGCCGAAGTTCTTGGATCGAATCATGATAGAACTCTTTGGCTTGTAGAAATAATCGTTGCTGTTCCAAGATGGCCTCGTTGAGTTTTGTGCGATAGGTCCTGGATTTTTCGGTGAGAATAGCGTCTCGTTCTTTCGTCGAGCGTAATTCTTCTTGCATGGTGGAAAGCCTCTGTGATAACGTCGAGTTTTCGAGTAGAACCTCTGCAACCTTCTCTTCCGAATGCTTTAATTTTTTCTCAGAGTCCTTGCGCCCGGCCTGTTCATTGTCTAACTGATGGCGAGCTTCCGTTAACTTGACGTACTGTCGACGAAGATCTTCTCGTAGTTGGTCTATTTCCAGTCTAGCCTGAGCCTTCTCCTCTTCCGCAATATTGATACACTCGTTCCAGTACTGTGCGACTTGTTGCATAAGCATCTTCTTTCGTCCAGGTTCTTGTTGAGATCGATGCTTGTTTATGCCGCTTCTCTTTCTGGAGATGTTGCTCGTGCGGGACCCCGAACGATGGGCAAAATCTCCATCGTAAGCATTTGCACCAAAAAGCTCTTCTGGCTGAGGAATCAATTCATGGTGCTCGTCACTGAGTGGATGACGTGACTTGTTGGGTGTGACACGGTATGGACCTTCTAAATCACCACAAGTACTGACGGATGATGGACGGGGTTGGCCTTGGTCTTTTCTTATATTGGTGATATTTGTTGGGCGGTCCCCTCGAGAGTTGTCCTTGGAGTACCTTGCATTGAGCAATATGGGCAATTCGTCGGATAGTTTCTTTGGGCTGCCTTGAGCTGACATTGGTAGGTTTGGCAGACGATGTTTGGCTTGACCCGGCTTTTTCTCTTGCTGCTTCCCTGCAAAGTCATTAATTTTAGGACGATTCAGTGCTTGGTGTTGCCAATGAAACCCGGGGTCTTCTTGGACAGGACACTGGTCCACAGTATTCATGGCAGTGGAAGAGAAGTAAGGCGCCTTGTCAGTGTGAGCTACAGGGGCTTTTGGAGACATGGTAAATGGCAAATGGCTTTGCAGTCCTGAGTGAAGGATTTGGTTCGTGTATATTATAGTTTTGTCTTGATGGACGAAATTGACAGCGTTCAAGGGATAAAGTGTGCGTTGTTTGACACGAAAAAAAAAAAAAAAAGATTGAGGGCTCCTTCCCTTAGATGTTCTATGGCGGGCAGGTACGAACCGTACGATCATGCTCCTGCTAATATCTCCTCGACGTGTTAGGTAGGTTGCAAAAGAAAAGAGGCAGCAGTAAAGAATGCTGTTTCCCTGAATAACCTAGGGTGTTTTGTGTTGGGGGGACTTTCAAAATCTACTTATGGGAGATATTCTGTCCTATGCTAAATTAACTTGTTTTGTTCTCGGCGCCTTTGGACAAAGCAATGGTGGTGCCAATGTTAGCATACGAAACGATTCTCATGAACACACCAGGCATCCTTCAATCCGGAAACAACACATTGATTATAAAAAAGCAGCACTTACGGGAGTGATAAGTCAAGTACTTTTTGGATGCGCCACTGGCTTTCCACCACGTGGGTTCTTGATGCCCGCAGAGTCGGTGAGGTCCAAGTCATGATGGCGACGTAGGCTCTTTGGCAACGTAATGCTGGCTGCCAAGTACATGCTAAAAATAGCAATTTCATGGAGTGTGGTGGACGATTTGGCTGGCCCTTGCGTGAATTTGAGTTCTCTTATCGACTGCCTGACGGTGAGCCAAGCTTTCACGGGACCTGCTGCTCATGTCGGCGCTTCACGTCGTACTTGAAGCTTCAGTAGCACGACATTGCACACGCCAACTCGCCAGGGGTGTTCAAAATCGGCACACCTTGAATTTAGGCCCCTGCTTCATGTCCTGGTAATAATAGTGACGACAAGGTTGGCCTTTCAACCCCCAGAAGAAGAATGTGCACCATTGGCTCCCCATTGGCATCTCATCGGTGGGTCGACAGGGGAGAGTGCTGGTGCTCGGCGCTTCGCTCCCACACAGAGCCAATCATCTGGCTGCCGTGGCTTGAGCACGTCTCTTGAACGTCTCTTTTGAGTGACGGCCCACGAAAATCGGAGCTAGGGTCCGTCTTTAGCATCCAATGAATTCTTCGGCGGCTGGTGATACAACAGCTCACTGCCGGCAGCGCATGCAGGATACATCAGCGTCTCGGCAATGAGGGGCAGTTCAACGGTACGGTGCACGGAGTCTGGAAGTGAAAAGGTTAGGAGAGCCTGTGTTGTCGCAAGTTGTGCCTTGCCCATTTATATTTGGGTTAATCGCCTATCTGCTTCTGTTTTATACAATAATATTCTGTCCTGCTACACCAAACGATACTCGGATATCACAATAACAGTACTGAGCGCTTGCATCTTCTTTCCAACACTGGCTTATGTCGCCATGGCTACTACGACTCACCCGTTCCCATTGCCAACATATGCCAACCCTGGCTATGACGGCACCAAGGGAGGAGACATTGGCAACGGAGGCGACAGTTCCACGAGCTCCATGGGCATTTCGACCGGCGGCTTAGTTGCTATTGTTGTCATCGTCTTTGTTGTCGCTATAATCGGAGGTATGCAAAATTTTCCCCCACCCGGCTTGCAGTCGCTAACCTCCAAAACCCCAGTCTGCACCGCGATCCTGTTCTTCATTGCTAAGAAACGCGAGTGGAAAGCAAGTGAAGTGCTCAGACATTCCGTCAAGAAAGTTGTCGCTGCCATCACGCCCAGACGAACAGAATTCCCAAACTCGGTGAAACGATCAATGAAAACATCGAAACGAGACAGGAGCACTTTGAGCGACGATGATGTCCCCCCTACACCTCGGCTTCGTCCAGAAGACCTGGAAAAGGGACGTGTGTCAGGCAAAGTACAAAGCAAGTGTCCAAAGTAGTTCGCCAAGGTGATATAGGCGGCTGGGATGATTGGTATGCGAATTATGGAGAATGACCATGAGGATCTATTGGGATATCTAGAATTTCAGCAATCAAAAGATAGCATTGTGACGCGGTCGTGGTACAAGACTTCACATTCTCCTGAATGTGTTGGAGCTGGCACTCCTCCGCTCGCCTCTTTGCTGTTGTCGAGGGGATGGCTGGTCTTGTTCTTGTAGCTTCTTCTTTTTCGATTCAGGAATAAATGTAACCTGACGCTCGCCGCCGATATCGCCCTGCCGTGCCTTGGTGACCCGTCCTGATTTCTGTATCCGCGACCCTAGGGCGGTGTCTCTCAAAGGCTGACCTTCGTTTTGCGTAGATGATACCCTCATCGTTATGTCATTCCCGGATTTGCTCGAATTACGTATCTCGTCTTCGCTTCCAGATTCGTCATCAGAGTCCTTGGCTTGGTAACGGGTTGGAGCCTTAGGATCCACAGGCTGCTCAATTTGTGCACTGGGGTTGAGCAACTGGAATGTCTTGCTAGTCTCGTCCACCACGAACTCTTCATCCTCGAAGACCGCTGCGAAACGGTCGTCTCCCAAAATACCGGCATTAGTGTCGACCTTTTCTCTGTTCTCCTGCTTCTTGAGAATCTTGTCAACCAATTTCTGGTTGACCTTGACCTTCTTGGTGCCCCGGATTCTACTGGCACGCTCCTTCTCGACTTTGTCCTTGACGCGTTTCATTCTCTCTTCTTCCCAGGCGTAGGGGTTGACAATCAACTTAGCTTGCTCATAAAGCTTGGAAGCGACAAAATATCCGTGCATATATGGCCGCAGGAGGTTCGTCTTGCCGATCAAATGAGCTAGACTCAACTGTTTCAATTCTGGCAGAGTCAAGAACTTGTAGTTGTCGTATGTCTCGGTATGTACCTCCTCTGCCATTTCTTCCACCATGCTGTCGAGGAATACGCACCATTTCGGTGCTGGACCAAGCTGAGGGATGAAGAATGCGTGTTGTTGCTTGCCCTCGTTAGCAGTGAGGAGCATGCCGGTATTTTTGCACCATGCCACATCATTGATATCCACGACAGGCTCGACTGACGTCCAAGGCTCGCCAGTTGCCTCATCCCAAAGCTTAATAATGCGCTTATCGGCTGACATGATTTTCTTCTCCTGTGACGAATTCGTCATGTGAAAGAGTTTCTTAACTGGAAAGCCATATCCGTGATCCTTCTTGAGTAGAGCCACCGGACGGCGCAAATCGAAGAGTTGAACCATGCCGGTTGAAGAACCGGTGGCGAGAGACAATCCCGACGAGCTAAAATCTAATGCCGTGATCTCGCCGTCGTGCCCAGCTAGCAATGCGACTCGGGATTTCGTCCGTGGGTCCCAGAATTCAACAGTGCCTATAGACGTCCCAAATGCCATAAGATTGTGCGTGTTTTCTGCATTTGCGGCGACATTGACACTTCCAACGCCAATACCACCCTGCAACCCGCCTCCAGTCAATTCGTCGTCACCGCCAACCTCGATTTGGTATGACTTCATGAAACGCCCCTGCTCCAAATTCATCCGGAAGACTTCGCCTTTCCCTTCTGAGTCCAAACCGACCGCAGGAACTAAAGCTTCCGTAGCATGGCAATCGTAAAGCACACCACGCCCGTATCTTGGGAGTCGGACCTCGTAATGGCACCCCATTGGCGTGTGGAATTCGAGTCTTCGATCAGTTTGGAGATGTAACGATTTAGAGTAGTCAGAGGAAAGGAGAATAAATGAATGATTCAGAGAATTTGTATGGCGGGTAAAGGACAAAGAAAGCTGTGGGAGGTTATGAACGTGTATCTGCGGTTTGTAGGTGCCGGTGCTCATTGCCCATTCTCCATCTTCGCTCACCCGAATGCAGTTGCTAGCTTCTTCGAATTCGAAATCCTGGAGGAGTTCAACGCGGTTCTGATATTCCGGGTCATTTTTCAAACTTCGCTTCCGTCTGCGAGCAAGCCAGTCTGGGAGCGGTCGGGCAGTAGATGCACCCGAGATTGTGTAGACAGGGACGGTCCCGGGATTGGAGAGCTTCATGGTGAATGGGTTGAATGTTTCCGGATCATCGGTATGCTCTCTGATATCCTCGATATCTTTGCGAACGTTTGCGTGCGTCAAATGGACGGCAAAGTTGGTTGGTGTCTCGTTCCGCGGAATTTGCGTCAAGATAGTCGAAAAATCCCACCAACGATAACGATATCAGGAAAAAAAAAATCAAGGTGACAGTCCCCGGTGAAGAATTAATAAGTCCCCACTGTTCTCGGTGAAGGGCCCCACCGACGGAGGTGAGTGTCCTAAATGCTAATGGCACTTTCCCTGTCACCGTCACGCTAGGAAACAGCTGAGGCACTCTCACTGGACACCCCCAGTTTTCGTGAGACCCTCCACTCTTACGACGTCAAAGTTACCACGGGGCAGCGCAACACCGCCTTCGCTTTGACTTTTCATCTTCTTTGCGGCAGCTCCTCGGCCCTGGACCTTTACATAACAGGGATTACTGCATATTGTACCTCAAGCTTCCTTTTGCGGCGCCAATCAAACCCTCAGCGACAACGCGGCTCGTTTCTCTCCGATCCGAAAGAGGTATCGCGACCTGGGCTCAGCGGGCTGAACAACAACCTCCGCTGAGATGGAGCCAGTGCAGCTGCCGGATCAGGGAATCGCATGTTGTAAATAGGATATTTTCTTTACAAACCAAAGGGCTGCGAAGCAAGACTGGCCTCGTAGCCAAGCTCTTGGACATCTCCGCTCCTGTTCGTCTCACCATTGCCGTTCTGCTCGCTGGAACATCTAACAATTCATGTGGTATTCATAGGCTAGTCGCAAGCGCTTTACAAACGAAGTAACCGAAATGGATGCTGCCGAATATGACACCAATATCCTCGTCGTGGTGCGTGCATGGCCGAGAGTCCCACCATGGGGGTTACGAGAACTGATCTGTGTGACAGAACAACATCGCTTCGATTTCCTTTCGCGTGTACGAACCGTCTTCAGACCAGTCCTCGAGTTTTGGCCTGGCGGCCATTGATATTGAGAACTCTTTAAGAGAAAAGGGTCACATCGTTTATTACGACGCCAGCAGACGGGGTATATGGCACTTCAGAATAGTCGGCAAGGAGGGAAGTGATGAAGTCAGTAGTCAAGAGCTAGATTCATCTCTTAGCTTGCGTGGCTACTCACTTATTGTAGGAGAAGAGGGGTCTTTTGAGCCAAGCAGTCTTCCGAGGCCTCGATCACAACAACCACAGACAGGACATACACCCACCAGTTCAACTTCAAGCGCGTCTGCTTTGGATCAGTCGCAGCGCTATGCGCCAACTGCGACATCACATCTTGGGCCACCTGGACTGCAAGAGCAAGACTCAAAGGGGCACACTTCCGTAACTGACGCGAAGTTAGTGCAGGGAGGGTCATCATCTCCCAAAGCTTATGAGAGCTTCGTCGTCGCGACCCTCTTAACGATACAGTCAGCCTTCTGCCGCCACACAGATTCTATTCCTCTAAACTACCGAACCGTGTTACTTTCACAGGATGCTCTAGAAAATGATGGGTCTTTCGATGTGGTCACAGAAAAAACTCCTACAATCGGCACATTTAGCGCCTACCTAACAACCACAGGTGTCCTTGTAGTTTGCATGGGCATCTCAATATGTCGAGGTCTATTGTCCTATGGCGACATGCTCAACCAAGCTTCGGACATACCTGGACAGCAAATTCTTGCGGCTCCATTTGGTGTGATTGCCAGCAACCAGCCCGCTGCCCAGTTTGATGGTGGTACAGCGAGTATGGCTCAAACACCAAACACACAAGCATTGAGTCTTCGAGGAGCTCCAGATATTCACAATTCGCTTTGGAAGCAAGCATGCCTGAAATTTTTGCAACTCCGAGGTGTTGCCCAATCAAAATTAACAGATTGTTTCTGGATAAATTTACTCATATCTAAACCCAAACTTCAAGATGCAAAGAGCGATGTTAAGAGATCGCCGATGCCTAATCCTACCATCATGATTCCTTGGCCGAGCCCGCTGTGCTTTAGGAAGCGTCCTGTTGAGGTGTCATCCACAAGTCGAGTGGGTGAGACAATACTCCGGGGTCATGAAGAAAGCCACGACCCTTTAGGTAATGCACAGTCTTGGTTTAGTTCCACACCTGAGCGAGACGAGAAGATATCCAAAAGAAAGGCAGAACGCGTGGCAACATCAAGTGAGGGCTTCGGTGGCGATTCTAGACCTACAAGGCTAAACGGGCAGTCTCCTCTAACATTGAGACGGCCCAGTACAGCCGCAGCCGGCTCAATGTATCCTACTCCGCCTGACGCCTTACAAAATGCAAATGGAGTAACGCCCTCTCTTGATGGTACGCTGTCAAGCCCGGGAAATCCTTTGTCTGCCGCGGCTGTGCCAGAAATCGATAACAATGGGTCAGTCTCCATGGCGATGGGGGACTCTTTCGAGCCTGTACGAGATTTCTCCGAGTCTAAAAGGCAAAGAAGCGACAGCAATCTTCTTGGCGAAGCTGACCACATGTTTGGCGACATGGGCCAAGATATGTTTGGTGATAACGACATCACAGAGGCTGACTTCAACTTTTTTGATGAGGAGCCCGAGGACATTGATCTCGAAGCTGCATTGGATGAGATGGGCGATGCAACCACGGCCGCAATTATTGGTGCAGAGGAGCATACAGCTGATGAAGAAATATCGAATTCCAGGGAGCCTATAAAGGAAGAACCAGAGACCGAGAAGGATGCTGGTGGATTCACGAAACCCGAGCTGCGCCACGCCATCAGCGTACAAAACGATCATGCGATGCCGCGAGGAAGAGAAAGTCGGCCCGTTTCCATGAAACGAGAGTCTAGCCCATTCGACCCTCATACTGTTTTCAAACGAGTTTGTGCATCATTGGCGGCACCTGAAAAGGACGGCACCATTGCCACAGACACCAATCGCATGACCAAAATATTTGAAAAGATGGACTTTGACCCAACACTTCCTATGATCAACAAGAAATATGAACAAGGTGGCCAATTTGACTACAGCATGAGCACAGCCGTTGGAAATTCAAGGCTGGACCATGGCGTGTTGCCGGAAACCGATTACTTAAAGCGCCATGGTAAGCTACACAGAGGATCGCAAGATCACAAATTATATACGAAGTCGCTTATGGGGCCCCTCTCCGGCCTTGAGCGGCCGATCTCTGGCCGTAGCCCTACAAAATTGGACACACAGATGTCGGATGACGAACAAAGCAGCACTGAGTCTGACCAAGACGACTCTAGTTATACGAGTGACGAGCCAACGTCCCCACCGAAGTCTAGTGTAAAGCAGGCGCCAGTGGAGGAAGATGCTGTTTCACAGGTTGCCTCTTTAAAGGAACAAGATGTGATTGAGGAACCGGACCATCAACTTGCGATTGAGCTCCCGCGTCTATCCAAGCCTGAAACACCAGAGTTGCCTCTTTCGATGCTTTTTTCAGATCCTGAGCCCCTTGCCCTGGAGCTCTCTCTTGGTGATGAGGATCTAATTCAGGCAGCCCAAATATTGACCGAACAGGCCGCCACAGGCTCCTTGGATCTTTGCAATACCGACCATCCCGCCAACACCTCGATAATAAGTCAAGGCCGAGCAACTCTACTCAGTGACGCCAGGACAGCACTTCAGCAACTTCGAGAGGCTCTCTCTGTCTTTCTACGGGGCGTGGAGCCTGTTCGCCTCAAGGCATTTTTAGATATTCAAGATGTACTCTTACAAGGTCAACCCAGGATGCAACCACGTCCCATACCTGGGAGAGACGCGAATGCCGAGCAGATCCGCCCCAGCAATCTTTATCAGATTCCGGGACCACATTTGGAGGTTCGCAGGTCAGATGCAAAACTCTCAGTCCTGCCCTCAGCTGTTGCATTTTGGGAAAGCTTAGGGCTGGCGCCATCTTCAGGCAGCAAGGACATAACCGCAGTCTGCGTTTTTCCGGGATGGAAGGGGATGGTCGATAATGCCAAAACATTCTTGGGGCGGATCAAGAGTGTTTACGAAGTTCTGAGACTCGGATCTTTCGAGAACATGGCCCTAGCGTCAGAGATGGATTCTGGTCTTCTCCCGTACGAAATGGACCGTATTTCAACTTCTCCCGATGCCACATTGACGGGGCACGGCTCAGCTTTGATAGGCACAATGGAGACGTTGCGAGCTTCACTTTCCAACTTGACTGTTTCGGACACGAACGTTGTTGTTTACTTCGTCTATTCCCCAAATAATCCTGGCACCATAGTCGAGGCCTGTGCAGCATTTCAGCGTTTCTTTGATTCATATCAGAAGGACTTGGCTGCAAAAAAGGAAACTGCGACAAATGAGCTCGTTCTACAGCTCGTCTCGTCTGACTTGCTATCTTCGCCAACTTCAGTGGTGGTGACTCCCTCTGTCGATCTCGTGAGGCTCTGCATGGAGACGTATGACCGGTGTACCCTCTTTGGCGGACCAATGCCTGCCCCAGCCATTCGGCTAGAACAGCCTCTTCCACGAATCATTGACTTCAAGCTTAACACACAACCTTCCGTGTCTCTCATCAGAGAAAACTCGTGCATTCACGTTGCTTATGCTCAGACTGTGGATGGGCGTTGGGTGACGACTGCTTGGACAGACGATCGCGGTAACCAGCAAGCGACTGCCTCGTACTGCTTGGGACGGAAAGGCAGGCCACTGTCCACGTCCATGAGTGAGGTAGCCTATGAGATCTGGCAATCTACTCTGGACCTAATCTCGGCATGGACAGTGCACTGGCGAGTTATAATCACGAAGTGCGGGCCAATGGATCAACAAGAAATCGATTCCTGGGTCAATTTGGCGCACACAGAAACCAGGCTCCAAGTGACAATGATCCTGATGACGGTTGATACAGATCCGTGGCTACAGCTGGTTCCTCCTGTGGTCAAGCTACCACATGCGTCGGTGCCTTTCTACACGACGCCAGTTTCGACGCCGCAGGCGAACATCGTATCGCCGGAGCAAAGTGCCACTCCAGCAACTCCAGCGAATGTGACTGCTGCAACCCCCGGGGGAGGAGAAGCGGGAGCGGACACTGAAACCGATGCGATTCTTGCCGATGTCACAGACCAGACTTGGGGGGCCATTGTTGGCCACCGACTGAATAATTCCCTGGGCGTAACGGACTTGTATCCAGCGCTGGTCAGCGGCTTCCTGATTAAGAGGACAGGCGCGCGAGCTGAAGACGTGCCGATAGCCATGGAAGTTAATCTCATACACACGGAAGCCTTCCCGAGGTCATACGAACCCCTTTTGAGGGAAATGCTCAGCTACTTTAGAGGGCTTGCGACCCTATCGAGAGCCAGGGGGATGGTGTCAAGAGAAACGGACGTTCGTCCATGGCATATTGCCGCAGCCGAAAAGGCTGCCCGGGCCATGTATCTTCTCATGTGATTTTGTAGCCCAAGTCGGGCATTTGATATTATTCAAGCAAAGAGTCACGACATGTAGATGAAGGTGCATTGGGGCGGGGTTGTTTTATTGGCGAATTGCATGGCGTTTTGAGGGCTTGCACAAGACATTTTTTTGTATGAGTCAGTTTCGAGGGACAAGGGGGGAGAATTCACGGGTACGATGTGAATGTACAAAAAAAATACTTTAAGCTAGGGCATGATGATACCCAAAGCCTGTTGTGTTTGTAGAAACTGTGATGTCGGTTGATGAATACATACGTGGCTCAGGCTGCGGTGGTCCATTAGATTGACAATCGACATCTCAATGTTGGCGGCCGAAGGCTGAGTCCTCCCGCAATGACGCATTGGAACCAGAATCATCGAATTGACTCAACCATGCATCCCACAGATCCTCCCCCAGACAGCCAATGAATTCTAAAGCTATGCCGCAGATGAGTCAACCTTGCAACTGAACCATGTCGTTGTCGGTGTCTTGCATCAGCCCCGATCTGGTGTGTGGCAAAGTCTCGGCAAGGGTAAATATGGAGCACCAGTCGAGTCGAAGTTGAACCTCGCTGAGCAAGACAGGACCAGGACTCGAAACGGCAGACAGCTAAACCACCGGAATCTTCAAACCAAACAACTTTGGCTTTATGGGGAAAGCATTCACCACCCCCTCTACACGCATGTATCCCATACAATGGAACCTGCGTCCCTGACAAGTCTCCCAGATGACTTGCTGCTCGACATTGTCGAATACCTCGACACGGCCCGAGACACATCACATCTCGGGCGAGTCGCCAAACACACGCACCGTCTCGTCCAACAGGCAGGATGGAAAACGTTTGTCAAGACGAGATTCCCGTCCTTGAGGGTGCCACACGGCAACGGGTGCTCATGGAGCGACGCTGCCGATACAATTTCCTACCTCGACCGATGCTGGGACAAGCGCGCCATCCAGCTCAGCCTATTCAGAACCCAGCCACAGCCGCGGACAAAGGACGCACCCCGACAGCCGAGGCAGGCGATTGACTTTCATGGCATTGTTGATGCTCATTACATGCCGTCCTTGGATGAGGAGGTTGTTGCCTGGGGGGCCGGTGAGGATCTCCATGTGCGATGGGGCCGCGATGCCACGCAGACGTGGAAGAGCGTCCTCGGGGCGAGCACGAGCACGAAATACGCCCCCGGCACGGGCGACGCCACGTGCTTGAGCATCATTGAGAGGCGTGCCGGGCTTCCAGAGGTTGTGGTCGGGCGAGCGAACGGGGACGTCCAGGTTCTCTCGGCCGCGAACAACAAGTCCTTTGGCCAGCCGACCAAGACGGTCATCAAGTTGGACGGGCGGCAAGACGCGCACTCACAGACGCCGTTTAGCATTTCCCCGGGCCGCCTGGCCGTCTCCTGCACGGAATGGCAGCCCGACACAGACATGCTGGCGACCTGCCGAAGCTCGCATCTTCACCTGTACAACATCCCCCCTGAAAGGGACGCGGACCCCAAACCACTTGCCTACCATGACTTGTCCAAAGGCCGGCCCGGCAACGAGGAGTCTCTGATTCGAGACATCAAGTTTCTGGGAAGAACTAACATTGCCGTGGCCCTGGGGGCAAGCTCGCAGCCCATTCAGTACGGCACCATCCGCCCTACGGGGGTGGACTTTATGCCGGCGTCACGCAACCCCGACGCATGCGACATACGAGACGGCAGGCTTGAGCTCACGGCACCCGGGGAGGTGACGAGCGTGTGGTCGATACAGGCGGTCGGGCACAGGGCAAACAGCAACCTCCTCCTGAGTTCCTGGCACGACGGGTCCTTCCGGCTGATGGATGTCCGGACGCCCTCGCCCTACGACGCCATATACAGGGACAATTTCCAGCCGTACCACGCCGGCGGGCCCCTGCTCGTCTACGGAACAGAGAGGTTTGTCTCCGGGAACAACACCGCCCCGACACTGAGGCTCTTCGACTTCCGCTTCCCCAAGCCGTACTTTCACTCCACGGCCCTGCCGTGTTCGCCGCGCGAGCCTCGGCCCAGAGTCGCGTGTTCGTCCGGAAAGCCGCTCGACGACACGACTGCGGTTTGGAGGTGCGAGCCCGGGAGTAGTCGCCGGTGCAACTGGCACGCGGCCATGGAGTCGCCCTGCTTCAGGCAAGACACCACCCTCTGGCTGGGGCACCGCGGCATGGACCGTGTCTTCTCGCTGGCAAAGGCGTCGGATACATCAGACAAGTTCTACCTGGGGCTGCGGGGAGCCATTGCGGAGGCGCAGCTGGTTTTGGAACAGGATGTCCCTACTCGCCGGCAGAGTGTGCCTCGCTGTCCCGCCGGCTGGCGAGTGTCTGCGGCGCCAAACGCAGCCATGGCAGACACAGGCATCAGCTTGTCCACGAGCAGTGTGCACGGGGGGACTCATGGGGATTTACACAACGGCATGCCTGAGATGCTGTACCACTATGATGGGTCGCAAAGGAAACAAGGGGTTCGTGAATTATTAGAACCCCCGGAAGGAACGCGGTTTGACACTGCTTGGAGACAGCAGGTGGCGGCTAGGCATAGGGGACACTCATCGAGGGGGCTGTAGAAGCATATCATATTGGAATGGGCGAATTTGGGCCTTTTTTTTATATGACATGGGGCGTTTGGGCTTAGATTATACGCTGAACATTGCGGCACAGGTGGCAGAGTGAGGTAGAAAGGCGGTATAAAGTAAAAGACACGGTTCAAATCAAAAGTGTATTGGTGTATTGTATATAGAGACGGCATTTCGTTAAACCGCATGTAAAGGAAATCTTACAACTTGGACTCGGGGACAATAAGGGCTGATCTCTCCTTGAAGGCTTGCTCAGCTTCCTTCTCAATACGCTTCACCAGCACATCACACGTGGGGACGTCGTGAATGAGACCCATGACAGGGCCGGTGGTCCAGACCTATCATCACCGCAAGTTAGCACACAAAACGAACTCTCATGACACACATGTGAATGGAACTGGGTTTGTCCCAGCGGGAGGGTAAAACATACACCGTGCTCTGGGTCACCATTGACAAACACCTCCTTTCCTCGCTTGCCGCTAACCAGAGGCGCGATTTCGCTAAACTCGCCGGATTGGCTCTCCTTTTCAATCTTGAGCGCGTCGAGGGCAACCTTATTCTTGAACAGGCGGCTGGTGTTGCGCCACCTTCTCAGCAGCAGAGTGGTGTCGTGCTCATCGCTCTTGACAATGGCCTCTTTGATGTTCTGGTGCACCGGGGCCTCGACGGTAGCCATGAACCGTGTGCCCATGTTGATACCCGACGCACCAAGCAGCAGGGCAGCGGCCAGGCCGTGGCCATCGGCAAAACCGCCACTAGCAATGAAGGGGACCTTGAGGGTCTGACGGGCTCTACCCAGCAAAATGAAGTTGGTGATGTCGCTCTCGCCAACGTGGCCGGCACACTCGAAGCCGTCAATGGACAGGAAGTCGACGCCAAGCTTAACGGCGCTCTGGGCATGGCGAATGGTAGTGCACTTGTGGAGGACAATGATGCCGGCCTTCTTCAGTTGCTTGATGACAGGGCCGGGAGAGTTGCCTGCCGTCTCGACAATCTTGATACCCTCGTCAATGATGGCCTGGGCGTAGGCACCGTAGTCCGGAGGGACCATGGCGGGGAGGAGAGTGATGTTGACGGCGAAGGGCTTCTTGGTAAGGGTGCGGCAGCGGCGGATTTCGTCGCGGAGGGCTGCGGGCGTAGGGAAGATGAGGGCCGTAATAATGCCTAAACCGCCGGCGTTGGAGACGGCCGAGGCGAGGTCTGCGGTACCGATGTGCATCATGCCGCCTTGGACGACGGGCACTGCGTAAAACGTTAGCACTTGGGGCATCTTGTGGGTGACACGAGGCATGTGAGAGGCACTGCCATGATGGCCGTGGTGAATAGTTGCTCTCTGAAGCCTCAGAATTCAGAAGACACATACCGCGGATGCCCAGCCGCTTGGTCAACTCGGTAACAATAGGCATGGTCGCTTCGTTACTCGGCGTACGGGTTCGTAATGTTGCTCGATAGTGAGGATGGCACTGAGGCTCGTGACGACAACCAGATAGCTGTCGCAGTACCTGTGGTGGTGTTTCCTTATGCCGACAGACAAGCACGCTAGCTCAAGTGTATATAATGGTGTATTAAGGACAAAAAAGGCCAAAAAATCTATATTTAAAGAAAATAGACAGGAATCTCTCAGGTAAAAATACAACAGCACTCTAGGGACAAAAGATCTGTGGTCTTGTTGCGTGACCGAATGACCACGGCAGTCCTGCTTCATTATTGGCCCGAGCCAGCTGAGCCGAGGTTGCGACAGGCACCACTCCACATTGGCTCCAGTCGACGCCGCATCCCCAGGTGGGCAAGTGCAGTGAGCCATGGACACGGAAGGGGCACGCCGCCCACGCCGCACAACCAGACGCCAGGACAGCCAAGCCCCACCCCTTGCTCAGGCACCATTTTCTACCATTTCTATGCGGCCATCTCACATGCTAGCGGATTTCGGACCATCTACCATTTGCGGAGGACCGTCCGCCTCCTCCAGATCCCCAATGACCCAGGACCGTTCGCCAGGCAGGGCTTTTCAGTAAACCCCGAGCCTGGTTCACTGGCTCGCTCCCGGACTTGATGAGGAGATCGCATCCGTGATCCCGTCGGCAACCCCCCGCAAATTGCATCATGATAGTAGTACTACACATCGAATGGACCCCGGATCTCGTTTGCGAGCCACGACTGATGGACATGGCGAGGACACCCTGACAGTCGGCATACTGCCTCAGTTGTACTCGGATACGTTGGGCCGTCTCGTACCTTTTTCCTGCCATGCTACGAAGAATCCAGTCTGTAGTACTAGCAGGGACCGTCGCTTTCGCACTCGGCTAGCTCACAGATCCTATCGTCCAACATCGTAGATCCATGGTCAAAGTTTTCCTCACGACGAGAACCCATATCGAAACATGTGTTGGGTCAATTCTGCAAAGCTCGTCTCAAGAAAAGCATAGCCGGACGTCACTCCAAGTGCCGTATTCGCTCCATGGTATTTTCATGCCTCGGTCCGGTATTCCCGACATGCAAAGTCTGTCCTACAAACCAGGATGGCGGGGGATCTGAGTTCAAATTAAACAAAGATCATGTCCATCGGTTTAACCGTCCGGCAGACCCCGCATCAAGTTACGGCCAAGTAGTAATTCAAGGGTACGGCACCGAAGCCAAAACTACGAGAGTGATGCTACTCTAACGCATTATGAGACTTTCTCGGCATTAAGCACCTTGACCGCAATCAAGATCAGGGCCCACGACATTTCCCCTTGCGTTTCGAGAGAAGGAAATCCATCATTCAAACATCAGCTCAGGGCTGGATTGCACCACATGCGCATATATGACATGACACGAGCACATTTAGTGACAATGTCCTAGATTTGCGTTATAAAAAAGGCACAGACTTGATTTCAACAACTATATCCCGAGTTCCCGCAGTGTCATCCACCGCGTCACATGTACCCAACGGCTAGGAGCTGGACGTCATGGCCTGATTTATCAAAGGTCCAAGGACGCAAGGAAAACTCGTTCGCGGCCAGAAAACCACGGAATAGAACCAAATTTTATCAAAAAAGCTGGACCCTTGCAGCTGCGATATGCCAACTCCCTTTCTTCATGCCCCGAGCCGAAGACAAGCATCATCTCCCTATTTCATTACTCCACTCCAGTTTTCAGTTTTGTACCATTCATCCAGTATAAGCGACCTAGTGCCAATATCCATGGAGAATTCTCGTGCCATTGTGGTTATCTTGGCGCGCTAATGCGGCTCATCGACTGCCTTGGAATCGGAAACTGCCCATGAATCCCGGACATATGCAGTCGAGCCAGCTCGTCGCACTTGATGAGCAATTAAAGTATCAAACCTGCCATCTCGTGTGCAAGACATACGACTGACATTGCATGGAGAGAATATATATACTTCTATGGCCCCGCCATATACGCCCACGCGCGCCAGATACAATGAATTCCCTGCAATGCTTCGACCCATACACCTTCTTTCCTCCGCCTCATAACTCGTCAAGTCAAACATATCATGAATGATCATTAAGTTATGCCAACTTCAGGCGCCATCCTAGTCATAGAGGGGTTACGTTCTCGCGGTTTGTCCACAAGATCAGCATGACCATCTAGGCTTGCGCCCATTACTTTAACCATGTCAAATATATGCACTCCTTTGAAAGTTTCTGCCCATAATCGAACGACAGCACTTGCAAGTTGCCTCAATTTTGCACCGTCGCTAGCCACCATTTCCATCGGCCCAGAAATCGAACTCGGCCCAGCAAGTGAAGGATCGATGGGAACTGCGAATTCCGTTTCATCTAACATCCGTCGAATGTACTCGAGGAGATTCCTCTCTTCCAGTGATGGTGCTGGGTCCGATGGTGTTATTGCAGATAGCGTGACAAGCCATTTGGCTAGTAAAATCGCACATTCGAAGTTGCAGACTAGTATTGGTCAGTTAATACGAGCGCTGAAGATGGCTGTAGCTGGCAAGATACGAACGTGAATGTTGTATGCTCCACTCAGCAGACTTTGCTCTTGCAACGTAATTGACACCAGCCTTGACAAGCATAGACAGGACATGAACGGCCTCAAACACGGCTCGGTTTGGTCTTGAGCTGCGATGTAACAAGGGCGTACTGTCCAGTGCCGATGCAATCATCAACGAGTCTCTTGTTTCAAGAGCACGGCTCGGAGGGACGTCCGTATGTAAGCGAATATACGCCAGCCGTAGAAGAGCGGTGGAGTTGAATGCAAGCGATCCCCCAGAGCTCGGGTCAGTGTTCATTGAATGTCCAGACTCTGCAGCCCGAAGCTGGTGACGATGTCCGAAGCTAGTCTGCCACACTCGCAGTGCCTGCGATATCTCCTCAACATCCTCTGGTTTCAATGTTCGTTGAACATCATATGACGAGCCAGCGGCAAACGATGTCTGTTTCAAAAGATATATGTGCTGAACTAAAGCATGGATTAATATATAATGACCAAGAGATGAGAGATGGTTTGGCAGGCCTTGGGTAGTGCGACCGAATAATCGTGAGAAGGCCCCGTGTACCGTGATATCGGCCATAGGAGTAGTCTGCCGCAGTTCTTGCCATTGCCAAGCAGATTCCGCTCTCCAAAGTCTTGATCGTGCTGGCATGTACAAATTAAGCTCGGCGGTAAGAAGTAGTGGCGGTATATCATATGCTGTGCTACAGAGATTAAAGAAACAGAAGGCGATTAGTTTTGTTCGATTGGCCCCTTCTAGTCGTATCCACGTGTCCCATTCATTGAGAGATGACGGCCTGGTCTCTACGTTCAGACGTTCCTCGCGGATAAGAATTGCCAAATTGCTCTGCAAAGACAAAGCTTCTTGAAGAATTGTTTTGGCCCCCCACAGGCCAACGGCAAACAGAAGAAGGACTGCCTGGATAGTTTCAAGCCTAGCTCCTGGCGTATTGGGAGAGCTGGGTAATAGTTTAGCTGAAATTCCGAACCAGTGAAAAGCCGCGACTTCTAGTGCATGTTGTGAGAACTTACTATGGCTCGCGATGGGTATCATGTGTAACGGTTCGTTCGGATTGGGCCGATGCAAAAGAGTGCCTATAGCTTATGCTAGGGGACGGTCTTGTTGAGTGAGGGCTGTAGGATGCGGCTGTTGGCAGCAAGGCATGTACTTCGGAGCTGTGCCTCCTCCTAATTTGTTCCATTGCAACGGTTTTAGCCGCATACCATAACGCATAACCTCTATTGTTCTCGAATCTGTACTGAGCACCAACTGCCAGTATTGCCAGAAGCAACTCCGGAGCCATGTCGACAAGAACCAGAGTGGGTAAATGCAGAAATGGTAAGTGGTCGTGAAATCCGCCGATGTAGCCCTCGAAAAATCGTGACAGTGTGTGACGGGAGGGAAAGATGAAATCATTTGGCAAAACAGCCGAAAACTCATCGAGATGACTCTTCATTATATTATAATCTGCGACCGAAATTCGGAGTAAGTTTGTTCGTAACGTGTCTTCATGCAACCGCTGCCCTGTATCAATCGGCTCTCGGATATCAGGGGCTAGAGAACCGAAGCGAGAAGGGAACTGCGATGAAGGCCGAGAGTTGCCTCTCGGATTCACTTGTCCGGGTGCCCTTGCCCACATACTAAACTGTTGATCGGACTCAAAATGCGGGGGCAAAAGACACGCAGAGCCAGCGATGTCATCCAAGAAAAGATTGTAATCGTCGTAAACGGGTTGCGGAGGCTGGGTTGCAAAGCCTGACGACAGCATAGGTTCGGATTCTTCGTGACGAGGACGCTCAGAATAACCTCCCATGGGTTCATCGAAACTTTTGACTCTGCCTTGATGAATAGTCCCCTGCTGCGACATGTCATTTAGCATCGGTGATATCGTATTAACCTCTGTTGCCAAAGCAGCATCCGAGAGAACGTCAAGATTACAGGCGACAGATCGTGGAGTAGCAGCATGGGGATCTTGTGTGAGGTGGTGGTGGCCAGATCCAACTCCTGGGTTGACAGCCGTGTGATGATATGCCGCCTGATGCTGTGACGGCTCTTGATGTTGAAGTGACCCATGTTCATTGATGGAAGCTGCGTGCAATCCTATAGGTTCTGCGTCGATATGGTTGTCCGAGATTGATGCCTTATGGGAGGTTGTGCTAGAAGAGGCCCTTCTTTGCGGCTTGCTATCTTTGTTTCCATCATTAAGGTGAACGAGTTTCTCGTGCCTAACGAGAAGATCACTGATGTCCATATAAGTATACTTCTTTCCGAATTATGTGCGGGATAGGGTACAAGACAAGTCAAGTTGGTGAAAGGTGAATACAAGGTAGTGAGAATGCATATATATGTGGGTATATAGGATGGGTGTACGTAACAGAGAAAGCTAGAGCTGGAACTTGTGGAGTAGGAGTTGGAACAGCTCACGTATACTACTACAAGACACCGCTTGTGCTCTTGTGTGCTTGGTTGTTTGGTGTTGGCGCAGGTGCCGGTGAGGGGGGAAGAGGTATCAACTACTGGTGCATGTCTGAGGGACGTGACTATGGCGCTCGAGGTATGCAGGTGGCTCATGACTTACCGTCGTCCAAACGTTTTCCCACAGCGGTCCCAGGTGCAACCAAATGGCTTCTCTTTCGTATGAGTTCTTTCGTGCCGTTGAACGTGTTCAACTCGTCTGTCATGGTTCATCCCGTTGACGTTAGCATAACTTTCTCTGGAGAAGTATGGAGACGAATTGATTACAGACCTAAATTTTTTGCTACAGTATTTGCACGGTAACGTTTTGGGCTTCTGCCCACGGTTTTGTCCCGGTTCATCCAAGGCAAGGCCAGCTCCCTGCACATGAGGAATACCCTCGAGACTGTGGTGTATAGGGAGCATAACGCCTAGGAAATACACGAGTATGACCAATGCCTTTGACTTTGCATTACTCCCTCCGCAAAGGAGGGTGAATATTACACACTCGGAATTTTTGGAGATGTTGGAGGAAAGAAAGGAGCCTCTGTGGGGTGCCACTGAAGCACAGGACTCAGGAGCCTTGCCAAGTACGTAGTGGACTCGCGTTGTCGGAATGTAAAGATACTCTGGGTTGTTTCCGCCTTCCCCGTCGTGATTCCTCGTGATTCCTCGTGATATTCTGTGCTGATGATGATAGGTGAGGAGATCCTTTCCTGAAGCCGAGGGCAGGGAGGGTGTGAAGAGCAACTCGCTAGGTTGCGGAAGACGATAGCCAATTCATTGGATGACGAGAAGGGCTGGGGAACCAAGCAGGGATTATGACACGAAAAGGCGGAGAAGAGCTCTAGCCTAGTCAAGACTGTTTGACTCAGCTATGGTCGCGTTCTGAAGAAAAAGGACTCGTACAGCTTGGAAATAGGTCTGTGAGGATGGGGAATAATTTGGAGAGAGTGGAGGGGGGACAGCGCGGTCTTGCGTCAGGGCGATGAACAAAGCGGTTATGGAGATGGCACTGCCGGCATTCGACGCCAAACAGGTTCGCAAAATCAGAGTATTGGCCAAGGGCCAGGTTGATCGATCAGCATGGGGAAATCAGGGAACACTTCAGGAATTTCCGGAGGCCGAGACGGCAGGAAATGCCTGTCCTTGACTTAGTTTGATGTTGGAGCAAAGCCACCAAAATGCGGTGCAAATACCCATGCTCGTGCCCTTGCCCATGCGACCATGCGTATGCCTACACTCAAATGCCAAATGCCATGTGCCAGCCTGGGGGGTGGCAAAGCTTGCTTCCAGATTGGGTATAAAGAACCATCCACAACATGAGGCAAGCGAGACGATGTTCTTGGAAGGTCGTAGGAAACGCGTTTCAACTGTCGCTGTTTCTTGGATGCGGAGAGCCGGGGCCTAGGCATCTTTGCTGCAGGCTGCAGCCTTCTCTCCAAAACACGAACAATATCCAAGCTTCATGTGGGGGCACAATCGGGTATTCCCCCCATGGGGCTAAACCTGGGGTCAACTCCGCATTGGAGACGGTGGGTAGCGTTACTGGACCTATTAAGCCACGGCGTGCGTTCTGGGACCAGGACAGCGATGCAGGCATGCCTCACTTGGCAACTCGCAACGATGCCATCCACTTGTGCTGACCGCACTGACGGAGCACATCATAGCCGCAGCCAAACGGGTCTCGGGAGACAATGGCACACCGGTGACCGACCTCTGCAGAACTGCTCCAATACCGGCGAGCCGGTCACGAAGCCGGGCTTGCATAGCCCGCTCGTCTTTGCATCCTCCATTAGCGCCGTCGGAAAGCTAAATGTGCGTCCGTACTGATGATTCCCCATGTAGCGGCGCTAGTGTTGGGTGGTGCTCTGGATGGAGGTTCTCGAGAACCTTCCAAAAACCGACAATGATTTAGCGCATAGGAACAATGAAGGAGAAAAACTGGGCGTCTGAGGCTCTCTGGTGCTCCGGCCTTGCGACGAAACAGCTACTATTCCAATTTCCGACACCCCGACCCTACTGAGCTGTGTCGATCGCAGTACTACTTTGCCAGGTTAGCCTTTTCTGCAAGGTTTTATTATTAGATGGCCTGTGGAAGGGCTGGTACAACGCTCCCCTCCTCTGAAAACGAGCTATAACGACGGGGTAGACAACCAGTGTAGGCCGGTTGATAAGGGGCGAATTGAGATTGGCGGTTCGGGCTCACAATGCAGGAGGTCGTGTGCTGTCCTCGCCCACTGCGCTGTTCTTCTTTCCTCTAAAGACATCTCTAACGGCGCCCTAAAGCCAGTTGATGTTGATCAAGTCTTGGCCCTGGTCACAAACACATGACGCCGCTCTGATATTACCGTGTCATCGCGGCTAGTGTAGATAGAGCAGGGGGGGCTTATGTCGGTCGGGCCGTTGATGTTCAAACAGTTAGCTGGTACATTCTGAATCTGCAGACATATTCTGCAACATTACTCACAGTCTCACACACTGCAGATTGCGTCGACTTCGTTGTCATAGCGTGGGGGGCCAGCTGTCCAAACCTGGCCTCTGAGCTGGCTGAACCAAGATTCTCTTCTGAGTGGCAGCCATGAAGGTTCATTCGGTTCCAATCACGTCATCCCAAAGCCTCATGTTTGGAGCATGTCGCAGTTTAGACCATTTCCAACGTCAGCCGGGTGTCCTCGATGCTCGTTTGTTTTTTGTCACAGCTGTTGTAAGAAGGAAACGCGGGGTTTCTGCGGCTAGGCATTGGCGGCAGACCAGCATGCGCGTGGCCGTTGTTGCAAGTTCAACTTGTAACGCTCCGACGATTCCAATTTGCTGCGTGTCCCAATAGTCTCAAAGCGGACGCTGTCAGATGGGAATCAACAGGCTTAGCGAGCGTACAGGCCCCGTAGCCCCCAGCTAGCACCTCACAGCTGCAATAACCAGCCGACACGAGGAGCCTCAGATCTGACGAGGGTATTGCTCACGTCGGTCGGTCATGAGGCGTCATCTCAGAATCGATCATTGTCGGTGCCGTATAGTAAAGGATTCGACATGGCTTGCGTTCACGAACTTCCCAAGACGAGACAGGAAAACGCATGGTGTGGTAGCGGGCGAGTCATGTGAAGCTGGCAATCGCTCCTTCCCCCATAGTGTTGTAAACCTGCATGTTGTGTCAGTTTGACTCTACCTAGCTTCGCGCGCCGAGGGGTTTCTTGGTGACACTTGCCACATACATCATCCATCACAAGACAGCTTATCAGGATTTACTTCAATTCATTGGACTTTGAACCTGCCTATGACAATTGAAGGCCTTTCTTGTCATAGCTACCTCTAGGTAAGTAGCTAGGTAGGTAGTAGTATGCTCCGACTACAATCAGAGGCCACGCACCAAGGTACCTACCTACCTGGTTTTTAAGAATGCGTTGAAAGCCACGATACACCCCTGCTCTAGAATCTTACCTACAATCATACAGCTAGCAAATTCAAGTTGATTTCAAATGACCGTGCCTCAGACTGCCACGTCCGCAAGTCCATATGTCCACAGAATACGATTGTGTACCTTCCCAATGCGAGAGGGGAGACACAATATGCGACGCATGGCTCAAGACCAGCATGGTCCCCATGCATGGGAAACAGTGCAGAGAAGACGAAATGCGACCCCAAAGGCAACACACGACCCCCCGCATAGCATTCTGGCTAAACAAGCTAATAATAACTACCATGCGGCGCAAGAGCCAGTTGCCCCCTGACGACTAAAAAAACCTGGTACACGAGTGTACAGGAGGAACAGAAACGTTGGCGTGCTTGGAACCAAGACTTCTTCGGATCTATTCTCGATATGGATGAACTGGCTGCGCCGGGCAACTTTGTTGAATCCAATATGATACAAATATCTTTACCAACTTGCTTGTCGTTGGTGAGCTAATGAACGTCTCGCGTAGAGTAAGTTTTACCGCCAGGTGCATAGTGTCCCGTCCCCAACGCCCAAGATTTCAAAGTCCTTTTCCCGTCAGTTCATCTAGATGCGGTGTCAATACGTATTTGCCTAACCCACGCTGCGCATGTCTCATGATCATTTAGCGTCCGATAAACATGGTCTGTCACCATCAGCAAAACCTAACCGTTTCAAAGCTTAGGTGCTAGAATGCGAAAGCCAATCCACATACATCATTGACGAACATTCCCCCGTCCAATACCCAATATACACCAAAGCTTACAGTACCGTGTGAATGTTGCACAAAAATGCGCACCTTATCAGGTCGGTACATTTCGGTAAGTATGTGTTCTATTTTGGCAAAAATGGGTGGTAGCCCTTGTGCAATCAATCTCGCCATGGCCGACTTACACCGCTAGCTCTCACACCAGTACCAATATCACGTTAAAGAGAGATGCTGCCATGGCACGAATACCGATCAGGGTAAAGAACATTGTTCTGTCGAATTAGAACACACACTGTCGGACTATGCTATAAAATGTAAGCATACACAAGCCCAGTCATCCAATGCTACTCCTTAGGTATCCTCTGTTTGTCCCGCGAGAGCCTAGTAACCACGCAAGGTTACGGCTGGCAACGTGGACTACTCGAAACGCTTGAAGCTCTTGGTGTACAATAAATATATGAACCATGTAGCCGGAAACTAAGAATTATGACACACCCCCGTATGTGAGGGTTCTAAATACAGATAGATCCCTTTCGTATCTAAACCACCGTGTATACTTGTTCCAAGTAACCTCCCTCCCTCCTTTTTTTTCCTCCCAAAAAAAAAAAGTATTTCCCCAACTCATTTCCACAGAATTTGAACTCATGGTCGAATCCATCGCTTATCCCTGTAGAGAATATCCGACGTCACCACTCTCGCTACCCAATTTAACCAGTCTGGCGCGCATTTCCTCAGCCCTCTGTCTCTCACCATCGCTCAGCTTGGAAAAGTCAACCTTATCGACATAGCTGCCAATGCCATGCTGTAAGACGTTGCGGGCACGGAGCTTACTGCCACCAGAGTGGCCGACAGAGCCGTGTAAAGTGACACGGTCCTTTTTCGAGTCATAGACGCCACGGTGGAGGATATTGTTGTTGTAGAAGGCGATGTCTCCGGGGCCCAGTTTAACAACCAGCTGCTCCGGTAGAACTTTCTCAAAAGGATCAGCATTACGCTCGGTCTCGGTTCGAGGGCGCTTGTGAGATCCGGGGATCAAGACGAGAGACTCGTCCTCCCAAAGAGCAAAATTGTACTGCGCGTGAAACGCAGGACGGCCGAGACGTTCCATCTCTTCCTCGGCTGAGGCGTCGGCGGGGATATCGTCACGATGCCACCGAAGCTCAAAGTCGCCGTCTGGTCGGACGAGCATGTTGAAGAGCTCCATCACAAGCTCGTCGTCATCGCACTGGAGAAGTTCACGGACGATGCTCAAGATTTCTTCAGAGAAGTACTGACGGGTGAAGATCTCGTGGCCGGGCAGGTCGGGGTTCATGAGATGCTGGACACCCCAGATGCCCTTCTCTGGTGAGAAGGTCCACGGCGGGAACTGCTTGCCAACGGTGCGAATGTGTGGCCATTGGCCAGACCTTCCAAGCTTCTCGACCCTGAGACTGGCTTCACGGAGTTCTTCGAGCTTCTGGCCGGCGACAATGCCTCGAACAACAACAAATCCATCTCTCTCCAGGTCAGCCAGACGACCGGTCGACTTTTGGGCGGGCATAATGACCAGACAGACCGGAGGGCCTCTTTTTTTAATTGTTAATAATGATACAATGTGGGGTTATCTCCAAGAGTGTAGGAAATGGATACGGAGTAGATATTGCGGGGTTGAGAATGGGGAGAAAAGTCTTGGGTTTCCACAAGTTCCGTCTCGGGAGTGGGAGAGGAGCAACTGATATACACGGGGAAGAAGAAACGGAAGACGGGGATCATATTCGTATCCCATATCTCCAGGCGACGACGGCTCGACCCAGAATTCCGTCCATGCCACGACCCGACGGGAGCCACACTAGTTGGGGATTTGCCTTCTCGACAATTGACGGTGCCCTTTTCACACAAGATGGTCTGTTCAACGGCTGCTACATTTGCCTATTTCTCCACAGTCAGGGAAACCACAGTGCTGGAACCTCGCGGGAGTGACGACAGCTGCCAAAACGGGTGTCGAGCACGGCCTAAAGGAGCTTTGTTTCACGGTGTCCAACAAGCCTATTTGCTGCCACGAATTGGCCAGGCCATCATACAGTTCAGCCGCCGTATAGTTATCATCATCTCCACACTGTGACTTTCGGCGTAACGTATCATTTCAGCCAACGGCTAACAAACATCTCCACACTCTTACTTGCGTATTTGACCCTTTGTACGTCTAGGGCGGCATACGATCGGATGGCTTTGCGACTAACGTAGATTGGTGAAGGCACGATATACAGTACCATGTCATGGAGATGGCCAGGTGATGATGATGTAATTTCAGTCAAACATTGTAGTGCTTCTCAAATCAAAAGGTTATTGACTTTGCTCTTTGTTGCTCTTCATATTTTTACTATCCAGTATTTGTTCGTAATTAAGCTAGGGCCCTGAACTCGCGAGCGTCTACAGAGTCATGTATCGGCCACATGGCAACCAAAACAAGAACCTTTCTACACGATCAACTATTACAATCCTCAACCCGCCACCGCACTATGAACCCCTTGACAGTCTTTTGCACATCCAAGTCCCCCGGATCTCCTTCAAAGAGGGGCTTCTCCAACTTCCTCTCGGAGACCTGCTCCACCTCGAGACCCGCGTTCCGAGCAACGTCGAAAAAGCCCATGTCCAGATCTTGCTTCCACGGGCGGTACGACGTGAAGAAGACGTAGGCGGCGCTATCCGGCGACGCGCGCATAGTCTCCTTGATGGTCTTGACGAGAGCCCCGTGCTCCGAGTGTCGAAACAGCAGATCCGCAAGGACCAAGACGTCAAACCCGCCTTGCATCCCGTCGCCACCATCGCCCTCTTGACAAGCAGGCGCAAGTCTAGCAAGAAGGGGCTCCGGGTCGGCGCCCCAAACAAACCCAGCGGCGTCGATTGTCCGCGCAACATGTCCCTCGGGCTCAACCGTCGCGTTGCACTCGTCAATGTTCTTTTGCATGTTGGCGACCAGGTCGGGGTCTGGAAAATCCGTCATGACCACCTTCCTGGCTCCCAGGATGCCCGCGACCAGCGACGGCAAACCGGCCCCGGCGCCCAGCTCGAGGACGGATTTGCCCTCGACCCTCGAAGGGTCCTGCTCGAAGTAATCCGATATGAACTTGGCCCCATTCCACAGATGGTGCGCCTCTGTGGGACTGTGCCCGACCAGATGCAGCGTCACTTGCTTTCCATTTTGCATGCCAAAGATTTGTTTCGTAGGCGGTGGTGAGGGTGGATAGTAGTCCTCGGGCTCATCCATCAGAAACCCCGTGCCGTAGGCCTCGTCTCCCTCCATGGCCGCTCACGTCAGACGACGAGCCTGGGCTCCGGCTTGTAATAGTATGTCGAAAGCCGGTTCACAATCTCGATGAAAAAGGGACCAATCCTGGCACGTTGCCGATTGTTTGCCCAACGTGACACGGCAGGGCCTGGGGGGAAAGTCCCGAATGTACGGAGTACATACAGCAGCACTTCCTCTGTATTGTATGTGCGTCTGGATTCTCTCAGACTAGGGTCCTGCACTGTAGATCACACCGGCCGGTTGTTGGTGCACGAAACCAGCCTCATTAAGCCGCCAACCTGGGCTGCCGAAAGCCACAAAACTTGGAATGAAACCTTGGGCCCTGTCCGAAAACCGTTGCCGACGGGACTCTAAGAAAAGAAGAAGAAGATAAATCAACGGGCTGTCTGTTTGTCGTGCCACAAGTTATTCCGTTTGTGTCAAGACTCGAGAGACATTTGCACAACTCCATACTCGCAGGGTGGAAAGATTTTGGTCCCAAGAGAGTGGAGACGACGGCCAACCATATCCCTCTAAACCACCAGTTTCTAACTCGCAAGTCCGCAATGGAACCTTTGGCTGCGGCGTGGCTTTTATCCTTTATCAGATGAGAACCATTTGGGAGGCCGTGATTGGGGCGGATAGAGAAACGCAGCAGACTAGATCTTGTTACTACTTAGTTACTACATACAGTCTGCTCTACCTAACAGGGGAGCATTTTAGGCGCCTCACTCTGTTAAATGTCACAGTACATGTGCGGCTTGTCGAATGGAACATTGCACTGGTTCGCCAATATCCTGGAAACGGCGAACGCCAAGGTTGCATTCTGCGAATTTCCGATTTGACTCGGTTCGTCTGGGAGAAGTCGCACCGACGTTGCTGACGAACGGCCGACGAAGCGGCCTGATTGGCCCGCAACAGCTTTGCCAGCAAACCACGCACACGTCAAAGCCAAGACGAACGTGCCGATGCTTTGATAAGTACATATGTAGTTTCACGCCTTCAGTGAGAGGAAAGAATAGGAGATCAACCAAAGGCTAGATCCAGATGATGGCCGGCAGGTACAAACCTGCTCATTGGAGACCAAGACCAACAGTCATTCATGCACACACAGCTCATGCAGTCTTGAGGCTTCAACAAACAAAACGGCCCGTCTGCACAACACAAAGACGGCCCAACACCATGAACCGTTTTATCCAAATCTCTGCTTCGCCAGCTCCCGCAGCATACTGACCGTGCCCTCCTCTCTCTCCTGCCACGCCCTCCTCCTCTCCTCCATCTCCTCTCTCTTGGCCCTCTCAAACTCCTCCCTCTGCACCTGTCTTTCCGACTTGCGCTTGTGCTCCCTCTCCTTGGTCCTCTTATACTCCTCCAGCTCGTCCCCCCCGCCCATAAGCTCCCTCTCATCGCCCGCCTCCAGCCCGGGGCTCTTATCCCTAAACTGCCTCATCTTGTCATTCACCTCCTTCTTCTTCTCCAGTTTCCGCTCGCGCGTGCCCGGTTCCGCGCGGGGCACCAGCTCCTCCAGGCGCTCCTTTTGAACCGTCCTATCCGCCTTCCGAGCTCGTCGTAGTTCTTCGCGGTCCGCCGCCCTCTGCTCCTCCGCGAGCTCATTTCGCAGCGACAGATCCTGAAACGTCGGCACCCTCGCGCCCACCACCTGGCGCCGGGGATCTGACGACGGCAGCACCGGGCCGTAGTCTTGGTCGTCGTCGCTGTTCCCAGCGCGAGGTGTCGCTTCTTCTCGCCCCGTAGGAATCTTCTGTGACCGCTCGTCTCTCCTCTCCCCACCGCTCACGTCCCCCTCCGGTCTTGCATAGTTGGCCGTGCATTTGGCAAACATGTCCGGATCGTACCACCCCTCCGCAAGCTCGTTCCTGTTCCATTTCCCGACGAAACTCTTCCATCTCCCCCTGGCCTCTCGCTCGTCCATGTCCTCCAGATACTTCTGCTTCTGCAGATCCAGATAGTACGCAAAGAGCGGCTCAAACGTACGGTAATCCGACTTGGACAGCATTCGCGCCGAAAACGGCAAGGCTACAGGGCTGGAGACAGCTTCCAATGTGTGGCGAGGCCGATTATGCTCTCGGCGGTGATGGTGGTGCCTGTGTGACCGGTGTGTTCGATGCGGCTCTCTGTCTGGCGATGCACTGCGGCGCTCGGATCTCCCGGTTGGCGACGGCGGCCTCGCTCGGGATGGCTTATCATCATTTGATGGGTTTCCATGGCGATCGTCGCGGCGGCGATACTCACGATCTGGATGGGTGTGGTGCGTGGACATGGCCGCTAGAGAGCTGTTCGCGGGTCCGCTAGGTATGCCTGTATCTCTGGGTGCCGGGATTTTATTTTATATGGTTCCGTTTATGCTGATGTGTGCCTATGCGGCCCAGCCTCCCCGCGTGGAATTTTGAGCAAGTCGTCAGTCGTCGGTGATGAGAGTGAACGTTGAAAACGGTCTGACGTGAAGCTCTGATGAATATGGCAATTGTCCCACTTTTTTTCCCTGGCACATCCAGCTAGACAAGTGCTTGGTCACGCCAATTGTTCAACCATTTGAATAAGCCACCTCGAATTTTGGCCAGATTCGATCAATTGATGTTTTAGCTTGATATTCCTGTCCTTTATAAGTTTTCAGTAGGTTTGACACACTGGTGAGTCGTTCTGAGAACACGGCAGCACCCAAGCTATTCGCACTAGAAATCGAAGACGAGGAGGAAATTGAAGCCGCAGTGTTTCTTTCCACAACTACTCCCCGAAGTATTTTCTACAGCTTTCTACAGCTTTCTACATTATCCACATATTTTCCCTCGATGTGAGGCTGCTAATAAATGTACTCTGGAACTGTACCAGGCAGGTGGGACTGCTAGAATCTCAGATGATCGTCTTCACGATATCAAGCTTGTAGAAGTAGTCCAGATATTTGTGTAAAAGCACAATCATCTACAAACACAGACGGTGCACACATTTCGTACCTGCATATTAGGGCCATAACAGAGTTCAAGGATGTTTTGAGTTGAGGTTTTGAGTTGAGCAGAGCTTCTGTTCTTTCATTTTCGTCTCACGCCATAGCATGTTTAACCAGTCCAGCCCGCCTCTTTCTATGGCCCACCATGGTCTGGGGTTCTCGGGTATCTACAACAAAATCGGACAGCCCTCATATATGTCCAGTCTCCTAATCTCTTCCTCATAATTTCAAGTACACCGTCCTTCCTATAAGCTTTCAAAGTGCTGACATTGGTCAATAGCGTCTCGCATTTATCGTATCGCTGCCATAGTTGGCCATGTATAAACATTTATAAGTCATCGTTTTCGTTAGTTTATGCTGCAGTATCGTCGGTGCTTGGCGCCGGATCGGTGTTATTATGAATCGTGCACCCAATACACTGGCAGTCATCACCACAAAGACAGCTTGACGTCTCTCCAGCGCATGTATCGCCAAAGGGGTAGCTGACGAAGAAAAAGTCGCTAGCAGATAAAGCCTGTTCCTCGCTCAGGCCGGAAGCGGCATCGGATGGTGTTTGGGGGGCCGCAGGTGACCATGTTCCATCGCCATTTGTCTTGATCGGGGTTGTAGTCCCGTTGCAACTTGTCTTGGTCGATTCCTCCGTCTCTCCATTCGCGCCGTTAACACCGTTAGTCTGGCCATTCAGGTGAGATCCGTTGCTGTTTGTATGGGCATGTGATTTTTGTGCCTCCTCCATCATAGAAGACCAAGCAGAGCGTACATAATTTTGCGTTGCGTCGTTGTAAGGATGGGCTGCACATCCAATACACTGGCAGGCATCGCCGCAGGTGCATTGATGTGACGTCCAAGATGATCCATTCGGTGTAGGCGGGGGCTGTTGCATTGGCATAGGTCCTGTCATGCCAAATGCCTGGGGCCCTCCGTGCTGGAAAGCCATAGCGGCCATAAGCTGCCTCCATTGCTCGGGTTGAAGGGGTTGCAAATAAGATCCATAATGCGGAGGGTAGTTGAATATATTGGGCTGGGCATAAAAGGGATACATCCCATTTGCCATAGCCATGGGGTGTTGAAAGGGTGGAATTAAAATCCCGTTTGGTGGGAAAGGTACGCCAGGCGGAGGCATGATGCCTACTGGCTTTTTTTCTTGGCCGGATGAGGATGGTGTGGACGAACAACAGCTCTTTGCTTCAGGTTCACGACCGCCATTACCATTGACGCTCGGCGCAGGCACTGAAGAGGCATCATCCCTATGGCTTTTGACACCATTGCTCCCTCCACAGCAGCTTTTCAACGTCTCTGATTCTGGCTTAACAGAGCCATTTACCGAAGATCCATTCTGACCTATAGGGGTCACTCTCATGGGACCGTGCGGCATCATAGGAGCACCCATCGCGTATGGAAACATGGGGAACATGCCGGCCTCTGTCCCAAAGGAACCTTCACTTGGCGTCATATCCATGGAGCCGTAAAGTGAGGCCTCAGACATGGGCGTCGAAGAACCGTTTGGAGTGCTCATTTGCGGCTGGTTCACCCCACTGTAAGGCGGCAAGACGTTGAGTTGGCTGGCGTCCATCCTCTGAAGTCCTGCGATATCGATGGACTGTTTCCTACTCGGCCCTGCCTTTGCGCCCTGCTTTTGGACTCGAAAGCCTGCGCTTCCGAATTTGGAGGGGCTAGGAGGTGTCGTCGCACTGCTGCTGCTGCTCGGTGCGTCCTTCTCCGGCTTGCTCTCAACTACTGCGTCTGGATCTGACGTTCCGCATCGACATTTCTGTTTCCTGGGGATGGCGGCGGTGACGGCGGCACACGAGCAAGGTCGCGATGAAGGGTGCGGACAAGAGCTTAACGGGCGGCCAGGTTTCCGTACTGGAACCATAAGCCGTTCATTAGCATGCGTGCACTTGGTTGAGCGGTGGCCACGAATGCAAGGCTCGCTACATTATATGGCGTTAGCTACTATGGTGTGGGCAACGGGGACAGTTGCGCAATGTCGGCAAAGTATCACCGACGTGGCGGCGTTGAAATATCCAATAGCATACGTACCAGGCCATCTTTTGCCCATTTATGAGAGGCATTTCAAAGACGTTTAGTTGAGGAAGTCGTCCGGGAGTTTTAACTCTGTAAAGATCGCGACAAGGGAGCCAGGGCGGCCGGCAGTTAGCCGGCGTCCGGAAACTTTACACGTCGAGCCGACAGAGTTCGGATGCGGCATAGAGGTAGTCGGCAGCTTGCCCAAGAATGCGGTGATGCACTGCGTTGGCCGTCGTCGTCGTCGTCGTCGTCGTGAGTGATTCCGGCTCTCGAAATTGCCTCGAATAGCCCGACAGCTAATGAAATGCGCTCGGCAGAGACTCCCGGTCCGGGGTGCGCAAGAGATGAGGGAAGTTGCGGACCGACGTCAGGATGCAGAAACGATAACCAGTCGTCTCCCTAGATCATATGCGAGACACGGGGTCCCGGGGAAGGATAGTAGAGTGGTGTTCAAAGAAGCAGTCGACGCCTCGTGGCTTCGCGGAGTGAAATCCGAGAGTGGGCGGCAGTACATGTAGCAGATACTGGTGGGATGGTCAGGCGAAGTATTGGTGGGCGTTGAGGAGTTGGGAACATTGAACCGTCGACATTTGATTTTTGAAAGCCAAAACGGCCAGTCAAGTCCACTCAGGCCCACCGGCCGCTGCCCACCAGAACGATAGTGCCTGCCAACATTGAACCCAACTGTAATTGATCAATTAGTCTGGTACACCCACTGTTCGTACTTGGAAACATCAACTGAAGAGCCGTCTCCAGGGGGGCATGCACCCCACTTGCGGGGCATTTGAGCCACATGCAAGTCTGCGGTCGTGGATAAGAAAGACATGGGCGGTTCAATCTTCACCAGACACCACCAGCCTTCGAAAGCCCTCCGCATGGCCAACTTGCAATATCAGACACATGCAGTACCGCATAGAACGTAGTTACAGAGCCTGGCACTCGGTGCTCGGTGGGCCTGGTCCTCGTCCAACATTGAAGCCGCTGATCGGTCCGTGGCTGGTTATCTCAGTTGAGAGCTCTCATCTGGCCGCAGCCCCGGTGAACCCCCCGCAGAGCCTACTTAAGTACATGTACCCTTACATGCAGGACGTGCGCCAGGCCCCAGCTGCTCAACCACATCACGCAGTTTTGGTACTACCATTAGACCCAACATTGGAACGTTGACATTGGAACATCGAACACCGGACACCACAAACTTCAATTTCGAGATCCATCAACACGCCAACCACCTTGGCATACCTACCGAGTATACATACAATCTTACAGGTGCGTTCTGCACTGGCCACCGGCGCCCACGCGCTCATCCAGCAAGGTTGGTTATCAAGCCCATCAAGGCCACGATCCGTCTGGGTTATTCACCAGCCGTGACACATGCCAGCCTTCCCCGAGCCCGTGGCAGCCCCCTTTGAAACACCCGCGCTTCTCAGCCTTTGTGGCAGGTCACTGGAGCCACTGGAGTCGCCTCAACGCGAATGGACCTTGGCCGGAAAAAAAAGCTCGAGCACTCCATCTATCTTTAAAAATCCTCGTATGATGCGATATCCAGGCCGATTGGTTCGACAGGCACAGACCGCATGCCTCTAGACCGACGGGTACAGGTGTGGATTACAGCTGCACCATGAGATGCTCCCCGTCAACAATGATGGGAAACGACATGTCCTGTTTATTTGTTTGTGTGTTTCGTTTCACGGAATTGAGAAGCAACGGACATGAAAAGACGAGACCCTACCACTCTCCTCACACTCAGATCGAATGGGCAAGACGTCGTGGCTCAGGAACCCAGACTCATTCAACAGATTCAAGGGAACGGACCCCTAGTTGGTTAATATGGGCCAAGCCCGTACACGCTGCACTATTGTATACAGATGTGTACTAATGATGTTGGCCTTTCGCCGCAGATTTGCAGACTGCAGCATCCCAAGCTTCGAGATGGTGTGCTCCTCCGAGCATGATTTGACGGCGCTGTAACCCACTGTACCACACCCGGGCAAATATTGCGCCAGAAGGGCATAAGGATATCCGTTTCATACCATCTGTTGCTGCATCAAGAAACTGCCTGCGTATCCAGGCAGTTTGGTTGCGAAACACCCTCCTTATCTAGCTGGCGATGGAGGGACATCATCTCCATCTGTGTGTGTATGTCTTCGGAGTATTGCCAGAGTCTCTCATCAAAAGAAACAGAAGAACCAACCAGCCAACAAGTTTCCCACAACCTCATCTCTTCACCAGAGCCAAGAAAACCCATCGGTCCCCGTTGCCCTTTCCCATCTCTAATTCATATGCCGTGTCAACAAGCCACGGCCAGGTGCCCCAAGGTGAGCAAGTTTCTATTGGACCGTTGCATTCAGGCCGACCGGCGAGCCGTTTGCCGCAGGGGATCCACACCCACCAGACACACGTCACATCTTTCCTCCAGTCCTGGTCCCAGCCGCGCACGAGTAATAAGCATTCGTTTGACTTCACATCAGCTACCCTCCGGCAAACAAAGCTGTAATTTTGGGCGTTTACAGCGCCACAGCATCAAAACGGGTTTCCATTTTGGGAAGCGGACAAGGCCGTCCCTTGCCGATCTGTGCAAATAACAAACTATCCGTCGTAGCACCACGGCAGAGCCCGGGTTCTAGTCGGACATGTCCTTATTCACACATACTACTACTACATACATGGGTGATATAAATTCACTGGCCCGATTCTTTTGGCTAGGCCGTCTCGCTGCTTGGTGCTCATGCAAACTCCATTCCCGTGCATGAGTTCGTCACGACATACGACTGGTGGATTAGAACAGACGAACTGGGGGAAAAGGAAGCGACTGAAAAAGGCCGTTGAGAGACACAATCGGACCGCGCGGTATGTAACCCTTTGGGTTGGGATCGGCCTTCTAGAATGAACGCTCCAGCCAGACGTGAAACTGTCTGTACAATGCCGCATTACTTTGACGCTCTTGGAATATAATAGTAGTACATACATAACGAACTGACCCCATGGTTCCATCTCTTTGGTGGAATATCCTTTTCATCACGGCTCTGATAGCAACCAATTATATCGACGTCCCGCAAACTAGGCTTCGTGATGATGATGAAGATCCTGGGAATATATCCCCGCGGCTAAAGGCTCTTGTCTGCTATTTCTCCTCGTTCGACCCGTCCGAGTCAGCAAACATATCCACGGCGCGCAGTCGCTTCCGCTGTTGCGTTCGGCCCGCAGATACCTGAGTACCACCAACACCCCCATTCTCATCCTGGCTCTCTGCTTGCGATGGTGCGCCCGCCGCTTGGCCCCCGCCTCCGTCTTGATCCATGGCTTCGGCCTCCAGCTCGTCGTCGTCAATAGGATCCCCCGCAACATCATCCTCATCAATAGGCTCCCCTTCCACATCTTCATCGTCAATAGGTTCACCCATTACGTCATCCTCATCCAGAGGCTCCCCGTCAATGTCATCCTGCGCCATGGAAGCAGGCACCACGCTGGGCGGGCTTGCTGCGCTCCTCTCGCGCTTTGCGGCTGGCAGCGCCTCGACCGTCTTCCACTTGGTACGAGCGGATGACTCGTCGATTGTGTCCTCGGTCTTGAGCGACGGTGGCGATTCAAACGTTTTGACAAATAGTTCCTGCGACTCTGCCGGAAATACGCACCATCCCTCCCATAGATTGAGCACGAGATTGATACTCCTTTTCCACTTTTCTGCGCGTAGGCGACCCCATCCGAGCTTCTCCGCCAGCAAGCCTAAGCTTTCAAAGAGTTTGCGCTCTCGGAGGGCTGTCTCAAATAGTTGTCGGAAACGCCAGGCGTGGCGGACGCCGCTTGTAGAAGACGAAGACAGAATATCGCTTACCACGTACAGGGCCACCAAACTAGCGCTGCTTGTGTCTGGGCCTTCGTTTGTAGATCCCTCTTCCGTCGCTGTTCCCGGATGGATTGGTCTCGCGTCTTGCTTCTTCTCGGCGTTGGCAGCTGTTAACGAAAGCGGCTTCTCAACATTGGCGACAATCATATCAACAACCTCATCTGCGCCGCGACTGGCATGGGTAATGGCAAACGTTGTGACTCGGGCAATGTCTCCTTTCCGCAGCTTGCTAAGCGTAGTCGGTAGTCGCGCCAGGAGATGAACAAGCTTGGCTTTATCCAACGGGTTCAGAAACGTCTTCTCGGCTTCGACGCCATTGTTGTTGTCGCCGGGGCCCTCCTCCATGTCTTCATCATCTGATGAGTTGTACTCCGGATCTGATACAAGCTCGTCCAGAGAAGTCGTGTACTCAAAGACCAAGCTCTTATCTGGTGATTTCCAGGCATGGCCACCGTCGAACAACGGTACATACTTTCCTTTGACTTGGCTAAACTCTGAGCCTGTGACGACCTGCCAAAGCCTCCACCGGTACCAGATGCCGCCTTCACTCCTGGCATCCCATATCCAAGCCCACCTCTCCTCCCGCTGAACGTCGGGTCGCGACATTAGGAGCGCCTCGAACTCTGGACCGTGTTCTAAAACCCCTTCAATCGTCTTGTTTATCAGTTGTATAGTCCTGACATCCTGTGGCGGTCGTACGGGTACATGCAACAACTGCGCCCTGTTGACTCCAGCACCAACCTGCCCGTACGAGGAGGGAGGTGCGAAACCGCGGTGAAATCCTTGCTGATGATGGCTGTACTTGTCCCGGCCTCCAGGCTGTTCAACGGGCTTTGCTCCGAAAGGATGGGCACCAGAGGACGAGGATCCCAGACTGGGGAGATTGGCCGAAGCTGCCACGGCCGAGGACAAGTGCCGATGCAAAGACAAGTAGTATCCGTAGCCAAGATAGCGATTCTGCAGCGTGCTCACGGCGGTATCCATTTCATTCGCGGGTGTTTCCTGCGAAAGGGTGACAATGGCAACCATGCATTTTCTTTCCGAGCCACCGGGCCCAGCAGGAGCAGGCGGCTGGATCCTGACATTCTCGACATTGAGACTATCCGGTATAAGCGCCTTGACGACCGCCTGCGACGTCCCCGGCGGCAAGTTGGCAAGCCTGAGCGTAGGTTTCGACGTGGCCTTTTCTTCGGCTCGGTCCTTCACATCGCCCATGTCTTCGTCCTCGCTCGCGTCAAAGGCCTTGGCGACCGACGTCGCAGCCGGGCCGGAATCCGGCTCCTCAAACCCCAGCAATCCCGACCGGTCCCTGGAACCTCCTCCCTTGAAGTCGTTAAACGACCTCTTCTTCGTAAATGACGACGGCGCCGGTCCCAAGCTCCCCGGTCCGCTTTTCAATCCGGAAGACACAAAGTGCCGCCTTGAGACGCCGTGTCCAGGTGGCTGTCCCCCAAAGCCGGGTCTCCCTCGCGAAGGGCCCCCAAAGCTGCTCGGCGCAGTCGCATCGCCCCTGTCGTCGTCGTCATCGTCACGATCGAAGCTCTTTACAAAATCGGCGTAAACGGCAGCAGTTTCGGCAGCCTCGCGCTTGCGCTTGGCCTCGGCTTCGGCCTTTTGTCGTTCAAAGGCTGACTGCTTGGTGGGCTTTTGGAGTTTCGCCTCCAAGTCTGGGAAGTTGGGGAGTCCCTTTCCGGAAGACATATCGATTGAGCTTGGGAAATTGCGCTTGTCACCTCATGTTTGGGTGCTGGGTACAGATCTCGAACGGCGTTTGCCGCAGTCTCAACTGGACCGGGTTTGGAAGTGGTGAAGTTGGTTGTGCTGTGACGGAGCTTCGCCTCTGATGCCGCCCCGCTACATGCATACGTCTCTCTGTGTGGCGCCACATCCGTCCCAGGCACACACCAAAGTTCGCCATGACGCTGGGACGGCAAGTAAAAGCAATGCTACGCAACGCGGGTCGGTGTACGGAGTACTGTATGTACCTAGGTAGGTTTGGATATTCAAGGGGGAGTCTTGTGATGCTTCTTTCTATATTACATACTGGGCTTGCATCTTCTATAGCTTTGCCACCTTGGCAGCGGATTTCTTGCCCAATTCCTCCGCCAACACCATGCCAGGATCTCCTCCGCGACTTCCATCCATCGTGACAAGACCCTTGAATTTCCCATTCGTTTCCTTCCCAACAGTCTCGTCGTCGATGTTCTTCCATTTCCATTTATCGCCAAGCGCACCACCTTGGCCCTGCATACAGTCTAGCACTTTGTCACCTAATATCGGCAGGAACTTGTATCCATGACCACTATCTCCCGTAGCAATAAACAGGCCCTTCCATCCAGGATGCCAGTCAACCAGCCAATCGCCATCCTTGGTATCAGAATACCAGCACAGCCTAGTCCCCTTCCAACGTCTCGTCTCAAGACCCTTGATTGGAGAGAGTTTGGCGAGGCCACGTCGCAGATCCGCATCTGCCTCGTCTGGCAGACGGGCAAGACCACCGTCGCGGCTTGTTGACGGTCTCGAGGTAACAAAAGAAGGTCTTTCTGGTGACGGGAACAGAGGCAAGGCATTGTGGACCATGACCGGGTTCAGGTAGCCAAAACTGTGCCGAGCGACTTTGAGAGTATTTTCTTGTGGTGGGATGATGAACAGTCCAGATGACAGGTTCAGAGCAACGGGTTGTTTGGAGAGCAAGGCAAGTTCTCGGTCACTGATGTCAATATATCCCAGCACGTGGCCCGTCGCCTCAACTCGTCCTCTCAAGTCAACAAGAGATCCCGTCCAAGCTCCGGCAGCGACTAGAACAACATCACTGGTAACAAGTCTGCCGTCCGTCAGCTTTGCGCCAATGACCCTGTCGCCTTCGTTGGCCAGATAGTCGACTTTTGCATTGACAAAATTCACCCGCTCAGTCGCCTTTACCCGCTCATACAGCCATTCCATCCCCCGTCCAGCATCAGCCCATCCGGACAGCGTATTTAGGTAACCCCAATCACCAGGGTACGTATCGGTTCCCAAGCACTCGTTGAGGGTCTTGGTGTTCTCCAAGACCTTGATCCTGTCCGCGGGATATCCGTCCCTGGCAGCAACGTCGACACAATTTTTCCAACTCTCCTTGGTATAATCCATTCCAGACTTTGTTCCGACTTTGAGTTCCTTGGGTTCATATGCCGTCAGAACAAAACCTGACTCGGTATAACGACCTTGGCCTCCTAGATCATCATCACCCTGCTTCCTCCATTCCTTCTGAGCCTCTGACGCAAAGGCGGTGTAGTGAGGGTCAGCGTAATCGGCCCTTATGATTCTGGAGGAGTCGACACTGGCGCAGTCATCCGGGGGGAATTGACCGTTGGCAGCATCGTCGACGATTGTAATGGAGGTCTTGGCAAATTGTGACCTTTTTGTGATTGCCCAGGCGGTGCTAAGGCCAAAGACACCAGAGCCGACAATGAGGAAGGAGGATGGTGCAGTTTCCATTTGCTGAAGCCGAGCCTAGGGGGACTAGATGGTAATGTTAATCAACGCCTTGAAATGCTTTTAAACTCATTGGGGCTAGGATAGCAAAACAAATTTGGACGAGATGAACAATATGACTCATGAGCCAAGTAGTTGATGTCGGCTCAAGAGGGGGGCCGGAGGGGAATACCAAATCTCGTGTACGTAATAAGTGGTCAAGTGTCACGGACATGGAGTACGGAGTATACATACAACCAGATAATTAAGGTACTTCTTAGTAGGGGGTGGCCTCTGCCAATGGGGTACTGGTGTAAAAGCTCCGGTGCCACGGGCTGTACTTCAGTACCCAGCGATGGGCGGCCTACCTGGTGTGTACCTAGTGGGTACCCTAGAGGCTGGTGTTTTGTTGACTCAACATTGAACCGTCACCAACCTCATAGCCATGAGAAGACAGCACTTACAAGGTCGACATCGGCCCCTGATCGAACACCGCCATCGATCATAATATCGAACTTTCTGAATAGATCAGGTCGATACGTTTCTATCTGGACTTGCAATCTAATCATAACTCCCTCGGCGCCGTGTTTGACGCATAATTCAACATCTTCGGTACTCTGCACGCCTTTGACGATAATCGGGAGCTTTGTGTAGCGCTGCCGAAAACCCGCATCAAGTCCAATATCCCGGCCTAAGAGACGTGGGATGGGATTTCAAGGATACTAACACGGATCCATGATATATCATCCCAAAACAAATTGCGATCCCGGAATCCTCCCGTGGCCATAAAAGCCCCAAGAGAAGATTTGTGAATTTCTCCGTTGGTGCGAGCCTCCAAAGTCCTCTTTGACTCCCAGCCGACGTCCACTGTGAATATTATAGCTTTGGCACCAAGACGTTCAACCATTTGAAAGGATTTCCGCAAAAACGCTGCGGGCTCTACCGATGTAGATGTGCGAATTTTATGAAAGATGAGCTCTAATGTGGCGCAATGAGGACAGACATGACAGAAGACGGCCTGGGACTCCTTCCCGGCGTCGAAAATCTCTTCGAGATGTGTAATAATTACTGATCGCTCGAGACTAGACCATGACGAGACAACTTACAGCCTGGACTGTGCCGTAAACTCCAGCTGCTTTGGTTAGATTCACTTCTCCCAGCGGGTGACCGAGCTTGGTCATGGCCGCCGGCGCGCTATAGATGGATAGTTGGCTAGTTATTCCCAGCAACGCTGTGTTCGTCGAGCCGTGACAACATGTCACGAAGCATACGAGGCCGGAAGAAGTAACGGCGCAGAGCCTATATTTCCAACGTAGGCCATCTCCCCCGTAGCTGCGGATCCACGTATCCCAGAACCAAGCTGGAGGTCAGAGCAGAATCGCGAGGCTTCTTGCTCGGAGAATCGTCTTACAAGATCAGAGCAGACATCTTTTTCGGACGAGTGCCCGTCGCTTACGGACGCAAGCAGTGTACTGATTCTGCCAGAGGGTGCGGCCTTCCGGACATATCCACTCCAGCCCCGCGCCGACCTCGCTCTCGGCGGCCCTAATTCTTGTCACAGAGAGGCAGAGTTATAGTCTTTCCGGAGTGGAGGACTCAGGAGCCGATTATCGGGACATCGTTGAAGTCAAGTCTTTATCCACACACAGCCTTCTGCTGATGGATAGTCGCTTGGATAGTCGCCAGTGCCGTGGTGTGCGTGACAAGTACCGAATCGAACCAACTAAGCAAAAAATGAAGATATTACCACCTTGGCACCCCCGACATCATTCGACATTGCGTACACGAGATCGAAAGCAGTACATCACAAGCTAATGAGTCCTTGTTTCGGCGACAAGAGTGCATTACTACCTAACACTGAGAGCCACGATAATGCAAAGACCGCATGTTCCGCGGGCCCAGGCCGTTTGTACTGTAGACACTGCAATGGCATCACGGGCTCCCCAAAGCCCGGATACGCCGCCATTTTCTCGGCATGCACAACGCAAGCCTACTTTTTCTCAAAAAACAGTCGTCACTGGAAACTAAGTATGTCAAATTCCAGTAACCTTGATCCTCACCTTCTTCTTCTTCTGCTTCCATTCTTGCGCAACTCAACGTTTCCCCTGAAAGCATTAAGGTGGTTGTTTGGAAGGCGCACCAATCCGAACTTACCACAAGCAATCTATGTAGTGTCGCGGGATGAGTAGTCTTCTTTTACCTGAAACCAAATCCATCGAACCTAATATGATAACAATAAACCTCCCCTATTGAACCTTTTGCCAACGCCGATGCAATGCTTAATCAAATGATACAGTCGCAACTCCGTGACACCTGATTGTGGCCTATCAAGTGTCCGAGAGTATCTTAGGTAAAAAGTAAAGCAATCATGGTATCGTGACCAATGGTCTAGTCGTACATGCGGAATAATAAAATATGTAAAGGGTGTTGGTACACCAGGTGGATGATGAGAGCGCCCTACCAACCGGATGCGTCTAAACTTTTCGGAAGTCTATACAGGGTGTTTGTTAGTGCCAAAGAACGCCAGCGGAATACGGTACGAGCACATAGAAACGAACCTTGCAACACAGGGTAAATCATCTCGAAGGCCTGGTAAATCTCTTCTCTGACCTTGGCGCCGGTCAAGACAATCTTGCCGCTGACGAAAATAAGAAGAACAATCTTCGGCTTGATCATGCGGTAAATGAGACCAGGGAACAACTCAGGCTCGTAAGAGCTGAAATTGTGATGGCGAGAAGCCAACCCCTCCAGACGAATGGGAAATTTGATGTCACAAGAGCCGACAATGTTCTGGATCTTGAAATCCGTGAACTTGGCGTTGAAGCCAAGCTTCTGAATGATGCGGGCATACTTTCTCGAAGCAAGCTTGGAGTCGTCCTCAGATTTGGCACCAGTGACGACCATCTTTCCACTCGCGAAGATCAAAGCGGTAGTCTTGGGCTCACGAATGCGCATAATGACGGCAGCAAAACGCTTTGGGTCAAATGTCAGCATCTAATGTACTTCAGACGGCAACATTAAGCCAGGATGTACCTTTGGGTTGTACTCCGCATTTCGGGCGTGCAGGGCAATCGTCTTCAGGTCCAAACGGCAATCAAGATTGACCGTGGCCACGATGTTCCTTAAAAAGTAGCACGATAAGCGTCACTGAGCACAACAAAAGCCCAATCACTCAAGAGTATACATACTGCAATGTAGGAGTAATGCCACTGGGACCTTGCGTGGCAGAAGGCGTCGCGGCAGGAGTCGCGGGAGTCACCCCATTTCCGTTGGCTGCGTTTTGGCCATTTGCTGCTGGACGCTGCATGGCGTCGCCATTACTTGACGGCGGTGTCAACTCATTGGTCGCTCCAGGGAACGACAACGAGCCGGGCGCAGTGAAGGCCTTTGCCTGTGCGGCGTTGGACGGATGTGTCTGGATACCTTCCATGTTGGGAGCGGTGATGATCAGACACACGAAACAAGTTGCGATAGAAGCGCTGAGCAGAACTGCTTTATCACGTTAGATCTGGGGAAAAGGTGGTAGATGAGACGAGAGGCAACGACGGGGTTGATGTATCAGGACTGCGGCTCAAAGAAAGTCCAGGTCGGCCAGCAACGTGCCGACTTGTGGACAGTCAAGATCCCGTTTGGACCCCAAACTGTGAGTCGTGGAAAGAGAACAAATACAGATGGGGCAGAAAGGGAATAAAGGGAAGAAAGGGTGACTCTTACCACTCGTGGGAGATGAACAAGTGAATGTCTCCCCTACAGAATGGTGCTCAGACAATGGGTTCTGATGCGATGCGACAACCACGCGTGGTTCAGAATGCAACGCAAAGATGGATGGATATAGGTCGAGGTGCTTGGTCGTATGGACGGTCTCAACCAGGGTAGAACCCGACTTGTTCACTTCAAGGCAAGCTCGAATCTTGTTTTAAATCTCTTCTAGTTGTCTACGCACTCGCAACGACCCGGTGGCGACGACAACAAGAACGACGAGATTTCGCTTTTCTGTCTTCGTCGGCGACCAAGAGATCGGTTGCGACAAGAGAGGGTAATGCGACGGGCTTAAGGAACGTATTTCAGTTCGATTTTATTGGCCTGTGGTCGCTGACAAAACGTCGGGCGCCGTCTAACCTGGAGAGGATGCTCGATCCAGTTCGCTTTTTCCGAAAGAACCACGGGCTCGCTGCGATAAGGAGTGAGGCAGGCGATTTTGCCGAGTTCGCGGACAGATCGTGCTGCAGGTGTCAAGAGGAGCTGCGATGCGACTGAAGCGTCCAGCGATGCCAAACAACTGAGATGACAGCTGAGAAACTGGAGATCGGAGATGGGGAAGCGAAGCGGAGCGAGGCCAACAACAGGTGAAAAGTGGGGCGCGACGTGTGGGAGACTTGGAGGGAGGATGAAAAATTATTAAATGGTGTGGCCGACGTATGTGGGAGGTACGTAGGGCCAACCGGTCGGGACTTCCGCGCAAGAGCAGCACGACCAGCGGGCTGGGGGGAGGGCTGGGTACTTATAATTTTGACCAGCGACTGAGTCTGCTGTTCTCCCAGGCAACAGCAGGCCTGTGGCGTTGCCGCCGGGAAGTTTGGCCTCAGGTTAGCGCACGCGCTAGGATCAGCCTCATCCAATCAGCGGCCGGGAAAGTGGCGATTTTATCTCCTTTTTTTTCCACCGCGCAACCTCAGATTGCTTGGGGTGGAGCCCCTGAGGTACCGCCTTATCACAGCTCGGCAAGCAGTACATGCACCTTGGCCGCTGGGGAATGTCCGCAACTGGAGCGAGTGCAGACAGATAACGGCATCGAGACGACATCTGGAGCCCAGCCAGGCCCAGTCCAGCCCATGCAAATCCGCAAATCCACTGGCTGCTGTGGTCGGGGGGCCGAGGTGGTCGAAGTTGGAGTGGACCGCGGCCAGGAGATGTAGCCTCCAATCCCAAGCGGCAGGCTCGGAAATATTGAGGCATCACAGCGCATCTGCACGCTGCGACAGCCAACAGTGAGCGTTGGTGCTCTCTCGAGCTGCTGACGGCTTACTCCAGAAGAATGCAATCCTAGATGCCGAGTATGTACTCCGTACTCCGTATGGAGTACTCCATCTCTGGTCGTGGACCGGGGGGGAGACGGCTGGCAACGGGGAACTTTACAACATCGAGCATCACCTGGCCTGCATAGAGGTTACGGAGCGCATCGACTGTTCTGTTCTGTCCAGAGACGAGAGGGAGAATGCAAATCTTGGCCATGAGACGAGAAAGGACAAGAAGTGAGAAGGGGGTTGGAGCCGCATCGTGTCCCGGTCCATGCTCCCCCCCTTTTCGTACTCCGTAAATATTCACCTGGATTTTGGCACCGGTTGATCCTCTATGACCCAACTGAACCCCAACAAAGGATCTGGTCAGCGATTCAGTCACCAAGTCGTCTCGTCCTGGGCTCCGTCCACCCAACCAGCCTCTCTCACCTCACAGACACACAACCAACCCGGCCGGCCAGCCCAACTCTTTTCTTCTTACCACACTTTCCTCCATGTTCCATCGACTTCCCAGCCCAGCTGTATCATGCTGCTTCAACTCTGCGACTGTTCGGAACAACAAACCGAACGCACGCACATGATGCTATCAGCATCACTGCCACCCTCATTATTGCCTTCGCCGTGGGAGTTCAGCATGCGTCGATATTCGAGTCTCGAACGGCCGCCGGGCAACACGACGAATTTCGACCACAGATGACCAGAACATTGCTTCGCCCGCATGCACCGACCGATGACACTGTGTCACGACTAACCAGCCGCCCGCTTGCCAGTCTGCCAACAGAGACTGCTGGGACAAAGGGGGCTGAGCGCGTGGAGCTGTTCGCGGCGTGGACCAGCCCCCTGATCCACTTGATCTCCATGAAATTGCCTCCAAGGAACCCTAGCCAAACACCCCCCTCTCACCCTCGCACAAGAGACATCGCCAAACCAACTTGCTGTGGCTCTGAAACATCCACTTTCCCCCCCCCTGTGACGCTTGCCGGGTTCAGGTTGCGCGTTCTGTCTCCTTTTCTTTCTCTCATCCTTTCTTGCTTTCTTTCCACGGCTCGGAGAGAAAGAGAGCGAGGAGGATAATAGAGGTACGTTGGCCGCTTTGGCGCACCGTCGCTTGCCTATTGTTGTCAGAAAGAGATTCCTTTGCGCAGCGGCAGATGCCAAGACAAACGCATCTGAATCGCTCAACGCAGCGATTCGCGTGGCTGAAGAACGCGGTGTCGGGGAGTGGCAACACTTCGCGTCGCACCCATTGAGACGAAGTCGCGACAAGGCAAATTTTTCATCTTCCTTTTTTTCACCCTTACTGCAAAAAGGGGGGGCAACAAGTGTCGGGTACGTTTGTGTGAGTCATGGACTTGTGTCCAACCATTTGGCTTGTGCATTGCTTGTTCAGGAGGAGGCTGGACGTTTGCGGCTTCCTACTGGCCAAAGTGCCAAGTATCTATACCCGAGCCTCGTTTTCTCGTCTCCCCATCCCGCCAGCGTAGAGTCGACTATCACGGCGTGGTGACGCGTATTTTGAGAGTTGCAAGTGGCAAAAAAAAATCAACTACGGGTCTTTGAATGCCTTGCGCTTGTCATGGCGCCAGTTTGGTCGCGTTTCGGCACCCCGAATAGCAACTATTTGCACACGGCATGCTGCTTGTGCAAAGTGTAAAAAATTTGATGATCCAAGGATGCTCAAGTAGAGAGACTTCCCGCGCACACAGACCCGCCCGGAGGGTTGGCCCCTGGAAGTACTGCACTAACAATTTTTTTTCCCTGGTGACCTCGCAGAGCCGCTCGGGGAAAAACTCGAGCCTCCGCTTCGAGACCAAGACCCGACCCTTGCAAAGTGAATTGCTCGGCGGGCTTGCTTTTTTTGCTAGGTGGGCCTCACGCCCTACCAGATACCTGGTCATCAGGCTTTATATTATTATTAAATAATATGTTACTGTATATTTTACGCTAAGTGAACATATTCTACCACAGATTTTTTTATTTAGGTATTCATATATAGATCGGGAGAGTTTAAACTCAAGAAATACCCTGCCTGGGTACTTACCTACTCAGTAAGTAGGTAGTGGGGGGATCAGCGCACCTAGCAAAAGGATTGAGCCCGCTCAGCAATTCTCCTTCCAGCCGACAAACGGACACGGAGCTTGGACCCCTATCACACAGACGTTCGGTTAATCTACTAATCTTACATTACGTCAATGCCTCTTTACCGCACAGGGTTTCTTTTGATCAATCGACTCGCCATCTTCACGTCCAAAAGAAAGAAAAAAAAGAAGAAGGACCCCTTTGTACTGGTGAGCCCAGTGAAGGCATTACTTTGTCGGCACTGAATTTGCGCCAGCTCAACTGGAACGGGACACGTGGCCTGACTCTTTTGTTTCTTTCACGGCAGCGTCAACATTCAGCAATGTCAATCAGTTCTCGCCGAGCATTCCGCTGCTGAAATCCGGCAAGAATGAAGCCTGGCCTTCTTTTTTCTAGTACTTCTCTTTTTGTACCTAATTCCTGGCCATATGTACAAAATGGTTGATGGTTGCCTGGCGGCCAATCATGCATCTACTTGAACAAACGATGAAAAAAAAAATTATGCAAAAGGGCGCGGAATGGGTTGAATCAGGTATCATGCACATAGAAACAGATCAAGTCATGTAGTATTTGGGTCCTTCGCCACCTTGAGGAACTTGCCAGTTGATATCTTGTTGGGGGGCTTTGATGTCGCACGTCTTGCAGTGGATGCAACTGCAGAGATGATTCGTTAGTACTACTTGTTTATGCCTCTGGAGTGCGCGCCAGGTCTGAGATGTGGCTTACTTTTGGGAGTTGATTTGGAAACGGACACCGTGGGGTTTTGATTCATCCTCGACGTATTCGTATACACCGGCCGGGCAGAAGCGATTTTCGAGACCTTTGAAGGGGGGGTAGGCCTTCTCGGTATGCGCATCCCAGTCCTTGACTTGCAAGTGGACGGGCTGGTCTTCCTCGTGGTTGGTTCCGGTTCGGGAAACGCTGGTCAGGATGTCAAAGGAGATCTTGCCATCGGGCTTGGGGTACTCGATCTTGGGGAACTGGTCGGCGGGCTTGGTAGCCGCGTAGTCGGGCGTCTTGTGCTTAAAGGTCCACGGAACGCGGCCTTTGAGGACGAATGCTTCCAGGGCAGAGTACAAAACGCCGCCGATGGCCCCGAGCGGCGAGTGGAACGAGGGCCGCATGTTGCGAACCTCTTTGAGTTCCTTCCAGATGGGTGATTTGCGGAGTGAGTCTTCGTAGTCGTAGAGGAATACGGTGCCTTGGTCGGTCTGGCTGAGAGCGTTCCAGGCGGCCTCGGCGGCGAGCATGCCGGACTTCATGGCGTTGTGCGTCCCCTTGACTTTGGGCACGTTGATGAAACCTGCCGAGTCGCCGATGAGGGCTCCGCCAGGGAAGGCTACTTTGGGGATGGACTGGAATCCGCCTTCGACGAGGGCGCGGGCACCGTAGGAGATGCATTTGCCCCCTTCGAGGACGCTCCTGAACGTGGGGTGCTGCTTGAGTTTCTGGAATTCTTGGTAAGGTGACAGCCATGGGTTTTGGTAGTCGAGCGAGACGACGAGGCCGAGGCTGACCATGTTGTCGCCAAAGTGGTACATGAAGGAACCGCCGTAGACGTCCCTGGGCAGAGGGTAGCCCATGGTGTGAACAATCAGTCCCTTGTCAAACTTTTCGGGGTCAACTTCCCAGACTTCCTTGATGCCCAGGCCATACGTCTGGTGCTGGCTGTCCTTGCGGAGATCAAACTTGTTGATGACCTGCTTGCTCAAGCTGCCGTGGCAGCCCTCTCCAAACATGGTGACTCGGGCGTGAAACTCCATGCCTCGCTCAAAGGTATCCTTGGGCTTCCCGTCACGGCCAATGCCCAAGTCATTCGTGGCCACGCCTTTGACGGAACCATCAGCGTCGTATAGGACCTCGGCAGCTGCGAAGCCGGGATACACCTCGACACCAATCTCCTCGGCCCGCTCGGCCAGCCACTTGACGAATTGGTTGAGACTGACAATGTAATTGCCGTGATTGTGCATCTGTGGCGGTGCCAGGACGGGGAAAGAACTGTTCTTGGTCAGGATTTTCATCTGGTCCTTGGCCGCGGGCGTCGCGTGCTCGAAGCGGTTGGGGTTCTCCTCGTCGAGCCAGTCGGGGATGAGCTCATTGATGGAGCTGGGCTGGATAACGGCGCCCGAGAGAATGTGCGCGCCCATGTCGCCGGCCTTTTCGAGGACGAGGACTCTGAAGTCCTCGTTGCCGGCCTCGTTGGCGAGCTGCTTCAGCCGAATGGCGGCACTCAACCCCGCAGGTCCGCCACCGACGATGCACACGTCGACCTCGTCGGACTCGCGCTCAATGGAGGCCGGGTCGAAGGAATCGTCCTCCTCGGCGTCGTATAATCGTCGGCCGGCGGTGAACAGCCGCACGCCGGCCAATCGCTGCGGGGGCACCGGCCGGGTGGTCGTCATGCGAACAGTCCTTGACATGAAGCCGATCGCGGGGACTGCGCGTCGGGGCGTCCAGCGCGCAATTGATCGTGCGCTGCGGTGGACGCATCTTGACACTGGCACGGGGGCCGACATGGCTGCTGCTAGGTGACTGGTGAAAGTCCCTGTGGTGCACCTGGTGTCGTTGCGTGAGCGGTGTCTGGTGTTTCCGGGACTCAACCCAACCTTCGTTCGGCCTGGGTGTGGCGAGCGACGTCAAAGATAAGCCGGCGGGTGAAAGCTCTCTGACATTAGCTGCAACCCAATTGGCCGATTGGTTCGAGTGGGCAGCTTGTGAAGCCGATCCAAGCCGGTGGTCGGTACGTTTTCGGTACGAGCCCGCTGTGCTGATTTGGCAGTGCCTAGGTCCTACGGAGAAGTTGGTGCGTGAAGCCGGGCACAAGAAAATCCACGGCCAAGGAATTGAAGGGATCGATAGAAGCGGGTTCCTGGCGAGTTGCCGCGCAAAAAAACCTGGCTCATGAATTGTATACCGTTGAGCCGAACATGCCAGTACTTGCCTTCAAGGTTCTTTCTGTGCGCCCCCACCTACCAGAGCTTGTATGTAGGGTAGTCTCATGGCGAAGCGAATAACTAGGCTTGACAAGTCAAGAATGTCTACTCCGTAATTGGGAGTGAGAGATGTTTATTGGTGTTTGGGGCATTGATTGGGTTCTTCTTGCGGCCTGCGGGTTACTGTCTGCATCGTGGATGCTGACTGTGCGACCATGTTAGGGTGTTCCTGGCGGTCGATGTCTGATGAATCCCCGGTGGGTGAGCCATGACACTTGGACACCCCCCACATCGACTCTTTCTGTTTGAGATACGGAGTACGAAGTCACCGGAGCACGTTGACATTTCCTCGAAGACTACGGAGTACGCCACCGGGGACATCCGCAGAGTTCAAGGTCAGTGCTTCCTCAACAGCTGTTCTATGATAGGCCAGAAGCATACTCGCCGCATGGCACGCATTGGCAGAATAATCCAGCCTGTTCATTCTGGCAAGCCTCCCATGATCAGTAACGGTGCAGCATATGGCACCGACCAAGGCAGACGAGGAGACCAACAGTAATAAATGCCAATTGGCAAGGCAGAGAGAGAGGCTCACCGATTGCCCAGTACGCCCGTCGCACTGCAGCCAACATGCAGCGTATCACCCACCAGCTCTCCGTGCTTGACCTCAAGCCAATCTCTCTTTCTGAACAATGCGGGGAATCGTCTTGGGTACAACAATATTGACATTATGCAGGCCAATGTTGCCGTCATCCAGACCGCTCAAGCAATATCAAGAACCAAAGCTCATGGACGTTCCCCGCATGGCACGCCTAGCATCCATCCTTGCCATCGGCATTAACAACAGCCAAAGGCTATCCCTCCCGGTGCAACACTCCTTTCGTCGAGTCAATACCGGCACGGCCAACAAATCCACAGATCCATCATGGCGCTAAGGGCTGCTTTGGCAGGTCAACGTAGCCCTTCATCATCCCGATATTCGAACCCAGTCCAGAGCTATTACCCCGCATTATCTGTAGGATTCTCGGCGCTTTTCGTAGCAGAATGACCACGATCAACATGACAGCCAAAGAGAGCAAGGGGGTTGGCGGGTGGTGTGCTTGTATCATGTTGGTTGGTCTCGCGGCAGTGAATCCGTACTTAAAGGGAGCAACAGTAGAACCACGGAATGCAAGCTGGTTTGTTCCGTAAACTGAGGGAAGCATCGTCCGGACTGGGATAGGCTCGCTCCCTTCGTCAGGTCTCACCTGGGAAGAGCGAATCACTTCTGCTCCATCTCGTTCAAAACTCTATTTGAACGTTCCTCGTCACAAATAACATCAACGAGCGTCGGGATACGAACAGAGAGCCATGAAGTGGATTCAGCTCATTGTCGTTGCCGGTGTGGCTGCGGCAGATGTGCCGAGCGATTGTCCTGCCTATGACAACTACGCCGCCCAGCGCCACCCTCCGTATTCAGGTGGCAAATGGAAGTATCCGTATCAGCGGCCCGAGGCGACATGTCGATCCTACGAGGTCCCAGAGGTGGAGATGACATTGGAGAAAGCAAAGGGCATGATTGAAGACGGGGACCTGTACAGATTGTTTCTGAATACGTGGCCAAACACGGTCGACACTACGATTCTGTGGCATGGGAGAGCGTTGGATAATGCCGACGAAGAGGTACCGTCCCATCATGCAAATGCAAACCCAACCCGCAAGCCCTGTCCAACCGAGCTTGGTTATTCGGGGTTTTGCTCTGGTCAGACGTTAACTCTGCACATAGCTTGCCTTTGTAACGACTGGCGACATCCACGCCATGTGGCTTCGCGACAGCGCCAACCAACTTCAGTCCTACAAGCCGATCCTCAACATCACTTCCCACAACGCTACCAATAACATTGCCAGTCTGTACCGCGGCACCATCAACCTCCAATCACGATATATTCGCAAATTCCCCTACTGCAATGCCTTCCAACCACCGCCTGACTCTAAACTTCCACTCGCCAACCACAAGCGTGGCTTGCTCGCTAAGCGTGGTGACACGGTCAACCCACCTTACGACCCCAGTGTCGTATGGGAGTGCAAGTATGAGCTTGATTCCATTTCGGCATTCCTTCAACTCTCATGGGACTACTATGATGTTACTGAGGATACTGAGTTCTTTGGAAAATACGGCTGGGCGGATGCCGTCAAAACCATTCTCAAGCTGGCGAATGACATGATGACGGGTACCTACACGGAAGACGGGCACGTCAACAAATCGCCGTACCAATGGTTCCGTGACTCGAATAGTGCTACAGAAACGGTGTCAAACGGAGGCACTGGAAACCCCGTTGCGGGTAACATTGGTCTCGTGCGCAGCTTCTTCCGGCCGTCGGACGATTCCACCATTTACCAGTACTTTATCCCGGCCAACATGATGTTCTCGCGCTTTCTCGAAGCCTGTGCTGAGATTATGCAGACCATAAACAAAGACACTGCCTCGGAAATGCTCACCATGGCGTGGGGTATAGAAAGCGCCATTGAGAAGTATGGTATTGTCAAACATCCCAAATTCGGTGACATTTACGCTTACGAGGTCGATGGCTTCGGCTCTCACAACTTCATGGTCTGTCACTCCGCCACAACAAGAACTGTAGTATATACCTCATTAACGAAGCCTTAATACAGGACGATGCCAACGTCCCCTCCCTCTTAAGTATCCCTCATATCGGCTTCAAACCCAACACCCACACAGTTTACCGACGCACTCGCGAGTTCGTTCTCTCCCGCTCCAATCCATACTTTGGCTTTGGACCGGTTCTTAATTCAACTGGCGGCCCGCACCTGGGTCCCGGAATGGCATGGCCGATGGGCGTTATCATGCAGACCATGACCTCGAGTGACGACGACGAGATTGTGCATGGTATTAAGCAGCTAATGGGGGCGACAAGTGGGCTTGGGCTCATCCATGAGTCTGTTGATACGCATGATGATCAGAGGTGGACTCGGTCTTGGTAAGTACTAAAAGTGTCCAAAGCCTACTCTCGGTGCGCCTGGATTGCTGATATTTGCAGGTTTGCCTGGGCGAACGGTCTCTTTGGGCAAATGATTCTGGACCTTTTGGATAGAAAGCCACATCTACTCGCGAAAAGCTACCAGTAGAAGGTAGACTATGACTTGCCCTGTACGTATTAATCACAAATACGTCAAATATAGTTTTATGAAATATGACGTACCATCAAGATCGAGACACTCTTTCTCTTTTGCCAACCTGTGGCCTGGGCTAGATTCCAAGACATGATGTGTATGCACGTATGTGTTGGCTATGACAGACAAACCGATATTTCAAACACTCGTCACAAGACTTTTTACCCCAACACTGTCCGCTGATCACTGCTTGTGAATCGTAAAGTCAAGGCGCATATCCTGGGAGACATGGGACCGACCCTTTTCGTGAGCTTGTTGAATTCTTCCAAGTCATGTTAGAGGAACGGAGAACAAAGACATGAACAAGGAATATGTCTCATCATCTCAAGTAAGCTGTGGAAAGAAGTGTCATCTTTTATTAAGAAACATAAAAACGTCTAAGCTTATCTAAATATGCATTGCTCGAAAACGCTATTCATGCGGCCCATAGTATCGCGCCGCTCCATGCATCCGTTCAAACTCCTAGTCCCGAAATATCATCTAGCTCAAGTCAAATCCCGCTCCTGATGTGACCGCATATAACAATTTCTCTCGTAGAGCTTCCTCGCTCGTATATATAGGTAGTTTCAATAAATTGACACAAGTACTGGTACTCGGAAGTCTCTCTTCATCAGTACCTCCATCTCTGATGCTGAATTTCGGACGGAGCTGTGCGAACCCAAGCAATGGTGCACGAGGTGTCGAGCTGACGTATTTGAGAACATCTCTTCTTTGGGTGTCTGTAAAACCCCCCATGACTTTCCAAAACAACTTGATAGTAGGATGCTCTTCATTGTCATCCCCAATTTCGTAGAGTCCGCTATACACGGTATTGCGACGGAGGTCTTCAATGTCAATTTCGGAGGAATCTCCACCCACGAGGCGTTGAAGCTCAGATTGATTGAACATGGAGAGCCATGATGGGGGGATGATTGACCGGAGACCGCGGAGGAAAGCAGTGGTTTGGAGAGCTGGTTGGACGACAAGCCGGTGGCGAGCAGCATAGGAAATGTAGAGAAGGCGATTATCATTCGTAACAAGGATTTCGTCGCCGTTTTGGATCAGTTTTCGAGTAATGGTTTTGACCGGAGCGCCAGGTGGAGAGACCTGGTCTGTGACGGTGAAGTCGAAGCCTAGTTCAGATACATCACCAGGATAGTTCTTCAGTCGCAGCAAGCCCTTGTACAGTTCTTCGTCCATGTCTCGTAAGTCGTTAATGTTCCCTTTGTATGTGTTTTCGTCTTTGGGACCAGCGGATGGCCATTTCAGGAGGAAAAAACCAGCAAACGCCAAGTCCACCAGAATACCTTCATATAGGCACTTGCCGATAATGCGCCCGAGGAATTCGAATCGCCTCAATAAAGCATTCACTTTGTCCCTATACTCGTCATCGTCTTGTTTTAGGCCTCGTCGCCAAAGGGATTCGCGGAGTGTGTCAACAGCTGTAGGATTAGGGAAAAGCAGCCCTTGTTCATTGGAGCTGAACATCCCAGCGCCACCTTCAGTGTTTCCAAAAGCCTCAGAGGTTACACCAATGAGAAACTCCTTGGTCACACCACCACCGTCGATACCCGCTTCGGGTGTGTCGAATTGGTCGACAAAGGTGATTTGAATGGTATCTTTGAGTCCGTCCCCTATTTGGTAGAATTGGTTGAACGCATCCTCGAAGAGCCGGCCGCGTCGAATTTTGGCATAGTGTCTGGAGAAGGGGTGTGCAGGCCCGAAGGGGCTGTTCCCATCCTGTCGTATTCTGTCCAGGTTAATAAACTGGCGGAAAATCTTGACTCTAGTTTCAAAAGGAACTGCGAAGGGCATGTGCTTTAGTATCTCCAACTTTGGACCCATTTCGGCCAGCCTTCGCTCCCTCTGGGCGCGTATTTGTTGTCTCTTCAGTCTCTCTAATCGAGCATGGCGAGACAACCGTTGGCCCGCCATAGTTGAATAAAGAATAGATTCTTGGTTGAAGCCTTCACTCACAGTGACCTCCTCTTCGTCGCTATCTTCGGTCTCTGCTTCTTCATGACTCTGTCGTTCCTCTTCAGTGATAACGGCATTGATAAAGTCTTCTTGTTGAAGCTTGGCATTCATCAACCAGTGATCTCTCGGGAGGAAATGTTTTCTCGAGTCCCTTTCATAGAGCATTTTGATGGCTGTGGTTATGATAGCACGAAGGCCATCCAGATCAACCTTTGTGGACGCAGGTGACGTGGCTATCTCTGCAGATACCGATCTGTGCTTTTCAGCTCCAAAATATGAGTCAAGTCGTGATTTTGTTGCTGTGTCTGTGGTCTTCTGTGACTGTGACAGGTCTCTAGCCTGATAGAGAAGGACGAAAGCTGCGTTTTTCAAGAAGGTTGTCAGGGCCTCAACATCCACCAGTGATAGGCTACATTGACGAAGACGAGAGTCAGAAGCACCACTATCAATAATTTGCGTCTTCATACCACTTAAAAAGTCCTCGTCATCGCTAAGGCGCAGGATAAATGTATAAAGCTCCAAAAAGAGAAGAATCACTCGCCACTCTTGCTCCTCGGTACTATCCTGTGACAACTGGGACGAGCTTTGTAAATACCGGCGGATGACTTCCAGAGGGTTTTCTGACTCTGTTCTTAATTTCGTAAATACCGAAGTCTGTCGCATAATCTGCCAAAGGAATTTAACCGTAGGCACGTGTCCGGTGACAGTCGGTATTTGCTCGAGAAACAATCTCATTCTTGTATCATCAGCTTTAGCCGGAAAGCAGTGCAGAAGAGTTAATATGTAGCCCGCGAGTAGGCTGGTTCCATAAGACTCCTCTGTGGCAGAACGAGCCAAGTTGGACGAAAAGTCAGAAAGAACATTGGATATTCCATCATGATCTACAAGTGATAGCAGTTGGGAGGAGATATATGGCGCAAGGGCCCGCAACGAGCTGCGCTCAATTTCGTCGTCCGAATCGTCGACTTGGGGTTTGAAGCTCATTCTTATACTGATCTCTGATGATAGAAATGATAATTGCACCAAAAGAGCTCTTAGGTAGGCGAGCCTGGCGGATGAATCGAGCGAGGCACGACCAAGACCAATATAATGCGCCAACAGCCACAGGAGACTGCCCCTGGATGGCAATGTCGGAGGCGAGGATCCATATACAGAACAGATGGATTCGGCGAGCTTGCCAGCATTAATTGCCCGGGATAGGAGGAGGTTGTTGTTTTCGAAAAGATACAAGTCGCCTCTCGTAAAGAAATTGAATGCAAGAGCTTTATAGGCAGCCCCTAAATCAATGCAGTTAGCATGCTGATTCTAGCAGCCCCGAAGTTCTTAGAACTTACTACTGCCCGACTTAGCCTGAAGAGGCGTTGCCAGAGACGCGAACAACAGCTCGTTCCATTTTTCAGCTTCTCGTTTGCTGTATAGACTGGCGAGGGCAGTGTAGTATTGGTCAAGCGAGTTTCTCATCGCATGAGAGTCGTAGACTGTCAGTCGGGTGATGAGTTTCAGGAGGATCGAGACGTCTGAAGTCAGCGCCCTGAGACTTGAATCAGTGTTTATTCTGTGGGTAGTTGTACAGTCAGGTGCATGTATAGACGTACTTTTCTGAAGCCACAAAATGCAATGTGGAAACAAGAATACTAGCCAGTTGCCCGAGGCGTGACCTATGGACACCGCGCGGGGCAATATGTTCGGTATGTGCTGATTCGCAGTCTCGTGCAAACAAACAAGATCTCTGGATATCAACGTCGGATCGTCGGGAGAAGAAGGAGAGCAGAAGGTTAAAAGCAACAGGCAGACGTTCAGCCACGGAAATTCCTGAAGAATTGCGATACAAGTTATCAAAGACAACTCGTCTTTCATCGGCCAAATTGCGCCGTGCAAGGTGACCGCGCCATGTTCGTTGGATCCTGCCAGCAGCTTTTAATCTTTGCCTTTCCAAGTGCCGCTTCTCTCGCTCGGCCTGTGCATCTGATACGGTTTTCGTTGTGTTGGAGACGACAGCCGGACTCCATGATGTATTGGCAAAGGGGTTACCGGCTTGCCCGCTCAGGTTGACATTCCGGGGACGCCTCGAACTGCCAGTAAAAGTCGAGAACATAGTGGTAGGCCCAACAGCATCACTCACATACAAAGGCTGCTCGTAGATAAAACCAAAGTGTCTCTACAGGCCAGATGGCTCAGCTGGTAATTTGGGTGCGTCCGAGATGATTAGAATTCTAGACGTTTCGGATGGTTGGTAAGCTCACGAGATGGCCCGAAGCACTGGTAGTACGCACATGCAAGGTTGGATAGCTGGCTGGGGTATTAGGCGGGCGGTGGCATGACGTGGGGAGGCCAGAAACAGTGCAGTGGCAGGACTGCTTAGGTAAGCCGTCGTGGCACACGACCTGGAGTCCACAAGAACATTCAAGGCAAAATGCATGTGATGGGCTGCTTCCCCTCAGTCATTGTATTTAAGCCGTTGGATGTTGAACAAACAGTATCCCGTACATAGAACAGCTTGACTGTCTCCCTGGATGGGTCCAGGTGGCTTGCGCTCAAAAGAGTCTTGTCTGCACAAAGAGTGAAGCAGGCCTGAAGAGTCACCAAACACGGAGAGTTGTAAGGGTGCCAGATTCCATGCTCATGCATCTCTACTCTGTGCTTCGGAAGCTGAGGTTGCCCATTGGATAACAACAGAAGCTCCTGCATGTAATAAGCTGCTACTCCGTACCGCTGCTGCATTGATTATTATTGTATTGTACATACGGGCCACAGGCGCATTGAACTGCCAAATTGTCAAATCAAAAGGCCGTGAGAAATTCAGGGTTTTCCTTGGCATTGAAGCCACTAGGCTTGATGAAGTTGGCAGTCCGGGTTGGTTTGGTAGGTTCCATGTTTGGGTACATGCGATGCAAGGTGAGTTGCTCGGCGGGCTCACTCCTTTTGCTAGGTGCGCTCACGCCCTACTAGGTACCTGGCTATCAGGCTTTATATTATAATATATGAGAGTTTAAATACATTACATAGTAGGGGGATAAGCGCACCTGGCAAAAAGAGTGAGCCCGCCGAGCAATTCACGGTGCAAGGGATGAATGAGTGGGTGGCATCAGCCCTCATGCCCGCCAAGTCGCGGCTTCCCCAGCAATCATGTCTTGCCCTCTGTGTCGGTACTTGATACTGTGCGCGAAAAATCTTGGTTCAGACTGTGGAGCTCCACCACACACAAACAAATTTGGACTGTGCGTAAGCGTCCACCCTACACGCGGTCAAGGCTTAGATTGTGTCAAATGTCAACAAAGGCGGTGGAGGTGGTTCACAGCCAGGCTTGAAAAGTAACAGTGAAGTACTTCTGAGTACAGGCTGCATGCTCGACCTCTGAAGCACTACAAACCAACATTGAACTTAAAGTTCAGAGCTGCCTAGGTACCTGGGTACACGGCATCTGCTACCAGCGCCGCTGCATCAGCCACTCAAGCACTAGCCTGTGAAGAGACACTCCACATGCACCAGCCCGCGCCAAATGTGGCCGCCTGCGAAGGGAAAAAAAATATCATCTCGAGAACGAAATTTCCTCTCCTCCTCTTTCTTCCCACCACCACCCTTTATCCCACATCAACCCAAAACCCAAACGCGAGTCGGTTCAGAGGTACGGTCCTAGACCTGGTTCTCTGTCCTTGCACTTGTTGAAACTCAACCAAAAAACAATCCAAAAAAAATTTAAAAACCTCCCAAAAAACCACCCCTGCCCGTATTCCTGCCTCTGTGCGGACACGACTACAACTCTCAAATCAACACGCATAGTCTTTGGGCTAGCCATCCACCGCTACTCAAGTTTTTTTTTACGCGTCTACTCCTTTCTGCCGCCTCTTAATTCCGGGTGCAGAACTTCTCCAGTCCTTTTTCCTGTCACAAGACTAGTTGCGTTGAATCGGTTCGTCGCCCCTCTCGTTATCTCGTGGGAGCCTCAATCTCGGTCTTGCTCTTACCACAGGCCACCCGCCTGCTAACCTGAGAACCACCTTGTCCTCTCTAGACTATCGATTTTCCACGTTCTCGACATCAAAATGGCCGCCAACACTACCTCCGGCGCTGTTGACCAGCTTGCCACCGACCTCAACAACACCTCCCTCAATAATGGCAGCGGCGATGCCAAGCCCACTGTCGACACCACCGTCGGCGCTGCAGGCTCCGAAGACGCCTCTGCTCCCACTCCTAGCTCCGCTGCTCCCCATCCTCAGAACTCCGCCTCTCTCTACGTTGGAGAGCTTGATCCCTCTGTCACCGAGGCCATGCTCTTCGAGCTCTTCTCCCAGATCGGTGCTGTCGCCTCCATCCGTGTCTGTCGTGATGCCGTCACGCGTCGCTCTCTGGGCTATGCCTACGTCAATTACAACTCTACTGCTGATGGAGAGAAGGCCCTGGAGGAGCTCAATTACACCCTCATCAAGGGCCGCCCGTGCCGCATCATGTGGTCTCAGCGTGACCCTGCTCTCCGCAAGACTGGCCAGGGCAATGTCTTCATCAAGAACTTGGATGTTGCCATTGACAACAAGGCTCTCCATGATACCTTTGCTGCCTTTGGCAACATTCTGAGCTGCAAGGTTGCCCAGGACGAGAACGGCAACTCCAAGGGCTATGGTTTTGTCCATTACGAGACGGACGAGGCTGCTCACCAGGCCATCAAGCACGTTAATGGCATGCTTCTCAACGAGAAGAAGGTCTACGTCGGTCACCACATCCCGAAGAAGGACCGTCAGAGCAAGTTTGAGGAGATGAAAGCTAACTTTACCAACATTTACATCAAGAATGTCAGCACTGAGGCCTCCGACGACGAGTTCCGTGAGCTCTTCGAGAAGTATGGTGACATCACGTCTTCTTCTCTTGCCCGTGACCAGGAGGGCAAGAGCCGTGGTTTCGGTTTTGTCAATTTCACCACCCATGAAAGCGCCGCCAAGGCTGTCGAGGAGCTCCACGGTAAGGACTTCCGTGGCCAGGACCTTTACGTTGGCCGTGCCCAGAAGAAGCATGAGCGTGAGGAGGAGCTGCGCAAATCATACGAAGCTGCTCGTCTGGAAAAAGCCAATAAGTACCAGGGTGTCAACCTCTACATCAAGAACCTTGATGACGATGTGGATGATGAGAAGCTCCGCCAGATGTTTGCCGAGTTTGGCCCCATCACCTCCGCCAAGGTGATGAGGGATGCTCCTTCCGATGGATCCGACGACGATAAGGAGAAGGAAGAAGACAACGAGAAGGAGCCTGAGGCCAAGGAGGAAGCCAAGGAGACCGAGGAGGAAGACGCCGACAAGAAAGCTGATAAGAAGGGTGACAAGAAACTTGGTAAGAGCAAGGGCTTTGGTTTCGTCTGCTTCAGCAATCCTGATGATGCCACCAAGGCTGTTGCTGAGATGAACCAACGCATGATCAACGGCAAGCCCCTGTATGTTGCTCTGGCTCAGCGCAAGGATGTTCGCAAGAGCCAGCTCGAGGCCAGTATCCAGGCTCGCAACCAGCTGCGTATGCAGCAAGCTGCTGCCGCAGCCGGTATGCCTCAGCAGTACATGCAGCCTCCCGTTTTCTACGGCCAACAGCCGGGCTTTATACCACAAGGTGGCCGTGGTATGCCATTCCCTCAGCCTGGCATCGGCATGGGCGGTGTCCAGGGTGGTCGACCTGGTCAGTTCCCTGGCTACCCTCAGCAAGGTGGCCGTGGTGGTGTTCCCCAGCAGATGCCCCCCAACATGTACGGTATGCCCGGACAATTTCCTCCCCAGTACGGCCAACCCGGCACTCCTCAGTTCATGGCTGCTATGCAGGCTCAGCAGGCTGCCATGGGTGGTCGCGGCGCTCCTCAGGGTGGCCGTGGTGTGCCGCCTCCTAACGCTGGTCCTGGTGGTATGCCTGGATACCCGCCCAACAATCGTCAGGGTGCTGGCCGTGGAAATGGCCGTAACAACGCCGCGAATGGTCCCAATCAGGCTGGCCGGGGCGAGGGAAACAACAGCTCTGTGCTGCAGTCGCAGCTTGCCGGTGCCCAACCTGCCCAGCAGAAGCAGATCCTGGGTGAGATCATCTTCCCCAAGATTCAGGCCATCAATTCTGAGCTTGCCGGAAAGATCACTGGTATGCTCTTGGAGATGGAGAACAGTGAGCTCGTCAACCTGTAAGCATTTCCCCATGATACGCATTCCTTTATTTATCTAATTCTTTAAACTAATTCACTCATAGGATTGAGGATGACGGTGCTCTGAAGGCCAAGGTCGACGAGGCACTTGCTGTCTACGACGAGTACGTCAAATCACAAGGCAACGAAGGTGCCGAGGCGGGCGAGGCTAAGAAGGAAGAAGAGACCAAGGCTTAAAGTGACCAAGAGTCGAGGCCTTGTCACCAATTTCTTTTTAAAAGTTAAATGATATTCCTTTTGTTTGATTTCCTTTGTTAATATTCTTTCAGCTCCGTGCTGAACTCCTATTTCTGGGTGTGGTTTATTTTTCGGACAAGATGGTGGGAGGCAGGAACATTTTTTTACGCCCCGGCTTATGGCCCACATATCCGAAAGGTTGCATTATGTACAGATAGACTTCTTTGCTATGTCTTGCTCCGCGAAGGAATGGAGACACCGTCCTCCAAGTGGGGAGGGCAAATCGAACAGCTACTTGGCTACCCGGCGTGGTAGCAGTGTGGCTAAAGGACGACGGGTGAAGCTCGTTTTAAGAGGCGTTGGAAGGTTGTTGGTTTTTGTGAAGAACCGCCTGAAGTAGGCTTATACCCCTTGACAGACGGACAGGCCTACGTTGTGAGAGGCCAAATTGACACAAGAAGAAGCTTATGATAGTAGGAGATCGAATAAATGATTTTCTGAAATTTGTCGGACTTACGTATGGGAGGTGGGTGTACTGACGAGCCAGCCAGACTATGAGATCCCAATGATTATGCTCAAGAAGGCGTGATGAACTGTGATAGATTGCTGGATACTACATACATAGACGAACCAAAAAGTGCCATGCTTACACCGTCAGGGCTGTCAACGCTAACCCTATCCAAACGAGTCGTTGCTCTTCACAAAACAGTAACCCGCGTATAAAATCCCAAGCGCTCAAAATCAAGTCAGACCCTTTAATTTCCATTCGACAAACCATACGCCCAATCCCAGAAACTTTGCGGGTGAAGCTCGCACAAACTACATCGGCCCAGCCTCAACGTGACGCCCCTCATCTATCTCATGATAGACATATTTGCGGCTCCTATCAATCGAGTACAACGTCTCCATGACTTTCGTCTTCTGCTGACTCCTCACATCAGACAAGTAATCCCTCACTTGAACGATGCCTCGTATCTGATCCTCCAGAGTGAGGGTCGATGAATTGAGGCCCCGAACGAGTTGACTGGCCAATTTGCCACGCAGACTCTCGAGGGACGACTTCAAGGTGAGCAATTTTCCGTGATGGCCGACTAAATTTCCCTTGTTACGGATAGTTTTGGACCGAACGTCATGTAGTAGGGCGCGGTTCTTTTCGAACTTGCGCAATTCAGCGGCTCGGGGGCCGAGGATGCGCGCCCACAGGCCAGAGAGGAGCTCGGTTTGGAATTCCTCCTGGGTGGATGTCTCGTGGGCGACCGTGCGAGCGAGCTTGAGGAAGTGCGCGTCAATGTCGTCGAAGAGGGCGAATAAGGAGACAGAGTTCTCGAGCTCGGCCTGGATGGCTTCCTCGAGGGTGGAGAGGAAGCTGTTAAAGAGGAGTTGCACCATGCGTTGTTCGCGCTGGGGGTTGGACATGCCGAATATGGTGGTTGTGAGGCGGCCGACGCGCGTGGGGTGGCCGTGGGCGTCTTCGAGGATGGCTGTGGTTGTGAGGAAGTTGTGGATGTTGTCGTAGGCGTGGGAAAGGGAAGATGGGGGCGGGCGGGAGTTGAGGCGGTCCAGGTGCATTTTTGCCCATTCCATCACACTGAGGATGCTGGTGTGCGAGGGCGAAGTTAGTTTTTGTAGATGATAAAAAGGGGGAGCCTGGGTTGTGCGTATTATACCTGTCGATGTCGCCGTCAACGTGGGTGTGGAACTTGGTCAGTTCAAGCACAAGCTTCTTCATGGCCTCGCTGATGGAATCTAGGTTGTCAACAATGATTTCCGCGTCAGCCATCCCGCTGACTCGCACAGACTCGGCAAGGTCCCAGACAGCAATACTCGTTGACTGAAGGTCCTTGACATGTGCGACGGCTGGCTGTGAGAAATAGATGAGGGGCTCGAAGGAGCGTGCGATCCCGGCGACTTTGACTAGATCGCCGACCGGTCGTGGTGCTGCTGGCTTGACCAACACTCTGAGGGTTGATATAGAGAGAATGGCAACTAGGATGCCGGACACAATCGACATCCAGCCGTTGGTTAGAGCGCGATGCCGTCGCTGTGCGAACAAGACAGCAGCTTCTATGGGCTTTGTTCGTTGTTGGACTTCTGCACGGACGGCGAAGCGGAAATCTGGGGCATGATGTTAGCGCTTCGCGACGTCAGGTACACAAGTATATTGTTGTAAGTGATGTGAAGGACTTACAATTATCTGGTCCCGGTGACTCTCTTGAATTAGCCTTGGGGGTAGTAGGACTGATGTTTCCCACCTTCAACGTCACATCTTCACCTCTTTCTGGGCTTGGACTTCGTCCCTTCTCCGGACTCTGGCTTCCCGCCGGTAGCCTTGTTCGAATGGCCTGCTGAAGTACATCATCCTCAACATCGTCGTCATCCGAGTCGCTCACATCCGAGCCCGGCGATGTTTCTCTACTAAGCCGTCGCTGGCGTTTTGGCAGACGAGGGTGTTGCTTCCAGAAGCCGCGGCTCCTGTCGCCGTTGCCGAGTCTCCGCCATGCCGGCGGCGAGAACCCACCGGCTGAACCGGTGTCTGAGTCCTCGAGATCCTCCGTTGCTGGCTCGCTTGGGAGCGCTGACGAGTGACGCATCGAAATCGGGCTGATTGGAGGTTCGAAGTCCCGTAAGGAGGCGTCGAGGTCGTCTAGAGGTTCGACCTCCTCTGTTGGTGGTGATGTCATTGCTAACAGAATTCGAATATGCGCTGCTACTTGCTAAGTGGCGCGCCACAACAATTGATTGATCCTGAAGCACCAGTTGGCGGCCTTGTGGAGGAGGGGGCAGAGGCTTGTCGATAGTATAAGCGCTCCTACGCTGAGGTGTCGGCAGTCCCGGCAAAGAGGGCAGTGAAGGAAGTCTTGGTAAAGTGAATCGCGGAATGCGGAACGATATCTTGGGTAGGTAGAGGACAAGAAGGACGAAGATGACAATAACTGTGGCTAGCCACGTACTTGGCGCAACAGTGATGCTGATAAGTGAAACGCTGTTGTTGACAGTGATAAGCGAAGGCATGGAGCCTTTGAAACACATTTAGCGGCGATGGCGATGTCGACGGCCTGGATGAAAGTGAAGATGGACTGTTCTCTTTCTCTCTCTCTCTCTCTCTGTCTCTCTCTTATGCCCACCAGCCTGGGTCCCTCTCTGATCTCAGCGCGCGCATCAAATATGCAGGACGGGCTTTCTGCAAAGGGCACCTTGACCCGGTGACGCAAGAGCCTGTTCCGTCGTCCACTTGAGCTGTTGGCACCGTAGCCAGCCAGTTCTCGATCTTTGCCGTGTGGAAACCCAGAACCAAGGCCCTGGACTACTTGTTGATTCTCAGTTCTCTGCGTGTTCAAATAGGGATGTCGTCGTCGTAGTCAGCGACCGCATGGGTTTGCGAAAGAGGGAAAAGGGAAGCAGAAGAGGCTTCGGTCGGGGGGTGTCCATTGGATACGATGGCATCTTGAAGGCTCGCCCACTCACACTTGGGCCTCATGTTTGGGCCTCTGCCCATTTCACGGAGGAGGACCAGGGTGGTGGGATGCTGTGGGATGCTGTGAGCACTTCGAAATCGAGAGGTTGGGGAGTCGTGGGGCCAGGGGAGCCCAGGGCAGCCATACACAGTGCAGGAGCTTCCCTTTTCCACGCCCGCCGGCCAATCATCTCCCACCTTGGGCCATCCAATACACATAGTACCTTCCTTAGGTGCTCCGTATGTAGGTACGGAGTAGGTACCTACCTCTCGCTTGTCGCAGACCAACTATCTAGGCACCTAGTGGTTACGGAGTAGTAGGTATACTTGACAATCTCCGCTGCAAAAAGCACTTTGGCTTCTGCGGACTGGCCTTTCCCACCGGCGTCAAAATATCCGGTTGCGGCTTATTTGTTTAGTATTTTGTATGTATGTACTACTCCGTACAGAGCCGTACCTTTCACGGCATTCCATCCTTGATGGTGCCGACGCATGTCCTCGAGTGGGTTCGAGTGGGCGGGAAGGCGGGTAGCAGCTCTAGAGGTGGGGCGGTTCCAACCATATCCACTCCAGAGGGCCGCACCCTTTGACCTACCTACCCTCGGCCTCTGCCGCTCAACTACTCCTGAACACCCTCCTCTTTCTTTCCCCTTGCCAACTTCACCATCACCAGCGCCTCCAGAGGTCACGAAATGCAATATTAAAACACCCCTTTGATCACATATGTGCATTTCTGCTTTATCGCTATCGTATTCCGTAGTGTCAACCCATGCACATACCCAGACAAGTCAAAAAGCGGAATACCATCCTCTTCCGTGTTTCTGCAACCTCCGCAATGTGCCGAAAAAGTGCCATCCCCCCCCATTCACGTCAGCGCTCTTAGTCAATCTTGGCATTTGCCAGGCTACGGGCCGCCGGGTTGCTGATATTGTTCACCTGCTTGACGGCCTTCTGCTTGTACTTGCTCTGCTTTCGGAGCCTCTTCCTTGCCACCATGACGGGCACTGAACTCTTTGTCACGAGATAGTTGGAAAATGATCCCAGGATGACACTGTTTAATGGCGCCTTCTGTTAGTCGTGAGCTCACCAAACATGTCGGTTCCGGGGGACACTTACCCTTTCAAGGCGCTGCGACCTCTGCTACCGATGACCACCAACGTGGGGTTGATTATATCAATCACTTCTGTGATCAAGTGTCGCGGATTCTTGCAATGCAGCACCTCCACAATAACTCTGACTTGCAAGCGGGTCTTTCTCAACAGCCGCAATACCTTGTCTGTCATTTCCTGAATTGCACGTGATCGTTCCTCTACCGCTCTCTGATTGTCACCTCTCTGGGACGGCGCCGGCGAAGCCCCTGGTGTTCTATTCCCTCCCGCCGAGTCGGCGCGCGTATGCAGTGCCGAGGCTCGTTTCAATTCAACAACAGGCGTCACCGGGGCGGGTATGCCTTTCGCATTTGTGACTGTGTTGATGGCTGCTGCTTGCTCCTTCATGGCTTTTGGATCATCTGGCACAAGTGCCCCTTCGCCGGTCACTATGCCGGTTTCTTCATCCACGCAATAAATCGCTATCAAGGTGTCGCCGTCGCGCAGAACTGTTCCAATAGCCCATTCCAGAGCGTGAGTCGACTCATCACTCAAATCTGTTGCCACCAAGTATTTCCGTACTCTCTGCTTCTCCTCGTCAGCTGACTGCACCGTCTTATGATAATCTCCACGGTAGATGATGCGGATAGAACGATGAGAGTCTGGAGCAGTCAAGATATTGGTCATTGAGAAGCCCAAATTCTGTGCTCGCTTGATGTCGGCCATGTCAGCTTCCTCATCCGAGTCAAACATGGATGGCGTTGTGGAAGTAGGATTCTGATCGTAGCTGGTATTAGGATGAATCCCGCCTTTGACTGGCTTGACTGTGTCGCCCGATGAGTTGGTAATCTTAATTTCTGGTTCTAAAAGAGATCTGTAAGTGTAGGTTTGGCTCTGCTTTTGGGCGATTTTCGATCCTGAAGAAACTGGTTAGACATCGGCAAATATGGGACCTCGTGTCCATGGTCAGGTCATTCACCGGTGCTCGATAAAACTTACGTTCTTCGTCCGCAGCAGCCAACAAACTCAAAGTTTGGCGGTCACCTTGCCCAGATCGAGATCGGGATTTGCTATTCTCCCCTTCTTCGTGGGCATCTGGGTTCAGCGACCTTGGGGCCGTCTTACGACCACGGTCTTCGTCGTCAGATGAAAACGCCTCTTCCTCTTCGCTGGATTCCAGGTGCTCGCCATCCGGACCAAGGTAGTCTTTTATGAGCCGACCCTCACCAGCATCGTCGGACCGTTTCCGCATTGGCAACTGCGCCAGGCTACCACTAGAAAATGCCAAGTTTGCATCCGACAACCTGCGGTAAGCGTTGTTGATATCCACAACCTGTCCGTGGTCCAGCACTACTCTGTTTGGAGATAGGAGAGGAGAGAAAGTCGCCGGTGATCGAGAGCGAGCTGCCCACCTCTCATGAGGAGATTTCGACTTGGGGTGTCCTAGTCGACCGCCGGCAGAAGAATTTCGTCCTGTGTCACCTGGCAGCTGAAGACTGCTCAAGTCAGCACCACGGAGTGCCTCTCCTAGTACCCCTGCTCCCGGCAATCTTTTGCTGCTGCCGCTCTGAGATAGTCTCTTGGACCCAACATGACCGGAATATTGAGGAAGAATGCCTGAAAACTGGTACTCGGAAGTTTTGTCGACACGGAGTCCTGCTCGCGGTCCAAATTCCGCAGGCTTGAATGCAGCATCTGACGGGCTTCGTGGGTGATGTGAGCCCTGGGATGAAGCGGAATGCGTCTTGAAGATTGGTTCATTGGGGGTTGCAGGGCTGGAGCTTCTGCCATGGACCGATCCAGGAGGCGATGGAACGGCTATATCAAGCATACTTCGCACAGGTGCCTGCGTGGTAATGACTGGTGCATCAATGTCCAACATGCTCCTCACGGGAGCCTGCGTTGTGACACCATGCGAAGAGCCTTCGGGTTCCTCCTCGATATCTAACATGCTCCGAACAGGCGATCGCGGGGCCGCAGTATACGGCGAGGACGAGCGCATCCTGCTGGGGGAGGTAGGAGCGTTGAGATTCTTGTTTTCCAAGAGCGCAAGCACCTCCTGCCGTTCCATGTCAAGCATGGCGTCGATGCTCATGGGACGATGACCCGACATTTTGGCGATGATGTCGGACGAGGCAAGGCGCTTTTATACAATCGGTAACAGAACAAAGTTGACGGGTGGTTTTGTGGGTACTTCAAAACCTTGGGAGGCTCAAGATTGATGAGCGCGCCTGTGATAAAAACGCCGAGGCAGTGGGCCGTTGGGTTGCCTGATGCGAAAAGCAAGCAGGGCAAAATATTGCGTGTTGATGAGGGTGTTGAGGCAGGGCCTGGGTGCGAAATCTTGACGCGAGAGCCTTCGGAGAACACGACGCTTCGTCGAATCAACTTGGGGCCAGAATGGCATTGTGATAATGCGCAACTTGGGCGAAATGGCAGTTTCTGGCAGGCGTTGGAACCTGTCAGAACATCACGGCCGGGGGGTTGCGAGCCAGACGGAGAGGAAACAACGGTTTGCTCTATACAGTCGAGAGGGGAACAAACGATGCAGCAAAACAAGGCCGGCACAACGGACGGGGAGTCGGAGGCGCCAGATGCGGATGGCTGCAACAAGTCGGTTGTCGAGACAGGGTCGAAGGCGAGGGCGATGAAGATGGTGAGCGTGGGCGGGAGGAGGGAGGAGGAGAAATGAAAGAAGTGAAGGTGGGACTGTAAGGCTGTGTCTGTTGCGATACCGACTGGCAGTCCCAGGTGTTGCAGGCTAGCAGCTTGGAGGTGCACTAGAACGGCCGGGAAACCTGGAAAGTGTCCGGTCGGCCTGGGGCTTCAAGGGTTTCAGTGTGAAGGCCTGGTTGACGAGTGCCGCCGCGAGGCTGGTCGGCTGGCGCTACCCCGTAACTTACTACTTTAGGACTTACCCAAGGCACCTGGGTAACTCCACGGGCAACTGGGCGCTATGGAATACTTGACTGGCCATGGATCACCGTACATGTGCCAAGTACAGAGTGCTGGCGGGTGCTCAAGTGGGGAATGTGAGTTACCTAAAGTACGTAAGAACTTTAAGTAACTTACTAGGAACCTAGTAGGCCCATGTCGGCACCTAGTACTCTAGTACTCGAGATCTGGTGCAAGCCATCCAGTCATTTGCACCGTCGACATATGGTGCCAACTAAAGGCTTGTGAGTGCTGGGCGTCGACGAGATCAATGGAAGCTTCACTTCTCAGCCAACCCCATCCTTCAACGTTCGTGCCCGCTCTCAGAGCTGCAATACCCGGCTGACCGAGGCAGCCTCTCGTGCGGAATGTACAAACATTGAAGCAAACAGACCCCTCTAGCCCCTCCAACAGCGTGCACATGGTTGGTGGCACTTCAGCGCTAGTACTCGGTTCAATGGTTCGTCCTCGAGCTCAACACTGCCACAAGACACTGCAGCTCTTGTGGCGATGCACCGAGGTCTCTTTGGATCCTCCAAGGTACAGTGCAGCTTTATCAATTCACCACGTAGTCATGAAACGGAGAACACCACAGACGGCTTGTGTTTTTTCTCTTTTTTGATTAATTTTTTTTATAAAAAAAATCCTTTTTCTTATAACCAACTTCTCGAATTGCTGTTTGACAATCGCTCAATGCTGTTGTGGACTTGCCCAGCCCAGCGGCGTCTTGCTTCCTCCGACGTACGTATTCGGTCCCCTCCCCCCTCCTTCTGCATGGAGGTTAATAAAAGCTTAAAGTACGGAGCACGGAGCCTGAAAAACTGGATGGAGAATCACATGATCCCACTGCCAGCCGGCGCAGGGCCACGTTAGTCCGTTGTCTGACTCGTTGGTCCAATGCCACCATCTGATTATTACTGCTACTAGTACTCCGTACCTAGGTAGTTACAAAGGAACATGTCAATTGCCGTGATGAATCTTTGTACGACATGAAAATAAACGATACGCAGCGGGCCTGTTGTAAACGGCTTTGCATCAGATGCCTTTGCACCGAGATACGGGATTGCATGCACTCTGTAGCTTCGCTTATATTTTTGAATCCGCTTCTATAATTTACACACATGTATGCCCTTTGACATTCCCAAACACCATGTTGAGGGTTTTGCACCGACATATCCAGCCAATACAAGGTAATATACAAACTAAGCAGCGGGCTGCTACGTTTCTTTACATCTTCTTCTTGACTTTGAGCTTCTTGGAGCTGACGTTGGCTCGGGCAGCTGTGCCCAGCTTGTGAACTTGCTTCCTCTTTTCCCACACGCTTGATCGTCCTTCCACCACGGCAATGATCTCCTCTGCAATCCGGTGGGGGAACTGGTTCTTGCCGCTGCCCTTGGAGGGCTTCTTCTCAATCACATCCAGGATCCACTTGACCGCCATCCGCCTTCGTTGCCGAACCGCCAGAGGTACGGGCAGTTCGAGCGCCCGACCGCCGCCGCCGGCACCCGCGATATTCCGCACTTTGAGTAACGGCGCTACCGAGTCGATGGCGATTGTGATGTAGAGAACAGGATTCAATGGTAGGTGGGAGGCCGGCGGTGTGCCAGGTAGGAGTGGGAACTTCGGACTGTAGATGGGAGCCGGAGCCGTTCGGAGAAAGTTCATTACCGTCGCGACGTTCTGCAGAGAGCTGGAGTGAGTAATTCGCCGCCATGCTGAGCCCTATTAGTAGAGATATTACATACTCTTTGAGCAACACTAAGTTTGCCATCTCGCATAAGCAGCCGAGTGAGCTGCTCCAGGACCGGGTGATATCTTTGCTTCAGATTGAAACCTTCCGGGTAAGGCTTCCTGGGCAGCCCGAATTTGTGGCCTGGATTTTGGATATCGCCACCTTGGCCTATAGACAACTGTGCTGGTTCAGATGCTTGGGACCTGGCGATGAGCGCTTCCGCTTCCGCTTCCGCCGGGGTGGGAATGGTGCCTTCTCGGTAGAGTGCTTCTTCTTGAGCTGCTGTCAACCCCCCCTCTGTCTCACTAGTCGTGGGTCGGCCGCCGTATAGAATTTGCTCCAAAGCTGCATCGCTCAAAGTATCTATATGTAGATTATCGGGACCTTGGCTTGTCTGGTTGCCTAATTGTCAACACGTTTCCTAAATATCTCGAGTATAGGGGAAGAATCTCACTTGTGGCGTAGGAGGGGTTGGTTGCTTGCCAAAATTCGTAGCTGATGCATTGACCTTCAAGGTTGATGATATATTTTCATTTCTTGCCGCATCTCTGGAAGTCGTTGGATGTCCATTGGCATCGGTCGAAAATGATCGAAAGACACTCGTTGCAGGTCGGAAAGATTCCCTGCCATGTTGAGCAACTGGTCTTGTGCACACAGCTAGAGCTCTGCATGCCCCCAATAACCTCGTCCTCGGAGACATGATGACCCTCCGACCTGTTCTGGAGTAGGTTCCAAGAACCCGTGCTTTTCGCGTGACAACTAGAATATCGCGACGAAATTTACAGCAGCTGAACAGTAGTTGTCGGAACAAGACCGGTCCGGCTCATGCGCATGTATTACATAATCACCCTTTCCCCCAAAGGCCCACCATGAACTACGTCCTTAGCGACTTAGCCGAATCCCATCTCCAACCAAGCATATCAAGATACAAATAAGAGAGGCTTACGTGAAAATATATCGCCAAAGCCAATCTTCTCTTATGTAAACCAGGATACTTGCAATATTCTCTTTTAGGAAATCCTCAACACCCTCTATCGGACTCAAGAAGAGACTGAATACTTCCTGAGTTCACCTCTTCCTACTCAGTACCACAGGAAGCGACTCGAGCCGCCCTTTCAATCCGTAACGGCCTACAACTTTGCGACATTTTTTTTTTATATTCAATCCATGTCAGCATTGTATTCCTTTCCGGTGAAAGGTATTTGTGGTGATGAAGTCATACTTATATTCAGTTCTGAATTTGCGCCAAATCATACTAAGCCGATCCTTTACCCAATGTCCCATGTATCAATACATCTGGTTTTTAAAATGGTTCGCTTTCTTTTGCTTTGCCCTATTGAGGTCGGAGATGCCAATCAAAAAGAATAAGAAAAATAGCCATTGTTTGTCGCTTCCCCCAAAACGTGCTACTAAGCAGATAACTGGACAATAGTGCTTCAACATAAATAGGTCATGTCATCTGTTGGTATTGTTTTCCATTTTCCTTTGGAACAAGAAAAGAACAAAAAAAAAGAAAATCCCTGGCGCCGTTCCCATGGTGTGTTGTCCATTCCCGGTGCCGAGAGGCACAATTCCATCACCATTATAACTCCAATCTCGACCGAAATGCTGAAAGCAAATTCAAGCTATTGGATGAAGACACAACAAAACACTGATATCGAAGGAAAAAAATAACCAAAAGAATCGACCTCAAAACTTGGACGGGGATGGTTTTAGTGAGACGATGCCGATGAGTGAGCGAGAATCCATCACCAATTAACCCAGGGCTGGTTGGTGGATTGACTAGAGGCTGTGACGAGCCAATTGACTGCGCATTCTGCGGCGTCTTCTCTGGCGTTATTTAGGTTCTTGCCGTCGTACCAATATCTCGCGGCTAGGGTCTGACCATGCACAGTTACTCTGCTTGACCATGCAGTTCGTCCACCTGAGAGGCGTCATGGATCAGTACCCGGACATTCGTGGTGACAAACTGAGATGTCGTGGGGCGCATCATACCTCGGCGGTCAGAAACAATTTGGAAAACAGGGGGCATCAGCTGCGCATCGCGACAAAACTCTAGAAGAGACACTTAGTTGAATGTTGTAAACAAAAAAAGAGTGATGGTATTTTTAACCTTCTAATCTCTCCTGCCATGGGCAGGTGCTCGAGCCAGAGGAGCCGCTAGAACCGCTCGAGCTGTAAGTAGGCGATGGGGCCATCATCGATACGGTTTGGGCGACAGAGGCAGCCAAGTATAGAGTGGAGGATGTTAAGACGAAATTCCCAGTTCTCTCAGGACTGCCTAACGCAAGAGAGTATATGAAAGCTTATGGGCAATAAATCAGGTGAGAGACTGGCATGAAACTGATGGAAGAAGTCAGACACAGCGTGGGGTCTGCCTAGATTGCGACAGCGGCCGGGGTCTCAGAAGTTTTGGGAGACGCAGTACCGTGCCTCTTCGGGTGTCTTTTAGGTCTTATATATTCTCTCGATGTATGCACCAGTGAGACGAGTGAGGAATGTCGTAGGCAAGATGAGGCGTGAGGAGGTAGCGAGAAGATATATGGTGTTACTTTGTGGGAGACGCGACACAACGGGTGCTTGGTCGCGAGCTGTCGTCAGACCAGGTTTGTGTGAAGCTCGACCTTGAGGACAGCAGACGTGGACGTATAGAAGGCTGGAAAGTGCTGGAGGGCTTGTAGCTTGTACAGAATGTGTTGTCGCGGGAGACTGCATTGGGTGAAATATGAGGATGGGAGAAAAGGGGAAGATTATGACGAGAAAGTCGGGCTCGACGCTGGGTCCAATACCGAAGAAGGAACTACAACATGCAATGGCTCCAAGCTCAGGGACATGAGGAAAAACCTTGGAGCTCGGTAATTTCACAAGGGGACTCTGGGGACTCTGACGACTCTGTCTGGCTCGTTTCTTTTTTCCTCTCCGTTCGATGAGATGGCGGGGGGGTGCGGGTGCACAATGCGATTCCGGGAAAAGTCCTTCAGCCCCGGGTTGAAAGTCTCTCACGCTGTTCCTGTCGCCCATGTCGCCCATGTTGCCTTGAACAAGGGGACTGACACGGATAGATACCCATCACTGCACCGTGCTCTGACGTCTGGAATTAACCAAGTTGGTTCGAGCCACGATGGGCGGCGTTGATGGGTCGTTGACGGACGGGGGTCACATCCTCGGTGGTGGGCGTGGCGTGTGAGCGGGAAAGTCGATAAAAGTACGAAAGCCTCTCTGCTCCGTATCAGCTACAGCGTCCTCATAGCGCAAGCAAACCATACCAAGGCCAACATTTGAATGGTCAATCCATCATCCGTCAACCGGCAGGCCGGCGGCGAGGGAGCGGCGACAGGGGCGTCCATTGCCGGGACCAGGGTGAAGTGATGGGGAGGATGCATTAGCTGGCGCCAACCCAGCACTCGGGAACTGGGACTGCCCAGGAGGGAGTATGTTGTAGTTATGTCGGATGTACAGTACATATGTACATATTGTACATGGGCGACGATGTCTCTTCTCTTATGACACAGCTTCTACGGAGTAGAGTTGATGGCTCCATGATTGCCGACATGGTCCGCCGTCCGCCGTATGTACCATGCTTGCACTGACCAGGCTTCCAGGAGGCCGGTACCAGTCTGCGGGGAGAGAGACTGCAACAGGTTCGGCTTGAAGTTCTCGGACCTCGATATTTCACGCCTCAGACTCAGCCTCTGACGAAGCCCTCTGCGGCAGATGAGGCGCGCGAGAACAGAGCATATGGGGTCCGGATACGTGCGGAGTTGCTATACGGCACAATGACACCATTGCCATGAACTAAAAAGAACACAGCATGTTGGGCATTGACAGGGCACACCACACCCACAAGATATTGGGTTCTCGCCGTCCAAGAAGCCGATCAGCAACCCAAACTTCACCCCCAACGGCACACATACTGGTAGAGTTTGATTTTTGCAACCAGCTCGAATCGGTCGAGGCACAGTCAGCCATGCGGCTCAACCGGACGTGGTAGTTGTTGACCTGCGTACGGAGTACGTTACCACGCATGGTGCAGTGTATCAACGAGTACGTACTACTACCTAGGTAGTTGTAGTATATAGCTGCTCCGACTTCTGCTTTTCAGTACTGGTAGTAGCAGGTTCAGAAAAGGGGGCGGGGAGACAGGCGTACGAGGCAGCAGTTTCGGTATTAATGACAACAAACAATGATGGTGGAGATGAAGTGCTTGCTTGTCAAACCCAGCTCATGATCCACCACAACGACATGACAGGGAGAGACCAGGGTGAACTATCCACATGGTAAGCTAATGTAATAGTACTGGTACTAGTGGTTTCCCGACAGTTGTTGCCCGCTCGCCCGGGTTCTGTTTTGCTTCGCTGCGGAACAGGGTCCTGGTCCTCCAGCGCAAAGGATGTGGCTCTGAAATGGATTCCCAAAGCCCCAGGGCATATGAATGGGCCGGACGGTGTTTGAGGCCCTACGGGAGGCGGACCGAAGCCCGGAAACGAGGGTGTGGCGCCTTAAATTGCTTGGTTTGAGTGATGCTCCTAGTTGGTTCACCAAGCGATGACGGCCTGACTGGTCCACTTGATGCTCGCCATGACAATTTATACCTCGCGCAAAACGTTGGTCAGACCTTCGGGTGCGTTTTCGATACAAACCCTTGACAGGTGCGCAACTCCAGGCCGTTATCCTTGGTAAGGCTGGTCCCGGCCGAAACTGCCGCGTGTGTCGACAGCAAGCCAGGCAACCGGGGCACACATACATACATACTCCAGATGCGCGTGATTAGCAAGTTAGGGAAGGGTGCGTCAAAGAGTCGTATCACAGCGTAGAGAGCACCCCTTTGGTGGGTGTTGTCACGATGTTGTAGTTGTGTGGACACGGGCAGTTCTCAACGACATAGTGATGACGTTTGCTAGAGGTAGTTCTAATCGGCGTTCGGAGCTGTCAAGAGAAGTCAGGAAGATCTAAATGCACGTCGAGCTGACCATGACATTAATTCCGGCATGGGATCTTGGTTATTAGGGGGCAGCCAATCGCTGCAAATGGCTGTCTCTGAAAGTGTCACGAGACTCAAGTCGTTGGTGTCAAGTTTCAACCGTCGCTCCAGTGGTGTCGTCCCAAGAAGCCAGGTAATAATGCCCGAGTCAACGAGTCCGGCATATGATGAGTCAAGCGAACTCAACCGTAGCCAAGGGAGGGTGCGGACGCCAGCTTGTGCATTCTAGACCCATAGCTGGAGTGAATGTCTCGTTTTGGTGTTTGCGCAACCAGCAGGCTGGATTGTAGGCGACGAATCGATGTCCGACAGCCCAGCGAATGGTGTGGCCGATCTAAGTCTAAGATCGTGGCTGAAAACCTTCTGGCAATTTTTCAAACATGCAGCTGGCAATCCCCCGGCCACCGCCAGTTTGGAGGGCCACATACGTGGAGTCTGGCGTCTTGCTAGTGTCACGCCATCGGGGTTTTTTTTTTTTTTTTTTTTTTTTCGCGATTGTGTAGGCACGAGGCTGGACAGAGGCAGAGTGCTTCGATGGTTGAACAAGTCTGACGATGGTCCAGGTCTGTAATCCTATTGTATTCACCGAGTGTGCAACCCGGCTCGATCAACCTTGCATAATGGACAGCGTGATACTAAGCACGAGTGACGTTGAATGCATAGACGGCTGGCGGCCTTGGTACGTGGAGTTGACGAACCACGACGGGTTCTGCCGTGCAGCAATGTCAGGTTGTCGTCTCGTCATAAAGCGAATTCGTCGTTTGACTTCGAATTGTTGCTTGCAAATTCCTGCCCTTCCTCCACACGCCCCATCTGACATCCATCCGTCTAGTGTCCATCTCACGGCGCCTGTTTGCCTGTTTGCCTGCTTACCTGCATGCTTGCCGTTTCCTGCTCGCCAGTGCCTTCCGTTTTCTTCTGCCTCCACTTTGCACCTGCCTTGACGAACCTCGACAAACATCAGACGAACAAAGGCGTTTCCGCCATTGGAGCCCCACCCAGGTACCTGTTTTGCCTTTCCTGCTCAGGCACATTGACTCGGGCAGAACAGGAAGGCTGTAAAGACTGCCTACGACAAGGCCCATTCTTTCGTCGAGGCTGATTTCTATCCAGAAATGTATTTGAGTTGCCTAGAACTTGCCAGAATGACCCGCTGATGGATTCAGTTGTGAAGTCTATAATATTCGAAACAAGCGTCGCGTCCCGATAGACTCCCTTTCACGGCCCCCATCACACCCACGTTCGGCATCACGATCATGTCAGCTACCTGAAAATATGAAAGCGAACCGGCTACTAACATTCTTTCTTCGGCATGGCCGGAGAGAAGCACGGCATACTCTGATCCTTCATGGATAAAGAAACAACAAGCCAGGTTTGTGACCGGCGATATGCGCTCAAGTGGTGTGAAGCAGGGAAATTTCACCTCCTCAGCCCCCATTCATACCACGAACCCACCTGAAGTATTCCGTAGGGGTGCGCTCTCTGCCTTTCAGCACAGTTCACGCAACTTATGCTGGTTGTGGCCGTCTTTAAACCGTGGCCCACGTCATTAGCCTTAGCCACCAATATTTCTATTGGCTCTGACAAGCCGGAAACAATAAAACAAAGTTTGGTTTTGCTAGGCCGTCTCGACTGAAAGGATGAGATAGTCCATCTTTCTCATTGGCTGTTGTTTGGCACCTAAACTAACCAAAGTATTGCAGCTATGACCATTAGTCTTGTAAGACAGAAATCACGGCAAAACCTAGCATGTGCCCTTGCTTGACTTTAACAGTCCATTTCCTAATATGGAGAAACACAACTATATACACTATAGTACGAGAAATATAATATCAATGTGTGGACGGCGTGTAAAATCACCACATTCACGCTCCCAATAAGACAAGCAAACAAGGCTTGAGTACTGGTCAATCGGGAACAGATTTCTGCGCATAATACGCCATATGACATGGGTGTATAGAACCATGTTCAGTCGACCTGATCGTCAGACTCCGATCCCGCAAATTTCTGCAGAGGGTAATATTTGCATATGTCGGGGTAATGATCCGACGAGTATTAGCGCAAGACTTGGGGTGGTTTGTCTTTCTTCTCCCGTGTTTGAGACTTCTGAAAAAGTGTGTAGAATTGATATGACAGATTCATGGCCATAATGCCTTGGTCGTCTAGCGTCGTTGGGCCTTCGGCCGGCAAGTTGATTATTATGACAACACCCTCAGCCATCTCTCAGCAGAGCAGGGATTGCGTGTCCATGGTCTAGACGTCAGATAAGATTATGCAATGAACCCTGCATTAGCCCACGGGGACAGACAACAAGAACGGCTCAACCAGACGAGCGGTTTCGAGGCTCTCGGGGGAAATGGATAACGGGTCATGGACGATACGGTATCGAACCTACGTTACGGAGTATACTTCCGACTTCAGTGCCTGCAGCTCGACGTCGCTTAGACTCCATGGACATTTGTGATTGTTCATTCTAATTTAAATGGCTAGTGTGGCGGAGTACCTACAATGTCCTCTACTGTCCTGGATGTCAACAGTTCTAGGCAGGCCGGGGGACAGCTTACCAACGCACAACATATCTGCATTATCTACAGTTGCAGTTGATTGTACTAGGTGAGCCACACGGCTGGCCCGCTGTGCGGCAGCAGGCCCATCTGTCTTTTCCGTTGGTTTCTGTTAGTCAAGGCCATGCGAGCTTGCGAAGAGTTTGGGACGTCTTGTGTGAAGGAGCTGATCACACGCGGGATGGGACGCCAACTAGCAACGGCGCACAGACTGGGAAACGGCACAGAACCTGGCTAGACAGCGTGGTCCTGACGTAATCCTTTTGTTACACGACAGCGAACTTGACGCATGCGGAATGTGTTGGTTGGATGACCCAATATTACGAGTCGACTTGAAAAGAACTCCTCGGCTGAGCTCCACGTTGTGTTGGGAATCAATGAATTCCATCGACCTGCATTATACTCCGTGACGATGGAATATAAGAAAGGACTTGTCCGGACAGCACACACTTGATTCTCCTATTCAGGCGCTAAGACGGCATGGCAAATCGTCAGCCGGTCCCAGAATGGAAGATAAGTAAATAGATAACATTCAGAAGCGAGACGCACACAATGTCGAAAGGAAACAAGACAATTGTTCTCGTTCCCGCTGGATTTTGAAAGGCTCATTGAAAGTCGCTAGTTAGAACAGATGTTGGCGGTGCAGATCCTCATCTTGGCGCCCAGACACGCTGTTTTTAAGCCACCAGACAGAAATCCCTACTATTCCAACGACAAAGGGGCCCAACCATGTGCTCATTCCCTTTACGCTCCTCCCCCCCCAAAAAGCACCTATTACTTTTCTTGGGCTCTCGTGCCTGCGCAATGTGACTGGTCAGGTATCCTGGAAATAAAGGGTCATTTTTGCCCTACATCTTGCCTGCGCTGTCGAGTGTTTCATGCCAGGCATACATACGTGTGAATGGCCTTGCATCCCATTCCCAGTTGTACCTGCGCCCCTGACATGGCAACGCAGAAGGGCTAGTATATGTATGCCAGGATACGTGGTTTGATTGTGAGCGTGTGGGATCAAGCTGGTTTCATGATATGCTGTCCCGACAGAGGAGAGCAGAGCGGTGCTTTTTACGATGGCGCATGATTTCAAATATTGGGACTGCACAGGATAGACACGTGGAGTGAGTTTCGTTTAGTTTCACAGAACGTTTGGTCGTGGAAGGAGAGGAAACAGTTTGACGTGGGATACCGTGACACGGCGTGCAGACTTGGATGACAACGACGTGTTTTTGCTTTTCTTTTTGGAAACAGAACAGGGCCGATGACAACAGCTTCATTAAGGAATTGGTCGGTCGGGGTGGTGAGGGATTGCGCTGGGGGGTATTTCATCTCGTTGCATTATTTGCTACATCACTAGAATTAACTCCATCAGGGGCGCAACTGTCGTGTCAAGCCGCCCGTCAACTTGAATGAATTGCTAGTCCCATCGAATGGATTTACACTGCCAATCGGGGGCTTAGAGTCGCCGTAGTATTTGATTCTGTACGTGCCTGGTTGGGCATTCCCATACGTCTCCCATGATATATCCACCTCGCTGTATCCCAGGATGAAGTTGGTCCGGCGCCATGAATAGACGAGGAACCAGTCTGTATCGTCGCGTACTCGGGTCCACGAGCCGTCGGAACCTTGCTGCTCGACGGCGGCAAAAGTCTGTTCCTGGCGGAGGTTATTGCGAGGGTTGGCGCCTTGGAAAGTGACGTTGACCACAGATCCGATTTGATATGATGCGGACGGTTGGTGGACCACCTTGCCAAACGATGAGCCGATCGGCGCACCGTCGACAACCACGCCGGTGATGAAGGAGAGCGCTTTGCCACGGTTGTCGGGCGCAAGAGGTCCTTGGTCAGGCGTGTCCTTTGAGTCTGGGTGGAGGTAATGCATATTGCTGACGGTGAGGTTGATGTAGGCATCCAGTTCATGGGGTCCAAACAATGTCGATGCACCCTCGTAGCGTTGAATTTCGTATTCTTCGGGTGTAACACAGTAGTGAGAATAGCTGTTTGCTGGGCCACCAAGAACAACGATGGGCTTCTGAGGCAAGAAGCTAGAAGCTTCGGTTGCAACAGCAGCTTTCCACCGTCGTCCAGACATGGTGGTTGCTTCCGAGGGAGAGACAATGATGAGGAATTGACCTACGCGGAGGACTTGAATGTCGACAATGTTTGGTGTCCAGGCATAAGGTTCATCCATTTCACCAACGTCGAGGAGAATAGGCTTGGAGCCTTGGCATGCCTTTTGTTCCTCCGTGGGCGTTCTAATAAGCCCCGAAACGACTCTCCAAATGGGATTGGCATTGGGCTCGCCAGAATCACCTTGCGTAAAATCGAATGCGCCAGGCCAGTCGGATGTTCCAGCTGCGAACGAGTAGCCCAAAGCGGCTGGGCAAGTCTGGGCCTGCTTGCCACTGGGAAGAGTGAAGTTCCAGAATCGCATGTCGTGGAAGAAATGGAATGCCTTGACGGATGAGCCTTCAATTGGGGTTCCCGAAGTACCCAGGGAGTTCTGGCCCGTCCATATTAGCGTTCTGGGCCTGGTTTCCTTCGTTCATGTAAAAAAACTTACGTAGATGGTTTGAGCACCTGCAAATTGACGGCGTCCTATCTCATAACAGCTTTTAACGCCGAGGTCCAACGCTCTGAACTCGGGTCCCCGTCCGTGACAACTCTGCGACTTGCCATCCGCACAGGTGCTATTTTCCAAGCTACACTGCTGGCCGGATCCATCATCGCAATATGCCCCAAGAACGTTTGGTGTAGTATCGCCCACATTAGCCTGACTAAACCCAGCCACAAATCCATCGGCAGCGTTAGAGTTATCCTTCATGGCATTTTCGAACATCCACGCCGCAACACCCTTGTTGTCCGCAGCAGCGTGGGTATTATTACCGAGAAGGGAGGTGCCGTGAACGGGAAACCATGTGAGGACGCCGATGTCCTTGTTATCGGAAGCACGCTTGAAACGAAGGAGGGTCATTAAAGTGTCGGTATCGTCTTCATATTGTTTGCGTTCGGATTCGGGATTGGCAAGATAGGCGTAAAGCGAGCGGTTAATAGCGCCATCTTTGACTCTTGTCGTGCCTGCATCCAAATAGCCCTAGGAAGCTGTGTCAGTTTACTTGGCATGCGATATGAGAGAGTAAGGTGCGTCTTATTCAACAACGTACGTCCTGGAGATTTTCATGGGCGCGCTTAATTGACAGCACGGCACCGTCCACGAGAGCCTGGTAGCTCTGCTTGTCGAAGCCCAGGGTTGTGATCTGCGGTAAGAGATAGTTGAACCAGGCGCCTGGGCCAGCATGGCTGTGAGTGCCGGTCAAAGCGATGTTATTATGGCCGTAGATACTGTACTCAGCTCCCAGATTCTTTAGTCCGTCCAATACGCCATAACGTGTAGCAGTATCTCCAGACTGCGAGTCTAGGACCAGGTACACAAACCGGTCATCAGGATTATTCTTATCAGCGACAATGAAAGCGCGGCTGTGCAGACGCTGCCGAAGACCAGTGCCTTTCTGGTCGAGATTGGCGTATCCGGCAAAGCCGATTTCAACAACAGGGCCTGTGATGTCTGCTTTACCAACGCCAATAAGATACTTGTCACCCGTGGCGGCCGCGGAGCCGCAAGCTGCCAGCGTACTGAGGACGCACAGTGCCACCAGGAAGAATAAGCTGTAGATGGAGCTTCTAGAAAGGCCCAAGCCTTGGGAGGGCCCAGCAGTCGAGTACGCCATGATGAAAACAGACCTTGTGTATTCAGCGTGTAGGAACCCGTCAACTGTGGGATGGTGTGTCTTGACGTGAAAACATGTCCGAGGCCACCAGTTCACGAAGGGTGTGTTGAGCATATGATGGCCTTTATATTCAACAACCTTCTACACAGCGATCTCCCGGGCCGAGAACGAGGGACAGTCAGCGTTGCCAACTCTTTCGTCACTGGTTGTCTCGCTACATATGGGCCCCTGATCGATGGGATGGGAGGGGGGTGGCTAGCCACGTTCGGCCCGTCTCGTGACGAGAGTGGTAACGATGCTTTCCTCCAGATGTCCTGGCAGATGGCAGAAACCACTTTCTGAGGCATGGCTGTTATGGAGGGGGCACGGAGCTTCTGTAAGGATGCTAGTTGCAGCGGAGAAAGGGCAGCCGTGGTGCCTGGTGCGTCGTCACAATCCGCAATATTGAACTCAAGCGTCCACTCGCAGCGCAGAAGACGACCAGAAAAGAGCCGACTTCGGGCACTAGCAAGGACAACAAGCTGGCCAGGGCGATTTAGAGCTGGTGCTGGAGCCTCTGGGCTGCCAGGAACAGACATGAGGGCCCAAGATCGAGGCGGGTAGTACCGGCGGGATCCGCCAATGGGATGTGTGGTTTGACGGATGACGGACATGCACGAGATGGCTCGAGATGAAAACTGGAGATGACGGTTCAGGCCGTCCAGTCGGGGATGCGGGGTGGCATCGGGTCAATAGCAATTGATTGAGCAAGGGCCGTTGTCACCCAGGCCGCAGTTGCACAAGTCGATGAGTTATACAATAGTACGGAGTACTTAGTAGCTAGTGCTGGCCACAGGTTGGCGCTTATGTTCTGTCGATGCAGAAATGCACAAACTGTACAGAGTACCTACCTCGAGTAGCATGCACTTGTTAATAACTCCGCGGCTTCAAATATTCGACTCGTACGTACTTGCCTCTTTGAAAGATTCACAAAAGTGGGTCTCCGACAAACATGGAGAGAGAAAAAACAGCACTTATGTACCGTGAGTATCAGCTCTTTGCGCACCACCACGTTCCATACCTCACCAAGTGTTGGTTTCCCGTTCCCAGCGGCAGTTCCACCGCATTACAGAGCATGTCACTCTAAATCCACTCAGCGCCGGCAAGGAATTTGTATCACAGCGGCAACCCTACATAACCGGGTGGCACCTTCGCGGGGTGCAGCTGGCCGCGTCAAAAGCACCGTGGACCAGACATGCAGCACGTTGGACCGCCGCCGGCCAGCACGCGCAGCGCCACCAGCAGCAAACAGGACAGGCGAACAAGGGCTGTGTGTGTCATCCGCCAGCATCTGGTCAACTGGGCTACTGTCGTGTGCATCGTGAGGTCATCAGACGCCTCTCTAGTGCCACTTCCCCCAACTTTGACAGGGTTAGGACGAGACACTTCACCTTGTGCTCTGCAAATCTGGCCGAGTTCTATTTGCCGTTCGACCAATTACGGCATATCAACAGACCAATCGGTCCCATGGCTTCAGTTTAGGAGGTTACAATTCTATTTGGAGTGGGTAGCTAGCAATGTCCATCGTGTCCAAAATGGGACATAGCATACGAGCTTCAGAATTTTGAAGTATAGCCGGGTCAAGTCCAAGCGACCTCATGCCTTTCTGACATTGGCCACATCGGTGCGGGAATCGCTAATAGCTATTTAGGCAAATATTCTACATGGATTCATCTTTCGAGTCTAGCCTGCCTCAGGACTTGATATACCACTAAAGATTCGTCGGGATAGTGCAGGCGACCCTCAAAGTAGCAATTCATGGACCATGTCGTCGTTGCCGTGAAATCTTGCCAATCACGATATAGTCCCTCGTTGTACAAATCGACGACGATAGACGCACCATAGGTGTTTTATCAGCGCGGCCATTCCCAGGACAATATCGATATACTCTCATCATTATGTGTTGGCAATGTAACTTGGGAGAAGTGGCGACATCGCCAGAGAGACGCACGAGTCGCTACGTCTGGAACGTAGGGCCCAAAACTGGTAGTTTTATACGTAATGAAAGTCAAGTCATCATGAACTTACTGAAGTAGCACTCTTCGTTGCGCCATGTATCATCGCGTGAGGGACCGCAATCCTTGGTCCGAGGCGGCCGGACATCGGTCCTTCCGCTGTGGAACCTCGGTCTAATTCAATGCCCGGTTGGGCCAGCCGTGGATGTGTTCGCGCGAAGGAAGCAAATAATTATGACACGCGAGAAGTGTGCGTGGGTTTTATGAACTGGCAGTGTCTTCATGGACCGGGTGAGTTGTTTGCGGGCTTCGACACAATGCCTATAATTACAACACGCCGAAAGAGTTACATGTTCGAAGCTAAAGCACAAGGGATAGAAATCAAATATATTACGAGGTTCACCGTGTGACCAATCGGTGCTGGTGGTCCAAGATCACAACGAAGGGATCCTGCGTAAAGACTCAGACAGGCATTGGCCTTGGCTACCTAGCATGAAACCCCGTGGCATCTAACAAGATGAAATATATGTTGCTAATGAGTTCATGCTTCGAAGGTGAAGCATTTTTTGAACGCGCTCCGGAAAAGAAAAACGGCAAGAATTCTGCGTCTGGCGGCCAAATGAAACTCTCTTGGGCAAACAAACAATAAGACACACGATTGTCCATGAAGCAGACATGTCTCCAAGGCGTACAGACGCTCACCCGCTCTCTGAGTGCGGTGCCTGGACGCCACTGCAGAGTAGTTGGTTATGGATTGTCCGTTATGCATATAAACACCTTCAGTCGTCGGTCATCTCTTACACGGGCAGTATTCTAGGGTAGCTCGACGTGCCATGTTTCCGGGCGCCTAGATGAGAGACCGACCGATGTTTACTGAATGCAAAGTACAGCATGGAATCGTAGGCTTTGTTTCCCCTGACTGATGATTTGGCAAAACATCTGCAATGACGTAGAATGTATTGATAATCTTAGCCTGCCCTTGTCTCTCGTTGCCATTCCAGCGTCTAAATACGCCAAGTTTTTAAATCCTATGCATGGGAGACCTGTCTTGTCTTGGAAGTAGAAACACCGATACTCAAGCGCCTCGACAAGATAAATGCTCTAAATAAACACAAGAAATAATGTAATGGGAGCTCGCCTGCGCCAAGTTGAAGTACCACAAACCTCTTGGAACTCGACAAATGCCACCACGCAGGTCTGCTAGAACAACAGCGGGTAGCAGTCCCAGTGTATTCAAAACTCGCCAGATGGCGCTGGTATAGCCAGGGACTAATAGGACGGGAGTAGTCACAATATGATTTTAGCTAGAAAAGACTTGTCGGCAGTAAATGTCCGGTTGTACGTCAAAGCGACCCACAGAGAGAAATAGACGCTTTGAAACAAAATTGGAGGGATTAATCGAATATTCCAGTCTATATGCCATTGAAAATCTGACCTGCAATGTAATTACACACTTGCCAATCTAGTACATGAGTCTGAGCCCCCCCGCCCAAGGCTCATTCTTACAAGCGCCTAGTTCTTTGTCTCCTCCAGTCCCAACATGCCAGGAAAGTAATTGTAAACAATATAGCTGTCAACAACGGCACATGCGCCAAGCCCGTAGGCAATATTGCGTCGAGTCTTGGGCGAGAGGTTCTTCCATGCCCATGAATTACTTGCCGCTGCATCGGTGGTAGCTGGCTTCAGAGAGGCAGTGGTCGTGGAGAAGGCTCGGCGGGTGGCCATCTTGGTGATAGGGGTAGAGAGTCGAGCGACGGCAGACATTTCGAGTGCTGGTAGTTATAGGTGGAAGTCTAGAGGTAGATATTTCTGATGCGCTTAATGTGCTGTGCTGCTTATTGGAGGAGAGGGCGATTGTTTAGAGATACAAATTGCCTGGTTTGGTATGAATTTGTACTGTATTGCTTAATTGTGTGATGATGAGTTTTTGAGTGCCATAGTTGAGAAATTGAGACCGTTTATTTATATTTCCTCGTTGTCAATAACACGACTGATAAGCCTTACACCAGCATAACGGGAGCATAACGCTTAAGCGTTAAGCTCTTTCACGGACAGTTCCACATTTTCTGATCGTTGAATCCAAATGCTGGCGGATATGACGCGACGCCACAATGATCCACAGCCTCGACCCTGATACTCATGACGTCCAGTTGTAATACTCCCGGTCTCGTCCGAATACTACCGTAATCATGAAAGTGAACATGGTGCCTTCGTTATGAATTACCCGGTGGGCCCTTTGGACGATTAATCGTGAGAGGCTTGAACGGTTTCCGGAGACGATCCATTGATGGTGGGGGACCGAGGCCAACTGGTCGCCTTATGCCGCCAGCTGGCTTCATGGATGTGAACGTTGTCGAGTGGAAGACAGTTGCTGGGCGCTGCGAAACTGTTGTCGCAGCCTTTCCCTCGTCATGTTGCGGCTCTGGTGATAGTGGTCGCGTAGGGGAGCTCGAAAAACAGGCGTAATGTTTGGCGGAAGGTTCTTTCATCGTCGACTGGGCTACATTGGGCCGTGAAATAGGTTTGGCACCTGTAACCTTGTGTTTGGCAAACGTTGGGTCTATAGTTGCTTCTGTGTTAACGTTGACAGCAGGCTGAGAAGTTCGGTGGGCTGCTCGTGATGCGGCTGCCTGATATCGAGTGAGAGAAAAATCTCTTGGTGCAGGCTTCATGCCTGCAGCGGTCGCGAGTTGCCTGGATTCCGTTGTCACAAATCCAAGCAAGCTTCTTTGGTCCGGTCGTCGATTAGTGGTTCCTTTAACACTTCGGTTTGAGTAGGCTTTGCCGGCGGCATTCCGGGACATCTCTGCCTCGACGCCAGATGCTGCTAGAGCCGTTCGATGTGTGCTTGCACTAGCGAATCCAGGCAGGGAGGACATTGTGAATCCGGAAGACTGCTCCATTGTCGTGGAATAATCTGGTTTCCATGGCTTCTCCTGTGCCGTACCGCCATTATTTACATAATGTTGTGTCTTTTGCTTCTTTGGCGGTCTGCCGTATGAGTTACCGTCATGTGGATCGAGATAATCAGGATTCTCGTGGTCGAAAGGATCAATTGGATATTGATCATCCTCGGGACAAAACATGATTGGTATCTTGTCGAAGATTGACTTCTCAGACGGTATCGCTCGGCCGAGAATCCTGCCTACCCCTTCCACGACAGGCCTATCGAATGACGGTCCTTTTTGTGCAAAGGACCCGGCAAATGCTGAGACAAATGGCGAGAGTTCGACCTTGTTGCCTAGTCCTTGAGATGCATATAGCGGACAGCTCAAATACAGCAAGGCCTTTGCCCTTGTCATGGCCACATAGAGTAATCTTCTCTCTTCATCCATGTCTTCGGCTCGGGAATGAGGTATTGACCCCCCGTAGACCGAGGGGATAAATACGACAGGCCATTCTAGGCCTTTGGAGGCGTGGATAGTTGATATTGTCACCTGCGATGCTTTGTCTTGTTCCTTGTCACCCGACTGGGCGTCGGACGCAAGAGCCACATTGGCCAGAAATTTACCTAGGATATCATTATCCTTTACTTGATCGAGGTTTTCAATCTCGGGCAGAGCCTCTTCCTCTCCTTCATTGTCATAATCACGCACGAAGTCGTTTGCCAAACTCAGAAGTTCTTGTACGTTGGCCCACCGTTGTTCGTGGTCCTCCTGATATTCTGCCTCCAGATACTTCTTGAAGGATAACTGATTTATCAGTTGTTCAATCAGATCCACCAGAGACATGGAACCACTTGCATTAATATCCTCCATGTTTTGCCGCAGAGAAGAGATGATCCTCAGAAGCTCCGTATTTAATTTTTGCTCCATGTTTGGGCGAAGTTTCGTTGTTGCCCGTCGACCTCCACGGCAGTGCCTCCATAACAGTGCCCACAGGCTAAGCTTTGACATCTCTGCTTCCTCCAGGAGAGACTTTATTGTAGTCTCTCCTATACCTCTTCGAGGTACATTGATAATTCTTGCCAGAGCGTCATTCATATTCGGCTGGTAAACTACGCGGAGGTAGTCAAGCAGGATTTTAATCTCCTTTCTTTCGTAAAATTTGTGTCCTCCTATCATGCGGTACGAGATACCGGCCTTGCCCAGGGCAGACTCAATGTGTCTGGACAGGTACGCCGACCTTAGCAATATCGCCACATCTTCATTCTTTATGGCCCCCCCAAACATAGTAATGGCTCTTCTCAATTCGGATACAATCCATTCCCCTTCTCTAGAGGAACTTTTAAGACTCCGGAGCACCGGCTTGGTACCCTTAGTATGCACCGGCAAAAGGACTTTTTGATATCGCTTTGAATCCTGCTGAATAACCTGCAGCGACATGTCGAGAATCAACTGTGACGATCGGTAATTCTCTTCCAATGATATCTCGTCAGTCTCGGGGTAGTCTCTCAAGAGCCGATAGAGATTCTTGATTTCTGCCGAGCGCCACCCGTAAATACTTTGATCGGGGTCTCCGACTATGGTAATTCGCTGTCGAGCCTGTGCAAACAGCTTCATCAAATCATATTGTATGCCGTTGGTATCCTGGTACTCGTCAATCAGAACCGCCTGAACGTTGGACACGCATGATGGGTGCTCTTGCAAAAGCTCAACGCATCGAACCAACAAATCGTCATAGTCGAGTAGATTTGATCTGGCGAGATGGTCTTGGTATGCGGTATAACACTCATTGAGCGAAGGGGTCTCATTTGGCCGCCTTCCACTCTGTTTTGGTACTGGTGTCGTGCCCTTGGACTTCTTCTTGCTAATCCAGCTTTTGGCGTGTGCGGGTTCAATCTGCAAATCAAGTCTTTTGATGATTCTTTGAATGATAGCGCGGGAGTCTCCATCGTCAGCAATTCCAAACTTGGGGTCCAGGCCAATGCGCTTGCCGTAGACAGCTAGATATCTTCGAGCAATGGAATGGAAAGTTCCGAGTACTATTTTCTTCTCACATTCTTCGCCGAGTCTTTTGCCAATTCTGCCCTTCATTTCCCGAGCAGCTTTGACGGTGAATGTCGCGACAATGACATCAGCGGGCTGATAGCCCACATGTTGGACAAGCCATACGACACGAGATGTCAGTGTGTGTGTTTTTCCGCTGCCTGGGCCAGCCAATATAGCAACTGTGGGGGAGTTTGATGTGACTGCCCGGCGTTGAGCCTCGTTTAAAGAATTCAAGATTGTTTCTGGATGTGGAATTTCCATGGTGTTTCCGGCGCGTCGCTGTGCACGCGTAGATGGGGACACGGTGCAAATGAGACTATCATTGAGCCAGCTTTAGCCACTTTGGAGCACATACAGGGTCTGAAGTCCTGAAGTTGGAATTGAAGGGTCAATGGCCAAGAGAAGTCATCCGCAAATCTGCGCTGGACATGCCGTGATTAGGACTGGCGTCAAAACCAGAGCGCGTAACAAAACGCCTCCACGCCGCGAGATCATGTGACCTGAAATTAGCAGGGGCCAAACTTATTGAATGAAAGCCAACCACGAGGAACCAAAAAAAGAGAGAGAAAAGAGACAAGACGAAGCGTTGCATGTTGCGCTGCAGGAGACAAGTGGCTTGGTGATTCTTCAAAATGAACAATTGTTCAGCCAGTTGAGTCAAGAGTTTGCACAAGTGACCGGTCACAATTGACCCAGCCATGCCAGGCGGGATAAGGATCTCGCACCTCAATGGCCAAGGACGGAGGCAGCACTTGAGTATGTATGGAGTACTCCGTACACCAGGTACTATCTCCTGCAACGTCTTGTTGGCTTGATCGGGCTCTGTTCGTGTCACCAAGCTAAAAATGCGCCCAACAAGAGCCCTTTGGTTTTGGCTGACACGAATGCACGGAGGAAGGCGACGCATTGACCATTGACCATTGAACATTGACCTCATGATGGACAGACCCCGCCGCTGTCTTGTGTGTTTTGTTGCCTTGTAGCGGCATTATTTTCAGTCTATTTAGGGAGTACGGAGTGTTTACAGAGTATTCTCTCTGGTCAGATGCTTGATTGTACTCCGTATGTTCATACATAAGTTCGGAAGCGGGGGCTGGATCTTCGGGCACCAGCACTTAGCGCATGCAAGTCCCTCACTTTTCATCCAATCACAGGCTTCACCTCCTCATCACTTCGAACTCGGCGCTTAGCATCCCTGCCATCACCACCAACCATCCAACCACAATTCGTCAACACCATCAGCCCTCCTGTCTGCCCTTCTGCCTTCCTGCGGTGTGATTCACCACACGAGGATGGCCCGTCCAAACGCCATCATGCAAGTCCGGTCAGAAACTGAAGCCCGGCCAGGGCACGGTCGAGCAATGTTTCTGGCCTCAGCAAACCAACGCACGCTTCGAGACCCCAGCGCTAACGTCTGACACACTGCCCACCGTCAGCAGCCGCTCAATGGGCATGTATATACCGGAATGACGCCTCATATCCGTCCCCGGCCTGGTCAATTCTCCTTCAAACCATGTTTTGTCGACTTCCTCCAGGAGGTCACATAACGCAATGATCGCCGCCTCAAAGGGCTCACTTCCTCTCCACGATGCCACACTGCTATTTACAACTGGTCTCTTCTCTGACCTTTCTGTCGCTTTCCTTCCTCTTCCCGTTCGCTCACTCGGGCCCAACAGCTACAGAGCAGGTCTTTCACGCTATCAAGAGAGACAACAACCCTCTCGGCATTGACTGGAGTCCCGCACCAGCTCCCGAGGACGGTCCAGCGTTTTCAGCCAGAGCTTTGAGAGACACAAAGTATCTCCCCGCGCAGATTGGCGGTATTGTCGCAGCATACGGCGTATCGTTGGTGCTGGTCGCCATAACCCTGCTTTCACTCGCAAAGAAGAGACGGCAGCATATCCAGGCCGGCAACGACGAGGCTGACTTTGATGGTTCCAAGGCAGTATACGACTCTGACTCACCATCGGCCTCTTTCCCTCTAAACCAGTTCAATCCACAGTCACATCTTCGAAGCTCGGTGGTTCCTAATTTCTCGTATCCATCACCCATAAACACTCAGTTTAACGATAATACTCTTCCCCCTCTCAAGCCGTATATTTACCCTTCACCAATATCCTCTGTTGGCCACCCAGGGGTAAACCCTTCAGTTGATCAATCCGTCGTTGCTCAGGACAGGAAAATGGCGCAAAATCAACTGGAAGAGATGTACAAGCACGTTATGGAGCATGAAGATGCTAAACAGCGCGGAATTGTGTTGGACACCCCCATTTACCCGAACCAGCAGCGAACATCTACTTCTGACAAGTCTGCCACGACGCTGTCAGGAAGAGACAGAGCCAAGCCGGCAAGCTTGAACCTGAGTGCAGAGCATGAGGGCAAGACGCAGTCCAGGACTTCCTCCTTCTTCTCATCGCTGCGCTCTCCACGGAAGAAGCCTATCAAGGGCGTGCACATCTCGCCGCCAATAATGACTCCCCAGTCAGCAACATTCCCAAGGTACGAATCGCGGGAGATGAATACAATTCCTCACAGAAACTATGCGCCTCCGCCGCCTCCTCCAATTCCAACGGATCAGACTGCCTTTGGAGCCCAGGTCCGGAGTAGCGGCGCTCCTCCTACACCAAGCATGTCTCCCGGGAGCGTTCAAAGCATCGACGAGCGTATTAATTCACAACTCGGCCCGTCAAACTATCCAAACACTGCAAGATCCGAGGTCGAGCCTGAGTCGGCTACATCGCAAACGCCTCTGGTTGGGCTACCCTCGTCCCCGAAAGCGGGCGCCACGTTCCCTTCTCTGCCCTCATCTCCCAAGCCTGGGGTTAGATTCCAAAGAGCCAACGCGCCCTCGGCAGTGCGTACTGGTGGTAACTTGCCATTGAGAGCTTACGAGGGCGCTCTTGCCTCGCCGTCTGCTACGCCTCGGACGACGAAGCAGACAGTCTTTGAGAGACGAGGTCCACTGTCACCAACTACAGGGAAAACTCCAATGACTGCTGGTGCAGTACCTTATTCGCCCTACCAACCATTTACGCCACTTGTCCCCATTACCCCTTCTCTAGTGACCAAGGAGGACCGAAAGAGAATGAGGAGAATGGTTCCCAAGACACCCACTACGGAACTGGTCAAGAGTTCTGAGGATATGTGGTAATAAACGGCTTCCTCGAGCACGCCTTACGACCACGATGAATCTGCATGGATGAGGACTTATACCATTGATACCGCCTCTCTTCTTCGCAGGACCCGGCACAAAGGGTATTTTACTATGTCATCACACTAGCATACCGCTACGTTTTTCTTTACACTTTTTTTTATAGATTACTGTTTGCGAAAGCCAATATTCAGGGTATGGGATTAAGGGTTTGGGTTGGACGTGATAGGAACGCCACGACTGGTCGGAGCCATGTTTGTATTTCCTTTCTGTAGTAAGCACTTGACGAGGTAGATACTCTTCAGTCGAAAAAAGATACTATTTTCCATGTATTCTCTATACATTGTCCTGCCACTGTACATACCATCCCTCTTGTATTCCAGGGAGTGAGGGTGTAAAAACCTTCAGGTCAATCTTGCCCAGCGGCACAACGTGGGTTGCCGATCCTGATGATTCAGCCAGTACATTGTGTATTCACAGTTCATTGACGTTGAGCACCACCCACAGGGCTCAAGATTTAGAGTTTTGGAAGCGGCCTGGCTTCAGCCTGACATTTCTTACAAGGTTGTCGTCTTTTAAGGTCTTGGCAAGCTGGGGGCCTGCAGCCCAGTCGTTGATTCGGGCTGAACTACTCCGTAGGCACACGACCAAGTGGCCCAGAGGATCACGGAGTCAGTCGCCAGGGGCATGGCTGTATGTACAATACGAGCCATTCATTGTCGTAGTGCATGCGTATGTATGTACACTCTTTAGTGTGGTTGATATTATACAATGGCACAGGATATATGGCCGGAGACTAGTATGAAACCGTCCCATTCATCTCAACCGACTGGTCAATGCAGATGCAGTGGATAGAGTTGGCGATTTGGTCGTCTTGGCTCGCTGGGGGCGTGTAACGTCAGGATAATCTTGCGTCTGCGTCGGAGGTTTCCCGAGGACAAGGAACAGCCGCCATCTTCCTCCTCCTGATGGCGTGGACCTCTGGGCGGCGATGTTCCCAAGACGTGCTCCGTGTCCTCCGCACACTCCGCTGTACTACATGCGTTTCCGCCTGGTGGGCCGAGAAAAATTCGTGCTTGCTTGTTGGAACGCTCTGGAAGAGATTGATAGACGGCGTTGAGGTGAGGCTTGGCGATCTGATACGTGACACATGTTACCGAGGATTCGGCAGAGGGACTAATACAGAACAGGACGTGTAGACGTTCTTGCGAACCACTTCCCTATAATAGACACATTTTTTTTCATATCTGTTTGTATGTAGTAGTCCGTACACATCCACAATGCGCGGATCGAGCAGAGTCTCCAAGTACTGTGGTGGTGGGAGTACTTAGTACAAGTATCTAGCAAAACCAGGTACGTACCTGGCTATCGCGCCCTGTACTATAATATGCCATTTGATATTATATGAGCGTAGTATGCTTCTGGAGCAGAAGGGATGGGCAAGTGTATTCCGCCACAGACTTGTGTTGTAGTGAAAAAGTCTGGTAGAGTATTACCCCCCCGTGGGGAGACGGCCGGTTGTTGCGACGATCATTGCCGTTTCTCCCCCTTTGCTAGTCCATATCGGGGTTCGGAACGAGGCTGACAGCCGCCATCGATTTACTACACACCAACCGGCGCGAGAATCGCAGCTACTAGTATTTGACGGCATCAACGCCGTGCATGCATATGTACAACAATGCACGGGAGGCGTTCAGCCCTCGCAGAAACGCTCTGCCGAGGCCGTAGATTTGCTTCCCAGCCAGCGATGGCGAGGAACCCGGCCCCCGGATCCGCGCAAGGAGTCCCTCATCAACGACTTCCGTCGGCTGCCGTCAATGCGACTCTCTCCTACGGAGACGTTCCCAGGGGACCTGTCGTCTCGCCCATGTACGATGACGACGACCTTGGCTAGTACTTCGTCGAAGCCCGCCAAGACCGTCACTTCCGGAGCCCAAACATGAAGCTTGTTGCGAGGATCCGGCTCCATGGCTTCCAGGGCAGTGGTAACGCATTCTTGGCGGCTGTGGTAGTAGGAGAGAGAGAGCTTCATGTCAAATGCGCCTCCTTCCTGGGAGCACTTTGCTACTACGAGCACTTCATCGCACTCCATGACGATGCGACGCACAAGGCCGAAAATGTCTTTCCAGCACTCTTTAGCCAGCTCGCTTAGCAAAGTTTGGGAGCATATCGCGAAATGCGGAAATACTACATAGTATTACTACGTACTACTAGATGCCGCGGTGCCCGGTATTTGCGCCGAGATGGGGCACGCATGGGATAGGGGAGGGGTTCGATCATCTACATACACCATCGCCCTGTGCTCCAGCTGTTGGGGAGCATGGCGAAGCACTTTACAATAGTCACACTGGTTGTTAATAGTCTCACTCGGTATGGTGGGAGGGAGGATCTGGACGCGTGGAGAGCTGTGGCGCAGGTGCTCACATATGGATGTTGTCAAGCGGGCGGGCAGCCGGTCGAGGATTTTGTTTACTGCCGGGAATGGGGGCCCGGGATGGCGAGCTGCTGGTGAACGAGTTGGACTTGTGTCCTATATTTGCCAGGGCGCCCGAGGAAGAGTTTCAGGCATACATACATACATACGTACATGAGGGACCAAGTGGCCCAGAGGATTTCCAGTGTGGGGAGGTGTATCTGAGGTCCGAAGGTGTTTGGACGTAGTTGGAGGAGTGGTGAGTGTGGTGATGCTACCGTGGAATGTTCTCCGTGTCTGATGAGATGCTCACTCGCGTTAGAACACGACGCTCAACTTGCAATGCAAGCTGATTGCCCGTGGACGATGGCAGGACACTCCCTCCAGCATACTCACACGGATGCTATTGCAGAGCAACGATACCGGCCGGGCCCCAAGGACTTGGATTCCGGCATGATGGCTCATGAGGCCTACTTGCTACGCATCGTAGTCCACCGAGACGGACGCATTCCCCTCATCGCATCGTGGAGCGGGCTATACGAATGGGCACAGCTCGACCGCCGGGTCAATATGACACGCGACTGGGTTTGGGAAGCCCTGAATAAATTACTTTGCCTCGTTATGATCTTGTAACTGGTTCCCAGGTCACTGCAGACGAAATTACGGGAGCCTGTGGCTCTCGGGTTTGTTTGTCTTGGCGTGGACAGACGAACTTTTGAGCTGGCCCATGAATCGATGGCCAGGTACGTGGCTACCGGCAGGCCTCTGGGCAAGCCAGAGATGACATGCTACTGGAGTGGACAAGGGGAAGAGCTAGCAAGACTATGCTTGAAGCTGCTGATGGCATCAAATTTCATCTAGATGCCGTCTACGCTGTCAGAAGACCAGGACCGCATCAAGCTGATAGACAGGCGTAGCCCGCTCTACAGCCTTGCCGTCGTCTCACTGGCACAACCTCCAAGATCTGTCAGTCGGATTTGGAGCGACGACCTCATAGACGAGTTCATGTCGCCCGCCTTCACAGCAGGAACCCCCCCGGCCTTTCAAGATGGGGTTTTCGAGCACAGTCGTCGGCGTTTCATACCCTCTTTGCCATCCTTTGCGGCCCCGGGTGGGGAGGGAGTATCCAGACTTGTCGGCTACGTTGCATTGAATCATGAATTTGCCTCTGAAATAGCGGGCTCGTCTATAACAGCGTTACATATAGGCGCCGCATTCAGCAAGCCAAATCTCTGCAGTAGCATCGAGAAGCACGATCCGGCAAGTACTACCGCCGATAGAGCCAGTGACGTGTTGGTCTCGGCGTTTGGCAGAGCCCCTTGCAGGCCGAGCGGGACTGGCGGTTGGCATCGACGAGCCTCCATGCCGACGGTATGCTCGCGGTGACTGAAGAAACGAGTGCTACGATGTCGGGACAAACCGTTGGAGTGTGGCCGCGACGATACCGCGTCTCTCGGACAGGTTCATGGCTCTCGCCCGCGCGGGCCAGCAAGGGAGTAGTATTTTCCATTGCGGCCAAATTGCTCACCCATGTACTGCACACTCCGTACGTACAACGGACAGGACGGAGGCTTGTTTTATTAGCACAAAGGATAGGGACATGGGAGGAGCGCCAGTGATTTGATCGACAGCTTATCGAGGCATTGCGGAGCACGTGGTTCCTCATGCGGTCTGATACTCCGTAGACCTGCCAGAACGACCTGTGCCGGCTACATCATACGTATGTATCGTATTCGAAGGGGCCCGAAACTTCATGAACGATGGTCATTTTTATCTGATGCGGGGGTGTCCGCGGCGGGCTGGACAGGGAGCGACCTTGGAGAGGAGGGACATCAGGCCGGCGCTGGGGAGCAACAGGACGGAGGACAATTTAGAGTGCGGTCATGAGCTTGGCATCGTGTAAAATTAGCAAGTACATACATACATGTACATACATACATACGTACCGCGGAAGAGCCATTGCTTGGCGATATGCATTCAATGTTTGACCTCGTCCCGTGTCAATTAGCACATAGGAGCCGTATAATATGATTGGAGGCCTCTGTTTCGAAAACTCTGGAAATTTACGCATAATTTTCATTTGTTTGCGTGCCACTCTGTACATGTATGGGCACGTGCAATGTGCTGAGCCTGTGCGTTGTCGTCAGCAGCTTCTGGGCTTCTGCCCGGACGATAGCCGAGCAGGGCAGAGAGAGTCAGTGACATCAATGGATTGTCTTGGGGCTTCAGTTCATACCGAGAAAAGTAGCTACTAGTACCTACCAGGTACCTACCTACCTACGCTCGCGGGCCCTGGTTCTGTGCAGCTCTTACAAGATAGGCCCGAATTCATCACGGGCTGCTAAAAGTCTAATGGATTCGATAAAAATTCCGATAAGACGTCTTGTCATTGCTGGCGCGTCTGGTGACAGGTATGCATGCATGTACCAAGAATAGCATGGCTACTTACATGTAGGAACATTGAACTAGTGGCGTACTCAAGCCTAGTGCTAAATTTCTTGAAGATGCTCTCCAGGCGAATAAATGCAATAGCCTGATTGGCCCCTTGCCCCTAGACCGACTACTCCGCAAGCTCGCAAGCACGTCAAAGAGAGATGTCAGTACTCCGTACTACGCTTCTTTTTGCGACAGTTTTTTTTCTCCCTTTACCCTTTGGTTGAGGCTTGGCAAGACCTCGACTACGCCCCCTTTTCTGCTCAAGGTGATAGAAAAAAAGACGAGCAATCAATTAGAATTTGGCAGTAGTAGTACGGAGGAGTTTCAGCTGACATGGCCCCCACACAACGTCGAAGGACCCGAGGAAGGCTTCATTGTTATTGCCGAGAGGTCTGTGAGGCCATGTGCATTTTACTTTGAGTTGCAGCATCACCATTTGGCCCATCCGGTGAACCAGCAGGGTCAGGCCGGGCCAATGTGTCCTGACTGAGTGTTCCGTACTCCGTACTCCGAGCTGAGGAAAGATCGGAACAAAACGAATAAAGTGGAGACGGAAAGCCACCAGATTTTTGTTCCTGGAGATTTACGGAGTACGACTCGGTACAAAGAGTTAGCACCGCTCCCACATTCCTTTCAGCGAATGAAAAGCATGCCGAGAGGAGATGCATTAAATGGATGGGATGAAGTTGACGCTCCACACTGCCGGAGTGACCGTTGACCAAAGGCCCTTGATAAGCCCCTCGACCATGGCCAGACGGGGCACAAACACGCGCGGATCGCGAACTGGGCCACCGGTAATATCGACAGCAAGTACGGAGTACGGAGTACTGCGTATTGTACAATTGTTGTTCGAGGCACTCCGTGAGGAGCACGGAGACAATTCCAGGACTGTAGGATCCACACAAGGATGATGGGCTGCTCGTGCGTGATTCGATTTAGGTGCGCACTACTCCGTACTTCTTCTCTTGACCCTCCCCTCGCGGCAATGCACACCGAAGCACGTATGTAACCGTACCCTACTGGGCCACGGAGTACTCTGCGGTAAATGGCACCGAGCGGCGAGAACCTGCCTCTGCCACAGACATTGTACTTGTTTTGTACGGGGCAATGGCCAAGGCTGAAGGGAGACTCGAACAATGACGGTGACGGCGTGGCGCTCTGAATGTGGGCAATATTGGAGGCAAGTACTCCGTACGTAGTTATTGAGGAGCTTTTGTTCAGGTCAACTGGGTGTGATGGCCAGCAAGCGGACGAGCGGCCTTGCGAGTCAAATGCGCATTCCTGACGCTCGGTTGGCGCTGATGACATGTCTCAATGCCATGTGCTTTGAGCAGTGACATGGACTTGGAGGACTCCAGGTTCGCCAATAATGCTGGGTATGATGCAGTATGTGCAAGGACAGGCAAAAATCATCAACGTTGTCGTCCGTGCCCGTACCCCGTTGGCTCACCAAAGATGTGATACTAGTAGTAGTAACAGGCGCCGTACCGAGTATGTACAGTGCTCCGCAGCAGCAGTACCGCATCCGTTCAACCGCTCCGGTCCACCGTCGATCCTCGGAATCGGCTTCCGGTAAATTGCATTTGGACAGTCATTTCCTCGAGCGAAAGCAGCGAGTGTGCTTGTCTGATGTGAAGAATCAATTGAATCTCAGAAATAGAGTGATGCAGGAAAAAAAAGCAAACAACCATTTCTGACAAGACTGGACAGCGGCGCTGGTGGGGGGGAGGGGGCATGCTTGCGGGCTTGCAGACTAGCGGGCCATGCCCCACTCTGCCCGCCCCCCTGTCGCCTGTCGCCCGTCGCGAGAAGGATGGTGGAGCGTGGTCCTTGTTGGCCACGCTCTGTCACCTCCGCCTCTGACACGCTTTTGCAGTAAACTGGGGCTCGATGCTTGGCAGCCAGGACTTGGGCAGAACTGTACGCCAACAACTCTGTACGGAAGGAGAGTGGGGTCAACTGGTGGTGGCGGTCGTGGTAACGGGCGTCGTCTTTGGCTCTCTCCTCGGTCGCTTGAAGGAGACGCTTTGGGTGGTCCTGCCACCTTCCAACGAATCCGCGAGCACAGAGGAAAGACCGTTGGACTAGTATTCAATGTTGGCGCGTGCTGCTAGTATTAGTGGCTCTGGACTTGCTCCTACGAGATACCTAAATTGAGGCGCCTAAGTACTTAAGTAGCAATTGATAGCATCTGGATATGCTCCGTACTGCGCACATGTCGGCAAGTACTTGGTAGGCAAGTTCTTCGTAGCTGGTTGCGGGCAAAGGGTAGCCGCTGAGCGTTACAGAGGTACCCGTGTTCCCTCACCCAGCCCGTCAAAGGACAAGTCACCCGCTTGGCACGACGCCAGCTTCCAGATCATACGATGTTGTTCCCTCCCTCCGGCATGTGCCGCCACCCTTGTGCCCCGAGCCCCAGAGGCCATGGGTACCCAGGGCACGTCGCGTACCCTGGTCATGCTGCTTGCCAGCATCAAAGTTCGCCGCCGTCGTCAGGAACCTGGTTCAGGACCAGGACCATCTGCAGGCTGCCGCAGCGCCGGCGTCTTGATTCACATCCCTGGTCTGGTACTCCGTCCTCCGTAGATGATCCGTGGTCCGCACTCGGTATGGTTGAAAGTGGCTTTGTACCACCCTAGGACCTTTGCGTGCGGGAGTACGGGAGAACGGGAAGAGGGAAGGAGCTCTGCGTCGTGCCCATTGAGCCCCGTTCCTTGCCTCCAGAAGCGCAACATTGAACATTGAAGCACACACCACCCACGAGACCCGTGAGACCAAGACACTGTCCGAGAGACAAACGAAAGCATTTCTGCAGTCCTGCTGCGAACCCGGCATCGATCCATGTCGACGCCCCGATTTGCTTGAATGGTTCTGCTGCTGCCTGCCTGCCTGCCTGGTGCTCCTGCCGGTGCTCCTGCCGGTGCTCCTGCTTTAGCCTTGCCTCCAGTCTGCTGTCGCTACTGGCGCTTCCTGTCGGTGCTAGCTCCGTGCTCTGGTACGGAGTACATGTACCGCTGCAGAATTTTGACCGGGCATTCGAGTTTCTTCCAAGTTTCCTCGTTTCGGTTGGGTCCATTCATTCCAAGTACCGATTCGAGTCCCAAGTTTCCCCGATTCTGCATCCTCAAGTCCGTGAGCTTCGTTCTTTAGGGTGTTGTCTTGCCGTCTTTTTGCATCCAAGCGTGCTCTGGCGTTTCTCCGGTCCTGACTGAGCCTTCGATCTGGATCTCCAATCTCAAGTCCCATGCCCTCCCCTCATCCAGCTTTATCTGGAATCGGGCGAAGCGGGAGTTTGGACGACCACAAACCCAACCCCAACACCATCCGCCATTGACGCTTCCTTTTCTTGTTTTTGAATCCAGGCCAAAGGATAATAATCCTCGACCGCGTCGGTCGATTTGCCGGTCAGCTCTCCAGCAGATCCTGCCCAGTTGCATGGCACGCGCGCTTCTCATTGGTGCCTCGACGTCAGACTCTACCCTGCCACAGCCGATAGTCGAACGACTGTCAGCCCGCCGTCATTCGATTCCAAACCGCACCACGCACCACTTCGTGTCTTCCTCCCCATAACCCTACATTTCGTTTGCTTGCGCCTGCCACATACCACGCCTTAGCATTGCCGAGCTGTTGGACATCTACTAGGAACTATTGCCTTGTGCCGGGAATTGCAAAGCAACGATCCAACACCCCCACCGGCATCTGGCCGCCTGCCGCCCGCCGCGCCAGGCCATTTCCCACGACTAAGGAGCCCGTCGGCGAGCACTTGAGCTCGTGCGCCAGTGTCATGGCCGACGAGGACACTGCGAACCATTTTGGGTTCGAGGACCCAAATTTCGCTTTCATCAACGAGTCTGCTGCGGCGACAGAAGCTTCGGCAAATCCCTCATCCCTAGCTGAGGCCGACCCCAGCGCCCAACAACAACAGCGTCAACAACAACAACAACAGCCGCCGCAGCCGCAACAGCAGCAACTCTACCCCCCATCTACGAGCACATCAAACTGGGACTTTCAAGCCACGCCAGCGTACGACAACGTCGACATAGGCGCAAGTACCGCGCCAACAACCCAGCCCGGCGTTAGTGCTCCTGCCTGGTCCTTTCCTGTATTTGACCAATCCCCGGACGGGCCGTTTAACTTTACTGGCTTCACACCATCAGATGTCAATTCGAACGTCGTGTTCGGAGGCCCGAATGCAGAGGCTCTGAACACTGCCAGACAACAAGCTGCGGTGCCAATGTCGCCAGCTCTTCAGCAGAAATTACGGAACATTGCGATGCCCCCCCACCTTCAGTACAGCTCGCCCAAGAGTGCCTCAAGCCCAGATTCTGCTAACAATGACTCCAAAGGAGGCACCGCCTCGTCACCAGAGCAAGGTGATGGATTAAAAAGGGATTCCAGGAAACGAAAGGTGTCGTCGGACCCAGAGGATGAAGACGACGTTGACGATGATGACAAGCCAGTCAAGAAAACCGCTCACAATATGATTGAGAAGCGGTATCGGACCAACATCAACGATAAGATTGCCGCCCTACGAGACAGCGTTCCCAGCCTGCGGATTATGTGCAAGAGTGCCAGGGGCGAAGATACCACAGAGGATCGAGAGGAGTTGCATGGGCTTACACCGGCTCATAAGTTGAACAAAGCAACGGTATATTCCATCCTTGCCCCTTGTGTTGTTTGGACATGAGGCGATATGGGAAGAACTAGAGTCACTGACAACCATGGTCATATGCAGGTCCTAAGCAAAGCCACTGAATATATTCGGCATCTTGAGAAGCGAAATAATCGTCTGCTGGAAGAAAATGCTGCCATGCAAGCCCGTATTGCCGCTTTCGAGAAGCTGTTTATGGCTGGCGCTATGAACGGATCTATCAGCCCTATGCAACATCCTCCGACTCCCATGCAATATGCTCAAGACAACCCGCAACAATTCAGTAGCTCGCCCATGGGCACTCCCCAACCTAGCAACCCGGCATCTTCTGGCATGATTCAGGTACCCGACGACATGAAGAGAATCATCTCGGCCCAAATGGCTGTCGGTCAGCCGTACCCAGTGCCCCAACAATCCTTCCGCGGCGGCAACCCTTCGATGATGCGACAGCAACAGATACAACAGCAACACCAGCAAGCCCAGCAAGCCCAACAAAACGGCTTCTTCCAAGGCAATCCTTATTTTGGAAAGCTCATGGTGGGCTCTCTCGCTGGTCTCATGATTATCGAGGCTGTGCGAGAGTCGGAAGCTAGCACGGAAACGACAGAAGGACGTGGTCTCTTCGCCTTGCCACTTCACCTGCTTGGGTCCGTGGCCTCAAGTCTTGATGTGCACATCATGGGGTATCATGCTCTGTCGTCTTTGAAGACTCTGTTGCTGTTGGGCACATTTCTTTGGATTTTTGTGCCCTCCTTGTTTGCTTCTTCCGACTCAAAGTCCAGAAAGCCACAAGCCGCCGTGCTACGCAAAGCTCCATCCTTGGCATCCTCTATTCAAATCCGGCGACAGGCTTGGCTCACGTCAATTCAAACTGTCTGGGTCCCTCGGCGCAACTTTTTCCTTGAAGCCGCAGCACTCATTCTGAAGGCGATGAAGCTTAGCTTACGTAATGTTTTCGGAACTCACGTTTTCCACATGCTCACAGGGATGACCCGGGAGCAAGAAATCGCCAGAGTAAAGGCCTGGTCCATTGCCTTGGACTCGCAACTGGCAGGTGGAGATGTGGACATTTGCAAGAGCCGATTGGTCTTGACTCTGCTTGCATCTGGCACCTTGCCTGACACTCCCATCCGGCTCATGCTGAAGGCACTCCATATCCGTGTTCTCCTGTGGCGAGTGACGAGCAGCGGAATTGTGCAGGCAGGTGTGAACATTATTGCTGCAGAACTGGCTAGGTCAAAGTGGAACGAAGCCCGGCAACTAAACCAACTTCTTGCTCAGTTGCGCCGTGGGGACTCGAGTTCTGTGCCACATGACGACGAACTTCCTGAGCATCTTGTCGCCTTGGTCGAACAGGATTGTGATGATGTTCTCAGCCCGCAAGTCATTCAGCGTGCCCACAACTTGGCCTTCAACATGGATACAACCCAGAATGTTACGGAACCCATCGACAACATGGATAGTGTGGTCGATGATGTTGCTATAAGTTCTCCCTTGGATGCCGTGGCTGCATGGTGGTCCACCCAGGTTCTGCACCGCGTCCTTGGCGATGCCCTGGATAGGGACGCGCCGTCAAAACCAGATACGGCGGAAGGTGCCATCGACATAGCCACCCGTGTGTCGCCGATTGGCTCATATGCTCAGATGCGCGCCATATTGGCTCGTGCCGTGCTTGTGAAACAGTCTCGCGGAGCTCATATTGCAGCCGCGCTGCAGGCTCTCAAGTCAGACAGGCTCACAGGCCCATTCTCGAAATCGAATCTGATCGTCGGCCATCGATTTGACGACTTTTCAGCCGACTTTTCAATTGCTTTGCGATGTGCCATGGCCATTGCACATCTTACGCGGGTGGCGAGCACGCCCAATGCCAAATTGGCCAATGTGGACTCGCTCAACTCCATTGTACGACCCGAAAACATGGCATGCATGTCCTTACTAGGATTCACTTCGGTGATGGAACTCATGGATTACTTACTACTCCACAAGGACCACGACCAGAGCATTGAGTTCATTCTGGAAAAGCTCGCCGCAACTCTGCGTCTATGGGTCGGCGGGCAATTTGCGAGCCACTGTGGTATTCATGCTGAACTACGGCAGCGGGTGGTGGAGAGATGTCTCGCGGTTACGAAGAGCTTGGTCGGCATGGAAATAGATACTGGCTACGGCAGTATGAGTGATGACGAGACCGTGCAGGAATGAACCAAAAAAGGGCAAAAGTTACGGAGTAATGGGGGTAATTGGCGTGGAATGGGAGAGGTCTGGCTGGATATTCACCATGGCGTTCTAGGGGCGTTGCACAGTCTGCACAATTCATGATACTCCACTTGATAGTTTTCTTTGCACAAAGGTTTCGGTTGAATTGTTTTTTGTACTACCACACACGCATGCCAGGTAGCTTGGCACGGGGATAACGAGTTGACGAGTCATTTCATTGTGGAACTTGGGAGACAGTTTGGGTCGAATGGGTAGACGTTGGTGGGCAACGGAAAGGAGGGTTGGAATCCTAGAGGTTGCGATGGGCTCTCCCCAGGATGCGGACCTGTCAACTATGCATTTTTTAATTATACTTTATTTCCGTTTTCTGGAAAAAGAATAGTATTTGTAATACTACTAGCAGGCTAGTGTGGACTCTGTTCGTACATATGGGACTCGGTTTCACTGAACGCTGGGGGGGGGGAGGGGGCGAGTCTGGGTCGCTTAGTACTTTAAAATTATGCATGACCGGGCGGCCATGTCCATGGGCAATGCATTCATGCATGATTTAAATATGATGGTATTCTCATGTCCCATGTACATGATTTGGTCAGTGTTCAATAGGGACCAGGAGTACGGAGTACTGTGCTTGATATCCGGGGTGTATTTGTACCAGACTTGAGGAGTATGTACCAGGTATCTAGTACTTTACTTAGTAGGTACCTCTAGGCACATGCATGTA